CCGTGCCACAGCAGTTCCTGAGTCGTCAGGAACAGCGTTGATTTAACACTTAGCAAACCATCGAGGCCTTTTTTCAAGCGACTGATATACAACCTAAATTAAGCTCAGACATGATGCGCATGCATGCCAGTGCAATGCGGAGCACGCATTCAAATTGTTCTCTCTGCCAGGCACGTCAATTTCTGCCCAGCCGCCCAAGATGGTCCTCACGCATTTCTGCAGCAACTCTGTGTTGATACCATTGTAGAATCGAAGAAACAATCGAAAAGGTGCGAGATCGATGGATTGCAGAGGCCCCCGCATTGCAACGTCATGCTTCCCTGTACGCTAATGCAGGCTGATGGAAACAGGAGTGCAGCACACACACACACACACACAACACACACACAAAAGCCCCTGCATGGTCCTTTCTTCAATTTAAGCGCGGCTCGCTGCTCTTCACACAAGCCAATATGGATCCATGATGGATTTCCTCTAAATCTCCTGGCACAGGCCATGGCAATTATGAGTCACGATCTGTGTCATAACAGACATGAGCAGCTCCCACCGGCGCAGTAAGTGTCCAAAACAACACCAAGACAATATAGCTGCGCACAAATGCCAACTTAAGGCTAAATAGCACTGACTCGCAGACAAGGGGCCTCCTGCGAGCTAAGAAAGCAAAAGGACAAAAAAGAAACTATGCCTAGAAGAATTTCCTGAGATTGGGCGGCTCCTGGCCAAAGTGCTGCCTCTTGAGCAGCTGCTTGTGCCTCGCCATCGCCTCGTCCATGCTGATGCTACCATCAGCCACCCTGCGCAGTGAAGGTAGCTGTGCTCTGCATCTGAGCATGGCCTTTGACGTGGCGGACTTGAGATTTAGAGTCAGTGCTCATGCAGCGTTTGCAGGCTATTGTCAGAGCTAATGTGGTCAGTTTGATTGCAGCAATCAGCATCTCTTGGACCCTGTCAAGAAACAGACCTGCTATCAGCCACTCCGCGCCCTTCAACGAGCTGTCCATCCCTCAGAACATATGTCTCGGCGCCGTGCCTGGTCCGCCTACAAGGCAACCTCAAATCACAACGAAAAGAAATCTGAATATATATTTGCATTGTCAGAAGCTGTATTGTAGAATCGCATGCACATAGCTTGGGGGAGCACCTATCTCTGTAGCTCTTTGGAGTTGCCATTCTCAGGAAGCTGACACGAGCGACCAGATCTTTCAGCATATCGGATGCTTTCAAGGGATCTGTTTCTTTCATATTAGCCCTCATTGATGCCCTGGCCTCCTGCAGGTTGACCTCACGCCTCTCAGCAGGCAACCGTTTTATGAGATCCACCAGCTCTCTGTACGCCCTCAGTACATTCGCACGCTGTGTCATGTTAGGACAAAAAAAACGATCATTGACACGTGAATTGATTCCAACTTCTGGCCACCGAGAGGAAAATAGCTGTACAAAGACGATGTAGATGCCTGGTCGATAAGATGGCACTGTGTATCGACACCGCCAGCGCAGATGCTAGAATTCTTCTGCGAGAATTCTTTCAATAATAGTGGATGCCTATGAATTTTGAGTGTTGTTCCGCACAGTCATGCCCAAATCCATCACGTGGACGGAGCATTAGGTAGCAGCCCGAAGCTGCGGTCAATTCCTAGGAAGCTGCCCTGGCTGCATCGTCCAAACTGCCCCTGTTCCTCCTGATGTTGAGGTCAACGAGAGTGGATGCACGCACACTGAGTGACTCCACCATGTTGTGCCCCAGTCAGATGGAAAAAAAAATGTGATGTGCAAGGAGATATCTTCGATGTCCAGGGCGCCCGGCGCACGTCATGACGAGCCTCACACTGTACAGCTCTAGCTGGCCAGATCGCATTGTGATTGCATGCAAATTCTGAGTTCAGGGCTGCTCCACTTCAGTTAGCAAAAGAGCATCATGCATTCATTCAAGATATTTGCAGCAATGATTGCTGCTGGCACCGGTGGTACCATGATCTGTTCAGTGGTACGCCTAACATATTTAAAAGGGAGTCCTCATAAGGTACTCCGAATTTATAAGCTTCTCCTGTTTACCACCAGAGTACTGTTCAATTGTTCAACAGCAGAGTTCACTTATTCTACCACTGCATCTCTGAATCCCATAAAGGGTGATTCCTTGCTTGTGGCTGCGCAAATGCTTCCCATGCTGTTCCCGATTGATAATAATCGGTCATGACCTGAGTCCCAAGAGCAGCCAGTTTGCTGCCCGTTCCAAGCTGTTCCCAGTGGCCCGCAGTGCATTTCTGGCCTGCAGATCTGTGAAGCCCATGGCTGTCAGTTGTGCTAGGGTCTCCTGTGAGGGGCCACCGTTCCTGTCAAAGGGCGTCCCCTTCCTCGGCCCCTCACCTCTGCCCCTATCCTCTGCTGCTGTGCTGCCCTCCTGCGCTGCTTTGCTGTGGTTCACTTCCTCTCTCTTTCCGTTTGCTGGTTGACTTCTGGCTGCTGTGCACTGCTGGAGTGTGTCAGTGCCACCTGCTGTGCATGCACCTTCCTCCTTCGCTACAACTGAAGGCCTGCCATCTGCTGTCGCTACCTCAAATTTTCCGCCTCCCTGCAGCACAGAGCCGGCAGAAATTGAATCTCTGCATCCGTTGCACAATTAAAGATCAATGCAAGTATAGCAAGAAGACAGAGGAGCCCTTGACTCATACATCTAACAGGCGCTCTAAATGAGAGCTCCCAAAGATTTACCTGGAAGCCCTCGCAATAGTTCTCCGTCTGCCCATATATACTATTGTAATCAAGGCATATTGGATGCGAATCTAAAAAGGCAAAAACTCACGTTGGCCTCCGCAGAGCCTCTCCGGGGCTTTGAGTCCACTGCAGATGCAGTAGCTTCTTCTGGGGACGCAGCCGCTCCGTGAGACGCAGTTCCCTCGCTCAGCAGCTCGATGCATTCGCTGTCCTCTATCACTATCTGGGTGGCGCGCATGGAACCCCCCTTCAAGCCGACACCTGCAAAGTGCCAGCTGCAATATACAGCGCTTGCCACTGCATAAATATAAAGGACATCTAGGGATCAGGAAAGCAGTGTTTGCTGCACCGCATGCAAGCATGCATGATGACTGCGAGAGCGCAAAGAAAGGCACAAAGAGGGGCTCAAAGTTGCCCCGAGGCAGGACGATCCTCATGGCAGGCCATGACACATGGCTGTGGGCGATTCACAACAATCTCAAGCCGGGGGTGTCATATTGGAGGGATCTTTCCTGGTTCATGCATGAAAGACATCATTACTTACTATCTCCTCTACCAGCGCACCTGTGCGCTTCTGCTGCTTGCCGCGGGCACCGCCCCGGTTGACGTGGATCTCACTGAGTGCCTCCTCGCTCTTGCGCTTGGCATTCAAAGACCCAAAGGCCCCGCCCTGGCCGCCGCTGGCCGCCACCTCCGCAGCCGTCTTGGGCTTGAAGAAGTCCAACACAGTCTTTGGTGCCCTGGAGAGCACAAACAGACAGGTCTTGATGTTGTCTTATCAATTCTGACTGCTGTTTTATAGCAAATACGGCATTGATCAGTCTAGGTGAGAAGACTGTGGCTCATCAAATAGGGCATGCCACTGTTCACCACCTGGACTAATATTTCTGCCACGCTCTTGCAACTCCCTTCTGAAGACAAATGCCGCTACATCAGGCACCCTGCATTACATGCTAATGATTTTTCTGCCTCACACAAATGCTGCATCTGGCTATGTATGTAAGGTATGCAAGTAGATATGCTCAGAAAGTGGAGCAGACATGATGCATGCCGCATGGCTCAGCAGAGCACAGCTGCTTGTCTTGCAGCAATAAGGCCAGTTGGGACGCCAAACACAAAACAAAGTAATAGGAGACGTGCACCAGCTGGGTGTAAGCTGATGTCATGACTGCAGTCAGCACATGCCACCCTCGCAGGCCAGGGATGGCCATCGAACCCCCTGCTCCAGACAATGGCGCAGGGATGAATGGGCCCCTGATGGGGAAGAGATCACCGACATGCGGGAAAACAAAAGGCCCCAATATGCCAAGAAGTACGGCACTCAAGAAGATATGCAGACGGGTACCTGAAGGCCTTGGCAGCAGACTTGGGGTCCACAGGGGTGACCGGCTCGGTGCGGACTGCGCGTGCGGCGCCCATCGCAGCCGCCTGAAGCGCGCTCGAACCCAGCTCACCCACGCCTGCTTTGGCATCCACCACCTGCCAGACACACCCAGCCGATCAACCCCCAGCACTCCTCACAAGCATTTTGCATGCGCAATGCCTTGCTTGGAGCGTCACCAGGCTTGCGTGAAGTCATCTTCAGCGTTCATGCTAAAGTGGCTATACATATTACGCCGTGCACGTGCCTGTCCAATTCCCTCACGGCCCTTGTTGATGCCAATCTTTCCGTTTGGTTGACCCCACCAATGGCCAGATGCTGGTCCAATACATACGCAAGACAGCATGTCACCAAGGGCGACTTAAAGAGCTTGACCTGAGGCGCGGTGATGTTTGGCCCTCCAGGCAGCGCGGCCACAGCAGCTTGTGCAGAAGACAGTGTCGCCACGACCTCTGGCAGAAGCTGTGGCGGGTAGCGGACGCCTATCAAGCAGCACAGACTATGTCAATATCCTTAATCTGATTCCAGCAGCTTTGGGGGAATTTACCGCGCACTTCTATCGCACAAGCAAGGCGGACAAGTTGCGCATGGCTTTCGGCATAAGAAACCTTGAAAATGGCTGCAATATATGTGCTAGCTTGGCCATAGCACAGAATGAGTCCAGGGCAACACTGGTGGTCATGCATGGCAAAGGCAGGGGCAGCAATTATCCCTTGGAGGCTATATTCAGGACAACAAACATTGCCGCAAATGCATGCCAAATGCTGCGGGCAGTGCATCACTCGAGAGTACTGTACTCAGAGCAGTATACGTTCCCATGCATGTTTAAAAACAAGGTGCAGCGTAGCTTTCCAAGGACGTCACACACGTGGTGACGACTTGGTAGCAGCCCCACGATACATCTTACTCACGGCAAGCAGGAACAGTACTGCATGTGTGCGCAAAAGTGAGCAAGCAACGCACCGATGAGGGAGGTGGCGTCGCCGAAATCGACGCGGACGACGCGCATGGTGCGGTCAGACTTGGACAGAATTCCCTCGTAGCGCGCCAGGACACTCTCCAGGGCGCCCCACACTCGCACAATGGACCCGCTCAGCATGCACACCTTGGTCAGCCGCCGGCCCACCTGCAAGTATGACTGCACATGATCAGTCTCACAGCAAACACAACACGTCAGTCATCGCAAGTAGGGAACAGCCCAAGATCAGCCTTTCTGTGTTCCGCTTGGCTTGGATAAGCTCAACAGCACCCTCCATCTTTTTTTTCGTCTCCTGCCGTGGGGAAGGACGAGCATCTCTCTTGGACTGATGGAAGCAGCTCCTGTATCTGACTTTGCAATGCGATGAAGCAGCAGGGGCGTCCTCCTCAACTCCCACTGGGCTTCACAGGTACCATAAGGGGCTATGTAAAAAGGCAAGTAGATGCGCGGAACAGATATCAGGAATGGACACGAGGGGATCTGGGTGAGTGGGTGTTGTTGACCTGGCAGTCGGCGCCCTGCTGGCAGTAGGGCCCGTGCATGCATGCGGACAGGGACGCCTCATAGACGTCCCCCCAGCCCTCCTCAGCCTCCTCCTGACTAATCCGCGCATACTTCATGAACAGCTCGTCCGCCTGTCACAATACCAGCACCCACCCATCATACATTTCCTCCACTCTAGAAAATGGCTCTGCAAGACAGTGACGAAGGTGCCGCCACACTCTGCCGGCACAAAAACACCAACTGTCGCCACGCTGCACAACCAGTTTGCTTTATCTTACAAGTGAATTACATGCAGGAGGACTTTTTGACAGCAACTCTGCAGATGCTCACGCATTTCAAACCACATGTAGAAAACACAAGGGGCGTGCCTCCATGTCGAAGAAGGATTCTCCCGTGTTGGGGCGCAGGATGGAGAAGTAGTTGGCAGCGGCCGGCTTCTGCAGCGCCAGCAGCGTCATGTTGCGCCCAAACATCGGGTGACGGCTGCGCATGAACCCCGACCTGCGCACACAGTTGCAAAATTGTTTTCTCGCCCACCTCTTCTGTTTGACGATGCAGAATATGCCAGGATGACACTTTCGGGGGCCCTCCTCTGCATGGAAATGTAATTTACCTGGCTTTCGTACATTTACGCTCTTCTAGACTCGCATGGTGCCGCAAGCTTTTCTACCACAATTACCAGCTCTAGATAGAGAATGTGCAAGGCAGCAGCACCACCCTGCCCGTCCTATAAGCAGCTCTATATACATCCCTTGGCACCAGTTGTTCAGGGCTCTGTGTTTCAGATGAAGACAGTGCGAGGAAAGTACCTGTCGCCATCCTTGCGCTCGTGCTCCAGCCGGCGGCAGGCGGCCTCGAAGGAGAGGCCCCGGTCGATCGTTAGGTCGTGGCGCAACGTGCGCAGGCCTCTGTAAGGGTCCACCCACAGCGTCTGCAAATTCCAGACAACACATCCTTAAAACATGCCTCTTTAGGAGCCAATTAGACTGAAAAGTGGACACCAGGAATCCTAGGTGCCACAACAGGCTGGCCGAACAACACGGCCATGCAGATGAACTCCCTAGGATCTGTGGTTAGTCCGCCCAACACTGAGGTTGTGCTCGCCAAAGGTGGGGCACCAGGATATGGCCTGCCAAATTCGAATATGACCACCATGATGAGGCTGGGAAGCTCGAAAAAACAACCAAATCAAATATTCATGAACGATCATGATGTACCTGATAAAGGAACGTCCACGTACGGCACCAATTATGATGTCAAAAATGGCGTCTTCTGGTATGTGAGGCCCCAAACATGATGTTGCACGCTGCAACATGATGAGCATCTTCCTCACCTCCGGCTCCACCTTGGAGACATGGGAGCCGCCCAGGTCAGAGACCCCCTCAAAGTAGCGCCCCTCGGCCTTGGCAGCGCGGATCTCGGCGGCCAGCGTGCACGTGAAGTAGGTGAACAGCAGATTCTGGCGCGCCACCGGCAGGCTCAACAGCCTGTTCAGAAACCGCCTGTACATCCAGATTGTTATTAGTATCATTACACTCCAGCAGCCTGTTCAGGAACCGCCTGCATATTCAGATTGTTATTAGTATTGTTTCGCCCCAACAGCCGGTCGAGAAACCGCCTGCGTACCCAAACTATTGTCTGACCCCATCAGAATCATTAAATCAGCAGTGCTCATGTCATTTTGCATTGTATTATACGCAAATCCTGTCAGAGGCAAGTTGTGTTGCTAAATAGCTCAAAGAGTTTGCTGCATGGCTCCTTGCTTTGGACCTCAAAAATGCATCAGTGTCTCTGTGCTGATGTGCTTTGCACGTGCTCAGTCAGAGCCAGTATCTTTATCTCATTCCTTATATGATCTATTTTCCCTCCTGAGTTGCTTTGCAGAGTTCCAGTCTCCCGTTGCTGACACAGAAAATCCTGCCTCATTGCCATCCAGAACTACTCACTCTGGCACACAAAAATCCGTTTTTAAACCAAACAGGAAGTGTGGCGCCTAATGCTTAAATAAAGTGAAAGTCACACCTGACATCTCCAAGGTCTTTGATGATTGTGGCGCCCTGGGTCACGGCGGTGCCGCCCTCTTCAGCAACATTGTCATTCCTCTGCATATTGACGCCCACGCCCATGCACTCCACGCAGACGCGCAGCCGCTTGTGCAGCGTTTGCACTGCACCAGGAAACATGTTATTCCAACAGCAATACGATCTAATTTTAGCCCAACAGTACGATTTCCCTCTTCTAACTGCTGCTCTGCCCCACTTAACCACTCATATGCATGGTCCTGCATCAAAACCAGGCATACCATCCTCCAATCAAGCGCCAAAGACCAGACTAAGAAACATTCAAAAACAGGCCTCTGCCTCATCGCGCTACTTGACTAAACGAAGAGACATCTATGCAATTCATCAAATATTAAATAGGGTTCCTAAATGTGACATCCAGACGTCCCACGTCCCCAAGCACAGAAGTGTACAATGCATGCACTGCAACGCACCATGTTCCAACGAATTGGTTCACGTAGCCTTGCATTGCAGCAACTGTACACCAGTAGAAAGGGATGTGAGGCAGATCAAGACATTCTATTTGGACTCTTAAATAATATTCTACATATTTGTGTAAGCATGCACCTGCAGCGACGAGTGCAGCCGCGCTGATGCGCTGCCCAGGCTCGGGCATGGATGCCAGAACCTCCTTGACCTCGGACTCGGCCGCGCCTTCCAGCACCTCCGGCAGATTCACTCCGTTGGGCAGCAGCGGCGACTCCACCACGATGCAGTCGTACATCTTCCTGCGCGCATATGAGCCTCCACCTTTATTTCTGAGGCTATCTGAGAGGCTGTGTGGCTAAGTGGCCATGATGTTTATCTGATTGTGTCAATGATCTGCAGAGTGCTGCAGATTCTGGATAGAATACCAGTGGTCTCAGACCCATTGCATTTGGGTAATCTAATTGAATGCGGCCATAGCATCTCGAGCTGAGCCCGCCCTTCCCCAAAGGCCCGTTCAGCGACCAGCCAAAGCTGAGGCCTCCTCGAACCAAGGAAGAAGATCAGTAGGAAAGATAAAGCATATTCAGCCCTGGCGCACCTGAGCGACTTGCGGCCGAGGGGGCTGTCGAAGTTGCTCTCGGAGAGGTCCACGCCGGAAGCCGCGCGGCGGTCGCCCCGGGTGAGCGCCCCGAGCGACTGCAGCCGCCGCGCCACCGCCGCCGCAAAGCGCTGCTCCCCGCCCAGGTTAGTCATCACCAGCTTGTAGATGGGCGCGCACACCTGCAACCACACAAATTGCTCAGCTCGTGCAATGAGGTTTTTTTGTTGTTTGCACTGTAACAACACCTTTGAAACAGACCCTTTGTACTGAGTATTCTGCCGCTGGTAAGAATATACCTTTCACGTCTACACATTGCTCTATCTCGAGAGAGAGAGAGAGAAAAACCCGTATTGTTTACTCAGGCATATGATGTGCATCAGCAGCCAATTGGTCCACCCATCACAGCTCAAAATGAGCCTATAATGGTCCTACAAAAAGTCATTCTCGTCGGTTCAGTAGCTCTGCTGATGCAAAGATGACTGTGTCCCAGGCTGAAAAATGTGGAGAGGGTAATGACAAGCACCTGATCGCAGCGCTGGCTGCGGATGAGCTGTTCCCATCCTCACATGCGCAGTTGTGCTGATGCGCATGTGAACCTAGCAAGCAAGCTGAAGCAAGTGGGGAGGGTGCACAGATGGACGTGAGACAACCTGAAGTGTGCAACGAAGGTGACTGCACCTGGTTGGAGCGGTGGCTGCGGCCCAGCTGCTGGATGGCCTTGTCAGCGGACCAGGGGAGCTCGCAGGTGAAGTGCACGCGCCGCCGCTGGTTCGCCGCCTCCGCGCTCGCGTGCAGAGATATCCCCGTGCTGGCCGCGTCTGACACTATCGCCACCACCTTGTCCCCCTTCATGAACGCCGCTGCAGCCGATGACATGCCAACTCTGTCTGATGCTCTATTATTTTGAAATTGTTATTTGAACCCACACACCTTGCACACAAGGCACACGGTGTCAATGATTGCTTCTTATGGCAATACAGCCCCCTGTTTCGCTGCTCCCCTCCAAGAACATCCCTAAACAAGATGTGAGTGCAAGGCTTAATTTGAAGGCCCTATGGAAGGATATGTGGCAGTCGGCAGCATCCACCTGCCAGTCCTCTTGCCTCTGGCAGGGACAGCTTACAAATATACCAAAGAGACCAAGCCAGGCTTGTCTTAGCATCCCTGTCTGCCATGTCATATTGCAGATAGCAGGTTCATCTGGATCACAAGGCCCAGACGGATCAAGAAGACAGGAGCTGAGAGTCAAAAACGCACCGGCCTCCTTCACGTTGAGGCTGTCCATCTCGGAGGAGTCCGGCTTGGCGCGCAGCTGGAAGGTGCCGTGGCCGCGCGAGTCCCGCTCGACGCGGCCGCGCCGCCCGGTCATCTCGGCGACCTTTTTAGGCCCTCCAAGGGAGTCGATGAGCTGGTCCAGGAAGTTGGGCGGCAGCTTCAGGGCAGCTATCCGCTCCAGCAGCGCCACCTTCAGCTCGGCTGCCTCCTGCACCACCGGCTGCCGCTCCGGCTGCCCCGCCTGCGGCTGTATGCTGCCCTTGCCTGCATCGACGAATCTTACAATCATGCCTCCAAATACTTAGATGCGCAACAAAGAGGTAACAATATCATGCGGTCTGGGATTGGAATTATTTCCAAAGTCGCCCAACTGCTGGAAAATTTTGAAAATTTGAAAAAAGAAATCTCAGGGCCAGATACAGACGAGAAACTATTGGAAGGACTGGCCTTGGTCACTAGGATTGCATCCCTGCTAATGACATGCAGATGAGTGGTTTTACAAGATCACTGAAGCTTAGTAATTCCTGAAGAGTGGAAGGACAGATGCGCACCCCCCTTGGCGGTCTCTCGCAGGACAGGGAAGTGCGTCTCCACGAAGCGATGCAGCATTTCGCGCGTGGTGGATACCCACCCGCACGCCTGCACCCGCCAACATTCTTCTAATTAATTTTCCTATATTGGAGGATTGGGGTTAGGGATTTGGGCTAATTTTAGGCAAGGGTCCCTGCCGCAACTATTGCAAGGCAACCACTTCGAGGATTGCTTCAGAACAAAGGACAATCAAAGATCCGACAGGCATGCCTCCGGAAACAATCCCTCTGGACCCTTCGATCCAGATAAATTGAAACCCATGGTACACATAGGGTGTTGAGTTGAAATTGTATCTGTAAATGTCAAGGGGTATGGAAAGTGATGTCAGGGCACACCTGCCCAGGCTCCAGGCCCATCGCGTCAGCCGCCGCCTCGCCCGTAGTCTGCAGTCCAATCACCACTGCGCACCCTTCTGCCAGCGCCTTCTTGGCCTCCGGCACTACTGTCGGCACCTGCAGGCACATGCCGATTGTGTGTAACAGATGCTATGTGGTGTACCCCAAAAAGGAATGTCTCTGAAATTTTCAGAGACATTCCTTTTTTACCACTGGCAGGCTGCCTTCACTGGTATAACACTGCTTTATGCGAGTGCTATACAGAATTTTGGTATTCAAGAATGCGGCGCTTTGTGGGTTAAGTGGAACTATAGTTAATAGGTGACTGCAAGGCTCACGTACAAAGACAAAGAGAGCGCATGCCTTTATGGAGATGCAGAGCAGCTTGAAGAAGCGCTGCTGGGTGGCCCAGAAGGGCTTCCACACCTCCCTGTTCTGCACGCCGGTCAGCTCCAGCGCCTGAGAAAGATCCCAGCGCAAATCCTGCACCCGCCATAATCTCATTGACTTTGTACCGCCCGCTGTAACTACGTGTCAACCAAGCGCACCCCAGTAAACATGGCACAAGCAGAAGGAGGTAATAATTCTGACCTGCCAGAGCTTCACTGCCTCGTCATACTCCTGCTCCTGAGCCTCTGTAAGCGCGCACTGCAGCTCCATGAATTCAGCATTCCTACAAGAACAACATAGCAGCATCTTTCCCAGTGTGCGAAATTTCTTCACCATTGTTGAAGGATGAAACTCAGCTGCGGTCCGTCTCAGGATGCAAGGCAGGAGACAAGACACATGGTTATATGTAAAAAACCATGAAGGTGCATATTGGGGGAGGACAGCTCACATGAAGCTGAGCCCGCGGGCGACGTAGTAACCCTCGCTCTTGATCTCCATGGCCAGCATCTCTAGGAAGGACACCCCCCGCCGCTTCATGCTCTCCAGGAACGCCTGAAAATCCGCGAATGGCGATCCGGGACCCCACAAGCCCTGTGCATGTACACCCCCGACCCTTCATGCATGATCAAGTTGTGCATTACATGCCGTAGTATACCAGTGGCGCCAGTAGTCGCAATTGATACTCGAGAGGGCACCCAGTTGTGCTGCTGTCATAGGGAATCCCAGATATTTCCAACATCACCCACTCTTCATTTCTCTCCGATCCTTATATCACCAGGTGACTGAAACCTTCAAGCACCAACCTCCAACCTTCCACACTGAACATGTCGAATGCTGTGCAGCATTGAAGTGGCAATGTGAGGAGCTCTCCCTCACATTGCCGGCTGGAAAATTTGAAAGCAGCAGAGAAGCTCCTAGGCGAGGAGCCAGTTTAGAGCAGGGAGCCCACCAGGCGGGTCATGAAGGCCATGTTGCCAACCTCGCTGACGCCTGTAGCAGAGCAGTAGACTACCCGGGCTTTGGGCAGCTGGTTCTGTATGGCCTGCACCTCTGTTGCCACCTGTACCCAGCAAATCAGAGAGAAATTTAGCATCACTTCAAAGGCTAAAGCAGCTGCATTTAGCGAGCAGATTTGCGCATTGGCCGCAGGTAATTGAAATAGAACCTCACCTTGGTGCTCTGGGCTTCCTTTCCCGGCGTGAAGTTCTTGGCTTTGTGGCACTGCGCAGCATCAAAATACATTGCTGACTCCGTGAATGCTGGCTTGTATGATTTCAATGAATCAAGCGTGCACACAGGCACCAAAGAGAACTGGAGGGCTCTTACCTCATCAAAGATCAGGCACCCATCCCAGTCAGGCCCGCCCACCCAATCAATCACCTGCTGGAGCCTGCTCTTGCCATTTTTCCCCTTTGCTGGCTGCTGAATCAGCGTTGTATAGGTCCTGCATTGCACAATCCCCCAGTGAACCACACACCACGAACATGGTTTCATGCGCCAACAAAAATACCACCAGATGTTCTTGCAACCCCGAGAAGGATGATGACACATGTTTACGTACTACAACTGATGCAGCGTAGGTAGCAAAGATAGGAAGGAATAGCACACATAAAGAGGACGCCCTCCTGCATTTCCTTGGACAGGCCAAAGACTTTGGTCTCCCGGTCCAGCTCCTGGCAGTTGTTGATGATGTTGATGTGGCTGCCGAGCGCCCTCAGGTCTCTTGTGGCATCGTGGTGTAAATCCTGCAGCGGAGAACAGCGCTTCAAGGATATTCATTTTACGAGCATGACCAGCCACATACGAAGAATGCATGATTTGCATAAAAATCAGATCCCAAGATGCTATGGACATTGACATGACATCTACTGAAACCAAGGCTGCAGGAAAGCACACATGGACAAGGAGGTGGGGCTCACTGTGGAGGTTGAGAGCCACACAGCTCGCCGCCGGCCCCTGACATAGTTGTCCAGAATAATCCCAGCAATCTGTCTCCCCTTTCCCACGCCCGCCCCATCCCCAATGAAGAACCCAGCTCCTGCAGCCATTCAAAACCCATGATTCTGCATGACTTTTCTAAGTCTTCAAATCTTCCTTGTCTACATGCAGTAACGATGCATGAGCAGCACACTTTGCAAGCAAGAAGCATATGGTGAGCCAAAAGACATACGTTGGCCGCTGGGGAGCAGCTCTTGGTGTTTGGTGCAAGCATACAGCACGCCCTCCAATTGCAGCTGGCTGAGCTTTCCCTCATTCACAATGTCCTCTCTGAGGCTGTCAAACAGCGGGTAGGATGTGCTTGGCAGCGGTATGGAGCTGCAAGAAGAATAGCTTTATCTGACTTAATCAATGTGGCAGAGGGGCATGTGTTTACATCTGATGTAATGTATGTGAGAAACAGATGTGGACAGAGGGGGCAGAGGTCTTGCCTGAGGGATGCAGCCTCTGCAACCTCTCCAGGGTGAGGGATGCCCCTGTCAATTGTTCTGCATCCAAGGGGAAGCCATCAGTCCAAAGCAGATTTCAAGAAATTTGTCACAGGCCAGGAGGGATCCGGCACTTGCCTGCACACGTATGTGGAGAACACTTCCTTTGACAGTGCCTCAGAGACACTTTCGTCGCCACCGACTCCACTTTCATCCTCGTTTTCTGGCTTTGGCTTGTAAACCGCCTTGAGAGCCTCAAGGGCGCTTGCCATTGTCCCCTGCTGTATGCAGATAACCCTTATGACATCAAAGATCTTATTCGGAAGATACCTATGATCATTTCGCAGCAATTTAGGCAGCATGTATGGCAAGATCGGAAGCCCAATTACAGTGTTTAGCAACTGAAAAACACTGGCATGTTTACCTGCTCAAGACGTTGGCCTGTCGAATTTCGATATCATATCGTCACGACTTGACTGATCAAGGAAACACCAGCGTTATTTTATCTGTATAATTACCACCGCATTGAGGCAATTGCAGTCACACACCGAGTGGCAATTCTTCCATCAGTACACCTTTCAAAAGCAGTCTGAGAGCCCCCTGCCATCTGTACATTTCATGCATAAGTGCTGCGCGCTGATCTTGGATACCATAAGGATATCATCGGATGCTAGAAAGTTGTTGAATTCGTCTCCAAATCCTTGAAGGTCGCGCACGTGTTCCTTGACGACGTGGAAAGCATGCATTTCACGAAGCGCACAGTGAAGTTTTCCTCATTATCCCTGATTGCGAGGTCTGCATGTATGAATTAGAAGATAAATGCGACGACATATACTGAGTTGCATCGGAAGAATACAGTTTGCTCTTCAGCAATCGACAGCAATCCCAGCTCAGAGATCTGGAGTCCACCGTGTCCACCGGCAGATCGGGAGATCAGTTTCTGAACCAATTGATCCCATTAGAATGCGTCTCATTGGTGAGGTTCCCTTGTCGTAGTAGGCAAATACAATCGCATCGTGTTCTGCTTTCCTGTCGATGGATATGCTTGATCTGGGGCGAGCTGATCGCAGATATCGGGGCAAATCTGCTGGATCCCATGTACTCCGGCCAGTACAATGGCAAAGAATATCATGCATCAGACTTGCAAGCAGTCTTCAGGCGCAGCTACGCTGCTGGGGTTGAGAAAATCATTATTACAGCAGGAAGCCTGTCTGAAGCCAGAGCAGCATTGGAGTTGGCCAGGACAGACGGTAAGACTTCCGTTTTCCTGCGTTGTGTAATGCAAGCAGCAGTAGTGGTCTGTCAAGGGAAGGGTCATGATAGGTGTTCTTATGCCAGCGCTGTCTATGGACAGATGAGTGACAAGAATTCTCTGTGAAGCGCAGAGCGGTTGTTCTGCACTGTCGGGGTGCATCCAACGCGCTGTACAGAATTTGAAAGCTACAGCCAAGGCCCTGAAGCCTATCTTGAGGCCCTGCAACATCTTGCAATCGAGGGGTCTGCAGAGGGAAAGGTTGTGGCCATCGGGGAGTGTGGCCTAGACTATGATAGGTAAGAGATGACAACCCTTGCATCTGCTGTTACCATTCGAAATTCAGCACTCTTTCTATCGCGACAGGGGCACTGCAGTTATCTGCATGCACACATGCATAAATGAAGGGATGGTTGGTCCTTTCTGAGAAGTTTCTCCTACTGAGGAGCAAAATAACTGGATGGGATGGGTGCAGGCTGCAGTTCTGCGACAAGGCCACTCAGCTAAAATATTTCAGGGCCCAGTTTCAGCTCGCAGGCCTCACAAAGCTCCCAATGTTCCTGCACCTGCGCGCAGCCGCAGAGGACTTTTTGGAGGTCCTTCAGGAGCAGCACAGCAGCATGCCTGCTGGGGTCGTCCATTCCTTTGATGGCAGCGCTGCTGAGCTGCAAAGCCTCTTGAGTTTCCCCAGCGTCTACATAGGTAGACAGCTGCTTTGCTCTTACCCTGCTAAACGCAGATGTTTCTCAGATCTTCAGCATATATTTGCAAAGCTTTCCCAGTGCAGAGACACATGTGCAGTGTGTCCAAGGATATCCGTAAGCTACTGCAGAGGGGTGTCTTGATGTGGGATGTACTGTGATTGCTTGTGGGATATGCTGCAGGTGTGAATGGGTGTTCATTGAAGACAGAGGAGAACTTGGCAGTGGCGGCATCAATACCAGATGACAGGCTGATGTTGGAGACTGACTGCCCCTGGTGCGAGATCCGGCCATCACACGCCAGCAGGGCGCATGTCAAGACAGCGCTGCCGGCAAAAGACAAAAAGAAGCACGATGATGAATGCCTTGTCAAGGGCAGGAATGAGCCGTGCAATCTGGTCCAAGTGCTGGAAGCTGTCTCAGGTGGGGAGCATCCCTCGCTCATTGTTCAACCCATGTGCTGCAATGCCCCTTGTTGCTTTTTTACCCGCCAGAAAGAGCGGGATTGCCAGGCATTTTTAGTCAGTCTCTGTATTGCTCCTAAATTTGCTTTCACCAAATTTGAATTTCCGCTCGCTGGTGGTCTCTCACCCATTTGCTTTGTGTGGGGCAGGATTAAGAGGGGTGGATGCGGCTAAGCTTTCTGAGATTGTTTGGCGCACGACGTGCTCAGTGTTCTTTCCATCAAATACTCATTGACATGACTGCAGTGTGCTGTGGCTAATGCTTGAATGCCATTCAGTGAGCTCCGCGAGGAGTTGCATGCAGGCTTGATCAATGAGCCATTGTATGACGAGGAATGCTCGTGGCATTTGTATATATTCACACAGAATGGGATTATCGAGAGTATACATGTGCTCTGATTCTTCCAGAGCACTTGCTGATACCAGCATGACGTCATCACGTGACCTACCTGATTCTGAGTCGACTGACGCCAGTCTTGCTGTGAAGGCCACAGACGCCTTGCTCTGCTGGTCCATTGCGATCACGCAGGACGTTGTACTTACGCTGATGATCAATCGGCGCCACATCAAACCTAGGGGACATCAACATGTTACAGTCCATTCTGATGAGGAGCATGGAGAGAAAATGGTACCTTCCATGAGCTTCCCTATTCATCGCGATCCGGAGAACTTCTAATAGGACCGTAACCCACATAAGCTCTTTGCCATTGGCTGCCATTCTTGTCGTAATTGAATGGAGTTAAGTTCGTGAGAATATCACATCTCGATTACAGTTCTACCAGTGATCAACAATATTGTCAACATTAATGTCAATGCACTGAGTGTTGACAGCTGCACAAGCGAGTTAATGGTGTGTTTGTTGTGAGAGGAAACACTGGATTTCTTGTACGCATTGGATGCGAGGCGGCTAGATCGCGTATCTTGAAGCCATGACTCCTGAAAGACAGATCAGTACCAAGCATGTTGAGCTCCCAGGGACAGTTTGGGAAAGAATTGCGAGTGTCATGCCGCTGAAAGATTGGGCCAGGGCATCAGGAACTTGCAGGAACACAGCAAGGGTACAGTTAGAAACTGTCAACATTGTCACCCGCGACATCACACGCGCAGGCAAGCCCTTGAAAAATTTCAGAGCTTTTCACAGGCTTTGTGATCTTGCTGGGCATACACCACAGGTTGTCGATGCTTCTTGTGATTATTCTGTTCTTCCGGTCAGCCCCTGCTTCCTTATATGACAGTGTTACTGTTTTCACAGCCAAAACTGTCTGTGTGCAGGTGTGAGTTGGGCCAGCAAGAACTTAAGGAATGCTCAAGTTTTGCGCCTTCGAGCAGATGCTGCTCATGAGCTCGCGGATAATATCCTGCCAGACTGTCGTCATCTGGCAAAATTGCAGCAGCTTGAGATCTTTGTGAGGGATGCCGGACCAGCTTCGTCTGGCCTCTTGATGTGGCTCACCTGGCTGCTTGCTCGTGCAAGCCAGCTGAGCACACTGTCGCTTTACATGAGCAAGTTGCCATGGTTACCGCCTGTGACGCATCTGAAGCATCTTGTTCTGACATTTTCAATGGATTCAGAAAGAATCATCACTGCTTTGTCCAATGCCCGCGGTTTGGAGACCCTTTCTATCAAATACTTACAGAAAGGGGCAGAAGATGGGAGTGAAGAGCTTCCTATGGGAGAAGTTCCAGCCATTCATCTTGGGCGTCTTGTGCATTTGCACAGTTTAGCGCTGACATGCATCATGCCTGCAGCCTTAGAACTACCTCAGGGATGCAGTCTGTCCCTGTCAGGTCTGCAGCACCGACGTATGGCCAGTGAAAGTTGGGACCATGTGTTTGGCAGTTTGAAGGCTATCAGGCTTGACTGTACAGGCACCCGGTTGGCTTCTCCTATTTTTTTTGCTGATTGCCCCAACTTGACAAAAGTTTGCATTGTGGCTGACAAGATAGGCGCAGGAGGGTCCCCCCTGCCTTTGACTGGTCTCAACCATGTGAAAGTTCTCGTCATGGAGGGCTCAGAGATGTACATCTGCATGCCTTCCACTTTTGCGTGGGAATCTGCATACTTTTTCGGTTCATCCACTGTGTTCCTTGCATTTGACGACATTGATCTGTTTGCAAAGAACATTGCTCAGGCGTATTTTGTTGTGGGATATGACAGCGTGAAGGGAACTTGGTTGCCACGGCTATGTGCTGCCTTGGGGGATGAAGATATAGAGTGGGAGGTGTGTGGAGGTGAGGATGGTGTTCTACCTCAAATTCATTGTCCACGACAAGAGTATGACATCGATATTGCAAAGTGCTGGTGTGGAGCATGTCTAGATTGCTTGGCTGCGGCTGGGCTTGCTAATGCTGAATACATTTTATAAGGCCTCTAAATTCATGTTGTAATACAAAGCAAACAATTGAACATGTGGCTAAATACCTGGGTACTGCATGTGCCATCCACAGTGCTGCCCAGGGCACTGTGCGCACGCCTAGCAGAATCATCCTCTCACAGGCCTGCCCGGCAGGGCCTTCCTAGGTGTCGCTTCGGTGAATCAGCAATCCGCATGCTTAGCTCTGGAAATTATAAGAGCAGCGCAAATTGTGACTTTCACACCAATCTGCACTGCCCACGCAAGGCTGTTATGGCAGAGCGGGCACATTGTTTTAATATTTTTAGAGGTCGGCAAACCCAAAGCCAGAGGCCATAGGGCATATCCGCAGGGCGTCTGCAGCCACATCTGCGGGGCCTTCATTAGTCTGCAGCCTATCGCTCACTCATCGTATACATGCATGCACTGCCTGCCCCGGATGAGTACCCGTGCATATCCGGGGCCTCTGGCCTGGCCTGGCACAGCCACGAGCTAGCGGACAAAATTCACGGGAAACACAGCCGCTTATCCATTGCGCCTACTGAGCCGCCTGCATCAGTCACAATGCCAAATGAACCCTCAAGCAACTAGCGTATTTGCACAGGCGTTCATTTCTTTGATCAGAAAGCAGAGGACACAATGGACATGCTCAGTCATCATATCAGCTATGACATCGTGATCATGGAGTGAGCATCATTTATACATAAGAGGCTTACGTAAGAGGCTGCTTGAATGTCACTGAAAGCCGGCTGTTGAAAGCTTGCAAATGTCCGGTGCGTGGGGTCAAATCATAGCAATAATCTGTCCACTCAGTGGACTCCACTGCATGGCAACAGCGTTGCATGTACACGTCCTTCAGGCCAGGCCACAGGAGGCAATGGAAGGCGAGCCATCTGGGCAGGTCGGGCAGAGGGCAGGAACGGAACGACAGGAAGCACCTGCACTCCAACGCTTGCCAGAAGTTCTGGCCCTTTGTTCATTTCCTGTTGTACATTTCCTGAATACTGGAAAGCTTAGAATTTGTTTCCCTGATATACTGAAGCTTGCCTGGGACGCAAGCACTTTCCCTGGGCGTTGCAGGATCCAGGTTGCATTAGATTGACTTTGCCGAAAAGCTGAATATGAAGAAGGGTTGGGCAGACAAGTGGGCTGCTCAAAATAGGAAGAAAAGTCAAAGGGGGACATCCACTACTGCATCGACAGCATCTGGGCCACCGAGGATAGTGCTGCCGCTCAAAGATGCCTTGGACCCTGCAAATTCTCGTGGCCAAGATCTCAAGGGTAGACAATGTCGCTATCATGCATTAATTGCCAAAGTGCCTACATACACCTGGACGGACGTTCAGGATGCGATCTTTGCGGAATGACTGAAGCAGTGTCCTGCAGGTATAATCACGTTGGAATTTCGCAAGTATGTGTATTGTACGGGTCATCGCTCTGTGAGCACCCACATCGTGGCCTGTGATGGAGTGACAGAAGACCAACCCATGGGAGAGGACATCTTATACCAGGTACCGAGGTCTCGACATCTGCTTTGCACCTGTATGGTACTGTCATTGCAAAAGCTGATCTTGTCAGGGCACCAGTGTGGAGTCACAATGTGCAGTAGTCCAGGCTGGCTGTTAGCATTTCTCCAGGTATATGCATACAGTATCCCATGGTGAACTGATTCTGCAGTGCTTTTGAGCGCAGGCGGAAAATGATGGCGAGCCAATGTTTGGGATGCTGAGCCAGAACTTCCCTGAGGCAGCCAATGGACCGGTTGTTGGAACTGAGGAGATTGTGTTCAACCCAGCCAAGGCCTTCCCCGCGTCCCTTGAGCTGCTGATTGAGAAGGGCCTTCTGAGGGACACAGGTAACGCCTATCAGGTCACTGCATTGACAAACTACTGCCCTCAGTAATGTCAATTCAGGAATCCGTTGCGCAGGGCAGTAAAATGCAGCTTAAATGGCGCGGAACCAGTGCCTCTACACCAGCCGTTATTGACATGTTTGACCTGCAGTCTCATGCATCTAGAATGCCCGTCAGATAGTCTGATGGATTGCATTCAAATGACAGCTGTACTGGCTGCAAATGCAAGTGAGCATGATGGCTCGGGGTTGCGTGCAGGCAGGCGGGTGGACCAGGGCTTCTACAGGGGGCTCCCAGTTGTGACGGTGCAGTTTTGAGGCAGCTGCTCTGTGGCTGGGAGCTCCTAAAAAGAGGGATTTGAAATCTGCCAAATGCTGTCAGAGTCGAATTGTGGCTGTGATGGACCACATATTTAGGAAAAAGAGTTTGAGGACTCAACTTCAGTCAAGAATTTTGTCAGTTTGTCGAGGATTGTGGCCTTCGTCTTGCCACGAGCTTGAATTACTCACTTGGGATGCTTGTTTTAGGCGCGCTTGTGATTGTTTCTCTGAGGAAAATACTTAGTGATGCTGTGTGTGTTTGTGTATGTAAGGCGGCAGTGCACCAGCTGGGCACTCCTTAGGGTGCAGCACCTCATGGCCTTCTTAGGATTTTTTTTTGAAAACTTGGCCAATGGGATTTATATTGTACCATTGATTCTGGACCTTTGCCCTGTATGGGTCCTTTTTGGTTATAACTATGCATTCGCTGCAGCTGTCATGTGCTTTTGTATTTTATGAAGTTGCAATGCCAATTACCTGTTTGCAGAGACTCGGGAGTGTCGTTTATGTATCAAGGTCTTGGCCGTGGATTGGCCATGCCTTTGACGGAGATTTGGTTGTACATGCGGCCTGTAATGGCCAGGAACGGCATGCAACAACATGGTGTCCACACGGGAGTCTGACAATAAGTTACAGGGAGAGCATGATTGAGGATTTGTGATCCTACCAATACCTGCTAGCGTGTTGCAGCATGTTTGAGCTGCTGACCGCATACTATGTATTTGCTAAGGTTAAGATCGAGATCGGGCGTCCCGGCCCCTATCCGGCATGTTTATAAGTATTTGCCACACGGCATTTCTTGGGCTTTACACGGTGTAATCTAACATATTCCGGATAAGAATGGACGACATGCATGACCCTCAAGCATTGTCTTGCATGCAAGCCTGATCAAGCCTGCTTTGGTGACGTGCTCTTCAAGCATGCAAATTCTGCGCGATCCCCAATCTGCGTTCCTAATTGCATCTGCAAAACCAAATCGTGATAGATCTTGAAACTTTGCATTGGGATGAGGTGGTGCCAGCAGCTGTGAAGGTCTTTTTGAAACAACCACCATCCAATTACACCGAACGCATTTATCCCAACCCACACTTACTCCACACCCACGTCCCTGCGTCCTCGGATGCACTGGTAGATAAGGAGTATAGGACCCTGGATTGGGAACTGAGGGCAGGAAAGCTGGTCTAATGGCCGCTGCACCCGATCTTGCAGCCTTCCAGGAGGATTCATTTGAACCCAAGAACTGGATAAATGCTGCTTGCGACAATAAACCATCAGAGGAGTCCCTGGAGAGGTTTGCGCGCACCGCCTTTTTACCAGCAATCGTCCGAGTCAAAACCGATGCAGCAATACATCAAGATTATTGATTGCCTTTTGCTCTTGTATCTTGTGCAATTTTGGGCCATCCGCAGTATGAATGAGCACTTCATATAGTATAAAAGCTGAGAAAAGAAGCTCTTCAGAACACCAAGGCCCTCCTAAATATTTACTGCAAGCCTGCCTGCACATCCCAGGTTTCTGACAGACCTGGAACTGCGCCTGCACTTGGCCGCTGAGGACATTGATGCCGCTCTGGAGATTGACAGCACTCGCGCATTGCAGCGCATTCCTGCAGCAGTCCAGGAGGTCTCCCATGTGAGGGTGGGTTGCCACCCATTGCTCTTGTGCTTCTTGACTCTTCCATGTTTAATATTTCTTGCTGGTGAATAATCCCTCCTGCTGCTGCACCTTTCACCCGCAGTAGTCAGAGACCTTGCATGCCGACCGTGCATGCCGAACCATGGAAATCTAGGAAAGCAGTAACTTGACCAGATTTGCCGACACAATGGGACAATTATGGAGCAAGTCAGCAAGTTGATGACTTCGGGCCTAGAATACTTGTACAGAGAGATTTCTGAGGCAGTGAGAAGGCGGGACCGTGACTTGCATGCTTACACGCGCGCGTATTCATGGGCAGGGAGATGTGACGGGCCTGAAGGCGGATGTGAGCCGGGGCCTGGGCACTGTCAGTGCAGCGGCCAGCGCGGCGACCGGCAATGTGGCGCTGATCGTAGAGCTGGAACGTGTGAAGAACCGCATGGAAGCCGCATGTTCCACCCTCAAGGTGCGCTCATTGATGCGCATTAGCGCCGATGCGCATTAGCGCCCACGCGCAGGACTGCACATTTGAGCTGATAGCCAGGCAGTGGAGCACCGTGAAGCAGAGAACTTTATTGGGACTAGTAGATCAATGGCCTGAGTGCCCAATGATCTTGCCGAGAAAAGCTCTGAAGGCCGATTGTTTTGCTTGAAAAGATGCATTGAAGCACCCGTTTTCCAAATTCTTTGTCCCTGATGCCAGGTCTGTAAACCCCAGCTGGCCGCTCCACGGCAGACATGACCGTGTGCCATTGAGCTCCTGTTCAGCATCGACTCCGAGGATTTGGTACTCCATACGTGCAATGATAACCCTGCTTTTGGCATGAGCATAGCAAGCATTTCATATCATCGGGGCAGAATTGTTGAACCGTCTTGTGTGGTGCATGCAACAGGAGGCGACAGAGCTGAGCGCGCATTTTACGCAAGTGGAGGCGGTGTTTGCCGAGGGCGATCTGCAGCGCATAGCAGCCACACTGGCCAGCATCCGTCAGGGACTGGCGCTTGTGGGGGACGTCCCCGAGTTCAAAGGCGGCGCCGCTCGGCTTCAGGTGTGCGCTGCGCTCATATTTACATCACAGTAATGACCATATGAGTGGGCTATGAGCTCGCAGATATTGCACCTATGTGCCAGTGCCAGCTGGGAGAAGCAGCTCTGGATGTAAGAGATTTACTTCAGACCTTGCGGCATGGGGGCTTCACAACGGTGCCCCCACGCCGCCATATATGGTGGGATTCTCGTATATCTCTTACCAATTTGATAGAACGTCCTGGACGGTGCTTACTGCGATTCAATTTGGCAATGTGTGTATTTCCAGGTGCGGTGTTGTCCCTCGATATGCTGGTGCAGGGGCTGTCAATTTGATGTCACTCACTTTTCAGTACTGCATTGCACCGGAGGCTTGTAATATTTAGTACACCTATGCCTGCTGCAGAGGTTCACTTCTGAGATCTCTGTCTCTCTCTTTCTGCAGGCATTGGAGGAGCGGTTCCACCAGAACATAGAGCCGGCAGTGAGCAGCGCGCTGGCCGCCCGCCAGGCCGATCGGGTGGCCAACCTGGCAGCTCTCATGAGCAGCCTGGGCCGCGAGTCAGAGCTGGAGGGCCTCTACGTGGCTGCGCGCATGCCCATGCTGCAGGTGACGCGCGCAAATTTGCAGACTCTGCGCATACTGTATAAAAGCTAATTGGCTGGAAGACCTCCTATAGGAGGACCTGTTGCCCTCCAGGACTTGCAGATGCAGTAAATTTGAGGATGGTAGAGTACTCATCTTGCTTGGGAGCTGTTGGATGAAGAGACTCGTTGAAATCGCAGGATGCAGAAGGATGGATTCTTCTGTTTTGGGATCAGGTAGTGATCAACGTTGGTCGTTGTGCAGGGGCTGTGGGATGGGTTCGAGGGCAGGGGCTTCGCCTCCTGGCTGCCAAGCTTCTATGAGGGGGTGGCGAGCGCTGTGGGCACAGAATCGAAGTGGTGCTCCATGGCCCTACCGGACCTGCACCCGCGTCTGCTGCTCTCCCTACTGTCTGCTCTCTTCTCCAGGATCAACAAACCTTTTCGAACACGCCTGGCGTCGGCCCTTGTGCAAGGTAATCACGCTCATAGACAAGATAGACAAAGAAAGGAAGACTGTGCAGACTCAGTAACAAAGTCAGTAACGTGCATACAAAGGAACCAGAGTCGGCCGATGGTGGGTTCGATCGGCCCTGTTACGTTGTAGAGATGATCAATTCTCAATTGCCAATGCGTTCACTATTCTATGAGCCAATCTATCTACCTTTAAAAGCACGCATTTGTCTCCTCAAAGGCACCGCAGGGCATGAAACTGGCGCAGCGAGAAGATTCATGTCAGAATGTAGGGACATAGCCCTCGGAAAATGAGAGAGGGTCGTGGATATCATGAGTGCTTTCGTAGCTCAGTGGTAGAGCGTGCGTTTCGTAAGCGCAAGGTCCCGTGTTCAATCCACGGCGGAAGCACTGATTTTTTCCGCCCTTTTTCTCTTTTTCTTTTTGCATGGGAAATTGTGAAGCAATCTAGGGAGCTTAGTAGACAAAAACCTCTGTTTTGAAACCTGCAGGCGGCGACAAGGGCGGGGATGTTGTCATGCTTCTAGCAAGCATGCTTGAAGCAGCGCACTCATTTGTCGAGGGACTGGCGCAGACTATGGGGCAGGAGGGGGCAACCGGCATCGGCTCCCTCCCTACCACGGTCTATGCGCCATTCCATGCCCAGCTAGACAGGTACTTTGCCCTTCCTTTGTTTTTCTTAACTCCTCTTTGGGATGAATGTTGGGAGCTCTTCACATCGACAGCGTGATCAAGTATCTGCCGCCTGCTGCACCCCTTCTCTGCGCGCACATCATAAAGATTGGGATTAGCTGCTGCGCTTTCATCACGCAATGCATCAACAGGTATGGCGAGCTGGAGGCAGTCAGCCTGGGGCAGGACCTAGCGGCCCCACAAATTCCGAGCGCGACCGACGACGCCGAAGCGGCCGTGGCCGCAATCGGCGCGGCGGCTGCGGCGGCCGAGGCGGCGGTGGCGGCGGCTGTGGAGCGGTGCCGCGCGGCCACCGGCCTGGCCGGCATTCCCGAGCTGCAGCTCGTCGCCGACGAGGAGCTCGCGCAGTTTGTCAGCCGCCTCCAGGTAACCATCTTGAGTAATTTGAGCACTATGTGCCGCTACCGGATGACTTTCTCAGAAGCCAGGAAGACAGAGTCTGTGAATAGAACAGGTCATGATGGGCCTGAAAACAATTGCTCTGTTTGCAAAGCTCAAGGCATCTGAATTTCTGGCGAGATGGCACTGTTTGCGTGATGACTGGCCTTGAGGCAAGACCTGAAAAAGAGCCTCTCAGCAATGGCTAACCCCTGTATGTTGCCGGCCATGTTGCCCCGCGATGCTTCTTCATGCCTTGTGAAGTGAGCGGGTTCTCAACGACACCCGCCTGACGCTTTCATCCTTTTTGTTCAGGCGGTCCTACTGGAGTTGCGCAAGCACCACCTGCCGGCCGGCGGCGCAGCGGTGACATCATCAGATGACAGCACAGCAGTTCTGCAGCTGCTGGGCGCAGCCGCCAACCTGGTGTCCAAGCTGGCGGCCTGTGAGGGCCAGCTACGGGCGGCACTCTCTGACCTCAGCAGGCTGATTAGCTCGGTGGATGCCGGCAAGCAGGCGCTGGACCCTGTCACGCTGCGCCTGCTGGATTCAGAGGTAACGAATCCATTCTCCCTCAACGGGGCGAGATGGTTTATCTTTCTCTCCTGTTGCTTGCCAGCCATGAATTTTTCCCTATGCATGCAGCATATGGCCTTGAAACCGTATCTGAAGTGTCCCGTACGTTTCTGGGAAGTGCGCAATTTCTCTGCGCCGTTTCCATGATTCATGATGGCAACAAAGGCCAGCAGCGTTGGCTGCAAATTTGCCATTCCATTTGCGAAGCTGTGGTGATTGCATGTGAGAATAGAAAGAGTGCAAAGCTGAGCGTCTGGTCTGGTGCGTGCAGGGGCGGATGCTGCAGCAGCTGCAGTCCCATCTAGCGGCTGCGGTGCTGGAGGACTACATGGCGCTGCCGTCCGCGGCCGCCCGCTGCGCCGCATTTCAGGAGACCGCTCAGGCGCTTGTGTATGACGTGCTCATGCTCAAGGCGCGCTCATTCTCCTGTCTCTAGCTGATGCACTTCTCTACTACCTTTGCTCTTTGCCCAAGTAGACCTACAGGCAGGCCCGGTGAAAAGCATGCAGTAGGCTCACTATTTTTATTTGGAAGTACTGATCAACGCTGTAAAGGATCATTAGAAAAGTTGTGCCAGCATTGTTCCTGATTTTTGGAATCAGAGATACATTTTAATGGCCTGTCAAGAGCCATTGCTGCCTGATGTGCGGTAGAATGATGCCAAATAAAACAACAGTGAAAGAACAAATGAATGCGCAGGTGCTGGGGTCTCTGGAGGGCCTGGGTGCGCAGCCGGTGTGGGGGGCACGGGGGGGCGAGGGTGGCGGAGCGGGGGGCGGAGCGGGGGGACCGCTGCCGGCGTTCAGCGCGTACCCGCAGCAGGCGGTGACGGCGGCTGGCGAGTACCTGATGATGCTGCCGCAGACTCTGGAAGGGCTCCTCGGCGGCGACAGCGAAGCCGAGGAGGAAGCAGTCGACGCAGAGTGGCTCGACAGGGTGCGCTGGCAGCTCACCCCACAGGAAACATGCAAAGACTGCAAATTGACGCAGCAAGTGAAGTTTGAGTTTGATGTTAGCCATTTTCAGTGTGAGCGAGGCTGCGCAGACTTGTGTCCAGGACTGAACTGGGCGCTTGTGCAAGTATGGAATTTGCAAGCTGTGCAGAGAGCCCCCCCCTTTTCTTCACATGCAGCGGGTTGCAGTAGCAGCAGTCAGCGGGTTGCTGCACTTCAACAGTTCAATGAAGTTGCAAAAGGAAATGGTTGCTTTTCATGCCAGGATGTCCCTTGCGCACATCCAAGTGCTTGACATCACATTACTGGATGCGCAGGTGGCGGCAGGTGCCGCAGAGCTGTACGTGAGGGAGCTGGCGAAGATCGCAGCACTGAGCGAGTCGGGTGCCGCCCAGCTGGCGGCTGACCTGGACTACTTCTGCAACGTGCTGGCTGCGCTCGGTGTTGCTGTGCCCCTGCAGCTCGTCACCTGGCAGGTAAAGCTCTCTCCTTTCATCGGTAAAATGATGGAAAGGATTTATATTGTTTTTTCCTCATGCTGGGTGTGTTGGTGGATATCATTTTATCCTGAGTGTTTTGGTGGCTCCGATGGCAACACTGCTGCATCCAGAGTCAATGCTACATGCTCTGCATTATTTCATGCTAGGGTCCTACCCAATTACTGTATGCCCATTTGCAGAGAGGAACTGATGTCTAGTGGCACATTGTTCAGTGTGCAGAGGCTGCCTTTCTGGTGTCAAAAGAATGTCAGAATGGCATGCCGTGACATGTTGATATATTGGCAGGTGGCTGTTGGGTGGGAGGCAGCAGACTTCACAGCTTCTGCAGCAGCGGCGCTGGATGATCTGATGGTGGACAGAGCCACACTGGAGCTCGTGGCAGCTGCAAGGGGCCTGCAAATGCCTTAGAGACCAGACTTGGTACTCCTGGGACCTGCGAAGCCTGTATCCTTGCATGGGCATTGCTTTAATTGGTGCCACAGGCCAAGTCTGATGGTCAGCATCATGTGATGCACATCGACGTAACAATTAAATATTTATTAGGAGCTCCACCAAACTCTGCAGTGGGTTTATGTCTCAAGCAAGCTTGTCTCTGTATCAAAATCAACTGCACCTTGTGCGCATGAAGGCTACAAGGTGCCCAAAGCATCTACGGTTTTCTAATTCAACTACCCGACGCATTTACCCCCAACATACCCGTCTAATCCTAGGAAATTTGCAATGAAAGCAGTAGCCTGCAGTGTTCCAATCACGTGTACCGCGTGATGTCTGCCCCGCAGTTGCCAATACCCTTGAACTTGTTCTGGTAGAAGTACGCAGGCAGCGCCACAAATATCAGGAGTGTCACCACAGCTCCCACAATTGGAGTCCATGCCTCCCACCTGCATGCAACAAAACTAGCGTCAAACTATTGTTATTATTATTATTATTATTACTATTATTACTATTATTATTATTATTATTATACAGTTGTTCCAGCCCTCAGGGCTAGGTGCGTGGCCGCAACCTCTCAATTATTCCTCTCCAGCCTTCCCTGTCTTGTCACTTTCTCCACCAATGGCATGTCAGTCCAATGGAGTCCAGGTCATCCGTAATACAATCACTCCAGGATTTGACAGGCTTATCCCTGACCCTTCTATAGTTCAAAGCTGCTCAAACTACTATCATTATTATTACATGCATATGCTTTTCCTGCCGAAGGTGCTTCTGCAGACAAACTGCATGTGAAGGCTGCCAAATTCCTACCCCTTGTTGGACTCGCCAGATCCAAGCAAGACTAAAATCCAAAATAAATATACATTTTTGGCCAAAATTGGTTGTAATGCCCTATCTCACAAAATATTAACCCTATGATGATTTGAGACCAGAGATTGTCACTCTTCAGAAGTGACATTTTCTTTGACATCTGAGAATTTTGGCCCCTTGCATGCTGCACTAAAGAGTCCTGCATGAGGAAAGCCTCGACCAATGCATCTCACCAGCAGCTTATGCACAGCTCATGCCAAGACAAAGCAAGGAATTTGGTTGGACATTTGCCGTGCCACGGGCAGACCATGCAAAGTTTGTCTGCTCAAAACTTTAAAATCCTGTTTACATGACAAGAGATCGCACCTTTCAGACTTGAGGTGCGGCAAGAAGAGAAGTGCTGGGAAGAGGCCGCTCAGAAAGCCGCCCACGTGGGACAGGTGGGACGTCCCGACAGGAGAGGTGACCACCGTGACTATGAAGTAGATCAGGAACGCTATCATCATCACACTCCGGATGATGGGCCTGCACCAGCAAATTATCCCAATGTAATTTATACCCAGAAAGCTTCCTTCTTTCTTACTCTTGTGGTACAGGGTACCATACACGGGAATCTGCTCTGCTGTTCAAAGATCCAGTGAAATGTCAGTGCCGTCTTTAAAAGTATCCTCACGTGGAGTGTCTTGTGCCAGGCAGACAAAACACTGCATCTTCTGAAATTCACACCACAATAGTCGGACAGGCAGCATGTTGTCTTGTGCACTTGAATGAAGGCAAAAAGGTGCATTACAGAGCTGCAGGGCTGCGCACCGTTTGATGGTTGAGAAGTTGACGATCATGTCGGCGATGAAGAGGCCGACCATTCCAAACACGCCGCCACTCGCGCCCACCAGCGCCAGACAGGTGTCCTCAAACGCAGCGCTGAAGAAATTGCCTGCAGCGCTTAATCACAGTCAAGTCATCTTTATGCAGGGTTCTGATGCTGGACAGAAAAGATACCTGGACTGCAGTGCCCCTCCAGAAGGTCATCTGCATTGGAGAGAATGCAATTGGAGCTCTTGCCTAGCTTAGTATGCAGGAACGTGAACAATGGTGTGATTTACTTCCAGTGCCTCCTGATGTTGCTGTGGATCCTATCAGAACGCCGTTGCCATGGCATGTATGAAGCACCGCAGTGGGTCTGTCTCATTTGACTGCTGCAAGGGAAGGCATAAGGCTCAGCATTTGAAAACCATTGCAATGTCATAAAAGCGCACCTCCAACTGCAGCGAAGAGCCACACAATCAATATCCTGCCGGACCCATACTTCTCCTCCATCTGCAACCACAGACAAAAAGTTCAATTTAGAACAATCATGCCCGCATTGAATGGGCAAACCATGGCAGCACACAGATTGCAATACCCTCCTCATGGAAAGCTGGCAAGGCCTGTTCAGAAGTCAAACAATGCAATACACAGCGTCCTTATGCTATTCTCGGAATTCACTTGCACTTGCCCTTCTCAAATAGGTCAGATTTGCTTCACATGCACTTGGCTGTCGCAATCGAATTTGAATTGGAGCCAAATTCCACCTGGCAGGCGATGACGAGGAAGAGGAGCATGTTGGACAGGACGTGCGTGAAGCTCTGGTGCAGGAACCAGGAGGTGAACCAGCGGTACGGCTGCGCGCGCATGAGGGGGCCCCACCGAGCGCCCCACACTATCAGAAAATCCCCGCCCAGCAGCCACGGCTCCCCATCATAGCACCAGGGCACCGCCTGCGTGGAATGTTAGCACCATTTTTTGATTTTAATTAGTTTAATTTCTTTGCATTTCTTTGTCAAATACATTTGAACCTGTGCTCTGTAGTGACCACCTTGCTTGCATGTCACACCCTGCCAGCTGTGATCGAGGTTCAGAGGCCTCCTGCTCATTGCACTGCGAAGCTAGTTGTGGGGCACTTGTCGCTGCAGCGTAGGGATCTTTCTCATGCCAAAGCACAGGATAGAACTGGAGCCTCATGCAAATTAAATAAGGAGATGCGAATGGTGTCAGTCTCTGACTGCCATAGGACCTCTGCGCCTCAAGCGTCTCCCAAGAAGAATTTAAACTGTGCTAATGTCTGCATGTTGTGACCATGATAGGCAATGCTTCCAGGAAAGAGAGTGCACCTGGTTGAACCAGTGCAGCATCTGGGAGGACCCATAGCCCATGGGTGTCTTGGTGATGGTTTTGAGGCAGGCGTCTCGTGTGGTAGAGGGAAACTGGACGGCCTCATAGTAGGCAAATTCGCCGATCATGTAGAAGAAGACTGCAAAGATGATGAAGGTCCAGGCGCTTGTAAAGAACAGCCTGTGCTGGCCCAGCTTGGCTGGAGTAAACAGCGCAAATATCCGCTCCCCTGTGTGCATGGCATGATGTCAGCGCTGCACAGTTTGCAAAGGGCGGCTTTTTCTCGGTGACTCCAATACGATTATGAGCGCAAGTCAGGTTTGACTTCTAATTGCCTGACTTTTTAGTCACTAATGTCTGAATAATGCCTGACTGGCATATTTAAAAGAAGGCATGAATGAGCCTGCTTCAAGGAAGCTTCATCGTCAACACTGCCTACCATGCATGTGTGCATTTGAAATTTTATCTTATATTCCATATGGCTAAACGTTGTTCCTGTCAGAGGCAAAGTGGGTCCGCAGATGAGCTGTAGGTAAAGACTGCCTAAATTCCTTCCCTTGATGGGCTCCGTTGATCCAGGAAGACCCAATCGACCTTACATTGGGCCTCAAGTGCAACAGGTGTGTGGAGTGTCAAGGGTTGGGAATTCAGTGTAGGCGGAGGCTGAACCTGTGATGAAGAGCTCGTTCATAAAATTTTCCACGAGTGAGTCCAGTCGTGACAGCCGCCGGCGCTCAAGCGCATCCAGAATAGCTGCCTTCTGCGGGTGCCCCTCCAGCTTCATCGCCAGACCCACTGTCGCCGCAAACCTGCCAGTGTACAGCATAAGTATTTATCTTGTCACTTCATCAGTGCTTTTTTACTCATCCCCTTGTGATACAGGTGAGATGCATCTGGAGGAAGCAGCCCCATGATTGCTGCTTACCATTGCACTCCTTGCTGGCCTTGCCACATGCCAGCAGACTCGTTAAAATTTTTGTGAGCGGCAGCTGAGGATGCCAACCCAGAATGTGGCAACAGGAGGAGGAAACATGAGGATGCATGTGTTCACAAAGGTGATGAGTATTGGTAGCCTCAGAGAAAGAAGCTGGCGGGATGTTTAAGGCACCTGTCAGCCGGGGGCGCGGAGCGATCAGAGAGGGTGCCCAAATCGCGCACCATGGCTGCGCTGTTTATGAGCGTCCCCGTCGCGCCCTGCCACCTGTCAGGCATGCACAGTCAGGCAGTCAGAGCACTACTCGCGAAAAAAGAAACACCCGATTGTCTGCAAAATCTTTATACAAGTCTTCACTAGCGGGTCTTCCCAATAGCTGCCTGTTCTGTGGAGCATCGCATATCGACGATAACAAGCCAGCAGTGAATACAGTAAAAGAAAGAAGCAAAAGACACATCCCGACCTCCTGAGCCCTGTGGCTTGTGCAGATGCGCTGCACACATGCAAGCCAGCCCAGAATCAGCATAAATCACTGTTTCAGCTGTTGTCTCACCTCTGCACAATGGTGCTTCGGTACTCCTCCCAGTAAGCATCATCCCCTTCATACTCATACTGCCCCCCATCCTCATACTCCTGCATCGAATCGCCCGCGGCCGCATCCGCATGCACATCGTAGGCACCCCCGGATTCCAGGTCGGCCGGCGGCGTCAGCTGCGCGCTGCCGACCATCGAGCTGCGCCGGTGCGCGATGTATGCGCGATGTGCCTCCAGTGGCTTCTCGGCTGTGATGAGTGACGCGTAGTGAGTCACCCTCTCGCCGAGCCTGCGTGTGTGGCCACAGGTCAGAGGAGTCTGAGTGGGTATTTAAAGGTAGTTCTGTGTGCTCCTTGGAAGGCATCTTATTGACGCAGGTGAGAGTCAAAGCAGAGGCTCCTTCTGAGTGGTGTGCAGCTTGCTTAGCTGGAAGGAGCAGAGCAATGTACGGAAGGAGAAAGAGCTGCTCTAACTTAGGCTTCTTGCAGATTCCGGAGTTCTTGCAAGGACTACTTCAAAAGATAAAATGTCTGCGCATAGGAAGGGCTGGAGCGCACATAGCTAAGGAGGCCCTCCTCACGGCCTGGGTGGTGGTCTGGGTGACGACATCGATAACGGAGCTCCTCCTGTGGCTGCGCTGCACTGGTGCAAAACTTGCCCTTCTGTCTGCAACACTCCCTCGCCTCTCGGCGATGCTACCCCTGCGCTCGTCGACGATGCTCTGTTTCCTACTCGAAACGCTGGTCCGCCGGTCTTGCATGCTCTGACGTCGATTCATCGCCACGCTCTGCCTCCGGGATGCTTTTATGCTGTCCCGATGACTCCTTGGCTGCATTGGTACACTCTCGCTCGACGACTCTTGCTGACTCTGAATGATAGATTGCCTTCGTATGGCGATGGAAGCACGGCGTCTGTCTTCACCCAGTTGAGCAATCGCATTGAGCTGGACCTTAGTTGCGTCGGGCCCGGTGAAGACACTGGCCCTCCTCGCCAAGCTGTCTCGATGAGGTAGCTGTGCATTTGAACTACGCCCTTGAGGATCATGAGACGCTAGGGGCAGGCTCTGCTCCTCCGTCTCGCTAGTGTGGCTTCGAGACATATGGACCGCATGAGAGTTCACCATTCACCAAGGTAAACGTAAGTTTTGCAACTTGCTCGGATTACAAGCCTATCAATAACGATAACAATTAAGTACTGGTGCCATAAAACTCTCAATATATACAGTGGAAAATTCGGGTGGAAAAGGATTGTTGTTTGACGCGCACCGTTTCAAGGCGGCAGGCGACAATCTAAAATGGTGCCCAATTAGGAAGTCCTTGTAACCCCAACAAATCTTGTCGCTCGATGCAGCGACATAGATCGCGACATCGGATTGGAGAAGGGGGAAACGTTCAAGTCCTTGACAGTGCTGTTCTGACCGCAACTCTGCTGAGCAAGACTTAAACGAATCGAAGCAGACCAAAAGATTTCACCGACAAATGAATAGGGGATCATCTGTATCGATCTATCGTTTGATTTCGGTCAATGCGCTTTGAAATGCAACGCACCAAGATGTTAGACCTGCCGCAGCCAGTAGGGGAGAGGAGCGCCAGCTTTCTGGACTTGAAGGATTGGGCAAGGGCATCAGTAACCTGTCGCTGTACATTAGCCGTCTCATTGTCAGCAATTACGATCAATAAGGACATACCTTGTGCAGCTACGTCCTCAAGCATTGTATTGCGCGCTGCAAGGAGGTCAAGGGCTATTCAGATGCAGTTCGCTTTCTTTGCCAACACTGAGAGATGTCATCACACTCTTATGGCAGGAGTGTCTTGGGCATGTAAAGGTATGGAGTACGTGCGAGTTCTACGCCTGCGCGCAAATGCTGCCCGTGAGCTCGCCAGCATCTGTGTGCCTGGTTCTTGTCAGCTGCAGAAGCTGCAGCAACTTGAAATTTCCACCGTGGAGGCCATTGAAGCTGCGCCTTATTTCCATAGATGGTTGATCTGGGTTCTTACGCATGCAACAGAGCTGACAGTGCTGTCAATTATCTTCCGCGAACTGCCTTGCTTCCCCCCACTGACTGCTCTGAAGCACCTAATCCTGCAATTTGTTTTGGTTGAGACCGGAGATGTGATTTCTGCGGTGCTGAATGCAAGCAACCTGACGACCCTCTATCTCAGTGCGGCTACCAGAGAAACAATTCTGTTTGAACATCCCGCTCGCGAGCTGGCAGAGGTTCCATTGACGCTGGGCGGCCTCCGGCAATTGCAATTTCTTGCCTTCCACCATCTTTGGGAAAGCCCTCAGGCTGCCAGATGTCACTGCACAGTCTCAAGGAAACAGACATATGCATACACATGGGGGTTTGGGCATTGCTCATAACAGGGTTAATTGAATTAACTTAATTGGATTAACTTAATTCGCTGAGGCTTTCCTGGAAGGATGACCCATATGGACTGCCACGGCTGTCCGTGCCTGCGTGTTTTGGGATTTGGCGCAACCTCTCCATTGTTACTTTGAAGGCGTGAACGATTGGCACCGAGCAAGATTACGTGATCTGGCCCCTTACGCCTTCTCAGCGCTCAAACTGCCTTGTAAGTCCTGCATACTCCCTGATCTACTCAATTCTGCTGATATGCCGTCAGAACATCAGGGTTTATTGAGCGATGATCAAATGCTTGAGACTTGCTTGCGTGGTGCGCCTCTGCCTTCCCTGGGCTTGCGCAAAGCAGGGTAGCTACTATAGACAAGACTTTCTTAAGACTTTCTGTCACTTATTCTGCTGACTATTCTACTGACACATATTCTACACTTGCAAGGTCATCCATATGGGACCAGTGTATCCTCATTCAATCCAGCAAGTCCACAAGGCTTTGAGCAAATGACAACAAGAAACCCATAATCCAGGCCCATGACACAGCCTACCGTCTTTTCAACAATCTCATACCAATCTAACTTAGCGCGAGCGCTCGCTATAACAGAATTACTTCAGTTCAAATGGTCGCTGACGGTTCTGCAGAGTCCACTCCTTCAAGGGATTCGACCAAATGCAACCGCTCTTATTCGTCCAAGGCCCATGCACAGTCAATTCCCCACCGCAGTCTCAACATGACCATATTGACACGAGCCAGGTTCATGCGTCTATTGTACAGAGGTATCATACAGAGCTGGTCTAAAAATACTTGAAACCTTGGGCACATGCGTCCAATAGAAGTGCACATCAATCCCTCAATTCTCCCAAGGTGGTGGATCCAGAACCTCCCTGACTGACAGCGTGACTCTCAGCGACAAGAGCTTGAGCCCAATCTGACTCCTCTTGTGCTTTGCGCTATGATCATGCTCCACATCCACTGGCTCTGCGCTTGCACACAGCTCTCACACTTCTAGCACAGCTGCTAGCCATATCCATCTGTGATGAACATAAAGTTTCTTCTGCTTTGGGCATCTTGGCCCAGCAGGAGAGCACAAGCCCAAGTGGCATCTCAGAGACCTCCCTATGCAAATTTTGACACACAGCCCAATCCTCATGTTGCGCCCACTTGCTACATTCTCAGCAGTCCCCTCCGCAAACACAGTGTAACCGGAACACCAGATGCTGCTTCTTTATGTGCAGTAGTGACGCTCATTCAATGCAGCAACTGTGGGAGTCAGCTTTGCACCATCTGCTCAGGAATGAAGATCTGTTGGGGGGCAGAGGCGCACCTATTTCCTCTGGAGGTGAGACCCCTGCATGATGCTCCTCCCCTGGCAGCTTATGCAGCCTCCCTGTTGCGTTCTCCAGCCCATACCCTCCTGCAATGCTCAAGCAGTGAGCATCTGGCCAATTCCACGCATTCAAATAGCAACACAGACTTCAACTTGATCCTGTGCATCTGCACTATTTCCGAGCCAAAGCCCATAAGGAATCAAGTTGTGCAGATACCGTGCATGAAGTGATTGTCAAGAAATGTGCAGCAGTACCTTGTAGGGCGTCCTCAGGCGAGGCATTCAGTGGTTCGCCCGATGATGTCAGCGCTGACACAGCGCCCACATACACCTGCGACCTCTGGTGCTGCGCCTGCACGCAGCAGACACTCCTGTTTTCAGATCACACTATGCAAAAGAAAACCCACTTTCACACAAAATCCACTCTCCGCTGAAATGCGGAAGGGTGTGCCTCCTCCAATCAGGCAGAAAACAGTCTGGATTTGCCGACTAGGCTGATAATTACTCTCAAAAGTCGTCTTCATCCTCCTTGGGCTTCCTGCCTTTACTGAGATGTATGCAAACATGTGCTTCTGCAATATCATGCACAACAGTGGGGCGTGTGATAACATTGGTGGGGCAAGGAATGGGACAAAAATTTGTGATAACTCCCCATTTCGCATTCAAGAGTTCACCGACGCAGAGGACATCTGGCTTAGATGTGCATCTTTTAGTTTTGGGCCCATCTAGCGGAACGTTTAACAGTAAGAGATGCGCACATGCAGCCGCCCCCCCATGAACAGCAGAAGAGGCACTCCCATGAGTGCCAGCACGACGGTGATCAGCAGCGCGCGCGAAACCGGCAGATGAAACGCGTTGAACGCCGGCTTTGTCGGCGACGGCACCGAACCCGACACTGCAACAATGCATTTGTGCATGTCAGAGCGCTGCTGAGTCGCGTTCAACCTCCCTCAATGTCTTTAATTAATGGTCTTCCCACGCTGGTTGAATACAGCAATGCCAAGCCAGACATTGTTGCGTGATGGCAATGCCAAGCCAGAGGACAGTATCTTTAAAAGTGGGACACTGCAAGACAGATGATATTTGCAGCGACCAAAGTGCCCAAAACTGCACAGGTACATTTACAAAGTCATGTGCACCTTGCCCTCCACAGCATTCCATCTATGTTTTACACAGGAGCGCCTGGCGCACTGAAAAGCCTGCTTACAGCAACACAGTACAGGCGTGCACACCTGGAGCAGGAGCAGATGGCGCGTAGCTGTTGAGAAGGCGGTCCAGAAGCTCCGATTCAAAGTCCTTGGGCTTCTTGCGCAGCACCTGCTGCGACATGCGCAGCGTTGACGGCACAGGGCTCTTTGGAATGCTGCCGCCGCCCCCCATCTGCGGCTGCGGCCGCACCGGCCCGGGATCTGCGCTACGCACACGATCTCTGGAGTCCGGGGTCAGAAGAGTTTGACACAAGAACAAGTAAGAACCAGCACAGGGGGGAGCACAAACCGTGCATTGGGAGCAGCGCATGCGGGCCAGCAAACTGAAAGCCACAAAGCACGCACTGGCAGTATAAAAAGCAAGAGGATCCTGAGATACAAGCGCCTGTGCAACCCACTTGCCTGAAACTCTTGAGATCATGCTTGGAGGGAGCTTTTGCAGTGTTAAAACCTCCTCCAAGCCAAATGCCAGGCAAAAGCAGAAGCAGTAGTACAAGAGTACAATACCTCTAGGTAGTGGCTCGACGGCCGGCGGTGGCCGCGGTGGCTGGAGGCCCGGGGTTCCCCCCTGCAGCACCTGCCTGATCTGGCTCGGCCCCTCCGGCCTGCTGGCCGCCTCACGCGGCGGCTCCGGCACGCCGCTGCTACTAATCCCAGCCGCCGGAGGGAATAGCGCATGCGGCTGCCGTGGCCGCGGCCCGGCTGCCGGCGCCGGCGCAGCTGCGCGCCCAGCTTCTGCCGCAGCTGCCGGCTGCTGTGGAGATTCTGCCTGATGGCTCTGTGGATGGGGCAGAGGGGTGGATTGCTGAGTGGGGTGGAAGGGGCTGGGTGGGCGGCCCAGGGTGCCTCCCAGGTCTGCCTGCAGCTGCTCTGCAAACTGCTCCAGGGGCGCCCTGCTGGGTGACAGTGCTACCTGCCTCTGCTGCTGCGCTTGCACTGCAACATGCCTGGCGGGCCTCAAGGATGGCCTGCCGGTGGGCTCTGACAGGTGGCCCCAGTCAACTCTGGGGAGTGCTGGGGCGGTGCAGGGGGACACATCAGGGTCGGTTGGGGCTGGAGCTGCCTGTTCTGGCTCGGGGATGGGCAGCAGAGCCAGCTGCTGGTAGCCATGGCTGTGCCCAGGAGCTGCAGATGCCCCACTGGAAACTGCGTCTGGCAGCGCTGCGTCCTGCGCAAGCTTCTTTACTTGGCGAGCAGGCTGGTAAGGGTGCGTGCTCAGCCGCACAGCAGGCCGCGGAGGCCGAGGTGCCCAAGGGACTCCCCTGGATGCTGTGCCATGGCCAGGCTGCGGAGGTCCAGCTCTGCTCTGGGCTGTGTCCTCCTTGTTGACCACCTCGAACTGCACCACATTGCAAAACTATGGTTTTGATCGTCCTTGCATTTCTCAGGACTTCCTCGATGACAGTGGCAAAGTAAGGCACCTTAGAAATGGCAGTTTCTGCAAGCTTCCATCAAGTAATGGTGGTGTTCTGGAGTAACGCAAGTGAGTGACTAGCCTTACAAGGTGAAAAGAACAATGCTTTAGGCTATTTGCGCCTGTCATGCCCACCCAATGGACCCCATGCCAAGTCAACCCAAAACATTCTAGTACAGTGAACCCAGCAGGTCGATGGGATAAGACATAATTGCGTCTGAGGCGCAAAGAAGCAACACACCTCAGATAGAAAGTCTTCCAGCGAGTCAAAGGAACTGGCAGAGGTGCCAGAGGAAGAACGCCTGAGACTCTGAGGCCACATTCTCCGAAACGCGTCCTCTTCAACGATTACCAATCAAGCGACGCGACGTCACGCCACGTTCAGGCGCGAGTGACAACACGCTGAAGACAGGCGCTCTTCAAACTTTACCGTGCTGGTTCACCATAACCTGTTTGGGACATCCGAGAGACAACATTCGAGAACCTAACGGAAGGGCTCGTATTAAAGAATGTTCTGGCCTGCCAAGAAGCAACAGGCGCCAAGGATACCGCAGAAGCTGTTCCCGCGCCAGCAAAGATAGTGATCAGTTCACACATGACACCAGATTGATGGAGACAGAAAGTGTGAGCTTACTCATCTGCCAGTCAGCAGTCCTAATCATCCTGCACAGTCAATCCGGCCCAAACTAACCTTGCTGGCACCACACCCATAAGTTCTGGGCGGGACCTCATGATGGCTGCTGCAGCTGCACGTCTTGAGATCAACATGGCCGGACCCTATACCTATGCCAACGGTGTCAACGTCTGCGCATGCAATTGCAAGCCAGCTCTAGATCTGGCATGTGCCATCCCTGAGCTCAGCCTCGAGGGCATCTGAGCAAAGGCGGCCGCCGGCCGGGCCCACCACCATCATTTTTGAGTTGAAGTGTCCATTACTGCCGCATGCGTGCTGCTCAAATGCTGACATGCCATGTTGTGCCGGCAAGATCTCATGATCTCCACTGTGATGACCACATGCACATGCATGGTACCATGAATGGTACCAAAATTGTGGCCAGATCATGACAGAATTCTGAAGTGTTCACTTGTTGGCTTCTGGCCCTATACCACATCTCGGCCCAAGGTAGAATCCTTCGAAGCATCTGCTTAAATGTACTTCCACAGGTGCGCGCAGGTCATATTCACAAAATTGGCACTGCAAGGATCCTTCAAATCTGGAAACTTCCGGAGATGGGCATATTGGTGCACCGTTCACCAGGTGAATTATTACTTTCCTCCGCAACACAACCTTGACATACTGGAAAGAATCGGACAACTGTTCTGTGGTTCGTTTGGTCTTCTGCATGCAGACTTAGACTGGATGCGTTCGTTTCAAGATGCACCAGGATCCGGCCCTGTATCTGGAAAATACAATCGCATGCGCTGCGCAACTCGCAGCCCTATCCCGCAGCTCCCTGCCAAATGGAGGACAGCTGCAGTGCTCAATTCACCGGGCTGCAAGCCCATGCCGGTATTTTCACTATTTCCTGATCCTCATTTGCTGCCGCATTCAGGGGTCGTACGGTCTGTGTCCCCTAATTCACTGCTCCTTCCAGGGGTCGTTAGGGTCTGCGCCGAGGATCTCGGGGTCAATAACGGGCTTGGCGGCCGCGGCGTCGGCGGCTGCTGGGGATGCGTTGACGGCAAGGCCGACCATGTTGTAAATGCGCGCGGCAAACTCGCGCGGGCTCTCCACCGTAAACCCGCTCGTCACAAGCGCTGTGTCGTACATCAGCTCCGCAACGGCCTGCGCGAAAATTCAGATTTGACTCCAAATTTGTGTTTTTGCTGCACGATATTTGCGGAACGGAGGTATACACAATGCGCACTCGCGGGCAGCCCCTCCGTTATCTCCCTGGCGCTTGCACTTTGATGTCTGCTTGTTACCTTTCTCAAAATGCTAGATCAATTCTGCTTAGAAGATGGCGGGATGATCACTCATTGATATATGGTATGCAGCGTGCACCATGCAGGGTGCACCATTCTTTTGCAGAGAAGCACAGAAGTTAGAGCATGCGAGGTGTGATAATTTGATGCAGACGTTGACCCGATCATTGATCAAGAGCCCAGGGACATTCACAGGCACAGCCAAAGACAACACTTCCTAAAAGAGGGCCAGCAACTGTCCAAAGGTTCACTAAAAGGGCTCTGAGCTGTATCCTGAGGCAAGAGAGCTAGTGGGGTTCATTGTTTAAGAGGCATGCGCCGCACCTTGGCGCCGGCTGCGTCGTTGTTGACCTTGTCACTGAGGGCGCGGATGATGGGGTGGTCCGGGTTAATCTCCAGCGTCTTGCGCCCCTTCATGTACTCCGCCGCCCGGCTGTCCCCCAGCGTCTGCATGGAACAACTACAGCTCAATAATAGTGTGACAAGCCTTCAGACCTGTCCCCGCCCACAGCAGACCTTGGCAGACAGCAGCCACCAATCCACAACAGGAGACGAGGGTCTTCCCCACAAGCAAGCAAAACCAACAAGAGCCAAATTCCAGATTCAGGGCCAAAGAAATAGGTTCCAGATATCGCACACGACTGCAGTTAGAGCCGCTGCAATTGCAAGTTGCTGTGGGAAGGATGCACTTCAGCAGGGCAGGTGTCAACCGTGCAGGTTGCTGGGAACCCCGAGGAATGCTACAAGTTTGAGGCTGATGTGTTATCCAAAGAGAAGCAGAAGTCTATGTCACTGGTCACATTGCACCCTGCTTGAAATAGTTGTTGTTCAGATTCAGAGGAAGAATAGATTACAAGAGCAGTGGTCTGCGCACCTGGCTGCGCATGACGCGCTCCTGGTAGGCGGACCAGCCAAATTGGGAGGTGACTAACGCGCAGGGGGAGTCGGTCAGGCGCTGCGACACTGCCACCTTCTCCACACGCTCACCCAACGTGCTCTTCAAAAAATCTGTCAGCGGCTTCAGCGCCTCTGTCGTCTCCTCCGCCTGTCACGGGCCAATATCTGCTTATTGATTTGCTCCATATGTAATTAATTGCTGCTCGCCATCACTGACTGCTGCTGTAAGTACAGCATTATCCAGGAGTTCTGCAATTGTTCTTGCATGCGCAGAGGATCTGAGATGCTCTGGACTGGGTGAAGTCAGCGCGCAGAGTGGAGCTTTCTGGGACAGCGAGTGCGAGTAATGTCAAATGCAATGCAGGCCAAGGGTGCAAAATAGGGGGCCTTGTCTATAGAGGCGCCCACTGGCGACATCGCTGTGTCGCATCTGATTTGAAAATTGGTACCACAATGCCAACAGCAGATGCAGACGCCAGCAATTTCAGCACAGCATGTCATGCCAGGAGCGCAGCTGTGAAATAGCTGCGAAAACAAAACAATGTGGCCGGTCACCTTCTTCTTCTCCTCCTCAGGGATGTCTCCCAGGTCCAGGCCCTCACGAGTGACGTCCACAAACTTGAACTCGTTGAACTCCCCAATATTGTTAATGGCCGGCTCGTCGATGGGCTCTGTCAGGTACAGCACCTGCGCAGCAGAGAAGCATGATTAGTAACCCCGATCGATAATTCCAGACTGATCATCTCTTCTTGCCAGAGCACCCCTGAACAAGACCACACCCCTTCTCATTGACCACGTTTGGAGGCAATAGCTCGTTGAGGCTGCAAGTTTAGAGAAAGAGGTATGATATAACTATACCATAATATAGTGTCTTTGCAAATTCGCAACCAGCCCAACAAATGACAGTTACAGAAAGCAGGAGCGCATATCCAGAGCATTTATGGACTCCAGCTTGACACAGCAGTAATGCACATCCAAGCTTGCTTGTGTGGAAGGTTGAGAAAGCAGGTATGCATATTCAGGCTTGCATGGGATCCCAGCTTGAGCAGGCAGGAGGAGCTGTTTAGAAAGAGTCGGCATTCCCACCTCCAGGTCCTTCTTGATAAGCTGCTCCACGAAGGGCGCGGACGCGGCAGCGGACAGGGAGTCGGCGGCGATGTAGAAGATGGACTTCTGGCCCTCCTTAGCGCGGCCCACATACTGCTGCAGGCTAATCATGGCATCGCCGCTCTTGGATGACGGGAAGCGCAGCAGCTCCGCAATCTGCTTCCTGAACACGATGAAAAAAAAAGGAGTTACAGTGAAACCTCTTTTTATTCCATCATTTGAAGGGAAACATCAGGGATGTGTGGGTCAAGATGGAGGAACACAAGGTGTTTGGAGTGTCTTGGACAATGCACCAAAGACAGCCACAGAACGCCAGCGTGCTCACAAATATTGCACTGCTTGTGAGCATGCAAAGTGATCTGCTGCTGCCTTCGGTGCATTACAAGCGCGGCTGGAAAAAAACTGTGGCACAACTATATATCCCCAGTGGATAGGATAGATAGAATTCATAAGCAGTGGTGCCAGGGGAGGGGCTTACTTGTTGGCCTGGTCTTCTATGGCGCCAAGCTTGATGAACTTGCCAAAGGAGTCCCAGAATGTCTCATAGTCGCTCTTGCCGTCCTTCTCCGGCCGGCCCGCGATTTCCTTCAGCGTTTCCAGCGTGCGCTTCACCAGCTGCTTCTTTATCACACGCACCACGCGCGACTCCTGCAGGAACAGTACACACCACATCTCTGGATGACACTCAATTTCTAAAAGAACCTTTGCGAAGTGACAATCACCAATACAATCATGGCTGGGATGTTGTTCACAGTTGCGCTCTGCAAGCCTTGGTGTATGCTCGCATAACAGAGCGCAACTGCGAGCCTAGGCCAGCAATGCTTGCATGAACAGCTAATAATGGGGTGCTCTCGCTTGATCCCTGCTGGCGGAGGGCGATAAAATACTGAGCACTGCGTTTACGGTTGATTGGGTCTTCTTGGATCTGGCAAGTCCAACAAGGGGTAGGGTCGTTGCAGCCTTTTAACTGCAGCTTGTCTGCAGGACGTACCTTACCTTTTGGCAGGAAAAGCATGCAATAATAATTACTCAACCCTTTTGTTAAGGGACTACTGCTCTGCAACACTTCTTGATGCAAGCATGGCTTGCCTTGTGTGTTTGGTTGCTCTCTGCTGTTCAACGTGGATTAAGAGAACATGGCCTCCTTATTTGCAACCGGAATAAGGAGGCCCGCCATGCTTGAATTTGAAAGAAAAGATGTTTCCAGCTGCCTCAGCACCTTGCACATAGCTCAATCGCAACAGGCCAATCACATGATGCTAGGGCGGCATGAAGCAAAAGGTGGCGTAAGTGCTCAACCCAGTGCAGCAAGGTACATGCAACAGTGCACCTAACAAAAGGACACAAAGCAGAAGCAGGCAGATAAAAACTGAGCCACACCTGCAGGATCTCCCGTGAAACATTGAGGGGGAGGTCTGAGGAGTCGACTATGCCCTTCATGAAGGAGAGGTAGCGGGGCATCAGGTCGTCGTCAAACTCGTCGCTGATGAAGACGCGCTTCACAAACAAGCGGATGTTGCGGCTCTTCGCCAGCCAGTCCTGCGCACGGATGATTACCATGCAGTGTCAATCATTGGTTCATGGGACAAGTCCACTGTGCAAAAACCCTTCCAAGGCCGCAGAAAATCTGGAGAGCTATTGCAATTGCTATGTCAAACTTACATGAAACCGCCACATGTGAGATCTCTTCCAACAAAGCCCTGACGGCCTCAAAGCTTTTCTGCTAATGTCGAAGTATTCAGGCGTATATCAAATGTCCTGGCATGAATTCCAGGCAGCTCTTTACACTGCCGTACACAGCCGTATAAACAATAACCAAAAAGCCATGAATAGGCTTCTGTAAAGCCTCACCTGCTGCTCGAAGGGGGCCATGCCGGGGACGAAGAGGAGTGCTGAGAATTCGATGGTGCCCTCCACGTTGAAGTGAGACTGCGCAAGAGGCTCCAGGAACTCCCTGAAGGTCGTCTTGAAGAAGTTGTTGTACTCCGCCTGCTCAATCTGCACATGCACGTTTCCCTGCTCATTAAAACCGCAGCAATGTTGCTGAGCTTCAACGTGCCATGCTCGCAACGTCATTACATGATGGCCATGCAGAAAACATCCGATAAATCAGGCAAACATTGGTCAGGCACAGTCTGCAACGTTGACTTAGCAGCCTTCAGAGCTGCAGCTTCTGCCAAGATCTCCACTCCCGCAGCTGCTTTTGTGACTCAACATACATGACCTGTGGGCAACTATGCAGCATAGAGCGGGCAGTCACAGACACCATACTGCCAATAAGAACCCAGTACATGCCCACTTCCGCACCTCCTTGGGCGTGCGCGTCCAGAGCGGCTTGTTATCATTCTGCACACGCCAGTCCCAAACCTCCTTGCTCTCTGACCGCGTGGCCGGCTCCACGGGGTCGGCCGCTTCCTTGCCGGCTTCCTTGGCCTCCTCGTCCGCCTTTGCCTGCTTCTCCTTCGTTGCCTCATCATCCACCACCTGCATTGCAATGTGATGAATCTTTATGCAGCTCCCAGACGATGTACTCTTGTGACGGTACCTTCACAATGTAAGACACGAGAGATGCAAGGAAACAACGCAGTGCGAGCGACAAGTAGGACAAAAGGTCTCGCGGTGCATATGCAGTGCTAGTGACATAAAGGACACCTCCAAGATGTAAACCTCTTCTACTTCTTGCTTGGATGCATTTCAATTGAGCAGAGCAGATCAGAGCACAATTTCTGCGTCACCAATTGGATCACCTTCAGAAGGACCATTGTCTTTCTTTGCTTGATGCTGGCTTGCATGGCATTGAAGTCGATAGCAGAGCTACATGCAGTTGTCAAATGCTGTCCCACACAATCAGTTGCGTCTCCGGCACAAAGGATGCGAGGGCAATGCAGGTTTGTCCTGTCAACAGGCGTGGAATAGTGCACCCACCTGCTCATACTCGGTCTTGCTGGACCAGAGCCGGATGGGAAACTGGATGAACTCGCTGTACTGCTTGATCAGGTCGCCCAGCTTGGCAGCGTCCGCCAACTCAGTCGCGTCATCCTTCAGGTGCAGCGTGATCCTTGTCCCCCGTGGCAGATCCTTTGCCTCGTCCTCCCGAATCTGGCATGCAGAGTGCAAAATTTCACCAGGGAAACCACCGCATAAAATCTACCATTGCATGCGCTCCTTCAGCAGACATGACCCGTTTGACCAGGAAAGCCTTGGCTGTACATGTGAGCTGGCACATGTGTGACCTTTCTCCTTTGAAACATTTCTTGACCCCATTTGGACCCCTGCTTAAAATGCCAACATCTCAAGATGGAGAAACCCCAGTGAAGATGTTGAAAGGATCCCCAGAAAACCCCAAGGTTCTAAGGTGCACAGCAAACATAAATGCAGAGCAAAGGGCTCACTGCAGCACACCACGGATCGATTGATCTGAATGAAAACCATCCGCACTGAAACTGCCATGAATCTCCCACTTGCCATGCAGAACAGAATGCCAGGAAGCCATGAATCAAGCAGAATTCTAAGGAGGCATGCAAGGTTAGAGGAGGCTGACAGCAGCGCATACCACAAACTGATGGCTGCCAGAGCTGGACTGCCAGTACCACTGGCTGGGGTCGGCAGCGTTCTTGGTCTGCACAGTGACCTTATCGGCCACCAAGAAGGCGCTGTAGAAGCCCACTCCAAACTGGCCGATCAAGTTCGCATCCCCCTGTGACTCCTTGACCGCCTGTGCAGCAGAAATCCTCTTCATACAGTCGTCCCGCATTCCTTACCAGGAGCAAGTATCCAGTGCATGCAGATTTTGTCCAGACGACTTTGTACATGAGGAGGAAGAGGGCTGCAGAGAAGGATATTGACATGTTGAAGATGTACGGGCATGCCACAGCTTCTGTAGGAAGCGCAAACAAGGAAGCACATCGATTATTGCTCTAGATAGACGTTTCCTGTGTAAGCTGGGGTAAGTGATCATGACGTGGCTGCTCAGCGCACCTCTGCAAACTTGGCTGTGCCAGACTTGGCGATGGTTCCCAGGCTGCTCAGCAGGTCTTCCCTGGTCATGCCCACTCCGGTGTCCCTGCAGCAGACAGAGAAACATAGATCAGCCAACTGACTCACTCGCACAGCGCCTTCTCCATCCCTGCCTACGCTGCCTTCCTTTATAGTATTGAGCTTAAACGTGTGCAAAGAAAGCGGATGCATGAATCCATTAAGAAGGACAAATAAGACTTAAAAGCAGCCCAAAAGTTGCATACACTGTTTTAGGAACTAAAAGCACAGGTGGCACGCACTCAATGACGATGGTGCGCGCATCAGAGTCGGCCTTGATGCGGATCTCCATCGCGTCCTCCCCGGCCATGACGCTGGAGTCTGTGAGGGAAAGGAAGCGCAGCTTGTCGAGAGCGTCTGAGGCATTAGACACCAGCTCTCGGAGAAAGACCTCCCTGTTGCTGTACAGGCTGTTCACGATGAGGTCCATCAGCCTGTCGACCTGCACATAGCAGACAGTCACTCAATGCCCAGAAATGTGCATGTGAAAGTCTGAGTTCGAATACCAGCAGCAGCAGCTGGCATGTGCAGATCCTTTCGCCCCTGTCAAGCTGCCTCCGAGCCAGAGCTCAGGATTAACACAACAATTACTAGAAAACACCTCATGGGAACATCTAGCATCGAGCGGCGATTTACAACACAATCGCTCAATATATGCTCAGGGATGCTCACCTCAGCCTGATAGGTGAAGGTCTCCTCCTTTGTTTCAGTTGCAGCAGCCGCGCAAACGTGCATGGCATGCCTTCCAACTGATCTGGAAGCCCTCAACGGCTGGGCTGCAGCAGGGGTCAGAGCGCTGGCAAAACGCTGGCTGATGAGAGGCCTGCCCATCGAAGTTCTGCAGGTATGCCTGAGTGGGATGCAGCGGGCGCTGGTGCTGCATTGCGACAGGGTGGCACCAGAAATGCTTGCAGCAGTCCTCATCTGCAAGGACGAGGAGCAGACTTCAATAAACCGAGGACTCCGTTATCGTCTGGCCATGCTTACACCTTTAAAAGGGTCCAAATACCTAGTCACGCCCGATTAAGATTCTGAGGAACTTATTATAACACTTCTGTAAGGTGCAAAGAAAACATTTGAAGAACCGATCCTATGGCATGACACAAGGCACACAGAATCTTCTAGAAAGCATAGTACAACTAGCTTTGTGGTTTGGAGATGACGAACAGTACACTGGGACGCAGAAGATTGCATTTCAAATATCTTTCATTTCTAACAAAGAATTTTGGTCACCGGATCCGTGCTTTTAAATAAGAAAGACCAAGCAGATTTTAGTGAGGTGCGATTACCTGGCTACTTAGCTGGGTGATTGTCTTTATAGCTGTCAGGACTGTTCTACGCATGTAAGCAGGACAGCTGATGCCACCTTGAGGTCTATCACACGAAATATTCATTGAAACAAGCCAAACGATGGGAGCAGCGATGAGCTGTCGCCGTCGCTGCCTGATTAGGCCTCACCCCGTGGCCATCAGCCAATGGCCATCCTGGGGAGAATATTTGAATTTTTCAGCCAACGTGACTGGCAATCGAGGTCATTGAGGGATGCTACGTATTTTCAAAGTGCTTACTTCATGCTGAGCAGGTGCTCGTGCCATAAGTATGTAATCTTATACAGCGCCAGCATGCTCATGCGCATGCAGTCAATCAATGCTGCATCATATGACATGTCAACACTGCATCAGCCAAATCGTCTTGCATGCGCATGATGTGCAGAGCTCAGACACTTCGGTAAAGTGGACATCCGTTTCAATTGCAAGGCAATCTTCTGGCCCAACTGAACGAACTACTTTGAAGTATTTGAAGTATGAATTCGTTGGTTGCGATCTCCTGTACAATGAAGCTTTGACAAATGAAACACTTTTGTTGCAACAAAATTCCAGCACGGCGGCAGATTCAGTCTTAAGGACGTCATCAGGGCTGCCATCAGCTGAGTCATGAATGTACAGTGTCCGGGCTTTTGGAATGCCTGTGCAAGGCACTGGTACAGGTGCTGGTTGTAGAGAATTGATTCTACAGATTCATCTGACAAACTCCTGGAGAGCATTCAAACGCATTTCTTAAAGGTCCAAATCCGTTCAGTTCCAATTGGTCCTGTCAAAATTGCACTGCATTTTCCTGATAGAGCGGGACTGAATGCAGTCACATGCGGGCGGTCATTTCCTTTGCTTCCTGAGTCATTTACATCTCTTGCTGCATGGTTCCGCTGCCTCCGGAAGAAGCCGGCAGCCGCTGCTGCAGGTGTTGCTGCACCTGCAAGATGATTTTCATGAAGCCCTGCATCGCCTCCTGCCCCGCCACTTCCTGCACCTGAAGCCCCTGCACCTGCATGCCTTGCATCTGCGCACAGCACACTCGCACCCGTCTGTGTTGGCAATCTGAAAGGTAGTGTCAAGCCAAGATTTGCCTTCCTCGAGCGGAGCGGAGCAGCCAGCATCAAAGAAGCATGCAAAGGCAAAGCCAGAAAATGGCAGGAGTGGCCTGCAATAGAGAAGGGGCTTACATGGACTGCTGGCTGCCCGGCCTGGTGGATAACTATTGGCTGGTTGATGTGCTGGACCAAAACATCCCGCTGCGCCTGCACATAGCAACAAATTCCAATATTAAACACCCTTGCACTTACAAGCAGCGGTGATAAATGCCTCCACAAGACGGCACGCCCGGAACTTTCTTGAGTACAAACCCAGAGAACACTGCATTCTAATCAATTGGCTTAAGTGGAAGCTACCACCGCAGGCATGAATCCGAAAACATGTAGAAATGAGGTGGAAGCCCCAGATGCAACATGTTGCAGACTTGGCGTTTGGCAGTTTGGAGAAAGAAATTGTGCGTACCACACAGAATCCATGTTCGCTGCAGCTGCGCTGTCTGCATGACGACCCATCCACGCCACAGTCCTCATTTGCACCGCATGACCCATCACCATTCCTGTCCCTGATGTGGCATGTACTCTCCACCGTGCTAACCTGCAATTGCAGCCTGGTATCATCAAGATGTACTTCTTTACTTGAAAGACGAGATGCGCAGCGCAGCCCATATGGTGACCATGAATGTGAATATCATCAGTGCCACCTTGCATCCTTATGAGCTTCTACTGCATGGCAACTTATCCAAGGGAAACTATGACCCAAAGAGCTCCCACATGTCAACATGCAGTACCTGCGTGAAGTCTGGGCACACGAGTGCGTCCAGCGCAGACGCATTGGCATGCAGCGTCCCCCACTCAAGCGGCACATGATACACCCTCCTCACGCCCTTTTCCCCTCTGCATTGCAGCTTTCCCAACCCCGGTCCCATCTCTAACGCCCCTCCTGGCCCCCTAGCTTCTAATTCCTGCTCCTGCGCCACCCCTTCCTGAACCACCACCACTTCCTCCCCATTGAAGCTTCTTCCGTCGCCTGCACTTCTCCCTGTTGCAGGAGAGCTGCCTGCAGCTGCAGCCCCGCTGTCCCCTCCGCAGTTCCTAACTTCGGATAGGTCTACCCCTGGTTCTGTGTGTGCACCAGCGGGCGGAGAGTCTGCCGATTGCGTGGTTTGTGATGCATGGGCAGTGGGAGTGAGGGCGCTGGCTGCTGTGCAGTGCGGCAGGCCCCGCCTCATGAGAGGGTGGTTGACCGGGATTGGGTGGCCCTCTGTTGTGAAGACATAATTTCCCCCCTGCACCCATACGAAAGCTCGTTCCAGGAGGCTTTAAACCAGAAATGTTCTTTCGGCACAGACAAGCATTTACATGTTCAGTATGATGTGTAGCGGCATGCAATAAGCAATGAGCTTGTGAGAGATAATCGAGGTTCCTGATTCATGACCTTGTTTCACTCTCTGTAGTAAGAGCATCGCGGTTTGCATTACCGAAAGTTTACAGTAACAAAGAGGTTGTAAGGCACAGACCTTCCAGAAAGAGTCGTTGGCGAGCAGGAAGAGGTACTTGCAGGTCTCTGCCAGGAAGAAGGAGTGCATGTGGTCCTCCTTCTCCATGCTGCCCACGCTGCGCACGCTGGCGTAGCCCCCATCCACCCTGGCGTGCCTATTCAGGCTCTCTAGCATGTGCTGCCCAGCTTGCATGTACGCGACATCCCCTGTCGCCTGCCGCGCCAGACACCTCGTGTTTCAGCATGAAACGGCTTGCTCCCTGGCTTTGGCTCCAATTGAGACACTTCCTCGTGCAGCAACCCCCTAAGAGGAACCATAATCCTGCTTCATGTCTGTTCCATGGTGCGAGTGATGATCGTATGTTCGCAGACGCAGCAAGCGAGAGAAGATGAGGCCCTTGCTGAGCTCAGCGCACAAGCAGGCAGCCTCAGCCCAGGCCTCGTCCCTCTCACAAGTCCCCCAATCCAAATGACAACCACCTTGCAACATTACGCTGGAGAGACGACTGGGTACCAACTCGTCTTGTCTGCTGGGGCCACACTGAGAAGTCGCCATATCGTATTCCCAGCACACATGCCAGAAGATGAATCAGAAAACCGGCTTCACATCCACACTAGTGAGCTGCTCATTTATCAGGATAAATCAGGATAAAGCAGCGGTGCACCTGATGCAAGTAGAAGGCGCTCTCCATGAGCTCAGGCCGGAGAGGGTAGTACTGCTCGGTGGAGTGCAGGGCACCGTTTCCGCCATACAGATACCGCTCAGGCAGCAAGCCAAAGCGCTGCCACACGCCAAAGAAAGCTGCGAAGCTCTCAGCAGCCGCCTTTACATCACCGGCCAGCACCTGCATGCCTGCATGCACATGTCATGCAACAGATCAAAAATTGCCTGCGAATATTGCACCACGACAGCATGGTGACCATGTGAACCCATGCTCTTGGCATTGGGGAAAAAATATGAGACATGCATGAGAACTCTATGATGGCCACTCAGACGAATAAAAACACATCACAAGAAAACATGCTGGAGTAGCACTATGACTGGATAAGCTGCGTGAGGTCAAGACGTTGCCCCTACCTGGCCAGAAGGCTTGCAGGGAGGTGAATTGCAGGTGGGTGTGTGCGCCCATCCAGATGTCTGCCTGTGGGTACCATGTTCCATCCCTGTAGTGTCTGATGGCTGCTGTGTATGCAGCTTGAAACATTTCCCAGTACTCCATCTCCCCTGCATGCATGGTGTACACTTCAAAATATGTCTTTCTGCACGTGCCTTAGTATTATTTGCAGACATGCAGAAATCATCGATAATGCATGAATCATTCCCTCCCTGACTGGTAAATGGCATGAATTACACTGGCACCTGACACCTTTCACAAATGCTGCACATGAGGATAATCTATGAGGAAGCTCATGCACTGGAAAGCCGGTGGGAAGGCTCACCAAAGAGGATGTAGGCTTTGAGCAGGTACTCATAAAAGCTGTCGGCAGATGCACCAATGCCGCCATTGGGGTCCAGCCAGACTGCCCTTTGCATGTCCAGGGCGGTCCCAAACAAGCCCAGGGGTGTGCGCATCGACCAGAGCACTTGCAGCGAGCGCTTGGCATGGTACTCAAACTGTGGCAACCCTGCATGCGCTTTTATGGTCTTAATGCAATCTCTTAGATCAAGCCAACACCTCAATAAGCCCAGGGAAAACCTCCTGGTTGGAGGTGTTGATGACAATGTTTCGTTCCATGGATAATTTAGGTGAACTTTGGCAGAACAAAGGCGTGCCTGTCAGCCGAGACAGCACTCCCATCTCTATAGTGAAGGATCCACATGCAGCTGTGTTTGTCTCAACCTCAGTCTCGTTCTGAAACACCCCGTGCCTCAGGTTCACCCATCCATAGGGCAGCCCTGCACCATAAATGGCACCGAATGGACCCGCAGGTTTGTACTCATGCCAATTCTCTCAACAACGGTGTAGAAATGTGGGCAAGTGTGTATTGGTGTCCAGATCAAAGGGTTGTCTTGCCTGTCGGGCTGGCCATGAAGGCAGGCAGCAGCCGCTTGCCCAGATCCAGGGCCAAATCTAACAGGCCGCCAGAGTAGGCGCCCTCAGGCATGAGTTTTGGCCCATGCACGGGATCGGCTGCTAAAAGGTGCGCACTGAGCAGACCGCCCAGCAGCCGGATGTTCGCCTCAAAGACATTCACTCGCACATCCACATCAAACGACAGCTGCATGGAAACACAGATCCATTGCATTAACCACAATCAATCTGTCTCCACGAACATTTGTTCTACTTGTCCAGCAGAGCATTGGAAAGAGAAGGAAGGTAGGATGTGAAACATTGGTGGCAGTGGCACACATTCTTGGTCAGCCAGGATACAGCTTCATGGAACCTGGCGGCATCCTCGATCACAGCCAGGGTGCTGAGTGCGTCAATGAGCGTCAGCGCTACACCGGAATAGCCCTTGTTGCCTGCCAGTCCCTTCACATTTCCCAACTCGCCTGCAGGGTGAACAAGTCGCTTAAGAGCTTTGAAATCGTTTTTGGGGATGTAGCAGTACACCTGATGCAGCATGGCAGCACAGCAAGAGCAGAAGCTCAGATGCTGGTGGCACCTAGAGAGTCGGTGTAAGTCTTTGCTATGGGCTTCAGCTCATCGTGCGGGAAGGCGACATCCATGTAATTGCTGTAGGCGTGATCGATCCTGCAACAACATGACCGACTGGCAGGTCAGTAGGAATTGACCAACGCCATGAACCACAGGCAGAGGCCCAAAGTACAGCTGAGGCGCTCAGGCGTACATTTCTCGGACACTGTTCTCCATCAAATTCCGCTGCTCCTCTACACCTGCTCCTGGGACACCGATCATCGGATTCAGATAGAAATAAACCGTCCCATCCAGTTCCTTGGATATCCACAAAGCAGAAAGAGACTATTCCATGCAAGTTGCAAACCTCTGCGCTTTGCTCCGATGTTTCCGTGAGAGAAATTCACTGCTGAGAGGATCGCGAGTGCAGCTATGAAATGCATCCTGGCTGTCCCCTGGCGTGTTTTCCAGACCATCATAACAAGATGGAGAGCTATTTTCTTGAGACGAATTGTGTGGTGCTGTACTCGACAATAGCCGGTGATCTGGAAAAATGGTGTCACGCATCATGCCATACTACCATTCGCACTCGAAAGATTCAACCAAGATAGGACGTGATGTCTGCAGTGTCCACAAGATTCGTCTTATTAGGAAGATTGGAACGAACACAACGTAGAGGGCACTTTTCCAGACGATGTCAAATGTGTAACATCTTATCCACTGAAACCTTCTGTATGCAGTCTTGAATCTTGTCGTGGGAGCTCGAAATGGCCAATTCCTGCATGCATGTGCCAAACCTGGGGCGAGCCAATTGAGGCCCTGCCAGCAGTTTCCCAGAGAAGCTGCTTCTACGTCGCGATCGTGGACGATATCTTCAATGCGCTCGCCTACAGCATATTTGTAAATAATAATTCGTAGAATGGACGAGCCGCTGTGTCCACCAACGGCGGTGGACCCCGTGCTGGCCGCAGTGCTGCAGACTTGGCTGCCGAATCCAAGATTGCCTCACTCCAAATTGTGAAGCACACATGACGCTCACAACAAAGATACTGTATCAAATTCTTCTTCATCGTAATGAGGTTGGTGACGACTTCGTCCCATTCTCCAGTGTTCACCGTCGATATCCAGGGCACATGCCGTCAACAAACTGTCCTCGCATTGCTTGGAAGCTTTCGTGGCATAGTAGATCTTGTCATATGTAGGCCTTCATTCTTTTGCATAATCCTTGCCTGCTTCAGATTTATGGAAGGGGCCGAAATCATTAATGAGACAAGATGCCTTGGCTTGCTGGGATTGTCTAAGGTTTACTGTCGCATCTTGCAGGTTATGCCGTCTGTGTGAAAAGCGTTGGACATCGCTGAGTTAATAAATGGAAACTGCTGCACCCACAAGTACATGTGAGTCATTTCCTCTATGTTGCACAGTACTTCTCAAGTGCAGCGAGCACTTGCAAAGTAGTAAAGCACTGACATCAACACAAATGAGATTGCATTGCAGCGTGCTAAGATGTGGAGAGAAGAAGGTGCCCGCCAGGTAATCTATAAGAATTATGGCAAAGCTTTCAGTCTATGGACTGCGGAACAAGATGGCGGCCACATGTGAGAAATTGATTTGGCAGTGGCCCGGCGTTTGGATAGCGCTGCTGCCCAGAGGATCCAATAGGTGCACTTCATATGCTGCTCTCTGGATCACCAGCAGGCGGGCAACATAAGCTCATCATGTGCTGTTCTAGATATCAAGCATTGAGTCAACTGTGCCATCAATCGCTGGCTATAGCAGCACAAAGGTCTTAAAGCATTGCAGTCTGCAATTCACAGATATATATTTCAGAGTTACCCATGCTTGTGACAACATGGTGAAGTAAGTTCACCTGAGTTCCAAGCTGGTCTGTCTCCTGCCATGCTGATTTTCTTAAGCTGTACCCCAGAAAGGATGAGAAGCGTGCATACAACAGACTGCACTCATCAGAACCGCACCAATGTTGTGCAATGTACCATCCCTGTGTGCTGTTTTCCTTTGCACTATTGCCATGACAGCAGCATGATTCATGACATTGCTACCACTCACATGGAGCTCCCGACTCTTGACTCAAAAAATTTATCTGACACAGCTCACTCCCTTTGCCTCATGCGGATGCCGCCTGTGAGAAGGTCTGCATGTGGGAGATTGCAAGAAACACTGCGAATTCAAGCAGCCTGGCGGCAAAAGCCAGTGTGCAGGAAAAGAATGTCACACAGATGACGGCCAGCAAAAACATTGCCAGGTGTGGGAAAGCTAACGCCGCATAGCATCCTTCCGCTGACTGTGCTTCTGTGCACTCTCGCCTCTCATAGGCCCCAAAACCTGCATCAGCATGCATCGCACCTGTCAGATAGATTGGCTGCCACCAGCTCCTTCAGTGATAGATGTGCGCCTAGCAATATTTGAAAACATTACAAGAGAAGCATGAAAGCCACAATGACATGCACATGGCGTTATTGTAATAGCAGACCGTCTGTGAATGGTTTACCTGTCATGATTGGCCCAAAGAAAAGCATCTGGCTCACAGCCAAAACTGCCTCATGAAACGTCGCAATGGCCGCTATTTGAGAAAACCCTTGGTACCAGTCTGCCAAATCTTTTGATTTGAGGCTCTTGAAAGGCTGAGCTGTAAGGATTTGTCGAGCACAGGCTGCGTACATCTTTGCCACAAGGTATTCTGCGCACAGGAACAGCAGCACGGCCATGGAGATGTACACTGAGTAAATGATGTTATACACTGCTGCAGCTGTCATTCTGGCCTTGCAAAGGGCCAGCGAAGAATGTGGTTTTCCATTTGCTGTGGCAGAGGCGTTGGATTCCGCGTCAAATACACCTGCAACAACCAGGATTGTTGTTGAGATCACATCAGCCCATCGGGATACCCCTTGAGGTCTTGGACGGAGGCAATGAATGATAACCTCAAAACATGACCCAGAGGAATACGTTATAAGTGTGAGATGATGATTTTTACGTTCAACCCTTACCGATGTAGCAAATGGTGCCAACAAGAACGCACAGGAGACATGCTCGTCCCACATACCGTAGCCTTGGCGACGGTATATAGAGTGGAAATAGCACGATAGGTCTGTAAATGGCCATTCCTGAGCATTAAGTGAACCAATAACACGATGCTAAACAAGTTTTTATGCAAATTAAGTTGGATCAGCGTATTACGAACGAGGCGTCACCGTTGCCACAGGCGCACGGCGTCTCATTTCACTCATCAAGGCGATTGGAAATGGAAAGTTTTTTCCAATAAGAGCATCTTTTTCAAGGAGAAGGCCTCAGGGGGTGCATTCCCTATTCGTTCATTCAAAGGCCCAGGCCAGAATGATGGATGCCTACAGCGCACTGCGCAGTGCACATGCTTTTTAATATTTACCGTAAACAGTTTTACATAGCATCAGAGACATTTGTGCTCTGCTGATTCATGTTCTAAAGGTTATCGTGGTGCACAAACAAAAGATGATCTACTCAATTTCATTGCTGCGCTACTCAATATATATTGCAGTGTCAATCTGTCCCTGCCATATCATCTGCACGACCTGACATGTCACATGCACACTGCGTCTATCATCAAAAATACCACACAACCAAGACCCCTGGACCCCAATTGGTTTGATGCAAGGAAGCTCTAGCAGACTACACAAAATCCAGATCTCGCCACCAGGGCCCTGAAACCTCACTGTACAACTGCACAATAACAAGCACATCAGATCACACCGGAGCACGGAACAGGCTTGGCCTCTAAAGAGGCTTGGCAGCCACAAACAGCCCCCAACGCTGCTCTCCTTCGCCGACGCGAACCAGCTTGTCGCGCCAGCCGCTCACAATGGCGTCGTGGTCGGCTGCTGAGAAGTCGCGCACGAATTCCTCGCGGCCGGCCTCTGCCGCCTCCACCTCCTTCTTCAGGCACGCCTCAAACTGCAGCACCAGGGGGCACTTGACATCAGCAGGGGGCGCGTGGCGTCAGCAGTGGGCGTGTAACGTCAGCAGCAGACACAGGACTTAGTCAACCTTTCGAAAACAGAGAGTCCAGCAATGGGCCTCACAGATGGCACTGCTGACAAAGTGTGGAGGCCACCAGCCTGTAGTGCCAGGCTGTATGTACCTCAGCCCTCATTGGGGATCACGCAGACATCAATTGCATGAACCACGCAGTGCAAAGTCAGCCCTTCCAATTGTGGCCAGCAGAATAAAAATTTCATGATAATGGAGTGCAAATCTGCCCTTCCCAATTCAGCCCAACAGCCAGCACCTTCCCAATTGCGGTGCCCACATTAAAATTTTGTCCAGTGTCAGATCCCCACCTGCCAGGTGCGGTCCTCAGCCTTGACATCGACAAAGCCGGCCTTAGTCAGCATGCGCCCGTAGTCATCCACGCTGTGCAGGTCGTAGCCGCGCTGCGCTATGTAGGCCGCGAATTTGTCCGACGGCGATCCTGGGGCCCGGCAGTAATCCGAGATCAGCAGCCGGCCGCCCGGCTTTAGCACGTCCAGGAACCTGCGCGCAGCCAGCCAAACAGAAATTGAAAATTAAAATACGAGATTTGATAAGGCATGCACTGTGCATGCCTGTTTGCTGTTCTGCCATGCTGGCACATGCCACCATTTACTTAGCTTGCACACGGCATGCCCCATGCAGAAGTTGGTCTTCTTTGAAGGTGCCGATCTAGTGATGAACTGGTCAAATGCAGGACGTCATACACAGGCGGACGGTGGGCTGCACTTGCCGCACAGCACCTCTGGATTGACAAGACGGCCCCTGCTAGATTGCATACTGATCGCAGCTCAGGCTGAGGGTTTCCAAGCTCAAGCCTGAGACGCGATCAGTATCTGGGACGTCTGCTAAATTGCAGTTTGTGTCATGTCTCCGGCAGTGGGTCTCACCGCTTGAAGAGAGCGGGCTTGTCGTGGATGTGGAGGATGGTGTCGCGGCTGTAGACCACGTCATAGGACTCCTTGGCCATCTCGCACGTTGTGATGTCTGCAATCTCGAAGGATACCTGCACCATGTACAACCAGGTCGTGTCAGGCCTGCAGCTCACAACTCAGAAGGCATTTGCACGATGACATTGCAATTTGAAGGCATGCGCGCAGGTTGTAGCACCCCTGCATCTGCAGATGACCCACATCAAGCAATGCAACAGTGTTACAAGCATGCGGCTTGGCCTTGTGAGCATAGAAGCAGTCAGAAGGTGTGCTTCATGCACACAATGGGAGGACATGGCCTGTGTTCAAGTCAGGCACTTGTGGATTGATTCGCACCTTTTGACCATTGACAGATGAAACAGTGCGCTCCAGTGCTGTAGTCACCATGTTGACGCTCAGGTCCACTCCATGCACAAACGCGCCAAACTTGGCCGCCATGTAAAAGTCTCCCCCTCCTGCAATTAGGCAATGTTGGCCATCAATAATAGCACTTGCAGAGCTACAAGCAAATATCCTGAAGCTGCTAAAGTGCACATTGAAAAGAGACAAGGGGCAGCTCAACGGCAACAGTGCCTGCTGTCACTGTTCCCAGGGGCCCAGAAGCAGCTTCAGCAAAGAATGTGAGGCATGCTTCAACACCATAGCAGAAATTCCCATGCATGACAACACCAGGGCTCTGTAATCGGCAACAGCACTCGTCCAATACTCGCGCATTGCTCTGAAACTGCAAAGTGTATCCCCAAAGAAAGAGGCAACGGGCAATTTCTCAGCAGCTGCTGCATTGCTTGCTGTCCCCGTCTATGGAGGCCATCATGCAGCTTCAGCAACACATTGATATCGGAAAATGCTGGCAATGTGGCGCCGACTCGATTTAACATATGGGCATGTAGACCTGGACAAACACATCAAAGGTACCGAGGTCCCTCACCAATGCCACAACCAACATCCAGCACACGCTCGTCCGGCTTGAGGCCCAGCATGTCCACAAACTCCTGCAGCACAGATTGAACCACTTCATTCCCTGAAATATCCCTTTCCATCTCTGATGCATGCCTTCCATGCTCTCGGGTGACATCAGAGAAGCTGCAAGGCCTGCATACTCTGTACATTCACCCAGCAAACTGACCAACTTGCATGAGACAAATTTGAGCACAACGGGCCACAGCGCAGCAGCACTTTGTGACACAACAGCTCTGCTGTTGGATCAGGGAGCCAAAGCTGCAAGCAGCAACACCAAGGTGCGCCGGCAGGATATCTGCGATTCAAATGTGCTGATACAGTCGTGTTTCGAAAGCATTGCCTGTCCTCGGTTTCTGCATGCCTAGCTGCTGAGCATATGTTGTGAAGCGGAACAAACCTGGTGCGCAAGGTAGTTTCAAATAGCACCAAATGGCAGAGGAAAATTTCAATGCCTTCAAGGCCAATCCTTGGTGGTCACAAAATGCTCTGCTGCTAATGGAAAACATTCTGGAGTAGCAACAAGGTGGAGAAATAGGAGGAATATGCCTAGGCCGCACCTTGGTGGTTTCCAAGCCGCCGGTGGAGACAAAGCCGGGCCCGAAGATGCGCTCGTAGCGCGCGATGCCGTTGGAGCTGTACTGCTGCGTGTCCAGAAATGCGCGGAAACTGTCGCGCACGGGCTCAGCCGTCACCACCTTGTTCCATTTCCAACAGATCTGCGCGGGAAAAGCTTACAAAATCAAGGGCGGGCTTGGAATACATTCTTATTTAACAATATCAGAGAGACTCCGACCAAGTCACAACCCTTGGATCTGTCGTGCAAGCTGCACAAGACCCAGTAATGAAAGGCACTAAGGAACTTGTGCAGAGTCTCAGCAGCGTCTGAAAGAATTTTGATTCAATTCAGTTGGCAGGCCAGCCCTGTGTGCATCGGACTTTCATAGTGCGAGCTGGCGCACCATCCATCACATATGATATGGGGCAATCTTCTCAGCATTCCCAATTTTACAAGACCATGCGGTCAACGGATGTCCACAGGACGAGATCTGCAGGGGATTCCTCATTTGATGACCACTGACAAAGCAGCTTAACAGCTGCTCGAATCCACAGCAAAAGCCAGCAATCCCTGGGCAGCGCACCTGGTTCTGATTCTTCTTGATGCGCACGTAGGTGTCAACGCACTTGCAGGAAATCAGCTCAAAGTGCGCGTAGCGCCCGTCGGCCTCACGCGTCTCCACGCTGTCAAAGATAGCAAAGTAGTCGCGCGGGTTCCTGCGCACCCAAGACCTTGTGAAATGACACTCATGAATCTCTGTCTGTCTCTACTCCCTCTGTCCTGAGAGTGCTCTTCTTCTGCCAAGATTCAGCCCAACGCCCAGGACATGTGCACAGTGCAAAACCAATTAGGAGGGTGATGATGAGCCAGCCACCCATCCTACTTCTGCAATACCGCCTTGACCCAATGTGCCATTCTGGCAACCTCTGCACAAAGTGACAGTGCATGCAGGGTCTCGGCATGCAAGAGGAAAGGGTTGAAGGGTATTAACATGTGAGCGCACCGGTAGTGGGTGGGATTGTTCTTCCGCGCCTTGTCGCCCGACTGGCGGAAGCACGACTCGCGGAAGAACACCGTGCCGCCCTCAACCACCTGCACGCACACAGATATTTGTTCATGCTTCATCACATTTGCTTTTGTTATATGGGGCAGGTTGCAGATTTCTCACAAGAAGCCCGAACACCCGGCCCAAAAAATATCAATTGATGCATTTGTTGGCCACATTCTCAGGACCACCATCGGGAAGTGTGCTCACAGGGTGCTCACTCGAGAAATGACCCACCAGGTCGTTGCTCCTTCACCCTTCACAGCAGCTGACCTCGAAACATCTCACATTTCACATACGGCAAGGTTGTAGTGGAGCACAGATCATATCTGGACCAGCACTGCCAGCAGATGCAAGCCCAGAAGATCTGCAGCGCCACGTCCCCACCGTATGCGAGAGGGATTGCGGGCGTCCCGCACACCAACGCACCGCAGCGCAGCATCACATGCATGCAAAGGAACGGGTCAGGCCTGGATTGCATGCGCACCCAGGTGAGCGCGTCGCCGGCAAGCTTGGCGACCTCTTTGTCGGACAGGTACATGAGGAGCCAGTTGGAGAAGACCACGTCCGCGCTGCCCGCCGGCAGCTCCAGCTCCGTGGCATCGCCCACCTGCCAGCGCACGTTGCGCCTGCGCACACAGCAGCAGAACAGTGACCATCTGCGTGCATGTATATCTGCACCAGGCCGGTGCGGTCTACGTAGGAAATCATGCCGCCCGGCGCATTGCTGCTGAATCCTGCCTCACACGGTTATGGTGGGGAGAAGGGCCAGGATTGAGCACAGTCCCTCATTTTAGGAGAATTGGAGCACCTTCAAAGCACAGCCAGAGAGCCGCCGCGCCATGACCATGTTGTGCATGGCCATCTGGAAGTCATGGGACTGTCTATCTGCAGCGGCGCCGACAATTGCAGATGTAGATGCATGCAGGGCAAGCAACCGTCAGACAGTAAGCTGCATGCAAAGTAAGAAGGGGGCACGGTGCACGCACCGGTGGCTGTTGGCGCGGCGGTTCTCGGCGATGAGGTTCTCCATGAAGTCAACGGCCAGCACGCTGCGCGCCGCAACTGCCAGCTCGCCGGTGAAGCGACCAATGCCGGCGCCCAGCTCCACGATGCGCGCGCCCTCCACGCAGCCCAGCATCGTCAGCACCTGCCGGCACATGTGCGCACATAAGTCATCCCCACGCATGCATGCGCCAGCCCCGTGCAGCTGCGGAGTGTCTGCTGCCTCCTGCGCCTCTGGCGGCACCGGGACAAGGCTTGTGTAAGTGTCTGCCTGTCAGGTGACCGCCGAAAAGCAGAAGCATAGGTCAAATCCCCCTTTTATGCAAGGTGGCGCTGTCTGGGTCGTTGCACGTCTGGACGGTTGATTGCCGATCAGAGAGAGCCCTGGACATGTCAGGATTTGCCAAAGAGAGGCACCAGCGTTTGTGATTCCTGGCCAATGCAATTTTCAGCCAATGCAAATTTGAGAGCTCACCAGCAAAAGCCCTCGATCGCAAATGACTAGGCACACAAGCAAGCATTCCGGCAGAGCAAAAGCAACCTGCTTTGTTGGGCCCTCTAAAACACTTTTTAAAACACTAAAAATCACTAGTGTGGCCAGTCTGCCTTGCAGCTGTTGTATAGCGTTCTTGCCGCCGTTGCTGGGTCCATCCTAATATGGAGCTTTCTCAATGTGATAATTGGACTCTTTCCTGCTTTGTACAACACAACACAGATCTAAACTTCATTCCAAAGCGTTACCTCAGGTCTTTCCTCCTTGTCGATCACCGATGCCTGGGAGTCCAGCATCATGGCCTCAACCGACGCGGTAGCAGAGTGGTCAGCCCAGTAGGATTTCTGGGCGGCGCGCTCCTCAGCGGGTTCCTTGGCATCGATCCGACCATGTCCAAGGGATCCCATCGCTTCAAAATAGTTTGCAGCTCTTGAGAAAGTTATATGAAGTTCCCTTGATCACGATCAGCTGCCGTGAATTGCCTGCCTTGCTCTGTCGAAAGACCTGCTGCGTCTGTTGTGGGCTTTCCCACGAGGCTGCATAGAGGATCACGAGGAGAGGATATGATTTGTCCGTAACATCCAAAGTTTAGCAGATCTCCTTCTCAGAGAGCTCTGTGCCAAGTCAGCTACCCGGCCGATGAGCTGCCAGATTATAAGTTCGTAAGATTCTCTGCATATTGATGCCAATCGATTTGAAAGCGTTTTGGATAGCGAAGTGGCAGGGTACTTGCATTTGCAGACAACCTGACATCCTCCGGTGCTTTCAGGGCAATTGCAAGTTGATTACGTCTAGATTGCAGAAGGATGGCACTGTGCTGTTTGACTGTACTACAGAATCTGGTGTGATGCTCGGCCGTAAAGATCCCCAGGAAGTATTTCCATTACGATCTATAGCTTGCACCAGTCTCGATCTCCACAGCAAGAGGCAGTCACAACAGAACAACTCCCAGTCTTACTGTCAATGAGCAATAAGCCGCTAGCCGTTTACAGGCTCTTCTTGAGATCCATCAGAACAGGTGAAAGCCTCTTCTGATTGCTGACACTCCTGTTCTGCATCGCTTGCTTGATTTGACACTGAAGCTCACTGGGGCCCACTGCTGTTCCAGCTTTCAAGGGCGACGCTTTCATGCTCACCTCAGCAAAGCAAGAAGTGCGCGCTCGCTTCCAGGTGACAGATGCCCTCACTACTTCCAAGATGTGCCCATCAAGCATCCAGCAAACCACAGTGACACAGGCGTTCTATTCATGTCCGCATGATTCCCGTTGTGCCTGCGCTTGGTTGGGGCCAAAGCTCCTCATTGACATGATCAGCATTGCATGCACTCAATGGCCTGTCTGGTGTGTAGTCGGCTGCAGGCGTCACAGAGCCCAAGGAGATAGAGAAGCTCTGCGCAGAGGGGCGGGACGCAGCGCAGTTCCTGACACAGTACGTGGTGCAGGCGAAGCTGAATGACCGCGGCAATTTTGGTGCGCGCACACCTATAATGGTTGATGCAGGCATCATGGTACACGACCACCTGATTGTACTTGACTTGTAGCCAAGCCCATGATCTGGGCGAGGGACAGCTCCTCATGAACATCCTGTCGGGCATGGCCGTTTCGTCTTTTCAGATGACCATAGTGACCCTACCACAGCCCCGGCAAGATTCCCCTACTTGGTGGTCTAGAGTGGGCATGCTGTGCAGCACAGCTCTGGAAGGGGTCAAGCATGCTCTGCTCATCTGGTCGCCGCTTTACGGGGGGATAGCACGGTCTGATGATATTGCTGCACAGATCTGTATGGCTGAGGCTTGCAACATGTGTGCTTGTGCAGCCATGATTGTGGAGCCCCACCACACAGACACTGTGGCGGAGGAGGCGGCTCTGCGGCCCGACAAGCCTCTTTGAGCTGTTGCAAGCTTGGGGAGTGGCTCCGAGCCAGTCTGAGCTTGACATGTGATCTCTGCAACCTGGTAAGAACTGTCGCAGAGTGTCGACAGCACATGCTGCGAAAAGGTGACCTTGTGTGTCACCTTTGTTGACACTCAAAAAGGAGACCTTGGAACCGTGAACTAATCTGGATTGAACAGACCAAGCTTTCTTGCTGGCGTGCATGGCATCCAGCTGACCATTGCTCGAATGAATTTAGAGGCCGGATTTGGATTGAACTACTTTGAACAGTTCCACAACAGTCTTGCCGCAATGTTGTGTTTGCCCAATGTCTTTAAGGGCACCGTACTTTGCCTTCAAGGTACGATCTGTCAGAGTCTCAGACTGCCGGTTCCATATGACCTGTCATGGGCTGCTACATCATGTGACTCACTTCAAAGCCCTCAGGTCACCCAATTGAATATCCCTGCAACTGGGAGACACTGTGCCGCATCATATACTACAGTAGTATATATGCTGTATATATCGCAATCAATATATATTGATTGCGACTGCATTGTTGCATCAGCCTGAGTACGAGTATGCCATTCGAATTCGGCCACATGCACATTGTTGGTGTCGGAACTCATGCACATGGCAGTCCTTCCGTTGTTTAGAGACGTTGATGAATGACGTGCAAATGCTTAGCACGACTACATGACAAGGAAAGAAGCCCACACTTGCATGCAGATCGCCCACACTTGCATGGCATGCAGTAATGATGACAGGACGATGAGTCAGCAAATGGCTGCTTGAAATTTCCGAAAGCTCTTTGATCGGCGTCAGAACGCTTTGTACAGATACAAGGTATCTCTGTCTCAATGGATAGAAAAATGAAGAAGAAAAGCAAGAGAAAGAGCGCCGAAGATGCCGGTGCACAGCAGGACGGCAGCACTCCTGTCAAGGAGAGAAAGAGCAAGAAGAGGACTAAAGAGGTCACTGAGAGGTAATATCCCAATACGTTTGATTCTTTATTGTGGCTTGTCAGTTGTCAGACTGCTGCGTGGATCATTGGTAGAGTACCTGGTTGTTGATCTCAAGATCAACCCACCAGCCGAAGTCAATACCTATCCCTTCGGAGCTGGTCAGATATCACTCGATCAGAAAGAATAATATTTGGCATTTCTTTGCTATTAGTGCCGCTGCTCTTGACAGCCGGACGCTGCAGATTGGTGGACATCTATTTGCAGTTCGGACCAGTGCAGTGCAGAGCCCCTTTCCTATACAATCTTGAATTAAAAAGCTTGCTGCGCATGCTACAATATTGAGTTGTGGGGAACGCACAGTGCACCGGTGGAGCAGGAAAGTAAGAGACAGAGGAGGCCTTCAACTCTCTCCATAGCCGTGGCAGCTTCAGTGATCGACAATGTCCAATCCGCAGAGCTGGCGACACTTGTTGCGGGGCAGATCGCGCGCACGGCAGCCATCTTCAATGTGGATGAAGTTATGGTCATCGATGAGTCACCCGGTCCCAAGTGAGCCCCCGCCTCGTCATTGTTTTTCTGCCTCTCCAGGGCTCTGCAACCTGATCGTCTGTCCACTAGTCAGCAGAGATTACCACTTCCGCTTTTACTCAGCAATGTATGCTGTGGCTTACTCGACGACCCGACCAGTGGTCAAAGTGCTGATGATATCTGTGTTGGCTGTAGTGGACGTGTGGGCAAGGGAGCGGCCTTCCTTGCGCGCGTGCTACAGTTTATGGAGACACCGCAGTACCTGCGCAAGTGAGCTCTGCCTGCTGCTGACCCTCAGAATTGCTTCTGTCCTTTGTCTTGCCTTCTGATCCACTGAATGCTGCCTCAAAGTATTGCATGGAACAAATCCGTGGACCTGGCCTTTTCAGAGGAGCAGGACTGCCTTTTTGTGCGATCCAGAGAAAGCAGAGCTGCCTGGAGCATCTGCTGGAGGTATCAAGGGATGCCACATAGTAAAGTAAGGGGAGCAGCCGAGATGGACTCCTACATGCAGATACTGTCACGCTGCAACAAGCAGAGCAGTATTTCGTTCCCAGGGCATGCTGGAGCAGTCGACCCATCGCTCAGCATCACACTTAGGGGTCTGGGGCCCGGCGTTTGTGGTAAAATGGTAGAGTGCCACGCGGCGTTACATTCAGAGGGGGTGTAAAGGGGTTGCTAAAGGGTAGCGCGCGCATCTTGCAGGGCGCTGTGCCCGATGCACCGGGACCTGCGGCTGGCCGGGCAGCTGCCGCCGCTGGACGCGCCCCACCACATGCGCGCATCCGAGTGGCGCCCCTTTCGCGAAGGAGTTGTCGTGCGGTCAGCGGTAGGGGCTGGTTCTCTGCTGGACGTCGGCCTTGACAAGGTGAGTCATTTTCTCGTGATCCTCGCCGGCACTCATAACTGAATCACTCCTCTTTGCAATGCCTCACATAGCGCTAATGGGAGGAGGATCATCATCATCATCATCATCATCATCATCATCATCATCATCATCATCATCATCATCATCATCATCATCATCATCATCATCATCATCATCATCATCATCATCATCATCATCATCATCATCATCATCATCATCATCATCATCATCATCATCATCATCATGTTTTTTGCCAGTGTTACGTACCTCAGAGGCTCCTGGGGGGCACTGTGACCATCTGCTCAGCAGTCATGCTCCCCAGCACATGGGAGATGACTGCAGCAAGTAGAAATGTCAGTTCCTTCAGCACATGACACACTGCAGAAAGCGAGGTGTCAATCGCAATTGTGAACATGCTGCCAGCCTAGCTGAAACGCAGATTGCATATGACTTTCCTTTTATTTGCTGCATCGGCACAATCTGTGCCACCAAGTGGCAGAGGAAAGAACCTTATACCAGGATGACTGTTTTGGAGGCACTGCTCTGGTCTGAAGGAGCAGCTGAAGAGCGGACATTGTGTGCAGGTTGCTTTCGTGCCAGAGGCGCTGAAGCAGTCGGTGCGAGTGACTGTGGAGATGGGGGAGCAGCCGCGGCCGCACAGGGTCGAGGGGGGACCCCTGGGAAAGGGTGTTGACACGCTGGAGGGCAGCGTTGTATTGCCCTCAGACCCCCGAGCCGAATCTGGCACGTACTGGGGATACACAGTGAGAATCGCCTCGGGCCTCTCTGCTGTCTTCTCAGAATGCCCATACCAGGTATCTGCACCTCACTTGCTGCTGTGGTGAAGACTTTGAGCTACTCATCCTCTGTCCTGTTAAGGAATCCTTGCACATAAAAATCTCAGCAGACCAGCTGCTCATATTGAAGTTGACTACATTTGCATGAGCTCATCTTTTGGTATTGTGTCACCTTCTGTACAAAGCCTATGTGAGGTCTACTTTGATTTCATCATTGGAAAAGTTAAGAAGCATCATGGTGCTGCAAGCATGAAGCAGCAGAGGCTAGGACACCACTGCAAAGCTTCTCTGCTGTAGTTTAAAACAGCGCTCTGTGGGTGCTGCAGGAAGGGTATGACTTGAAGGTGGGCACCTCAGAGCGCGGCAGTGTCCAGTCAGCGGCCGAGCTGGAGCTGCCGCCACATCAGCATGCACTCATTGCATTTGGGGGGCCTCAGGGACTGGAGGAGTGCCTCAAGAAAGACCCAGGGAAGGCGGCGGGAGATGCGGAAGAGCTGTTTGACTTGTGGCTGAACACATGCCCTGGCCAGGGCAGCAGGACAATACGGACCGAAGAAGCCCTGCTCATATCGCTTGCCTACTTCCAGCCTGCGCTGCAGTCAGCTCAAAATGCAGATGCAGGAGGAGATGCAAGTTTGAAACAATAGATTTGAGCAAAGAGCAACGTTAGGAGTGTGTTATTGGATTTCATTATTGACTGCGGCATTCACTATGCATGTAAAGGATACCGTAGCAGCGTTTCAGCAGAGCACACTGTACACACATGCACATCAATCTTGAGGCAAGCACATGCAAACGGAAAGGCGCGCATCCGCCACAATACTGGAGTATGGAATTGGGATGTTCGTTGGTTCATTGAGGATACAAGCACGGCTGACTGTGCTTATTAGTACGCCCAATACTACAGAGTCCAACGCTGCGGTGGCTGACAGGTTACCTGTACCACCGCCTGAACTGGTTCCCCATGTACCAGAACAGCACCTGTGGCTTGAGCCCCCACATGCATTACTTTTGTTATTGCAATATTAATGTCCATTCGCCATTCAGTAAATATTGACCGCAAGATATCAAGCTTTTCCTGTAGCTTTGCTCTGAGTCTGTGAAAGTGACACGATATTGTACAATATCATCAGCATAAAATAGAATCCAGCAGGTCTCGCTCTGGGTTGGTCTCTTGCACTCGGTGAGGTGCCCATCAAGACTATAACCAACATCAATGCCCAGGTGGCGGACCCTGTGCTCAATGCGCCTACATATGCTATCCAAAAACAGCATGGGTGCATTAACATCACCCTGCTTGAATCCTGTGGAGACTTCAAACCAACTCTGGCTGCCATTATGGTCTATTTGCATGGCACACTCTGTATCCTCATGCAAGTCCCTCGGGAGGCCCACCAGTTTGGCAGGAGCTCCCCGCTGCTGCAGCACACACCATGCTAGATCTCTGTCCACAGAGTCATATGCTTTACTCAAAGTCAATGAAGCACAAATTGGTATCATTGGCTCAAATGTGATTCAGTTGGTCTCATAAATTTTGGTGGCAACGCCTTCCAAACACGCACAGCCTTTTGTCTGCGTTGAGTATCGTTAGGAATCTGGCCATATTTCTGGTCCTCATGGGACGTGTGTGCATGTCTGCTTCATACTCACACATTGCAAGTGGCAACCTCTTTTGCTGCACTACTCTCCTCGGCAGTGGTAAGAGGAACTTCCAGAGATGACTTAGGCTTCTCCGGCAGAGCAATCAAGATCACAAACCCAATCACCCTCACAATAAAACCAATGCCCAGGGCCGGTAGCAGATTTGTTGCAAAGGACCCGGCCAACTGTGCAAGAAGAATATAAGCATCCGCCTTCAGGCACTCTGCGCTGGCACATTCTGCCTTTGGAACTCCTGAGGGCAGAAACAGCCCCTTAATCCCCTTTAAAACTGTTTCGAATGCTTCGAAACGCAGGCACATGAACATATTTATATAAACTAGAACGCAGACATGTAAAGGCCATTGCTAGTGCTGCATGCTTCCGTATTACTGATCATGTGAATAGAAATAAGTATCTCACCTTCTGTGCTTGCCAGGAGTATCAAAATGAAGGCGTAGATAGAGTAGGACAAGAAGTATGGCAGGATTAAAAGCTGATCTTGGCGCAACCCCACGATTCTTTTGGCCAAAAGGACGTAACCAGAAGGTTGTCCACATCAGGTCGGCCACCGCGTGTTGCAAACAGCACGCCCCGGGTGATGGCCCACTCTGAACAAATAAGCAAAGCCGCTAGAATGGCATAAAAAGTCCAGAGTGCCGCATCGTACACGAGCACGGGAACGAGAAGAGCCTTCAGGCTTGTTAGCAGAGAAATCGAACGGTAGGAAATAGCGGCCGTGGTGCCTGCAGCCCATGAACCGTGAGGATTTCGCCCCAAAAGCTCAGCTGGAGTGTGTATCTTCGACATTGCTAGGAGCATTGCACAGCCAAGTATTAATAGAGGATGTTTCCGGGTCTTACCAGCGATAAAGAAAAGAATAGCATACGTAACAGCGATACCGAAGGAGGAGAGTATGGAGAAGAAAATGGCGCCTTGGGAAGTTGAAATTATCCACGGTGGGCAAGAGTGTGGTGAAGACATTGAAGATGCCAATTTGTTCGATGCTTTGTTACCTCGTTATATGAAGGGAGAAATGTTCCTGAGACCAAGAATTGCTTTGTGACAGACGAGCGACCCCTCCTGAACATCCACGCAGCATCCGGCGTTCCCTTGAGTGGATCTATCATTACTCATAAAATCAACTCTTTCAAATTAAGAGAAATGTAGTTGCCAAAATCAGCAACTTGTCAAAGATGGGGCAGCTGTTGTCGATAAGTGCATGTTAACAGAATTTGAATGTACGCATGGGCTTGGTCTGTGCAATTGTTGTTGGCCAACCATAGTGCTTGTGAACATGGACAAGCGGTGAGCTACACTATTCTCTGGGGAAGGGTCAACCGGTGGAGGTTGCAGGATTTTCACCCTCAACTAGGACATTGTCTTTACAGGGAGGCCCATCAACAGCAGAAAAGGCGTGCAACTGTCCTATCATGCCATTCATACAAACGCCATGCTCATCTAGAGACCCCGTCGATGTTGCTGCGCAGTCAGACTGATTTGCTTCTCAAAGCCTTGGGAACACCTGGACTGAACCGTGGTGCGATTGCCAGCACTGTCTGCCAGCATCTAGGTTTACTGCTTTTCAGAAGATTTCTCTTTTCCATCCTTTTCCTTCTCTTCTTCCTCATCCTCATCTTCTGAGCCGCTCTCCTCAGTCCCACTGTCCTCGCTGTCCCAGTCACCTATTGAGAAATCATGAGGAACCGATCAAGGCATGCACCACAGCATAGCAACCGCTGCAGCAGCTGCAGCAGCTCAGCCATGAAAGTGCCGGTGCAGACTCATCGATTATGAATGTTGCCATGAAACACACTCCACGCTTAAACTACATCCGGAAAAGAGAGATGCAAGACATAAAGGCAATGCGAGCGCCAAAAAGCTGCCTCGCAGCGCTAGTGCCACACAAGACATACATGATATGGTCAATTACTGCGCCTGCCGCCATGCACCCAGAGCAAGCCAAGAACAAATGATTGGGCTGCAGCGGCAATCAACGGGGAACAGGAAACAAGCCCACGAAACAGCGCAGGTCATGAGTTACAATAAGGATGTGCATGTATGTGCGTGCATGTGCCGGCGGCCCACCTTCCTCTTCATCGTCCTCGTCATCCTCGTCCTCGTTGTCGCCCCGTTCGTCGGCGTTGTCATCCCTGGCCGCCTCGTCTCCCGAGGCGTGCTCTCCGCGCGCGTCACTCTTCCCCTTCCCGCCGCGGCCCTCCTTCTCGGCGCGCGTCTGCTCCGCCACGCGCAGCTTGAACGCCACCGACCGATCGCACCCCGCCCAGCTGTCTGCAAGCGCACGCACCACCACATGGCTGAGAATCTGTTCATGGGACTTGTGTGGAGAACATGTGCCAAGCGTCTGACAGCCTGGGCTTTGTTGAGGAGGCTTGAAGACTTGAGAGACATTTTCTGAAGTTCAGCAGGTGCTCTACTCTGATCTGTATGCAGACAAGAAGGGCTTGTTTGTGAGAAACTTCACTAACATAGCCACTGCTGCCATTGTGCCACGCAGAATCGAGAGAAAAATCAGCTTTTGTCCAGGCTTCGTAATTATCAAAACATGAGAAGCCCTTCACAGGTGCATGTGCACACCCGACACGCAGAAGAGAGTGAGGTCGTATTTGCCGGGCTTGGGCGCTCGGAACTTGACCTCCACCAGCTGCCCCTGCGGCGCAGCCGCCGCTGACTCAGCCGCACGCGCAGCTTCCTCTCCCTTCTCGGCAGCCGCCGCGCTGCTGCCATTGGCCGTCATCGGCACCTCCCCTGCCTCCTTCTTCCCACTGCATCAGCACGTGAACAGTTGATCAAGTTGCGGTTTTGAGCAAGTCATAGTGCAGATGCCTGCACAGGCGCAGGGGAGAGGTATGCTAAGGATATTCCGGACACAAGGAAGAATTTGCCCTGCCACAGAAGGGTTCACCCCAAGAGCATACAGCACAACGAAAGACATCCTAAAAGTCAGGGGCGCAAATTCTCCAGCAATTACAGGCTCCACGACGGCTCTTGCCACCTGGGGTTTGACGCAGACCCCAAAAGGTGTGCGCGTCACATCAAGATTTAAATGCAAATACAGATGAAATTTCTCTATGTGGGTTCAGGAATCACCTCTGGCGGCCGCCTTCGCCCCCGGTGAGCAGCAGCGGCTGTTTGGCACGCTGCGCTGTGCATTGCGTCAGCCCGGCAGCCTCCGCTTCCACAAGCGCCGTTTCAGCGCGAGTGTAGACGGTGTTGGTCACCGGGTCTGCCACGATGAAGTTCCACTTCTCCGGCTTGGGGTAGGGGTACAGCGGCGCGTACGCCAGCACCGAGGTCCCCTTGGGGGGCTGCGTATCTGCAAGCATACAGAATCCGCTGTTTAGGAGGGCTGCTAAAAAAGTGGCTTTAAAAAGTCTGAATAGAAGGCTGTGCAAAAACAGACCGGAGCGTGAGAGTGCTGCTGCAGAAAAATTGGCCACCAAAAACGCGGCAATGAAAGTATGTGTAGATTGCAGATCAGAGTGTCAAGCGTCTGCCGCAATGTGTTTGTTCTGGACTGTCTTTGATATAAAGCTGTCGACATGTGACAGTGTTGTGAAATCTTCTAAGTAGTTTGCTGCGTCAGCATGCACGCCCTGAACTGGTCTAAGCACTTGTCATTGCGATCAGGATGGTAATGTTTCCCTGAAAAACTCTAGATGGAGCCTTGAGCAGTGCTTGCTTCCTTGGAATTCTCAAGAACGCAGGGTCTTCCACTTTTGAAAGTGGCATAGGCGGTGCTGAGGAGGAATGGCATACCTGGAGATGCATGGGAAGGCCGTGAGAGCACCACGCGCACAGAGCAGGTGACAATATCAGTCTCCACAATCTGCGTCCCATCCGCCTCCCCTTCCACCTGCCACCCAACTCAGACACCTCAGCTCACAGTGTCCAAGTATTTTGTGAAGCCTCTGAGCACACATGCCTAACCATGATGGCAGGGACATCGTGGTGCTACATGGGTGAAGACACTGCAGATCCCTTCCATCATCTACAAGCAACTGGAGAGACATTGTTCTGGTGAGAATGCAGAGAACAGTTCAGTCCTACCTGTAGCTGCACATCTGTCAATGTGACAGTCGGCAGTGACAGCAGTGACGTGGCAGCCTCCTCCGCCTGCTGCTTCGTCAGACCTGCAGAGTTGTGCACCCATCAGTCTCGCATCCTGAAGACTCACAGTATTAAAGAACGCCACCTTGAAGGATATGTGACAAACAGGAAGGCCTGCAAGGTACCCTGGCCAATGCAATACATTTTGTGAGAGACCTTTCAGGCGACAGACTAAGTGCACCTACTCAGTAAAGCAAGTAGAGATCTCTATCACGGTCATGCACGATACCTGAGGAAGGCATCGACAAGATGAGAACATAGCCATGATGAAAGCGGGGCCTCACCAGAGGTGACGAAGAGCTCCAGGCGCTCCTCAGGGTCCATGGCTGCGAGCTCTGCCAGGCTGCGCATCTTCTTGCGGCCCAGCTTCTTCAGCACGTCGTAGTCGAAGTGCGGCAGCTGCAGCAGGACACTTGTGTCCGCGCCACCCTGCAGTGCAGCACAGCCGCAGCGCATCTCAGACACACTCGTGGACATGGGATGATGTCTTGTGACATTGCAGAACCTTACTGTAAGTCTCTGTTGAACCGGAAAGACATGCCCTCAATCTGACATGTGATGCCGGGAATTGCAGTTGGGCGCCATTATATTTAAAGACGGGGCGGGGCCTTCACTCATCATTGTTGGCATGAGGCTTAGAGACACAACAAAAGTACTGCACCGTGGAGAATGATGAATTTTGCTTGCAGGCACCAGCGTCGTCATACAAGATTGGCCTTCCCCATGAGCTACAGCCAAGACACCCCAGTTTGATAGGCTGCCATGCCCACGCTGCTGCGACTAACCTACTCAACATGGACTGGGAAAGGCGTGCTTTACAGTGGGGGAGCTACTCCTTGTGAGCAATAATTGATGCGAGAGGAGAGAGGACAAGGTAATCACCTTGGCGCCGCCCTGGCTGAGGGATTTGCGCGCAACGATGCTCATGGCCTGCGTGATGCACTGCGCCATCTCCAGGCACCCCACCGTCGGCGACAGCCACCCGTACCCCTGCGGCGGCCGCGCCAGATTCGCGATGTTTATCATCTCCTCCAGGAACTGGGGCGACTGCACGCAACAAACACACCACGTGTTAGCTCTTCTCTGCACTGCCGTACTTTGGGCATCTCCAAGCTGCATTACAAGCTTGGGGGATCCTAAGAAAAATCTGCCGATGGATCCCCGCTCTGCACCTAACCACTTCTGACATAGTACAAATCCGCATTGGGCACGTGCTTATTAAAGGGTCATATGAATGATAATGCACATGAAATGAGTTGCTGTCCACCTTTGTTCATGTCCTGCACATATCCGCTCTGTGGGGTTTCATGGCCAGCACGCCATGGATTCCAGGGGACTAGTTTCCAGTGAACGTGGCCAAAAGAGCCAGGTACTCACAGGACACCAAGGAAGGGCCTGGTGTGCATGCACTGGCACAACGAGAGGTCGGTCAGCTGTCTGCATGGCAATCAAAGAATACAATATGTCCTGAAGGACTGTTCTGACTGTGGTGTGGGGTATCAGGCGCTGAAGGTCTGTGAATCCACGTGCAAAATAAGAACGGTTGCCCTCCCTCGTGATACAGCGCACAACAGGCAGATTTCGTCTAAGACTCTTGAACGACTTTGCAGGACAGGTGAGTCCTGTCATGCGTTATGATGTCCAGCGGAATCTCGCTCTCAAGGAGTTTAAAAGCCACCGTGAACAGGAATCAGTAACACAAGTGGTACTAAATTCCCATGCAACGGTGCGGCAAAATGCCTAGAGGCACCACAGAGCACCACAAATGGACTTAATTTCTGCCATCCCACCCTCCCTGCTCCCTCACACCCTCCCTGCTCCCTCAAGGGCAGAAAGACTGAAAAAAAGTCTAAAATCTGTTCACAGATCATTATTACTGCGGGATATGTTGGCAGACACCCTGCGCACGGTAGCGCACCTTTTTGAGGACGTATTTCATGTCGTTGGCGAAGATGGGTGGCACGGGCGCGCGAGAGAGATGCGCCAGCAGCAGCATGTTGCACTTCACAATGGACGGCTTGCGCTTCCAGAACTGCGGCTTCTCCTGTTTTGCCAGCATGCCACACAGCTCAGACCAGGCTCACACTTGCCACTTTGCCGCAGCACACTTCCAAGTGAATGTCAGCAAATGGCCAACTCCCCGCTATACTCTCAACATGTCATCCAAGATCTGCACAAAAAATCCTGTGCATCTACTGCCGTACTTTTGGAAGTGAGCCCTCTGCCTCAGGAAAGGCGCCTCACAATCGCATGTCCGGTCTCCAACGTCTCTAACAATTGTCTCATCAGGCAAGTATGGACAGCTGTGCAGTCTCTGTATTGCAATCCCCCACAGCTGCACTCACACGGCAAGGCTCATGGAAGTTTCAGAGTCAGCACTCCTCCAACAGCCTGAGCGCACCTTGAGGTCTGGGTGCACGCGCAGCATGGTGCGGCGCAGCGTCTCGAGGCCCTCGGCCTGGTCGGAGGGCGTGGGCAGCATGATGAACTCGTACGCAAACACCAGCGTGTCCAGCACGCGCGCCAGCCCCTGAGACTCCTTCACCGCAAACTTCGACCTGGGCGCAAAACGCAAGTGTCTCAATCAGGAGAATTGACTCGGTAGAAACGAAGGAGCTGAATGGGAGCGTTGCGTAGTGTAGCAAGGGAAGGCCACTGAAAGGAGATTGTCAGAGATCAGCCACAGGGAAGATTGCCAGACTCTTTGCCAAGCTCTTTCTTCATAAAAGCATAACAATATACGGGGACAGTCCAACAATGATAGGCTGCTGTGTTGTGCTTCAGCGTATCACTTGGCTGGAGAGCATGCAGTTACTTGTGGAAGGCCAATTCAGGCAACAGCATATGATGCACTGGGGTATGCTTCAAACATCCGTGCCTGCTTTGGGGTCTGCTTGCACATCTTCAAACAGTCAAATTTGAGTGGCTGCTTCAGTACTGGTGGCTGCTCAGAATGCCTTTGTTGAAGGCAGCAAGCAAATCTTAAGCAGCTGCGGGATGTGTACAACATCTTAAAAGAAGACATCTGCCAGTGTAGCCCGGCACGCCCCTCTATTCCAGCCTCCAGCCTCACCTGAGGAAGATCTCCAGCGTCTCGGTGGCCACATTGTTGGGCCCCATGTACTTGTTGGAGCGCAGCAGGTAGCAGGCGGCCACTATCAGCGGCAGCAGGATGCAGATGCCGATCAGGGAGATCAAAATCACAGGCGCAGCGTGCTTGTCGCGCGAAAATATCCACTCTGGCAGCGCCACGCCCATGTTGAGGGCCTGGGGCCCGTCTGGGTGCCCGTACTTCTCATAGTTCTCCCGCGCCGTGTCGTCTGCAGTGATAAGCAGACAGCGTCATGCAGAGCTGATGATGCCTCTGTTTGGGTATTATGCACAGCTGCAAATCTACAGCATCAGCGTTGGGAGAGGTCTTGAGAACTTGAGTGAATGGCTTCACTGGCGTGGGTGCAAGCAGGACTGTTATCCACTGAGAGGTATGCAGCGCGCACCTGTCAGCGCCTTGTAAGCCTTTGTGATGGACTCGGCAAAGTAGGTGGCAGCTGCAGGGTCCGGGTTCTTGTCGGGGTGGAATATGAGCGACAGCTGCCTGTACGCCTTCTTTACCTCTTTCTCTGTTGCCCCTCTGTCGATCTGCACAACACTAACTTACTGAGGGCCAGCCAATCCTGTTTGCACCTCTTCAATTCGTGTCTCCATCAGAATATGTATATGTATAGTATGCATAGATGGGGGTTGCCACACTTGCTGGGTGATATGTGGAAAGGTAGATTCGCTGAAATACCAATTGGCAGAGTCAGGGCTGTCGGCACTCACCTTGAGAATTTCAAAGGGATCAAAAGGCACTAGGTCGGCACTTTGGGTCTGCACGTAGACCACCAGGGCAACCCACACCAACCATCCAACAGCCAGCAGCACATTCTCGACTGTGAAGAATCTCCCCGCAAACCTGCTGATCGCCGACGTCTTCTTCTGTTGGACGCAACGAAAAAATTTCAGGTCTCTACTACTTGCCAGCACGGAGGTTTACACTAAGAACACCCAACAGAGGCGCAGGCACCCAGATCAGGACTCTCTACCACGAAAATTCTCAATGTGGGCGTACACAAAGCATGCATCGAGATGTAGCAGGTGCGAACTACTCGAACGTCTTCATAGACACCTTGAAAGACTGTCATCTTGTGCAGGCACCTTGATCGAGACTTTCTAGAGGGACTTACCGATTCCCACGGTTTCACAACCTCGTCAGGCGCAGCTGCCACGCAGAGCTTGTATACAGTGAACGGTATGAGAAAAAGAGAGAATACCGAAAGGACAAACACAGCAAAGAGTGGCGAGCTGCCTGCCTGCTCCTCCATGGAATACTATCAAGTTTCCAGAGCAAATCTGATCATGCGTTCAATGAGAGAAGTGACGAGGATTCAACATCTCAGCTTCATAGGTGTTTCTTCTGCCCCAAAATCTGGGACTGCATGAACGCACCCAAGACTCCCCATTTTCCAGCGCCATTTCCCTAGCCACAATAGGCAACACCAGGAGGAGCACACAAAACACTCGACGCACTGCTGAAGCCATCTCGATAATTTGCACATCATGCATCTTCGATTCAGGTTAAATAACAGTCAAGTGAAAAACGCATGTTGTGCAGTGAGAATCCTTCTGAGTGCTGGAGTGTGACCACTTTATGGGCACGCGTACCCACACTTATTTACTTGACTTGGCGTGTACTAATATCTCTAGATCTCAAGAGTGTCAGTAAAATATAGCTTACATTGGTGGTCTTGAAAATTCAGCTCATTCAGTCCTGTAGGGATCGTATTGTTAGAACCATCAGCTTGAGAACACGCTTGTGGGCACTATTGCGCGGCATCATGCAATCAAATACTAGCTATATCGTGCCGTGATCTTCTCGTTCAAGTCAAGATCTCAACAGGGCAAAAGCTACATCAAACAGAAATCCGCGGATGTAGTCTAACATCAGACTTGGGTTTTGGTGCCTGGCACAAGAAAGGCACCGTGGGTGCTCAGTATAGGAAGCTACATCATATAAACATCGGTGGTGTGTGTGAGCATTCTTTCCAGCCAGCTCTGAAAGGAAGGGACATTTTGAGGGCTGGTGAATGTTGGCCCTGCTGCGGCAGTCATTCACACGGCCAGGGCCACTTCTGGGCCCATGCACCCCCGCCTTGTGGCATCTGAGCCGCCAGATCAGCGTGCTGAGCGGTGATGAGAACGAATGCCTGCATGGTATGCCCTCTCCCAGCTCTGCATGCATGCATGGTTCTCTGCAGCTGTGCCGTTCCGCTGCATGTCTCCAATGATATTTTGATCTTCTTGATCTCTTTGATCACCAAATCACTTCAGTGTTACTCAAGCCACAATGAGATGCATGTACACTCAAGCATCGATGCCAGCTGCCAAAGCCAATTAGCATGGCTGCAAGGCGATCGGGGTAGCTGAACGCTGGCAGATCCTCCCCAAAAAGCCTGCCTGTATTGCACATGCCTGCCAGACTCCCGACTCTATCTCTGCTGCGCTCACAGGCTTTCGGCAGGGCACGATTGTGCCGCGGGTGGTGTCCTACCAGATAGGCCTCAGGCAGGCGCAGCTGGCGTTCGAGCAGTGGCAGCAGTCGCACTGGCTGGCCCCCTCGAAGCTGCTGCACCGGGGCCTCATCAGCATGCATGCAGCCCTGCTGCCCTTCTGGCTCTTTGAGGCCACAGTCCATGTAGAATACACAGGTTTGTTCTTGCCATTGTTCCTTCCCACATTACTTTATGCAAGATCCCGTGGCGCTCGAGACTGCTGACTCAGGGTATGGTGCATGGTACACCAGTAGTCGTGTTATCTGCCATCCTGGGTCGTCACTGCGCGGCGCCACGCCGTCCTGCATAAGCAGAGACAGCACTCCACATCGATCTGCTGTGCAACCTGCGCTTTTTGCGACCCCAATATGAGCAGTATTGGTAGTAAAGGCATTAGCAGTAAAGGCTGACTGTGTGCCAAGCTGACGAGCAACGACCCCCATTTCAATAATCGCCACGCATGCTTCTGTGCAGGGCAGCTGGGGTTCCCCATAGACCATAAATCCATGGTGTGGAAGGACACCCACTGGCGGATAAGGGGCTTCAGGGAATACCCGTGGACACTGTCCAGCATGCAGGTGTGATTGATCTTCTGTTGGCTGTCAATTGGGTTACTATATCTCTGTCACTTTTAAGCTTGCGTGTATATGATGTGCAGCTCTGTCGACTCTCCCATCTTCATGATCTGATGGATCTGATGGATGGACCCTCAACGTCACAGAAGGGGTAGATTTGAGTATAAAATTGCCTCTGTAAATTTTTGCACAGGTGTATGCCTCGTACAAGTACAGGAGGGATCTAGCAGAGGCGGCAAAGGTGGCGGGCATCATGGGCAGGAGCCGGCAGCTGAAGCGCTCAGAGGCCGAGCACCTGCTGGTGCGCTCAACCTCCCTGCTGCCTATCCCTGGCTCAAAATTGGGCCATCCTGCTCTAATCAATCTAGGCTACTGAAGAAGCCAAGCCTCTCGCGCTAGTTCAATTCATCAAACAGGTTTACCGCAGAGCTCACAGGCTCATGCCAGGTATCAGAATAATTGCAGCGTGCTTAGGCAATGGCACACTGAAAAGCTATTTGAATAGTGTCTGCAACTATACAGTGCAATTTCGCAGGCGGATGAGGTGGGCTGGGGAGATGGGGGAGAGGCTGACGTGGCGTTGGACCCCCCGACGGTGCGGCAGGCCATAGGCTGGTCATTCGCGCTGCGCAACATCCGGCGCTTGGAGACTGAGGAAGCTGCCGAGCAGCTTCGGCGGGAGACCGGCGCTGAGACCGTGCGCAATGTCAAGGCACGGCACACATGCCATGTTATTGCAAAGGACTTTTGCGCGTTGCAGATGGTGCAGGTTTGCTGTTCCGGGTTGTGAGAGAGGGAGGCGATACACTTATGCTTGCCGCCTTGCCGGTCACAAAGGCTGCATATACTGCTGCGTGGCTTACTTTACACTATCTGCATCATATTCTCTCTGGCTAGCCGTCGCACTGTGCATGTTACAAATATTGCAGAGCTACAAAGGCAGGCATAGTTCAAGCAACCTTTTGGTGACTACAACACTTACATGGAGACCACAAAACACAGCGGTGTGTAAGTGGTGGAAGTTGCTGCGCAGGTGAGGGTGCGGACAGTGCGGAGGAGGGCGCGCCTTCTGTACCTGCCTGCCTACGTGGCGGACTACAAATTCGGCGAGGCCTTCAACGCGCACGGGGAGCGGCGCCCGCAGCGGTTCAGAGCCATTGTTTCTGGCATGGACGCCAGTCGCATTGCCGCCGAACGCCACTTCAGCCCCCATAAGGTCCGGCTTGTACTTCTGCATGGATCTCATATTGTGTCCTGTGTCTGCTGCATAGCAGTGTCCACAAGACTTTCATGTCTGAAACATTTATCCCTGAATGAGGGACAAGTTGGAGAATCTGATGCACCAATCTTGCAGCCTCTGTGGACAGCCACTTGCAAGCTGAAGCGCAAAACACCTAGCATGACTCAGCAAGAGTTATGTGGATATTTGTGAGAGTGATACAGTTGAGGGATGTGAGACAGGGCAATATCAAATTGCCAGAGTCAAAGGAGCCGGTGTGAATGCAGGTGCAAGCGGCAGCGGCAGGCGCGATGGCGCTGATAGGCCTGGCAGCTGGCGCTATAGAGCTGGGCAACAATGGATCCCCCCAGCTGCTCTCCGCCACCTCAGCCTTCTCAGTCTTCATGGTCTGCTCCGCAGCAGGTGCAAACCCATCCCACACAAAGTGTTCACATTATTTGTTATTGCTGTCCGACCATCCCAGGGAGATTGGGCATGTCTTGCAGGAGAAATTTAGAGTATGGTACTCAGATGTTACTGGCAAATGGTGCTCAGTCTGCTAAAGACCTCTGTGTTCCAATAATCAAGCCTGGCTACATGGCCAGTTCTTCACTGCAAGCACCTCATCAGCACTTTCTTGCCATGACATCGGCCTCTTTCTTCACTTTTTGTGTGCCAGCCCTGTTTTGCTGGGAGGTGTTTGATTATGCAAATGCATGCATGCATGGTGTGAGCACATGCGGGCACATGGGGCGTGCAGGGCTGGCAGCGCGGATGTCCACTCAGCTGATGAGGGAGCGGCAGGAGCAGGAACGCCTCGCAACGGAGGAGATGGACTTTGAGCGAATCATGGGCTGGGGGCTGGGGCCCATGGACGCGCTCGACCAGGAGCAGGAGGTGCGCAGTCGCTCACTGAGAACTTACTAGAAGGTGACAGAGATACAAGAGGTTGGCAATGAGTTGAGGTTTTGAGAGTGTGAAAACAACAGGCAAGGCGGCACATGATAGGGATCTTAGAGGAATTTGATGATGTCGTGATACAACTCATGGTTGCCAAGCATTGGAAAGTTGAGGAGGTCATGGTACAGCTGGTGTCTCAGCATCCTCCACCACCAAATGGGACATTATAAGCCCCTCTCAGTCAGAATCCCTGCCTTGCTCGTTCCCCAGTAGGACTTGCTTGAGCTTGAAGTCTCCTAGTAATGTACTTTCAAACAAGGCAGACCCAGGGGACATCACTCGCCGGAATTTCCAGCAATCCTGGTGTCATTGCCGAGTCTTTGATTCCCCTGCACCCACTATGTACAGGGGAATCTGACAAACCCCTCGGTGTCTGCAGGAGGTTCGCGAGGCGACGGAGTGGACGCGGTGGCAGGAGGCGGACAAGTGGAGCTGGGACGAGGCCAAGCGCCAGCGATGGGCCGAGGGACTCTGGCGTCACCAGCAGAAGCGCCGCCTCGAACGCGCCGCCCTGCGTGCCAAACTCGCCGCCGCCAATGCCCGCCAGAAACTCGAGGTGCGCGCATTTTGAACCTATAATGCTCTCTATGTCAGCCTTTCCATGCCTTTATTGCTTTCTATGTCAGCCTTTTATTTTTTAACGACCGGAGTGAGAGTGTGATGGGCCGATTGCAGCGCCCTTTGCAATGCTTGGCAATGTCATGTGGGGATCTATTGGCAGGCTGATGTGCATGCCAGGTGGTATGTGCGTTGGAATGTGGGCACTCATCTATCAGCAGCTCTGCAGCATGCGTATCAGAGCACTGCTGAATCTGACACTGGGGTCCATCTAAAGCAAGGTGTTGACAAGAGGTGCAGCACTTGCCAATGATGCGGGCCCAATACTACTGAAGTGCTGAGCTGAAGCCCTTCAGCACATGATAGTAGTGTAGGCGCATGAGTGCTGAGCTGACTCTGTGCAGCATATATTGATGGTGTGGGCCGGGAATCCTGACCAATTCTTCTGTGCGTGCGCAGGCGCAGTTTGAGGCGCGCAGGCGAGCAAAGTGGGGCCATTCGAGCCACCACGGCGCGTGGCACGCCAAGCAGGGGGCGGCTGTCGGGGCGAGCGGCTACGGCGGCGGCCGGCGCGACTTCTTGGGGTACTACGCGATGCTAGGATTAGACGTTGAGGCCGGGGCAGGGGTGAGCGAGGGGGACGTGAAGCGCGCGTTCCGGCAGGCCGCTCTGCGCTGGCACCCCGACCGCCAAAAGGTGCGCCAATTCTGGCTGCTGTGGCAGGAGAAGAAAAACGAGACAGGGATGATCGTTGCGTGCGAACGTTGAGGAGTGGCACGTGCTACATGCTGGACCACAATGGCATACGTTCAGGGAAGATTACGTAGTGGACTGTTGAGGTCAGAATTGTGCCTTAGTGCTAGGCTGCTAGTAGTGAGCGGAGCACATTTGCTATCGGGAAAGAGGTGGCTAGTGCTCAATTTTGTGCTCCAAAGCGAGTGATTCCGACCTATCAGTTGGTTGCTGGTGGTGAACCTTGACATAGAAGACAGATTCAGAACTTTGACATGGAAGCTTGGGGCAGACGTATCAGTCCTCTGAGCATATCAGCTACAGTACATGTACACGCAGCCGTAGTCAAAGTGCATGCATGGATTTGCAAATCAAGTGCTTCTGCTCCAGGCATGTGCTAGGTAGCTTCTCTACATGTGGGATTCCTTTGCCTCTTCTCATACTGACATTCCCAAACCATGCTTCCTGACGTTTCCTTTGGCATGCATGCACAGAGTGCAGATGAGCAGGGCAGGCGAAAAGCGCAGGAGCGTTTCCAGCAGCTGAAGACTGCCTATGAGGTCCTGCGCAACCCGGAGCTGCGCAGAGAATATGACAACGGCCGCATGGCTGAAGCCGCCTGATCCCGGCTTACGGCAGGCTAATACAAGATATATATTCAGCTTCAAACGCACACAGCATGTATCGCCGCTGCAGAGATTTAGCTGCGCGCGCAGAGAGTCTGACGGCGGTTTTAGGCTAAAGCCGCCTGACCCCGGCTTCAAACAGGCTGAACTTAGATCTTTGTGCAGCTTGAAGTGCGCACAGCATGTACTGCGGCTGCAGAGACATACCTGCGCAGAGAGTATGACAGCGGCCGCATGGCTCGAGCCGCCTGATCCCGGCTTGCAGCAGGCTGAATGTAGAGATATGTGCAGCTTCAACGCATCCAGCATTTATTGCAGATGAATGTGCAGCTTGAACTCTGGCAGCACTTATCGCCGCTGCAGAAACTTACCTGAAATTGGAGCTTGAGAGCGGCCGGTGAGGCAGCCTGATCCAGGCTTCAAGGAAGGCTGAGTCAGATATGCTTGTAGCTAAGACAGCAGCAATGCGCGCAGCATTTATGGCTGCTGCAGAGAGTGGCCTCATCTGAGCAAACGCTCAAACACTCGCCAGAGTCTGCTCACATCCTGTGCACACAGACTTTCTTGCCATCTCAAGGACAGGGGTCACCCGACAGAATGGCCTTGAACATAGCTGAACACACCCTTGTAAAATCTAGTGAACACGGTTCCCTTTGCAGTGTGATGCTGGCAGGCATTATCTCAGCAAATAAGGGAATAAAAGAGTCTGCTCACATCCCATGCAAATATATTACACTATCTTGCGGCCTTGAGGTCAGAATTCGCCCAATAGAATGGCCTCAGATGACCTCAGACTATCTATTATCTGCTTTGATGTCTGCAATCAATTTATCCCGGAAGTAGTGGACACAGCTTATTTCGGAATTATCATTTGCGCGCGCGCTTGGGCATCAGCTGCTGCATGAGGGGCAGGTTCACATCTGCAGCCTCGTCACTCTCCACGCCGATCTCCTCCCACAGCTCCTTCACATTCTGGTCGATGTTCTCGCTCACCTGGTCCCTGCAGCGAAAAAAAGCATGTTCTTAAAATAAAACAACAGAGCGCGGTTAACATGACATGTGTCTGCGTTGGGTTCATGATTGGGCAGTAATGATCTGGATCAGAAATGCATGCCCGGAGGCGCGGCAGGAACGCATGACAGCTGGTGGAAACAGCAGAGCCAGGCCTGTAGCACCCAGCAGCCTTGCAAGGGGCGGAGGACACAGTCTGGTGAATGCATGGCGTGAGGGTTCAAGTGAAGATCAATACAATGATCTTAAAGAAGAGCACAAACATGCAGTTCATCCTGCCTCAAAAGGGAGCATTGTATTCACCTGCACCCTCTTCACCCATACTGCCAGAGAAATGCTGGGCGGCACACTCTCCAAGGAGCAATTATTCAAGAAATCTCTCCTTCTACTTTTACACGATGCTGCAGCAGGGGCCAGCGCACAGAAGCCCTGTCACAGAGAGAAGTGGACCCACCAGATGGCTTTGAACATGCGTTTGCGCTTGGCCCAGTGGTCCATGGATTCTGTGAAGGCTTTCTCCACTGCCTGCCGCTCCAATGCAGTGACCAGCTTTGTGCTGCTCTTCAGAGGGCCCAGCCGCGCATTAGTCTCCTCCCACTGTGCACACAAATTCTCAGAGGACGCCTTTCCAGATGCACCCATTTTAACCATATGTGGTCCCTTGTGCTGCCATTCGGATACAATACAATCCTCAAGGAAGTCCATTATGAATGTACGCCCTCTGTCAGATTCAGTGATGATGTGTTGCTTCAAAACAAGTGAACTGAGCCACAAAAAGGCTGCGACCTTCACTGCGCCAGGTCATGTTTCCAGGCACATCCTATCAGATCCATGCAGTCAGCTGTGATTAATCAACTTAAGAAAAGACAGGTAGCTGAAAGTCCTCACCTGCTTCTTCAGCTCGTCGATCTTGGACTGCAGCTGTTCTGCTGTGAGGGTACACTGCAGGTCCTTCAGCTCTGCACAGTCACAATCACTTCTTCACCAATTTTCCAGTAAGCAGCTCAGATACATCCTCAGAAAGGTAGTACCCACATGCTTGCTCCTTGCACAGGCAGACACTACCTTTTTGTGCCCTCAGTAAGTTGTTCCCTGTGATATGGAGCTTGTCTGCAAGCTCTACTGTCTGCTGTTGCAAAGCCTCCATTTCCTGGGAAACAGCCCAAAGCACAACTCAAGCCTTTTGCAGCAGAATAGTGTATCGTCAACTTGATGCCAGTAGGAAGGCACTGAGCTTCTGCAGGTGGGACAAACCTCTTTTGTGAGGTCATCCCCATTATTCTGCAGAGCCATGTATATTTTTGTCTTGCCAAATTCCTGCGGCCCACACAATCGTCACATGCAGTGCTTGGCACAGTGATCAGCTCAATACAGATGTCGATTCCGCTCCTTGCTGCATAAGCTTGGGGTTGCTCTCTGTACCTTGCAGACGATCTTGCTGGCCTCGGACAACGTGTCAAGAGCTTTCTGAGCTTGAGTTTTCTTGACACCGTACTGTGCCAGATGATCCGTGACTCCTTGGGCATTGAAAGGACGGTTCTGCTGCTGCAGGAAGCTCAGGACTCGTTCCTCCGCAGCCTGCATCAGGCAGAGGTCATTCCAGTCCCCCTAATCGTGTGAAGGACCTATAAGTTGCCTGCTTCAAGAAGATCGCAAATGGAATTCGTAATGCTTCCAGCAAACACTCCACTGGGGCAACAATGAAGAGCAGAAAACAGGCGCATTTCCCAAAAGAAAGAGCAGGGGCAGCACCATCTATGCGGGAATTCTGATGAGACTTGAGGAAGGTCGGTATAAGGTTGACGATGCTGCCAAAGTCAATACAAGCACCAGGATCGTGCCAGAGCTTTTCAAGTTGATGGCAACGATTGGCCTCTTGGAAAGTCACACGATGCCGTTCAGTGTTGCGCTAGGGGAATTCAATTATGAAGTATGAATTTTGTGGAAATTTCACATATTCTGATCAATCAACTTGACTTCCTTGCACAGAATGCCAATCATGCGGTGCGTGCTTCGCTGACAAGGCGCTGAGTCATCGCTCATGCATGGCTCATGGTGCAAGACTCCTCAAAAGAACTGAAGGCCATAATTGACAGAGGCCATAAGAGAAACGATTTTTTGATTGTCGTATTCTTCTGATCGTGCTCGGCAAGAATAGATCGCAAAATTTACTGGACACTTACTAAGTAATACTTTAGTAATCTCCGATGGCCGATCACGGTTGGGGCACGAGTCCTGAACCGAGCTGGAGGTTCGTTGATTTGTGCAGCTTTGAAAAAACCCGTGTAAGTGAACATCAGATCGCGGCGGGAAAAGGACGCGACAGCTCCCACGTCCCAGACTGTCGATTTATTTTTGGGTGTGTAGAACGTCATTACCTCAACTAACCAATCAGCCAATCAGCGGCCATCTGGTGTCGCAGGCCCATGCATTCCTCAAAACGTTCTGCTCAGACTCGAAAAGAAGTGCATTTGTCAAATGTTCATGATTTAAAGAGAATTAAAGTCAATCAGCAGAGCCTCAGGCTCAAGACTGTTCCGCAGTGAGCTGGAGTTGCATTTGGAGCCAGTAGTGTTGTAGAGGAAACATTTAGTAGCGATTCAGTTGGGCACGGAGCTTGCCCTTAGGGCTGATCGGAGGCAGCATGGCGCTGTCTCAGCTACAGTCCGATGCCTACAGGGCGGTGTTGCGTGCGGTGGCAACAACACAAATGGACTGGGTGAGTTTTTGCTTCTGGGGGCTAATCCACTGTTGATTGCTGTGTGATACCTCGCAATATGGATGCAAATATGTACTTAAAACGCTTCGAAACTGAGTGCGGAGTCGGTCACAAGATGGGGAGTCAAGTACCCAAACTGTACTTTTGAGAAGGGATTTTGGGTGGCGTTGGCCGTCGTGTACGCTTATTGCTTTAAATTGAATATTCCTTGATGAAAGTTGTGTGATGTAATACATTTTGGTCGCGGCCTTCCTCATGACTGCAACGTCGTGACGGTGTACATTGCAAGCTTTTAGAATACGTTTGCACTGAGCAAGATGTTTGAACAGCCCACTCCATTGTTGGTACTTGTTCGAAGGTACTTACATTGAGGGAGTTCTAAGATTTATTCTAGAACATCTGGCAGACAATAGTGAGGACTGTCGTCCAGCACCCTGCAAGACTGAAAGGCTGCTTGGGATGTTTTGCAGAGCAAGGAGAAGCTCCTGACAGACCTGCGCAAGGAGCTGCAGATCACCACGCAGGAGCATTTCGAGGTGCTGACAGCCGTCATGCAAGACAAAGAGATCGAGGCGCTGAGAGAGAACAAAGTGCTTGAGCCCCAAGCAGCCAATGTGGACGCCGGGCTCAAGAGGAAAAAGGATACGATAACCGGCAGGTGTGCCTTTTGGACTTATCTGTGCCATTTCTGTTGTGCCATGATGGCCAAGCACAGCTCGTGCTAGGAAAGAGGCAGAAATGCACAGGCACAGAGTTCAGTGCACAAACAGAGGACAGAGGAAGAGTGTCCTCCTGACATCTCATAGCACTGAATTAATCTGTTTTTTGGAGAAGATGGGAAGAATCTCAGGCGTAAATGTCCTCAAGAAGGTGGTTCAGGCTTGTTTGCATGCTGCAGAGCGGACTACAACAAGAAGCTGTCGAAGAAGCCGCGGCACCTGGAGCTCACGGATTCACCCCTGGACACGCCCACGGGGACCCCCCTGCCAGTGTACACCCCCCTGGACCCCCCACATCAGCACCGCGGCCCCGGCCGGCCGTCAATGCGCCAGGGCGGCGGCTATGGCGAAGCTGTCGCGGCAGCCGCCCCCGGATCCGGCGGCTATGAAGCCAAGCGGCCGCCTGGCCGACCCCCCGGCAGGTGCTGCCTCCCACCCAGCTCTTATAGCAATGCGTTTTGAGCACATTCTGCAGAGTAGCACATGTCAAGAGCACATGATCACGTGATGACCAACCCGTGTCCGCCGAGTCTTTGTGGCAACACCTCTCAGTGAGACAGTGGGCAGCATCACGAACTCTGTGGCGTCGTCCTTGTGCTTTCTGTCCTCTGGGCTCCAGTTCTGTCACTCGCTGATGTGGCGGTCAATGACGGTGCCTAGAGCAAAGTGCACCCTTTCTCCTTTGTACTTCTTTCATTTCAACAGTGCAGAGCATCATGTTTATCTTGTCCTCAAAAAGCTGCTGGCTGAGGAGTGGCTGTATTTTGCGCACTGCAGTGGACCTGGTTCAGCGGAGCCCAAGAGGGGCCCGGGTCGACCACCGGTGCGGCTGAGTACGCAGCCGTCGCTGGGCGGGCGGACCTCCAAGCGGAAGGGAGGACTGGGGGGCGCGGCGGTGGGCACCGGGACCACCCCCTACGGCACCAACGAGCTCGTGGGCCGCAAGATCTGGTGCGCACTTGCATTCTCCCTTTAGATCCTTGATGACAGAGCAAATACCTGTTTCAGGCAGCAGATGGGCGTTAGAAAGAGCTTTGAGCCTGACAGGATGCTGAATTACTGTATACTGTAAAACAATTGGAAATATGGACATTGTCCTTGAAGTCTGCTTGCCACTCAGGCGCGCATTTTCGTGGGTGCCATGCAGGCCTGCATCTGCATGAACCTCACATGTATGTGTGCCTGAGTGGCAAAGAGATTCAAAGGCAATGTCCAAACTTGCACAGTCAATCATGTGCTTAATTTTTACGTGTGCTGTGATGGGCGTGCAGGCGGTCTTGGCCGGAGGAGGCCAACCCCTGGTCGGAGGGCATCATCACAGACTACAAGGAGCACTCGGATGAGCACTGCATCGTCTACAAAATCAACACCCCTGAGGAGTCCTATGAGTGGTTCCGCCTGAGGTGAGCCGTTGTCCTGGCAGCCAAAAGGCTACTCACTGCCAGGCACAAATTACAAGCCTTGTGCCATCGTGGTTCTGACACTGTTGGTCCGGCACTAGGCAATATTTGCACAGTCTGGCGGACGTCTTTAGAGGATCTGAGGAGAGGCTGGTCGAAGCAACTGGAGCAAAGGAGCTTGCAGAAAAGGACATTGGGCGTAAAAATGGCAACATCTCAAAGACTAACGTGGCACTTTCCTGCCTGCGTGTTGATCTGAAGGGTCTGCTTGCTTCAAAATTCAAAAATGAAATGCAAATTCGAATGGCCAGGGATGCAAAGACGCCGGAGGAGTACAAGTTGGTGGACGGGTATGCTGAGGACATGCGCGAGTTAGTCAGCGGTTACCAGGCCAAGGTGGCCAACCAGGGCGCGGCCCGGCAGCGCCACGGCGGCCGCAGCGGCAAGCGGGGACCCAAGGTGCGAAAAGTGTATTTTTTATTTGAAGTCACATCAAGTCTGATAGCGCAGATGCAGGGTCGTTACCGTATGTGCTCTTACGGCTGTGCTTCCCGCGGACATGGTGATTCGTTGAAGAGAGGCTTTCAGACTGGATTGGACTGGAGTCTTTGCAATGATATCAAGTCAGACCCTTGGATCTTTGCACGTTTCCTACTTGCTTTCCGCTCAGACCCTTGGGTCTAAGATGCTGGGATCTATCTGTGCGAATAGATGAGATGGGCAAACATTTTCCATTTGCTCACCATCAAATTGATCGCAGTCTCAGTACAGCTGTACGCCCTGTCACACGCATGCATGAGTGATAATGCTCAGGCGCTTCAGTGCATAAGGATGCTAAGCAGAGCTGGGATCAGCAGATCAAGAAAAATTATGACACTAGAGGCCATCCTCAAACCGTCGGAATCTCAATCTTCATTAAATGCTTTTTGGCTGTGCAGAGCGGCGGGAGGGGACGCCCCACGTCGGCGCTGGTGAAGACTCAGCCGCTGGTGGCAGCCGTGCCAGAGGAGCCACTGGCGCAGCCGACGCTGGGGGCCCCCTATGGTCGGCGCTACCTCGCCGAGAAGCTGCGCAGCAGCGGCGCCGGCGAGCTGCAGGTTCGTCATCACCTCTCCTTACTCAGTCCTTGGTGGACTGCATGAAAATTTGCGCCCCGCCGCATGTCTGCAGAGACAGACTGTGATAGGCCCCAACATGTGTGACGTCGTCGCTGCTGTTGTATGGCTGATGGCGCTTTTCGAGACTTGCTTGAGTGATTGGAGGCTTCCACTCAAAAGCTGTCAGACAGGTGACATACAATCCACTGTCGGCAGCGACGTCGCATATGTTCTTGCACCTCAATAGCCTTGGCTTCCTTTGCTGAAGCGTGCCCGCACCTTGGAGCACGCTAGTCAACACTACCACTTCCCAGACGCTGGACCTGCCTATTCATCCATGCAAAAGATGATTCTTGGGCTGCATCAAAAGCATCAAAATGAGGGATATATCATGATATGCGCCTTTTTGTGCTGTGCAGGCGATGATCGACGCACTAAATTTGCGCGCGGCAGAGATCGGAATGGAGATGCAGACACTGGAGGAGCTGGAGAGGGGTGGGCTTGGTGCGTGCTGACTCACCCCATATTGCATGCATGCATGCTGGCAGCTGCCGGGAAGCTGGAGTCTTGGTTTTATTTTTTCTCCGATATGGAGCAACTTTTGTGTAGATGAGTTAAAGACTTGAGGACTCGCCATCAAGCAGTGATCTGTCCCAATGACAGAGCACGTCTGGTGACAGCCAAATAGCCGAGCTGTCTCTCCATTCCTCGCATGCTGCCTGAAGCAAAGTGGCGGGGGCCTCCTCGCAAGTCCATGCAGGGGGGTTTGCTTAGGTTCTGGCCAGGGAAATTGAATCGCGCCTTGTTTGGATATTAGGCTGACAGCTGTGTGCATGTGCAGATCCGGCGCACCAGTTGCAGCTACAGCTGAAGGACTTGGCAGCGCGAGAAAAGGCCATCCATGCACAGTTGGCAGCCCTCAACAATGACGACGAGTGCATGTGAAGGGCTAGAATGAGGCTGCAGGGAATATATAGCGTATGCTCGGGTGGGAACTAGCTTGCGACAGCTGCTGGTGGGAGTAATCCAACGTTGGCATGAAGTGGGTTGTAAAATGGTTCAGACCTGCACTTGAATGCAGTCTGGAAATGATCCTTGCTTGCTGCAAATGAACTGTTTACTGAGGAGGCGATTATGTTGAAGTATGGATGTCAGGTCATGCTGATGAGCAACTTGCCAGGTTGAGATATAGGCCCAGGATAGCTTGTGCATCTATGCAAGCTGTGATTTTTTGGCTCCGAGCATTGTGAAGATTCGATTGCCATGTATGTCATTGCGGATCCTTTAAAGGCTGTAAGGCGCATTGTGCTCTTTGCAGACTTCTTTGCAGACTTCAGTTCTTGCATGTCTATGTACCTGTGCACGAGGCGCTTTACTGCGTAGTGAGGGAGATGCTTTTCAACTAGTGTGCCAAATCACGTTGAACTGTACTTTGTAAGACTGTCGTCATCATCATTACCAGCTGCCCAGCATCAAGATGCTTGACCCAAGCGTAAATGGTATTGCTTTGAAGTGCAACAACCGTGCAACGACGTGACATTCACTGCTACTTTAGGCATATACATGTCACATTACTGCATGCGCATGCATGAGGCTCTCAATGAAGGGCACTAGCGCAGGCTGATCTTGCTGCAGCCGCGACTGTCCTATTATTTACTGGCAGACTTGGATTTAGTCTGAAGCGCCACCATAATGGCATCCCATGCACAGTAATAGCCTGCAGTTCTAATTTCCTGGCCAGGTTGGTCATCCTGAGACAGCCTGCAAACACACTTAGGCCATAGCAGCCATGCAAACACCGCGCGCACCGTGCAGTTACTGCCTTGCACTAGCTATATAGCAGGTACCTCCATGGTCGAGCTGCAGCATCAGTGCTTTCTTCCACCCTTCAAACTGGCCCCTTTCAGGCGGCACGGGTCCGGTGTCACAGACACGGAGATCGACCGTGTTCTCTGATATCATCCCAATCTAACTGATGAAACCCGGAAAAACATTGATTCCATCTGTGATTCCCATTGATTCCCACGTCGCGACTGATTGTGTGACGTCGACGAAAGTAGGGTCGGCCGCAAAGTACTGGCTCGTGCGCATCACGAAAAGGCGAACTACTGATGAAGTCGGAGGACAAACCCGGTTCGTAAGTGATTGATCATTCTTAGGGCGTTTGGGTGGCCTTAAGTACTGGCGGGGGTGAGTGATAACCCAAACCCTGAACCCGGATCTTGAAATTACAGAAGTTCGTGACGCAAATTTCTGAGCGACATCCGCAAGAGGCAAACTGATACATCAGCTTGATCGATCTAGGCGGCAGCAATCAAAAGACTTAAGCTAGCCTTGTCACAGCTGCATCCCTGCATTTATTTGTTTGTGGGACTACCGGCGAGTATAGCTATCGGAACGGAAGCGATCTGGCGCCCAAGCACAGCCAAACAAAGATGTTCGAGGAAACGGCAGAGTGCAAGGGCACGACATGGAAACCCGAGGTCAGTCTGGGTGCATCGATGCATATTGCCGTCAATGTCAGCTTGACTAGTCGAGCTGCGGTCTTGGCCGCCGCAGTCGTGGTCAATTGATCTCCGGGACCTCTTGACGCGCTAAGAGCATGTGCAGGCGCTGGGATACTGCCAGGGCAGACGATTGAGCCCACAATAAATCTGATTTGTACTAACCGATGGGATTCGATTGTGTTGCAGGAAGACCGGCGCTTGCAGAAGGTCATGAGCGAGCTGGGTGGGACCAGCGGCACTGGCTTTTCATGGAGTGCCGTGGCAAAGCGATTGGGTGGTGGACGCACAGGCAAGAGCTGCAGACTCAGGTAAGCACCTAGGCATTGCTTTTCAAAGCATAAAGGATTGCTAATTGCCTCACTGGATCTTGCGTACCGCCCCATCTTGCGGTCATACATGGTGCGTAACCCAGGGAACCCAACAATAAGGCGCGTCTTGAGGTTGAAGACTTGATATTGATTCGCAGGTGGTTCAATCAGCTCTGCCCCACCCTGAAAAGGGAGCCTTTCAGCTCTCAGGAGGACCAGATTGTCATTCAGGTGGGTGCCCGTACCGATGTTGACTGCATGCCCGTGCCGGTGTTGACTGCAAAAACAGCGGAACCCATAAACCCACGGCTTCCATCCCCAAGAATACGTCTGGTGTGGTTTGTTGGATGAGGGGTTTGCTTGAGCAGCGTCAATCTGCACCCTTGTTGGAACTTCATGTGCTAACGGCTAGATCGCCCATGCGTACAGGCACACGCTAAGTATGGCAACCAGTGGGCACTCATCGCAAAGCTGGATGGTCTGGAAGGAAGGTGAGAGATCCTTCCATCGTATGCACGCTGCCTACCGCAAATTGCTGGAGCAGGGTTTGCAAGATGGGGTCCATCTTGTGCAGACTCTGACCTAATGTGTTCCCTTGCCTGCATTGGCATTGAAAATGAGCACTTTTCCAAGCTCCTCTTGATGCAAAGCAGATACTACTCCCCGGAGCCTACAGTCTCCGTTCCTTTGTTCATATTTGGGTAGCTTGTCACCACAAATTGGCAGGCCCAGGCACTGGATAGCATCTGCACCTTTCCTCCCAAGACATTGCCAGCAGGGTCTGACAGAGCTGAAGCGCTGATCATTGCCTTGCGGTTGCCCTGCGCAGGACTGACAATGCCATCAAGAATCGCTGGAACTCCACTCTGAAGCGGAAGCTGGCGCTCGGAGAAATCTCTGGTCCCACCGGCAAGAAGCAGCTGCGCAGCAGCGACTCTGACAGCGACGGCCCCTCCCCCAAAAGAGCCCGCAGCGCCCCCGGCTCCGGCTCTCCCAAGCGCGGCCGCTCGGTGCGCTTTCCCTTCAACTAAACACCTTCCCCTTAATTTAAATACCTGTCTCGCCTTTGCCCTTGCCTGCTCCTCACCGCATGGGTTGCTGTAGACCACCGCAGCTGCACAGCGCCAGTGCCCTGATCACATCTTGCTGGTCCGTGTGCGCACCAGCAGCTTCCTTGACTTGTCACTGCGCAGTGGGTGCTGGCCATTCCAATTGTTACCTGCGCACACAAAGGGAACAGCCGTCCTGACATTGTCCTGTGCCTGGCTGCAGGGCACCAACTCTGCCAAGAGCAGCCCCTCTCGCGCGAGTGCACCCGCCTTCATGGCCCAGCCGCTTGCAGACATCGACAGCAACCCCTTCCTGGCAGCGCAGCACTTCGCACGCGGCAGCAGCCTCGACAGTCCCTCCTGCAGCATGAGCAGCGGATCCAACGGGTCCCCAGTGACTCACAAGCACGCAGTGGATGAGGCGTTCTTGGACCCCCTGGGCAGTCCCATCAGCGTGCTGGAAGCCTTCAAGAGCTTCCGGGAGGACATTGACGTCCTCTCGCTCGACAGCGTTTCCGAGGAGGTGCTCGCGGACGCGGACTTCCTGTTTGATCTGTCCGACGATGACCTCATGAGCGACATCGGGCCGATCCCGGCGCACCCCGCGGCGCAGCAGCCGCTGGAGCTGCCATGCTTCAGCGCCGGTCGCGGTGACGGCCGCGCGGCGGCGGCCGTCATCGCCGCGGCGTCCTACCGCATGCCGGACACGCCGCGCAGCCCCTTCGAGGACGCGCTGGAGCTATCGCAGCAGCAGCGCAGCTTCTCCGGCTTTGCCAGCAGCGGCAGCTGCGCGCTGCCCGACCTCGAGGCCCTGGCTGCCGCCGCCGCCGCGACGCAGCCGCAGCGCACTGCCGAATCCATCGGCAGCCCGATGGCGACGGCCGCAAGCTCGCTGCCGGCCGCCTTCTGCCTTGGTGACGAGGCGGTGAGCAGCGTGCGGCTGGAGGACTTCAACAGCAGTTCCTCGGCGGCGTCTGCGATCTCGCACATCGCGGCGGCGCGCGCGCGTGCGGCGGCGGCAGCCGCCGCGCAGCTGCCGGCTTCGCCAGCGGTCGCGGCGCTGGAGGCGGCCGCCAGCAGCCTGGCCGACAACCTGCAGACTTGCCTCGCGCGCTTCGGCAGCCCCCGCTCCCCTCTGCCCCGCAGCTGGAGCAGCAGCCCCAAGGTGTGCACCACATCACCCCACACCTATTCCATGCCTTTCTCTGCTATTGTTGCAGCTCAGCCAAGTCCTACTTACCTTGATATCTGCAGCTTCAAATCACCCACAGCAACAGTGCTTGGTCCTTGTCTACGCACGGCTCTGTTTTGAGGGTTGAAAGACAAGATCTGACAGTATATTTGCGTTGTTGTTTGCAGGAGGATGTGAACATCATGCCCCGTGACAGCCTGGCGGAGATCATGGCTGCTGACCAGGTCATGGCTGCCAAGAACCACCTCACCAGCGTGGCCAGCCTCTCCGCCCGCGCCACCTCATTCGAGAGCTCCAGATCCTTCAACAAAGGTGCCCATCCTGCCTCTGCTCCTTCCTTGACCACCCTTGAAATTGAAGTTTTGGAGATGCATCCTGTCTATTCATCCTGTCTGTGAGCCTTGCTGCACTCTCCTTCTGGGCTTGTCAGAGGTGCATGTTTCTTACAGAATCCTTGCTGGGAACTAAATTGAAAGCTCAATGATTGAGAAATGAAGCTTTGGAGCAGCTTTACTGAATGGCGTTGTGTTGCTGTCTGCAGGTATCTGGAACAAGGTCTGGTAGAGCACGAAAACAAACATGACACAGCAGCGCTGCAGTTGCAGTATTAGTACCGATACAAGCAAGCTCGTGCAGCCTGATATTATTCTGACACCGAGTAAAATGGCGACAGATGGCTTGAGATTCGGCACAGTAAGTCTCATGAGTGCATGCAGATTTGGCCATGCATGAGGAAAAATAAAGTCTCACGGTTCACACCAGAGCTCACAGAAAAAGCTGAAATGATTAGCTAATGATTTTGCGACTCTATGTATACAAAGACAAGGGCAATGGGGTCCATTTTCTACATTCTTTTATCAGGTTCTTTTGTTTCGCTGTTGTGGTGCTGGAGATCTGGCCAAATGATTTGAAAGACACCTGCGGGTCCTTGGTTTTGCAGTGCTTTCAAGGGGCCGGTAAATTCAATTGTCCTGCTGACAATCGCAAACATGCTGCAGTCATCGAGTTGTCAAACAAAGACCCATGCATCAGGGTAGTGTCAAGCTTGATTTGTAATGTAGCTGGCTGCTGCCAGGCTGTCAGGATAGCGCCTTGTAGAAAGATAAGACTGGTGTCAGGGATGGCCATGTGTCTGTTCTGTTACAGCGGTGCTGCAGGTCTCCCTGAGGTTGGTTTGATCATGTTAACAGCAAATGCCAATTGAGTCCAATAAGGTTTCCCTGTAACATTATGATACAACTCATCAAGCTAGCCTGAAATGCCAGGCACAGATTACAAAGAATTCGCATTCAAATGGCAACACAGTCACTTCTCCATACTTTTGGCGCTCACTATGCTTTGATGTTTGAATCCTCTTTCTCTCAATAATAGAAAAGCATTGCACAGTTACTGCCGGTCACTAAATCACCCGTCATGCAAAGACGGCGTCACCAACCTCCTCATCGGTGACATGATATTACAAATTATCTGCCCTCTCCAGCTGAGTTTCACAAACACAAATCACTGTGCCCTTTCCAGCTCAGAGTGTTCTGCCATGAAACAGCAATACACTAAGCTGACATCTTCCATAAAATCATTTCCCAATACATTTATGATAATGTATTGGGCATGTCCTCTCAAAGGCCTTCAGGAAACACAGTGCTTGCCAGCTTCATGACTATCCCAGCAGGGCAGCCTGCGCCGCCAGGTCATCCGCCACGCGTGCGAGCAGCAGCTTCCTCTGCAGCCGGTACTGCAGTGCCATCTCTGTATGGCGGCGTTGCCTCCACCCCTGCCCACCCCCGCAATCCACCCCAGACCCACCCACCCTTCCGCCATCGCTGCAACCTCTGCCATGCAACTCACCATTCCCTGCACCGGGTGTCTCATCTGGTCTGCTGGGATCCTCCTGCCTGCCTGCTGAGAAGGGCGCAGCGCTGTGCATGCTTTGGAGCAGAGCCTCATCCTGGTCCGCATCAGTTGGCATGCGGTCCAGCAGCGCTCGGCACTCAGCGGCTAGATATTGTAACGTGGCTCGCTCTGTCTCCGGCTGCATCCCCTGCCTGTTGGGTGTGTCTGTTGTGCACTCATCAAGCGCTGAGCTGTCTTCCCCTTCCCTGTAGCTCACATCTGCTGCTCCTGCTGCCTGACCAGGCTCCTGCTCTGCTGAATCTCCACGATTTTCACTCCTGGCGCAGGAATCAACCCCACTCGCATCTCCGTGTCTGCCGGGATCATCACCAATGCGGCTGTCTTTGCCTGTGGTTATGCGTTTGCACACGGCGTGTGTGCCCTGGGCTGTACTGCCAGCAGGGCTCTTGGGCTCAGCTGAACCCCCATTTTCTTGTATTCTACTGTCCTGTGGGGCTGCGGCTGCTCGGGAGCCCTGATCAGCTGCTTGTTGCTGCCTATTCAGGATGCCAGGAGCTGCATGAGCAGGGAACGCGACGCAGACAGGGCCCCGCGCCTGATCAGGCAGGCAAGAGACGTCATCGCGGACCTCATAGCACAGCGTGGCCGCGTTTGTGAGCTCCAAGAGGGGATATGCACCCCTCTCTGGCAGGATGCGAACCTCTGCCAACCTGAACATGCGCCCCTGCATGCCACACCAGCCACCTTTCAGACTTTTTCTCTTTTCTAGGAAAGGTGATAATCCCAACACAGCTACGCCATTGAAAACAGACGTGGGTTTCAGAATACAGGCAGCAAGTGCATGCATCACCAAAAGGGTGCTCTCCACACAAGACTTCCAATAGAGTCAGCTTGGCGTGAAGTGCAGTGCAGGCATGTGGAGCAATGAAGACACGTCGCCAGGGCAGGAAGGACAAAGGGCAGGGAGAAGGAAGCTTCATGCACCTTCCCGGAGCCCTGCACGATGAGCGCCTGGCAGCCGTCTCCCAGGTTCTCATACACTTCTGAGGGGTCCGTCATGGCGGCGCATGCGGGTGTGAACCCGTAGCCCCGTAGCAGATCCCGCATGGGGCGCCCCCCGTAGTTGAGTGTCAGGTTCTCACCCACGATTACGTCCCTTGCCGCCACAAGATCCACTGATCTGCCAAAGCGACACATAGACCCTCACCACGATAAATTCCCCGGTCTCTTTACAGCAGCTATCAACTGCCAGGTGACCCTTTTAGTGGAGAGTTTCATGCAGCCCAATGGGCTCCAGGGGCCTGATGATGGCAAAGATTGGGGAGAGGGCAAGGTTGGGGAGAATTGCACTGATAGGTGTTGCTGTAGAAGAATGGCTCCTCCTTGGCCAAAGAAGAGCCATCAAGCCCAGCAAATGAGCAAAGGAGGTCTGAAAGCAGGCACAGTGAAAGCTGAAGTGTGGGTGCAACGTGTGGCACCTGGGCTCTCCAGAGGGCGACAGGCGCACACGGAGGCTGCACGTGGTGTCATTGCTGTCGTGGTTGCACATGTCGATCAGCGGCAGCATGCACCGCTCATGAAAGACCCCCTGCAATGCGCCATTAGATCTGATCCATTCCCAATGCCACCATTGAGCTTAATTTTTCGCCACTCCTTGTGAGCTTCCTTCCAAATCCCAAATCCATGAGAATTGGGGCATCTGATCCCAACCTCTGTACAGGTAAATCAATTCCCATGACAGCAGCTTCTTTAATGCAAACGAGTGGGCATTTCTGAAACGCCTCTGCGTACCTGATCCGCTGTGAGGTCAAGTGCTCGGCTGCGCACGAGGCAGTGCGCCCACACAAATGCCTCCAGGCTAACGACGGGCTCTCTGCCCGAGCTGCCCGGCCCCGGCTGCCGAAAGTGGCGACTGTGCAGCCGCGCCAGCCGCAGGCGTTCCTTTTCTACCGATGCCGCCAGCTCAGTGTTCTGCAGCTGCCCCAGCTCCTCTGCACTGCACACAACAACCGCCTAATCAGGACGCGCATGCATGCGGAGGCACATGCGCCCTCTGCTTGCATGCCTATTATCTTTTAAAGTATGGCTGAAGTGCAGGTCATGCAATGGATAACACGTCCGAAAGGACAGACTCGTCCACAGGGTGTGATCACAGGCTTGTGGAGCTGTGCTGGCCGCTTAGTACAGTAATCAGGCAATATACATCCCATGCACATGGGTAAAATCTGTGCAGGACTTGGTCGAGATAGTGGAAGGTGGGAAGGTGTGATCCTGGGTGACCTGCCTGAAGAGGAGCAGATCCGAGGCAGGAGGCCCCTCCGAGCAAACAGCTGCCACTCTGCTTCCTGGTGGCGTCGGCAACAGCCCCACATACCTCGCCCACCTGCATGCAACAAGTCGAAATACAATGTCACGGAAGTTTCTGTATGCAAGAGATTCCGGTAATTATTATTTTGCTGCAGGCAGAGATACCAGAGAGCGCATACTATCCTGTAACTCAGAGCAGAAAACATGGCGTTGGGCGAGAAATTGGAGTGGAAAGCATTATTTTGCTGCAGGCAGAGATACCAGAGAGCGCATACTATCCTGTAACTCAGAGCAGAAAACATGGCGTTGGGCGAGAAACTGGAGTGGAAAGCATGTGTGCATGTGCCTGTGATTGTGAGGAGACATGCCTGGAGCGAGGGTCTCGGAGCTCGCACAGCAGGTGCAGGGCTAGCAGTAGCACCCAAGCGCATGCTGGAGGCAGCAGCTCCTTGTCAGCAGTCTCGGACAGCAGCGCTGTGAGGCTGCTTATCCCCTGTGGCAACAGTCCTGCATCGCATGCATGCAAGCATATTGACACTTGCTGAGCACACTCAAGAACTTCAACACTAAGTATCGGCGGTATAAGTGGGTGTAGTCAATACCTGCCCCAACCTTCTCAAGGCCTCGCAGCCGCTCGAGGGCGCTTTCTGTGGAGAGGGCGAGGGCCCAGGGCACTGACGCTAATACTGAGCCTGCAGGGCAGTCCTGGGCTGCCTGCAAAGTCCTGTCGCAGGCATCGCCTGAGCAGCTGGCGAGATGCACTCTCGAAAGGGTCCCATCTGTAGGTAGACCTGCTCACCGTGACACTAGTACTAAGTTGATGTGAACCTCTTTTATCAATGGCCAGTATCACGGATGAAACAGTGGCCCAATAGAATTGTCACCTCTCTGAACCCATTCTATGAATGACAGGGCGTTATTTGGCGTCCTGAAACCCATGATGAACGGCCTCTTGTGGAAAACCTTGGATGCTGAAGGGATACTTCTTGCTCAGAGCCCTCGTACATCGTTACATCAAATCGATTCGTAAAGATGTGCGCATCAGTCATCCGCATTTGCGACCTGAAAGCCTTCGTTGCTGGTGCTGTGATGGAACGTTGTGGGGGTCGAGCTCGGGTGAATCCAGCTGGGTGGTCGCTTCTCATGCCGTAAACTCCTCGGAGTCCACGACATGCAGACACATTGCCAAGATTTGCTTTCAAAATGGTGATCAATGTATCAAGTACTGTGGATGCGTGTGAAGAAGCAGAATTGAGATAGAAAAGCGAGATTCTCTGAGCCATCTCCTGTGACCATTTGTATCGCACATCAGCTCTATTTCCAATGCTTGCGAAAGTACTGTTCTTTGTAGGCATCTACTTGCTGTATAAGGTCATCTCAAGCATATCACAGTGGATCCGTGTGCATTACATCCTCACTACAAAGCTCCCAGCAGGACCTTCTTCGAAGAATATCTTCCTTGGAAACTTGCTGGAAGCAACCACAAAGGACTTCCACCGTGCTCATCAGCGTTATGCAGATACATATGGGGGCATCGTACCCTACAGGGCACTCTGGATCCATGTAAGGCCCCTTGTCCCCATTGCCTAGTACAACACGATGGAGTGGACACCGCGTTGCCTTTTGCATGCGATCAGTTCTAACTGGACTGCCTGAAACCAGTCAAATTTAATATTGACCGAATCCTGGGGCATTAAAGGCGAGACTTTGATGTGGCATGTTACCCGCAGGCCATCTCCATTACAGATCCCTTTCTCATCGCAGAAATCCTCCAGTCAAAAGGTTTTGACAAGGAAACCTACACCTATCGACAACTGGATTCGGTGAGAGTATATGCATTGCAGTCATGCTCTCTAACAGTGGCAGTGCAATATTGAGTGCTGCCAGCAGAGCGGGAATGAAAGAGAGGGGACGGCACACCTTGGGTAGTAAACTCGCTTCTTGCACGCAGATGTTTGGGGACAAGGGTCATCCAAGCATACTGACGGCTCAGACCAGTGCGCACAGCTGGCGCCTAGTGCGCAAAGGTGTCATGCCAGCCTTCAGTCCGAACAACATCAGGCAAGGCCCTGTTCTTGATCCCTCAACAGCTGAGTAGAAAAGTACACTTTCTCATAAGGGCTTGGACCAGGGTCTGGGGGACTGCTAGCCTCTCTTTACCTGTTCTTTGGAACACTAATGAAAGAATGAGGACAGATGCTGGCATGCACATGGCAAGAACTAGCTGGCATGTGCAGGCATGGGTTCCAGCATGTTCTAGATGTGGTGGCTCAGCTGCTGCGAATCCTGAAGGCCGGGGGCGAGGAGAAAGTGGTAGACATGGACAACCTGCTCAAGAGAGAGGCTCTGGATGTCATTGGTAAGAGTCTACATAGATATCTCTTGACACACCATGTCCTTCCTTGCATTCTTGAGGCCACACTGGCCTGGCCAAGTCTACAACTGGGGTCAACCCCCTGTACACGTGGTACATCAAAGCCCGGGGAGAGGAGCAGATTCATCTGGCTCCCAGTGACAGTTCAACGCTTGCCTGTGAGTTGAATGTGAGCAGATGCAGGTGTCAGGACTTGGACAGATGATGAAAACCGCGGTGTGTGTTTGCAGGAAGGGTGGGTTTTGGGTATGACATGGGGGCGACAAAGGCGTTGGAGGGGGGAGATAATGCGCAGCATGCGCTGGAAATTGCAGACGCGGCCGCTCTGGAGGTTGAGATGCGCTGGGCGGAGCCCTACAGGCAGTACAAGTGGTGGAGCAAGGTGAGCTGTACTCTTTCATGCCTCGAAGGCACAAATAATCCCACCACTGCTCCCAACAAAATGAAAGGGAGCACCAGGCTCCATCTTATCCCTGGAAATATTCACAAATGCTCAGCGTCAGTACATTGCACGTCATCGTACATCGCACGAACATCCTGCACGTCATGTGATGTGGGAGGTGGTAATTTCTAATGGACGATGTTGTTAAAAGTCAGTGTCTGCCACTGAAGTACACATCTCTGAGCACCATGTTTACAACTCCTGGTCACCTGCGATCAAAGGACAGATCAACACAAAGGGCTTCTGTTATTGTGATACGGTGGGGTAATGTCAGATCATAAAACCACAGTTGTCACTTGCTGCAACTGGCATGCCGTTCTGAATTAGGGCCCTCTTGAAGATGCAAATACATTAAGTTCGTAGTAGAAATAATCCGGATTAATGCAGCCCTGCTTTGATGTTGTGCAGGGAGTGAGGGAGGGAGTGGCAAACCAGGGGAAGTACCACGCTCTCATGCGCAACTTGCTGGCGGACGTGAAGGCGCGCGCAGCTGCCGGGGAGCTTCTTGACAGCTCCGTGGCGGGCCATCTGCTTCGCCTCCGGTATGCTGCCTTCTTGACTCTCTTACTTGCACAGCAGCATCATTACCCTGAGATTTGCCTTTTTGCATGCCAGAGCACCCAGATGATCACAGATGATATGGGGACCGTTTCTGCTTACTGGCAACTGCTTTCATGTCAGATGACACGTATCATTTTTATTGCTTGTTAAGAAAAGAGCCTCTTGTGGCAGGGATCCCAAGACGGGGAAGCAGCTACCGGATGAGCTGCTGCTGCCAGAGATAGCAACCTTCTTCTTCGCCGGGGAGGACACCACCAGCCACACCGGCGCATTCACCCTGTGCGCACTTCTTTGATCACTTTATTCCTCATCTCCTTTTACTCTAGTCATGTGTATATATATGTATGCAACGCCACCGCTGACCTTAAGAGCATCATATGGCGCAGAGCATCCCACACCTTGTTTCTTTTCTTCTTGCTCAACACTGCTGGTTCTCAGGCTCTACAACTATTCTTGGCTGTTGTGTATTCGTTTTACACACAGCTCTAGCATCAATTCTCGGCATGGCCTCAGCATTACGCCATGGATCAGAACAGTGGCTGGCCAAGGAAAATCTTCTGAGCACGCACTTTGACAGTCCTTCGTGTCCTGCGCTGCCGGTTAGACACAAGTTCACTGTCAGAGAAGTCCTTTCCGAATATTCGTCCGCTGACAACAGCAGCGCTGGTGTGCAGGTACTGCGTGTCACAGCACCCGGAGGTGGAGGCCAAGATAGTGGAGGAGCTGGGAAACCAGGGGCTTCTGGCCACGGCAGATGCGCCGCAGCCGCGGCCTCTGCAGTATGAGGACCTCAGCAGGCTCACCTACCTCAACCTCGTCATTAAGGTGTGATCTGAAGACAAGCACAGTCACCGAAGTCTGTCAGTTCCTAAGGTGCTTTTCCGGATCTGTACAACAATACCTGCATCACATGGTGGAATTTAACGTGTTTGGGTGGGTGGGTCAAGCCTTGGAGACAGGTGTGTACTTGGAGACCTGGCAGACCCACCCCAGCAGCTGAATTTTTGGGATGTGTTGTTGGTGCTCAATATCTTGGACTTTAACTTGAAAGTTTAAAGTGGGCGGCATCTCATGGTTCCTGTGAAGATTTGTGGCAGAATGTCACATGCCGCACACCTTTGACGTCTGTTTGATCTGGCGTTCCTGCGTAGGAGGCCATGCGCATGTATCCAGTGGCCGGAGGGACCGTGCGTATGCCCAAGAAGGATGTGCTGCTCGGCGGCAAATACCTCATCCCCAAGGGCACCACCGTCTTCCTGCCAGTAAGGGGCAGTCCTTTTGCTTCTGATCTCAAGTTGCTACATCAAGAGCCGCTTGATATTGTGCCCGAGGTTGCTTGTATCTGCTTGGAAAGCGTCATTGGCTGCTGCATGCCCTGTGGTAGTGTGCAAGTCTGTTGATAATATGCATGTGATGGATGACAAGCGGATTCTGAGACTTCTCAGCTGAATTTTCTGTTGTGCTTGTGCGCAGCTGCACGCCATCCACAACTGCCGGGCCAACTATGAGGAGCCGGACAAGTTCCTGCCGGAGCGCTGGCTGGAGCCTGGGGCAGAATACGCGCGGCCTAGGGGCGCTGCCGGTGGCGTTCCCTCTGGTGAGGGCTTATTCTTATTCCTGACCCTATTTGTACCCTTGACAGCATACCCTTCACAACAGACCCTTGTCTGCACACCCTTGGGCAGCGCACAATATTTTCACCGCGGAACCATCCGTGCTGCATGTATTCCAGGCAGGATACCACTTTTGTGTACACTGCTGTCTCATGGAGTCTGTAAGACATATGCACCTTCATGCGTGTGAGACAGGCGTTGCAGGATGGGAAGAGGTTGAGAGCATCTGTTGTCCCAGGAGGATCCTGAAGATGCAGCCACACTGTGAGCGAGTGATTGGAGGCTGAATGAGTGGGTGTTTGCTTGATGCAGGCCAGGGCGGCGAAGCTGCCTGCACAAATGGGCACGTGGAGGGCGGCAGAAAAATGCATGATTCAAGGTGAGCACTTGTCGCTACATTCATAATTCGTGCCGTGTATGTTGTCATGGTGTCTGTGATGATGGGAAATTTTTTGAGGACAGCCTCTGCTGTATTCCTTTTGTTGCAATCATGTTCCTGTGAGACTTCCTGTCTACTGAGAGCGGCATCGAAAGGTCAGTGTATATTCATAGAAATTGTTACATGGCATTTTTGTGTGCAGTTCTGGGAGCACCGACGGCCGCGCGCGCCGCTTCCTGCCGTTCATGGAGGGTCCCCGCAGCTGCGCAGGCTTGGCGCTGGCCAACATGAACCTGACTGCCACGCTCGCGCTCCTGTACGGCCACTTCTCATTCCGCCTTGCCGACGAGGTGCGCGGTGCAACTCTTGCGTTGCGACTTCTTCTTTCCTTTATTTTTATTTTTTAGGAGAAATCGCCGTGTGTGCTGACCGGCACGGCTGTTTCGCGTTTGCTGAGAGGCACTGCTCAAGGACGTTCCTTTTTTGGGAGGGAGAATGATCTGCAGCTTTCCATCGCGATTGTCTGTAACGCACTTTGCCAAGGGTGTGGGGCGCAGCACTGGTATCCTGGGATCACAGCTCTGACCTCAGCAGTAAAAGATCTTGAGCCCGAGAAAATCTCAAAACTCTCATGCACCTCGCATCCTCAAATGGCCGTAAGCATTACGTGTGTTTTGCTGCCAGTGTGGAATCTTGTTCTGGGACACTGAACATTGGCGGCCACATCTGCCAATCAGGGATCTGCATCATAATATCTCTGACAAGGAATGCTGTGCTGCTGTGCAGATGGGGGGTCCGGAGGGTGTGAGAGCGGGGGAGCATCTGACTGTGACCATGTCCTGCGATAAAGGCATGAAGATGCACGCTATCTCACGTTCAGCCTGATATACACAGCAGCACCAAGGAGGACTGCACATTTCTTGAGCGTCATTTGGAGTCGCCAGAGGCAGCTGCTTGAAGCTACAGCTCGAGGTGCAGATCAAGACGGGTCAGAGTCGCTATCAGGATTGCAGGTGTACACCATGATAGAATAGGGCAATGCAGGATCCTGTTGCATTTCGAAAGAAGAGGCGCGTTTTCTTAGATCTCTCAGACGCTCAAATGAGTGTCTTCATGCTGCCATGCCTTTGTTGCTGGCCAGCTCTGCAGATGCTTGATCATATGCAGCACATGCAGATTGCAAGCTTAGAACCAGGGCGCCTAGGGGATGTCATTATTACAGGAAGCTCCGTTAGGCTTGATTGCAAATACAATCATATTTTTCCGCAGGACTTTGTCTTGCTTCACTTGATGACCATCAAGATGATGTGATTGCTGCAACATCAGATGCTGGAGCACGATTGTATTTGCTTGATACTTATAGCTGTCATAAGCAAACAGAAAAACTCATGCAGGTTCCCTTGAACAGTGAGCAATGTACATAAGTCAGAGCTAGCGTCGATATTCATTCCCCAATCTTTGTGTCTTGTATAATTGTTCAGAGCCTCTGCAGTCCAGTCCTCCCATCTTGTCACACTTGATCTCACAGTTATGTAACGCCATGCATTGCTGCAGCTGCATGTTGGGAGCTTCCTTCTTGGAACTCCCTGGAACGTCCCATAGAAAAACACCTGACACTTGATGCAGGGCCCCTTCCTTGCCCCTTCACTTGTTAAGCCCATTGTGAGGAGTCACATTTCCTTTGCAGTAAGCTCATCACATCCTCTCAAATGTACACTTCATCAAACCCGCAGTCAAACACGCCCTGACTTCCTTGCATATTGAGCTCCCGTTGCATGTTGACATCATGTACTTGCAGCTTGCACTTCAAACTTGAAGCTATTTACTTGCCTGCCCCTTCAGCTGTAGGGCACCCCTGTCAGTGCTCAGTTTTTTCTCTGCGGTCAACTTGTCATATCTGCCCAAAAGGTGCAACCAGATTAAAAGTCTGTGCGCACCCTAGGGCCTGACTTTTATTTTTCAAATCTTTTACTTGACCTTCGTCTGCCTTGACCAGGACTGTTTTAAAAAGTTTATGTAAGACTTCTTCCTTGCCCCGAAATTTTAGGTGTCACTGGAAGAATTCGCATTTCCATTTTTGTCAACTCTTCACATCTGCCCAAAAGGTACAGTGGATCCAGCTTGAAAGCCTGTGCACACCCTGGCTTCCTTGTAGGTCGAATGCTTTAATTTCCGACCCAAGATGCAACACCCTCTTTTGCCCCTTCGCTGTGCCATTTCCCCGGGGACCCCCCAGGGAATTGTCAGAACCCCGCCCTCCATTGGTGGACGCTGCTGTGATCACATCTCCTTTACATCGATGTAAATCATGTGTCACTGGGTTTCACCAGTGCCTGCATACAATTTGACATGAAGGCCCTTGTCTTGCCCCCCTTCAATTGTTGGGTGCAACCTTGTCAACCAGGAAGTTTTCGATCTTGTCACCCTCGCGCAGTTTGTACAGGCGGCGCACGGTCTCCTTGTCGGTTTTCTGGATGACCGGCGGGAACTTGTAGGACATAACCGAGTTGGGGTTGGTCTTGCCAAAGAGCACCGCGCCGCCCTCCTGCAACCAGAATATAATCTGTCAGGATTTCAATCTAAACCCAAATGACTTCATGGTGTCCAGCTCGGGAGGTTTTGCGGCTCGAGAGATTTGTGCTTGGATGATCTGGTGCAAGCCACAAATTCAGCAAGAAACGGGGTATTTGATACTGAAGATACAGCAGAAATGGGGTTTTGGGAACTCTAAAAGGGTGAGATTCGACGTCTTGTGGCTGCAGACTATTTCTTTATGAGCCATCTGGTGGTTTCTAACTGCTCAGACAGAAATTGAAAATCCTCAAATTTGCCTTTTCTTTCTTTGTTTAGATCCAAACTTGTTTTCAGGGAGCCAGGTAACAAGACAGAATCTCATGCCTGCGGTGCAAACTCGTGGCGCAGGCCGATGATGTGGCCAACTTCGTGTGCGAAGATGTTGCTCTGGTAGTTGACCGTGTCAGGGTCGAATGCGCGCTTGTAGACAAACACCGTGTTGAGGTCCTCTGCGTTGGGGAAGAAGGCCCTTGCCAAAGTGTCTCCACCATCTGCCAACAGTAACACACTGGACACTGACGCCTGTCTCGATGTTGATCTGGAATGCTGAACTGAAGTGAGAATTCAGGTAAGCTAAAAGCTTAAATAATTCTTTCTCAAGCATGGCTCAGACCACATGTAGAAATAGGTCAGAGTAGACTGCAGGAGCTGACAGCACATGGACCAAGCATGTCGACCATGTAAGGTGCTGACGCGAAGTGTGATGCGCAAAGGAGGAAGGGCAACGTTGTGCTGACAAAGCAGAAGGTGCCTGAACTCAAAAGCGCTTCCATTGCTCAAATAATTGTTTGGCAACGGGACAAATCAGATGTCGATGACACTGCAGAAGAACTTCATACCTCCGCCGTACGCCAGCACGAACTCGGCATCGGCCAGCTTCTTCACCCACTTAAACGTCACACCGAACTTGGTCGCGTTCCAGTAGCCCACCGCTTCGTTCAGGTGATAAGCTGCCACATCACAAGAACCATGTCAGCTGCTTGATTGTATTCGGGGAATGCGCTCACTCTGGACCCTTTTCACCTCCGACCAAATTGTAGCACAAGGGTTTCAGCAGGCCCTCCGGGAGTCCCGATAACGAGATGCATTTCGTAGCCAACAAGCAAATGCAAGCTATTAAGCAGCGGCACAAGGCATACCTGCGAAGATCGCGTGATCGGCGGTTGGGTACCCGCCCGCGTAGGCTGCGAAGTTGATAGTCGACTGGGGACGCCAGAGCGTCACCTTGCCATTCCACCCCAGAAAGAGCTGGTCCGGCTGAGCGCGAGCCTGGGTGATGCAAGTGTAAGACGTCTTGAATGCAGACAATGAGGTGCCAGACAGGAAGCGGGCGATCGTCTCGCTGAACCCAGGATCATCCACGATTGCAGGGTCGATGGTCTCGTTTGGTGCACTTGTGTCGAACTGCGCAGCGTAGCAAGCACAGCGCGGATTGTCCAGATCTGATGCCTCCATCGGCTCGGTTGTCTCCACAGCCCCCGGCCTGGTTCTCTTCTTGTTCATCGCGTTCGGAGTATACGACATGGCAAGTGCTTGTGACACTGCTTTGCAAGGGTCACAACGGAAGAGTAGCTTCTTTTACAGATGGTAAGGAAGGATAATCCAAGGATTTTCAATCTGTCTGAGCAAGATTATTTGATGTACGCCAAGATCTCCGGGTTACTCGATGCACTTGGGATCTAGCCGATGACTCGATGAGGTGTCCTGCGCTCCTCATCACCTCATGGAGCTATTTTAAGCACCTTTCATCAGGTGTCATGCTGATCCTTCCAGTCCCTGATCGTCAAAATCCCATTTCTGTGCTTGGGCTCTGTGCTTTCTATTGCATGACAAGGTCGCTGCATGGAAAACTTTGCTGCAAGAACATCGTTACATTCCTGTGAAGCTACTACACAAACCGTCACATGTCGCAGCGCCCTGAAATTTTGATAATGCTCATGTTTACAAGAATGCTAGAGGCGAAGTGATTCTGCAGACAAGCTGCATGTTAAGGCTGCCGCATACTTAGCCTTGTCAGACTCGCTAGATCCAAGCAAGACCCAATCAACTGTGGGGACAGTGCTCAGTACTTGTACCGGCTTCGCCAGCGGGGCCAATGCTCAATGATATGCCAATTCAATAACGGCGTGTCGCCCCTGTCAAGAGAGCCACTGCTGGTACTGCTTGATCTTGCTGGCCTGTGCCTTGGCATCCAGAGCATTCAAGTAATCTATCGCCTCCTTCGCGCCACACGCCATAGCCAAATCTACCGGCCGCAAATTATCCTGTATAAAACCAAAGAGTCCTTCTCATCATCAGATCTGCTGGTCTTATGTGTCATGTTCTACCGCTTTGAACTGGCCAACATGGAAGTTCAACAATTAATCTTGAAGGCCGAGCCTGCTGTTCTGCTGCTCAAGTGCTCAGGCCAAGGCGGAATGCTTGAAGCGTTTAAGACTCCTGATTGTGTGTTGGGACATGCAAAAGGGAATAAAAATGCAGCACCTTGTCAAGGGCGCCTCTGGGAGCGCCTGCTGCCAGCAGCTTCTCCAGCGCACTCACACTCCCCGTCATGGCTGCCACATGCAGCGGAGACCTGCCCTCCTGCAGGGACCAATCAATGATCAGACGAGCTCAGAAGGATGGTAAATTCCTTGAAAAAGGCAAAGTATGATCGCGCAGACATGGAAGCAGGAGTGCCACGCTTATGCAACTTCAAAAGCAGACGCAAACTCATGTGGGTAGATTATGTCCAGCAGTCAACGAATTTCTCGACACGCCAGAACACGCGGCTTGTGCAGACCCTGCTGAGATGGTTGGCACATCAAGTGACCTGTGGCGACGCTTGTGCAATGAACAATCAGATAGATTGTGGGTGATTGTCAGTTGTGGACACTTGCCTTGTTAGGCAGGTCTGCAGAGGCTCCCAGGCCCAGAAGCATGTCCAGCACTTCCTGGCGGCCCCTGTCATTCAAGCTGCCGGCCGCGGCTGCCAGATGCAGCGGAGTGTCTCCCATGTCCTGTGCAGACAACAGACAAAAGCTCTAGTCTGTTCATGCAAACTTACTTTGCTTCTTAACTCATGAAACTCTCGTTTGACCATTCAGTGCCATTGATAAGAAACACGCTCAACGTGCAATGAGGAAAATCATTGCAAATTTATGCCACTGAAACACGTGCCGGCACCAGAAAATTTCGCACTGTTGCGGTCTGCATGCAATGCTCTATTCTGGACCTCTTCAGATTGCGCTCCCGGCTCCCAGTACTGCGTAAAAGTTCCCAGCCTCAATGGCTTTGGCACGACCGACCTTGCGAACGCCATGGTTTCTTTTTCTGCACCTTGTTCACTTTACATACATCTGCAAGTCGCAGATCTGCCTGGACTTCCGCTGCCCATATCGAGTAACCCCGACCGAGTCACGTGGCACGTCATACCCGCACGTGCAACCATCCTCCTTTATCTACCACCCTTGTATCTACTAAATTTTACCACCTACTTAGTAGACCCCGATTTCCGCCCACTTGAAGCTGTACTACTAGACTGAGCTAGGTAGTGCCTTCTGCCTATCAGCTAATCTGCTTGTGCTTCTTGTTGAGCCTGTGCTGCCACTCCGCAGCTCATCTAGATATGGAAGTTCAACAGAGAACTAGCAAGCACCGGATGTGCTCAACCGCCTGCATGCATGCAAGCAACAACTGATCCCAGACGTGAGCAGACTGATGGAATGAGTGAGTGAGTCACCCTGGAGCGTGCGTCAAGGTTAGCTCCCAGAAGGGCCAGGATGCTAACCATCTCTCCATAGCCCTGCGCTGCCGCCACATGCAGCGGCGCCAGCACCTCCTGCAGCGCCCACGCGCACATAGCGATTCACTCTGGAATCTTAGTAAGGCGATGACTAATGGTTTATGTGATGACCGACAGTGTAGTGCGCTGTAAGCTAGAAGGATCTGGAATCTTAGTAAGGCGATGCCTGATGGGTTATGTCATGACCGACAGTGTAGTGCGCTATAAGCTAGAAGAATCAGGAATCTTAGTATGGCAATGCCTGATGGGTTATGTGATGACCGACAGTGTAGTGCGCTATAAGCTAGAAGGATCTGGAATCTTAGTATGGCAATGCCTGATGGGTTATGTGATGACCGACAGTGTAGTGCGCTATAAGCTAGAAGGATCTGGAATCTTAGTAAGGCAATACCAGATGGGTTATGTGACAACCGACAGTGTAGTGCGCTATAAGCTGAAAGGATCTGAAAACTTCTTTAAAACCTCACTCCTGATTCTGAAAGCCAGGCATTGCTCATTCTTGAATAGGCTAGCTGCGATGATAATGACCGGCGACTAGCCGCTTGACCAGTAATTTCATGAGTCCTTGATTGACTGACTGTTATTTTCAGAAGTGGGCTGCATTTCAATAACCAGCAAATTCCGGAATATGAGGGTATGGGGACAGATTCAGGGAAATTGTTGCGCAATTTCTGGGGCAAGAAAGAACACATCTTGTCACCTTACCTCACTCTTTTCACAGCACAACGCACCTGTGTTTGGTCTTCCAGGCTGGCGTTCTCAAAGCGCAGCAGGTGCCGCAGCATTGCACCATCGCGACTCATCACCGCCCTCTGCAGTGCCAGCGCTGTCTTCGCCTGTGACCCACAGAATTTTTTATTTTCGGGTTTTAATTTCTTGCTGCCAGCACGCTGGTCTTGAGAGTCAAACCTGAGCTGACTCTGCTGCCAGAAACACCCCTGTGCGCATGTATGGGCATATGAGCGACGGAGGCTTCATTGAGATGAGCTTCTCATTGTAAGAGAGAGAGAGAAACATTACATCATGCCAGCCAACAAGGCTGATTAGATGTTCACTGTATCTAGATCAGTGTTTACGCGTCCTAATGAGAGTCTGATAAATTGAGCCACCTGTACAAGATCATCTTGCCACATGAACTGACGCATAGTGGTAATACTGGGCCTAAACAGGCTGTCATACCTAGCACGCAGATTAAGAAGTTCTTTTTTTTTTACCAGCTGGTCACGCACCTTGACTTCTGGTGTTGCTGCGGCGCCGGGGTTCTCCTTGTCAGAGCAGCCGCCGTCGCTTGAGGCTGTAGCAGAAACTTCACCTTCCTCGTCTGTGCTGCCCTCAATCCCCTGAGACAGTGCAGCCTTGATGGCGTCCTGCAGCGCAGCCCTGCATCACAGGAGCAACAGTGCAATCAGTCCCATCAACGGAATCTTTTGCATGTTTTTCTCTAGCCAGCTTTGATACATTACCAGCATTCCAGCAAGCCTGTAATGCATTGAGCTTTTGGTGTGGACAAATCTCCACGGCCCAGCAAAGTTTAAGTCCCGTGTGGTTCGGACACGCTGATCTAGCAACAAGAATAACTGCTAAACGGACAGAGTTTTGGAATTGAGTAACTGGCAAGCAGCTGCAAGGAGGCGTGAGTAAAGTGGACTGCCATGCGCAGAAGTGTGACGCACTGATCTTGGGGGCCGGTAGAAAATGACACATCAAACAGCGGCGGTGTCTGGTCCCCGCCGGTGCCGCTGAGACCTCCTGAGACTTTTTTGCCACTACCGGAAGCCCAAGAGCTGAGGGGAAGCTTCCAGGCAGCTTTCTGTCCGGTGTAGCTGGGAGGCTGAAGCTGGTTTCCCACATCATTTAGCGGCCCCTTTCCTGCTGTTTTAGTGCCTGCCAGTATGTCCGCTGGCTTGCCTGCAGGTGCAAAGCATATGACCCTTCACGTGTCGTACCTCAAGAAACGAGTTGATGAAGAAAGGCGAACTGGGCGAAACATAAAAACAAAAATTCTACCTTGCATCAGCGCTTCTGCCTTCTGGATGAGGGCGTACAGAGCCTGCTTTCTCTCGTCTTCGCTCATGTCCAGGTCAACGGTTGAGTAACCCGGCATCTGGGATTGCTCTGCGCCCATGGCGACGATTGAAGTAATTGCTTGATTAATGGCCTGCGTAGTCGTCGAAACTTATGATTCAATGTCAATCGTAGATTCTGGACTGCTTCGCATTGAATTATCTTACCCTAGCAGTCCAAACGCATCGAGCAGACTATCCAACACAGCAGAGCAACTCCTCTGAACTCGCGCTCTTTATGATATAAAAGTGAATGAAATATATATTTCCATCATAAAATGCCAAGGTTTTCCTATTTTGTAGTCGTTCCGGGCTCGAGGCAAGAACCTTCCGAAAGCGGCATGTCATGCGGAATGCACGTACCTGGTAAGAAGTCGCGGCCTCTCGCTACATTTGAGCCGAAAATATCATCTGGTTTTGCAAATGAATTTTTAAAGCATGATTCGCTTGATATTGTGCTGGCTACACCGGTCTGAGAGTGTCTCCCTGTTCCTCACGGAGCTGCTCTGAATGACTGATCGACAAGCCTGATTTGGCACCATGTTACAGACGGTGAAGTTTCTGTGCAAACAGCAACAGGCATAACTTTTTGGGAAGACGCAAATTCTTTCCATCATGCATGCTTCTCTGGATGGAAGGCCTGCATGCTGGCCCCTCTGAAAACATGGGCACGTTTTTGTATTCCTGTTCAAACCGTGTTGCATCAGTTCTGTTTCATTCTAACCTACGCCGTGGATCCGATGCAAATGATCCTGTCGTGTATCTCTTAGATGTATCCAAAAAAATGAAACCAAGAGAAGACGAATGAAACACGAGCTAAGGCAGGGCGACGTAGTGTAGTGGTTATCACTTTGGACTCTGACCAATCCAATAACCCCAGTTCGACTCTGAGCGTTGCCTCTTTCCTTTTTTTGCCGATCAAAATCACAATACTGTGCAGTGAGATATATCAAGTCCAATGAGACTTCACTCAATAGAGTTCCCATAACAAGTTCCCATAATTTCTCGTCGAGTGTCATTGCTGCTCGTCAGCCCGGTGTCCTAATTGTCATGGCGCAGTTTGCGGGCAAAGTATCGCTTCCGTTTGCCTCCCTTTCCCTCCTCTTGCAATGACACATCCTCTAATACAATTGAACCTCCAGCCTCCGAAGATTCTGGCTTTCTAAAATCCCTCAAGTCCAGTGGCACTTTCCCAAATGTGGCTGGGCCCTTCGGCGAGGCAGCTTCAATCTCCCCTTCAAAGTCCCACTCCTCTGACTCATCCCCACCAACAGCAAGTGTGCTGCCCTGCGCTGCGGCCGCAGCGCTTTGAGGCGGCCTGAGCTCTGTAGACTTATGGGAACTGTCCGTGCGCCGGTAAGCTTTGATGCTGCCCTGCGCGCGAAGAAGGGCAGAAGACTTTGCGTCCACATCGGAATACCTTTTTGCGCTGCTGAAATGGGATGTCACAGCCATGCCGGCGTCTGTCTCTGGCTGGCTAGTAGATGCTGTGTCAGCCAGCTTGCTCCACACATCTGCATGCAGACAAGAAAATTTCAAAACTAGATTTGAAGCTGTCACTGCACAATGAAGAGCATCGGCGACGGGGCCTTTGCCAAAAAGTTATTTGCCCGTGCAACGACAAATTCTAAAAGCGGACATTGTTTGACAGCGGCACAATGTGCAGGTGCAAAAGGGTTGCTGCAAGGTCAAAGGTTCCAGGATTATAATCTGCCCTCACCTGAGGTGGAGGGAACATCCAGGACCGGCAGGTCATCCTGATCAGTCGGCCGGGGCGATGTGATGCTATACGCCTTCCTGAGCCATGACTCAGCCACAGGGTTGTCCATATTACCCAGCCCCTTTTCCTCCCTTTCCTCCGTCACTAATGAAGGGGGACTGCTAGGGCGCACAGTTGCATAAAGGTCAGGTGCACGGCTGTTTGAAGGCGCAGATGAGTCGACTGATCTGGAGCTAAGAGGCCGCAGCAGGTTCCTGAACGAGCTTGTTCTGGTGCCCTTGCCGGGTGTCTGCGGTGCACTTGCAGAATTGCTCTCTTGTGCCTCATCCTCCACATTTCGCTCCATTCCTGCAGAAGAAAAGGCTTCTTACGTTGTTTCAGTAGCACATGCAGATGTGCGCGCGGTTCAATCAAGGCAATTCTCACCAAAGAAGTGAAACCTTATAGAGTGCAGCAATAGACTACTTGCACAAAAAAGGTGTTGCTAATGGCGGTGTCAGTGCATCTCATGGGGCTCTCAGGCATTATTACATTGCCAGCATTTCACAGTCAACAGGCATGCATGCATGGGACAACAAATCAAACCCCAATCATCACCTGAGCCGCCGTATTTGCACCGCCAGACACGCTGTGCCTGACAAGCCGGCCCAGTGACTTTGGTAGCGATGAGAATTTTCCAACTGTAGCACTTCCCGCTTCCTTCACTGCCCTCATTGATGAAAGTCCCTCCCTGAATCGGCTGGCCGAGCGTGGCCTCTCTGCTCTTTTGATCTCAATCTCTGGCGTGCTTTCTTCCATGCCTGCTGCAGTGCGATCACCAGTGCTGACGACGTCGCTCATGACAACGTCTGCTGCTTGATCTGCCCATGCAATGCTGACGTCACTCGCTGCGTCATCTGCTGGCTGACCAATCCAAGCATTGCTGTCAGAGGTAGCGGCTCCTGCTGAATGAGGTCGATCGCCAGGTCGTTCTTCCTCAACATTGTCATCTTGCAGGGAAATCTCCTCTTCTGCCAGAGAAATGATGTCACCAAGGATTTTACCACTTTCAGAAGTTGCTCCTGCGGGGCCTACACCCTGGCTGTCCAGCGAGTCATCGCCCCCGTCTGGCTTGGGCGTGAGGGGAATGCTGTCGAAACCCTCCAGCTCAGCAGAAGCTTCTGCCCCACTGAAACTTATTTCCTCATCAAAGCCTCTATCCTCTGAACCCTGCTGCTCATTCTCAGCTTCTATTTCCAAGTTGACTGCTGCTGCTGCTGCTGCTTCAGTCTTCTCCTGCTGGCTGGGGGTCATTAGTTCAGCCGCAAAGCTTTCCTGATCTTCCAGGCCGATCGATTCCATTGAGGTATCACCAACAAGCTCCTTTGAGGCATGCACACGTACATGCAGGCTCTTCTTTATAACCTCTGCATGCGGCAGCGGCGGTGTATACTCTGCATGCTGTGCACTCGCCAGCAAGGAGGGCGCAGCGTCCTCGCTGTCAGGAAGCTGGAACTCGGGCGGCGGCTGCCGCGCAGCTTCCTCCTTGCCCAACCAGCCGCTCACAGGCGAAAACAATAAATTGCTGTTTCCAGCGCCTGGTCGCTCCACTTGCACTGAGTCAATATCCAGTGAGAGACTGGACCGCGCGCCAGCCGAACTTGAATTCGGATGTGCGGCCTGATTTGGATCGCTGGATGAGTCTGACGTGGACAGCACGTGGCCTGTTGATGACCCCTGACGGAGAAGGGTTGCTGAAGGGGTGATGAAGGGTATTGGGTTGATGTCTGCCGGGCTCAAATTTGGGCTGTGCTGCGCAAATGTGAAGCCGCCTGCAGCTGATGCCTCCGCAGCGGGCTCAGCAGGCTCCACCTGTCACAAGCATATACAACATTTATTCGAGAACAGAAGAGTACACCTGCCTAGCATTTTTGCGCATCTCTGGTTCCGAAGGCCTCAAGTGTCCTCCAAGGAGGCCAGTTCCTGACATGACATGCAACTTATGGATGCTTCTGAATTACTCATGGCCCAAAATGGCCGAAAGGGCTACAAAGAAATGAACACAGACCAAGTACAGTAGCATGGATGGGGTTCCAGCAATCTCATCCTCAAAGGAGCCTTGAAAGGTGCATGGGATGAGGGCACACCTCAGTGGCGGTGTCAAAGGGTATTTCATAGCCCAACACAAAGGGCGCTGATCGTGAAGCAGACTCTTCCCCCGATGCGGCCGCAGCCGACAGCTGTGCGAACAGCGCATAGTCCGATGACCGCTCCTTTTCCTGTTGTTCTAGCACCGCAGAGGTGCCGGATTTATTGGCAGCTTGCTCTGCAGTGCCGTCTTCCAGAAAGTCAAAGCCTGCGAAAAAGCCATGCACGAAAAATATTCAGCATGAGCTTCAGCAGTATTCAGCACAGGGAAGCATTTACTCCGGTGTCCAACTGTGCACAAAATAATCCCGGTGTAAGCAGCAGCTGTTTCAAGGTCTAGAATCTGGGACACATTGGTACCAAAAGTTGAAAATCTATTCAGGCAGGCAAACTCCGCACCGCCGCTTTGCTGGAAGCTGGATGCATGCGCTTGTGGCTGCACTTTCCCCGCAGGTGATGCCAAAGTCATTTGCGCCTCATCTGTGTATGTTTCAGGAGCGCTCACTGAACCGAATTGCTCACTGATCGCCACCCTTTCTGTCAAATAATTACTAAGTTGCCCAGTGATGGGCAGCCGATGTGCCCGTCCGGGCAGCTCCTCCAGCTCAAACCCATCTGTCACTGCAAAATTCAGATCTCCGCTGTCACGCATGGACGCGCTCTCTTCCCCTGCGTCGGCGCCGATATCAAGTTCGAATTCCTCCTCTGCGGCTCTTGCTTCTGCTTTTCGATCTACCAAAGTCTCCCAGTCCCTATCTACTGTAAAATGCCCCATGTCCCCAGCAGGTCCTGATGCCCCAACCCTGCCTCCAAATGCCCCAACCAAGCTCTGGCTACCTGCTGTGAGAGTACCAGCCAGATTATCCAGCGTTCGCGTTGCATGGTTCCCAGACAGGAAGCTCTCTGATGTCCTTTTTTGCTGGAATCCCAGACTCGGCAGCCAGCCGCCTTGGCCATCCAGGGGTCTTTGGAGCACTGAAGAGTCCCTATCCAGGGGTTCCTGAGTTGCTGGAGCTTTATCATATTCCCCTGCCAGCTGGCCGCTGCCGCGCTTGGCGTTCGCTGACACAGCGCTGACTAATGCCGCCGACATGCGCCGCAGCGTGCTCAGCGCGGTCCAGTCAGCTGCCGCCGCCTGATTTGGCGCGCCCAGCAGTGCACCTCCTTCCTCCATATTCCCAGCATCTCTTTCCATGTCTACGTCCATGCTTCTGTCTTCTGACGCATGCAAATCTGGTGCAAGGTTCCTCTGAGGAGCGGCACCAAATGTGGGGTTTGCATGGAAGGAGGCCTCTGTTGTGTTGACCACATAGTCCTGGAAGCGCGGGTCGTACATTGGGTTGTTGGCGGTTGGCTGGTCTTCCGCCAACTCTATCTCGGTTTCCTGCAGAACAAAAAACAAGTTGGGTCTTGGTTATTGCTACCAATGTGATCACAGAGCCAGGGGTGGCGGTACAAGGCAAGTACTCATCACTCATCAGCATCTCCTGACAGGGCATCAGAGGCACCAAGACCCAATACTTGGAAGTAGAACAGGTTTACTGCTGACTTTACAGTTCCACATGGTGGCTTGTTTGCAAATTCCCGCTTTCAAAATTGCAGATGTGTCTCACCTTGAGCGCAGAGAACGCCCCGGGGGACACCCAGCCGCCGGCTGCCCTGAAGCTGCCGAAATGCTTGGACAGAGTCCTGCCCAGCCCGAACGGGTTGCCCAGAAATGACGCGAAGGGATTCCCCGTCTCGCGCTGACTTGTGTCCTCGCCTTCAATTCTCGTGCTCCAAGATGGTTCTTGGGTCTCGTGCGATCCCAACAGCCGCGCATGTGCTGACTCATCCGAGAGTGAGTCATACTTAGGTGCTCTATTTCCTTCCGCGGAGGTTTCTGGCTCAATCTCAGGAGCGCCTGCCGCGGCTGTAATGTAGATTGAGCTAGATGGCTGATGCTCTTCACTGTTTTCCAGTAGCTGGGATTCTTCATCTGACGGCCTTTTGCTGCCTGTTCTCTCTCCGCCGCTGCGGATTTTTATGCCTCCAGCTACAAGGCGGGTCAGCAAAGGAGCGGCGTTGCCAGCTGGCGCTGATGTGTTGCCGCCGAACGGCACCACATCAGCAAAAGGGTTGTCGCTGCGCCGGCGGCCGGCAGCCGCCTTGATGCGCGCTGGAAGCTGCCCGGCAGCTTCCATCTCCTCGCCGGCAAGGCCGCTGGGTTGACTCACTGGAGCTGACTGTTGCAGCGCCTGTATCAGCGCAGACTGCCTATCTCAACTTGAAAGTGTTCAACTCTGCAGTCTAGAGACCACAGCCCTTCACGACCAAAGCTCGTCTAGAGCGCCTGATCAGAGCTTCAGGCATGGGGAAAGAAGCAAACCAGGTATCCAGGCGGTGTGGTGAAAGAGGGCGTACCTCCCGCAGCCGGGGAGCAAGCAGTTGCATTGCCACGCTGGCAAGGGGCGTCACAACGATGACACCCATCATCGCAGTCATTGCCAGCACATCGGCCCATCGGTGATAATCGGCAAAGCTGTCTGACGAGGCGCCCACAAATTGCCCCGCCAAATGCATTGGCAGGAAGCACATTGTCAGAGTCACCGACGCCTGAAAAAACAAAAATACATTGGTTTTTTTTGATAATTTTTTATTGTAAAAAAAGCTATTTTTGGTAAAGAGAATGAGTAAGTATGTGTGTGTGGAACAGAGAGGTTGCAAAAAGTATGTACTGACCGAGATATTAAAAGTGCAAGTAAATAAAGCCCACCTGAGGGAGAGTATAGATAGTGATGAGCACCCGCTCCTTCAATGAGACACTGGTTCCAAAAAGGCCAAAGAAGGAGACCAGACACTTGACACACACACCTGCACAGTCACAGTCCAGCTTGAGCGCTAGAAAATGGCAACATAGCTCAGCGTATCATTATCATTACACGTTATCAAGTCCTAAAGACCAGGTTCAAGCAACACTTGTATTATTGCTTTCCACTCTTCTCAGCTGCAAACCCATAAGGAATTCCCCACCCAGCAGATGCCTCACGAGTATCTCAATTCGCACTGTACATTAAAAACGCACAAATGGTATGCATGGCAACAAGCTGGTATGCGCACCGATTGCTACGGCGGCCAGGCACTTTGCTGTGGCCATGTGAGGCAGAGCCGCAAAAGACACTGACGCGCCGGCCAAGCTGAGAAGCAGCGGCTCGGCTGCCAGTGTCCAGATTACGTCCAGTCGCCTGCCCACCTCTTCCGCAGTTTTGGCTCTGACTGGCTCTGTTCTCAGCATATGCACACACCACAACATCTCACCACAAGCAATATCAGCATCTAACCTGGTGTCTTGATGAATTCAGCAGGCAGCAGACCATGCACTGAGTCTTGAACATCCTGAAGCATTGAAGCATTGAGCAGTGAAGGCTTTGGTAGGAGCAATGGGGAGAGGTGATGTTAGTATTTAGTAGAATAGGGAGGAAAACGGAAATGCACCTGGAAGAGTCAGCAGTCGCGGATGGGCAGAATCCCAGAAGCTGCTCAGCCCGCAGCCCATGACCAGCAGCGCTAGAACTGATGCCCCAAAGTACTCATAGCGGAACCTGTGCAGACACGCATAAAAAAGGGATGAACATTTTGAATGCCACGACATCACTTGCCCTCAAGAGAACCACCCCTGCAGCATCCGAGGAGTTAGTCAGGGGCTCTGCAGTCTCAATACATGTCGGACCATTCTTTATTGGATGCACACTTATGCTTGCAATCATTGGCAACAGCTCCAAAGTTGCCATGGCATTGCCTGCTTTGAATTGCCTTGTACTAGATTACCGCACCTAGAGGTCAAGCTGCTATCTTTAGGTTTCCAGTGGAATATGAAAGATGTCTCACCCCAGGAAGGCGAGGGTCTGTGCCACGAACAGAGCCACTGCAGTCCACTACTTGGGGATGGGGCGGGATCCATTTCTGATAACATTCATGACTGATCATAGAAAATTACTCACCCCAGGAAGGCGAGGGTCTGAGCTACGAGCAGGGCGATGACAGTCTGCTGCCAGGGGGTGCGCCAGAACAGGCGCTGGGAGCACACCGCAGCGGCTGCAGCGCCAGCCGCGCATCCAGTCAGCGCGCTGACTAACGGGTGCAGCCAGATCAGGCTGGGGGGACCGTGAGGGAACGCCAGCAGACAGAACAGGGACGCGAAAAGGGTGGATAACGCGATGCTCGCCCCGCTGGCGGCTGTCAGCACCTCCGGCATGCCTGCATCAGCCACAGCAATTCTCATGCATGCATCTATTTTTCAGCTTTATTGCACAGGAAATCAATGGAAGTATGCGATTTCCTGGCAGGGCAGATAGGTGGAATATTTGTTCCAGAGAAGACACAACACGGATCTGCTACAGCAGTGGGTGTTGCCGTTGCTTCTTTCAAATTTGATCAGCTTCACTCGATGATTTATGTTTGCATGGCTGCTCCCACAGTCCACGGACTGCTTTCATGGATCGCAAAAGAACACCTTGACAGGTAAAACTTAAAAATGTAATTACAGCCGCTCACCGGCAGTCATGGACGGGCGGGCTTCCTCGCTCTGCTGCAGGGATTGCAGGTCGGTGGACATCGACAGCGCGCACGCCGGCGCCAGAAGAAAGCCACCGGCAAGCGCCAACAGCGGAGGCATCTTGAAGAGCAACCCCTGCTAGGCACCAACAAAAGCAAATCTTTCTATGGTGTTTCTAAGTTGCCTAATTCGAGGCGAATTCTCGAGCTTGGACTGAACTATGCACATGCCATTGCATCCATCATGCAACTCAGAGGCAATGAAGGAGCCCTGAAGGAGTCCTGAAATTTCACCATGAACTTGTACCAAACACATCTTTGTTGGCATGATTTGGTTCATCCTCTCGGCTGGTAAAAACTGCATGGGGGTCACATAGGAGACACAGGCATCAATGGCAACTCTATAATTTTCCTTCACAACAAGCCACTGTTCTCACCAGGACTGCGCTATAGGTGGTGGCAGCCTTAATGCAGGGGAGTGCGCCCAATTGCAGTACCATCAATGCCCTTGTTCTGAATGCGCGCAGCTTGACAAGAAGTCCCGCCCTCAGCAGAATCAGCGCCATGCATGCCCACCTCACCTTCCCTGACAGCTCCAATGGCACCCCCTGCCCATTGCAAAAGTCATGCTCCAATAAAGCAGTAACGAAAATCCCAATCAAAGTCTCCTGCTAGCAAAAAAGCGCTGCTCTCCAGATCATCTTAGATGAACACTTGTGGGTGTGCTCTTGCTGCCATGAGAGCAGAGTATGGGTGCTTTGGAAATAGCAATGCGGCGTGTGCATTGCACAAAACTATTGGCAGCAATGTGGGGCCTGATCAGGCCAAGTGAGGCTTCCGTCCACCTCACCTCGGCTGTCAGCGCTCCAGTGTTCCTCAGCAGCAGCCCTGCCAGAACCATGCCCAGCAGCGGAGGCAGGCGGCACTGCACACAGCACAGCCTTTGCATTATCAGCAGCGGTTTGATCTTGCAGGCGCCTCTGACACCCACAGGCCTTGTATTGTCAAATTTCTATGTCCAATGACCCGAATTCTACTGTCGCGTGGGACCACTCTGTCCCTTTTTACACATCCCACATGGTCCAGCAGTGTCCAGCTGTGATTTCTGGTGCTATCTCAGTGCCGCTGGTTATTGCATACTCTAGATTGCCCTCTGTTGCACACCCTCTTGTATTAATAGCATAGGGCCTGCCATGCTGCACCTAGCCCACCTTGGCTGTGATGTAGCCTGCCACATGGCCGGTGACCCACAGCACGCAGAGACCCCACAGGGCACCTCCCGGCGCAAAGGGCCCTCCGATTGCCAGGTACAGGGCAGCATATCCTGCCAAGGCCGCTGCCACCAGTCCAGTCAGGCCCAAAAGAGCTGCGAGCCAGTCCTTGTTTCAGAAGCAGAATGACTACTTTCTCACACTTCCAGATACTGGTCCTCGTGAACTATCACTTGAGACATTCAACAACAGGCCAACATCTGAGCTAAGGCAAGGAGCATTGACTATCATTCAAATGGCTCCAGGAGCGTCTCCTCGGTGTCAGGTGATGTAGATGACTCGCTTGTACAATGGGGAAGAGCAGCACGCACTTTCGCGCTGAGCTGTCGAGACGTTCTCGTTGGTCATCTTGCTACAATTGCTCAACTAGAATCGCCAGTCAGGATCGCGACGAATCCAGAGAATGGATGCGATTCGATCCGGGTGTGAAGAAAATTCTTTGAAGGTGAACGAACTTGTTTCCAAGGCTCCATGATGGGAGCATAGAATATCAGGGTACAGACATGCCGGGATGTCTTCTGCCTTGCGAAAACGCAAATCCGTTTATTCAAGGACTCGTGCTTTTTAACAGACTTTCAAAAGTGATGTTTGATAATACCCGGTATAATCATGGAAGTTGTAAGGGAGGGTCCTCTCTATTTCTTGGTGTGGGTGAGCCTACTTATGAGCCTACTGACAATTATTATCGCCTGCCGCATGTGAGTGCCACAAGCATGTACGAGATAGCACTCTTTTTGACAATCTACATGGACCACTTGCACTCAACTTGCAGCTTTAAATGTCTTAATGCAGGTGTATGCTACAATGTCACTACTGCGCAATTTGCATCGCGGCACTTCAGCTGCACAGTTCTGCGGTTGCACACCTAGAGGCCTCTGCGAATATTCTAAAATTTAATTCGCAGCCGCTGCAGGTAAAACGTCTGTCTTATCCGTGACAGATCCTAGAACTCGCTACAAGAAGAAGCCTGCAGTGCCAAGAAAGGCCACTGCATCAGCAGACTACCCTCTGATGTCTCAAACGTGTAAAATACCCAGAAGCAGCAACATGTTTGCAAAATGAAAGCAGCCTGTGACGAAACCTCTCCATCTTTCTGCAGATTTGGTTCTTGCTCCTGAGTGAAAAGAAAGCCCGAGTGAAAGGCCCTGTAACAGGGATAGCTGTGTGCTCAAATTAAATAGCTTTTTGACTCATTGCTGTTCGCCCCTGCCAGGTCCGCCTCAGGGCGAATCACCCTCTGCCCGACTGGCCACGTTTTCGCTTCTTCACGCTCGACTGCTGGTTGAAGCCGGGGATGGGCGGTGTGTGCGTGAACATCTGCCGGTTCAGTGGCACCCTCTCTGTCTCTGGCCTGTTTGCCAGCTCCCTCAAATCCTCTGCAACCAGCACAGCAATGAAAATGCTTGCAAAGTCCTTGTCCACAGTCCCTGCAGCCTTCACCACGCTCCTCTCTGCTGTTGAGAGGCATTCATGCCAGTTTTAAGGACCCCACTCCAACAGTGGAAGACACCATAAAATTTCCAACTCTTTGACAATCAAGCAGCTGTGCTGCAGTGACATTTGCTAGGAATTCACTGTGCTTTCGCTGCCAAAGATGCGAAGGTTATGTGAATCTACCTGGTAAGGCAGCAAGGGCGGCCTTCTTCAGTTTGAGCTTCACAGAGAGGTCAGTCTGCCAGGCCCGATGCTGCATCATTTTGAGCCGGTTATACTCCTTAGTGGCATCCTTCCAAAGCTGCGCGTCCTCTGGGCTGAGCTTGGGCATCTCATCCTCTGTCAACTCTTCCAGGATCTGCGTGTCAGGCAAGCAAGATGTAAATGGACAATACGTCAAGTTATAGATGTACATACCTGGAAATTCAATCTACTTGGAAACACGAAGAGTCTGGAACTATCCTTACCTTCAACAATCTAGGTGTTTTGAAGTCCCGCCCAGCTGCAGCTTCCTCAGCCTTCTTCGCAAAACCAGCAATACTGAGACGTGAGAACGACAATGAATCACAAAAACCTATTTGCCGTGCGAGCTCTCTCCCTGTCCTGAAAGCGAGCATGGGTGACACACGATCTATCTGAGATCACTATCTACTTGCCAGCATGCCTGCGATGTCAATGTGCCTATAACCTTCTTTACTTACAGTGGCGATAGGTCCACTACTTACATGAATTGTCATACTGTAATTTTGGAGCTTGAACAGTTCCTGCGCGAGGAAAATTTGGCCTGGTGGCTTGCCTGAATTGGCGACATGACGCATACATTGCAGCTTCATGCGCTTCTGGGAAAAGGATGCACTTATGGTAGAAGAGGACATTCAAATTCTATTTAAGGAGGTCTGCGTCGACGCTCTTGCCCTCTTGTATAAGTTTTGCAAGTTCAGGCAGTCATGACCACACCTGATGGTCTCAAATGCAACACCATCAGGAAGATCGCGGTGTTCTGTGGTGCATCCAGTGGGAACAGTCCAGAATATTTGCAATGCGCACGAGAACTGGGGCATGAAATGGTCAGACGAGGCATAGGACTTGTCTATGGGGGTGAGCTGACATGGCAAGGCCCTGTGCATCGTCTCGGGTTAACCACACTATACATGAACATATGTCAATCATTCATATTTTGTCTTCCAGGCGGAAATGTCGGGCTTATGGGGGAGATCGCACACACTGTGTACAATGGACTGGGTGAAGAAAGCGTCATCGGTGTCATTCCAGAAGCACTGCAACCTCGTGAGGTAGGAGCTCCAGGGACTACTTTGTCATACCATAAAGCCTCAGCCATACAACAAATATATTATTTATCTATCTGCAGAGGAGGAGCTGTGCCAAAAGTTTGTGCTGTGCGCCTGCAGATCTCTGGAGAGACCGTTGGAGAGATCAGGATCGTCCCAGACATGCACACCAGAAAGGTGATCACCAGGCTGTCCATAGCTCACATAGTCAACTCCACATAGCTCTCTGTTGGCTCAAGACAACGACATCGCACTGCTGCACTAGTCGCTTGCACAGGACCCACTCTCACCCATGGGTCTGCATAATGCATCTGGCTGCGGGCGTGGCGATCATGTAACACTTGTAACAGCGGACCTGGGGATGACAGGCAGTGGTGTCAACGGAGGCAGATGCATTCATAGCGATTGTAGTAACATTAGTGATACTGGATGGGGGGATGACAGGCAATGATGTCAGCGGAGGCAGACGCCTTTATAGGCATTCCAGGGGGCTTTGGCACGCTTGAGGAGCTGATGGAGATGGTGACATGGCAGCAGCTGGGCCTGCACACAAAGCCAGTGGGCATCCTCAACATTGCCGGCTACTATGATCACCTGCTCGACTTCTTCGACCATGCCGTTGAGGAGGTGTGGCCACAGAAACACCTGCTGCTTGAAGATCAATCTGTAAGCAATGCCCTCCAGCGCGCCATCCCTGCAACTCCTGCGCTGGTGCCTCCATCAGTGGACTCCCTACATGTGACAGTTACTGCCCAGGGCCATGTGGTCGCACCTGTGCTATTTTTCCAGCACCACAGAAAAACATCACGCATCATCATTTGGGTCTTTGTTGGAAGGGAGGCCCCGGCTGGCAAAGGGTGGTATAATTGCTGAGCACTGTGCCCTCGGTTGATCAGGTCTTGCTTTGTTCTGACTAGTCGATAAAGGGATGGAAATGTGGCAAACCATACTTGCAGCCTGTCTGCTGATGCACATCGCGTCTCTTGGTGCATGACAGCATGTGAATGACTAAAGGAGCTGCTGTGTGTGCGCGGTGCAGGGGTTTGTGAGGCAGCCAAGCAGGGACATCGTGATTCAGTCGAGGGACCCAAGGGAGCTCATAGAAAAGCTGGAGACCTACTCACCCCCATCCTCCATCATCAGGCTGGCGCTGGAGGGGAAGCTGCTGCACAACCTGCGAGGATAAGAGCAGAGCATGCTCTCGGCGGGTTTTGTGAGCGTTTTTGAGTATCCCCTGGGGGCCCCAGAAAGCTAGGTGGCATGGATGCACAATCTGCGCTGATGATCGCAAAGGCAGAGCATCTGTGCAGCGGCAGCAGCCGTGTGAGAAATTCGGAGCACCCTAGAGAGTCTGTCTGTCAGAAATGTACATTCTGCTCAGATGTGAGCAGAGCGTGCTACCCCGCATCGGAGCAGCGTTAGTGAGAAGCCCGGAGCACCCCACAGAGCGCTCTGTAGGGATGCATATCAAAGTGGATAAAATTAGAGAAAGGCACAGCAGGGAAAACAAGATCTAGGGAAGGTTCAGGGCATCCACAGTCTGGTCTGTGTGATAGGGCTGCACAACCTGCACAGATGTGAGCAGAGCGAGGCATAATTCGCTGTAGAGCAGAGTTTGTAAGGAGTTAATAGCAATATAAGTCGCTGTACTGTGTTGTAGCAATGCACGTTCTGGCTCCTGTTCAGTCAGTTGTTGCTCTGCAGTGCCCATGCAAGTGCGGCTGCTCTTTCTTAACCACCAACTGGATTCAGAACCCCACTGGCTCCAAAATGAGAGTTTGTGTTTAAGCATCTGGGCACCAGGATGTAAGTACTGATGAAGAGACAGCATTACCGCTTAAATCACAAAAGGGGTCAGTGTCAATCATGATCATGGGCCCTGAAGGCATGTAGATTTATTTTTGGTCAAGGTCAGATTAGATTCCCTGCTGCTGGCGCACTCACTCTTCACTCTTAAACTGCAGCTGTGTAAATGTCCTTCGGTGTGCAGAGCCTTGAAGAGCTATTCAATGGAAAAAGACTTGACCAAACTCCCAAAAGCTCATGTGATCGCACATGCACTGAGGGCGTCCCATGCAGCGATGGGAAGCGATTGTCACAGGCTGTAAGCAGTCAACCATTAGCAAAAGGCTGTGTCCTATAATGCAGCTTGACAATATATACGCGTGACATGAATGGACAGACTGTCTCAGATTGCACATACCTGCCAGTCTAGAATGAACAGTGAGCATGATGCCTTCACAAAAAGAGTGCCATCTCGATATTTCCCGGTGATTTGTTACGTTCTCTAAAGCACAGTACAGAATGCCCTTGGAGTCAGGTATGTTACTATGATGATCTTGCATGGACACAATTAGTCGCTGCAGCCCTGCACTGATTGCTTGAGCAGGCCGGAGCGGACTTCACCCTGGAAAGCTTGAACACCTGAAAAACAGGTAGAAAAACACGAGTGGGCCTTCTTGAATTTGCCACCATTCTGTGCCGATCCGTTCACTCTAAAGTGCAAGATTGCCTGCTGCAGAAAAAAAAACACCTTTCCTCTCGAAACTCTTTCTCACGGCCACAATCAAGCACATGAGACCTGATGCGTCTGATCTGCCTCCACTCCTATCACCTGGGCTGCTGGTGCCCCTAGACCCTGTTCTTTCAAGAAGAAATGGGGACTACTTATTCCTGAGACCTTGCCAGGACACTCTAGTGGCCACGTTTGCTGCTCCCGTCTTCCAGTCTGTCCTCCTGTCTGACATTTCCATTGGGGAATTGTAAGAAAAACCAAAGTGTACCGACTGAGAGATCTGCTGCCTAAAGCCCTCAAACACCCTGATGCTTAAATCTGTTCATCTAAATTTAATCTGGACATTTATTGATCCAGCCAGGCATACCACTGGGACCCCTACAAGAATCCTGGGCCCTCTCCTTGGGCCCTCTCCTTGCTACAATACGCGGTACATGAAACCTGATGCCTTCTTTCTGATAACCCCTCCTAAGGCAGTCCCATAGTAACCTGCAGCTCCTTCCTTCCTCCTCTTGCTGCTTTCGCCTCTATACCTCCTTCAACCCGCAGCATCCAATCCTCCACAACACTCTGATCATACAGGAGCCAACACTGCTCCCAACACTTGGAGAAGCCAAACCAGTTCACCCCAGCATCTTCCGGTAAGATTTTGCTCTCTAGAGTGTCATTAAAACCCCCCAGCAGGGTTATACCCAAGGGAGGAGGTACCCCCCCGGCGGGGCCTCTCCTCCTATCGGCGTTCGCCGCGGAACGCTACGGGCCACTCCTTCTGCGGGGCGCGGTCCGTATCTACGGGCCAGGGCTTCTGCGTACGGGCGTACGGGCGAGCGGAGGTGAAGTTGGGCGACATGAAATTGTCCCACTTGCAGTCCTTGTCGAACTCTATCATGTCGTGCCCCGGCGGCAGCCCACAACACCTGCGCAGTGCAATTTTGATACTAAGCACCCACCATCACTCTCACAGCATCCGTCCCCGCACTCGGAACATCAGATGCATCTGGTGCCCAGACCAAGGCAGATGTGAGCAACCATTCAATGATTGCCAGCAGCCCAGCACGGCAGCAAGAACAGAATGGGTCCAGCGGCCTCTGTCTTGCAATGAACCTGCTACATAGCATAGCTGCACACCATGCTGCATGCACAATCACAGCAAAACTGCCTTGACTGAAGTCCTGCAGCTGTCTGCCGTTGCACCTTGCCTCTTTCAGGATCAGCATGCATGTTTAGAAGCCAGCGAGTGAGGCGGCTGCGCACTTGTAGTAAGGGCGGTGGGGTGTGAGCGACCAGTCAATGGGCGCGGATGACTGCACGTCGGCCCAGTCGGTGGTTCGAATCCCGCGCACAAATTCTTTTTTGTGGACATCGCCCGCGTCCCGGTGGGTGTACGCCAGGCGCACGTTGGGGTCGACCACGAATTTGGAGTAGCCCAGCCGGAGGAAATCGTTGCACAGCAGCGAGCACTCCGAGGCCGCGCACTCGCCCTTCTTGTGACCCCTGATGCATGCATGCATGCAGGCGCTTATCACTCTTTACTATCATAACACACTGCTCCTGCCAAGTGGCAAGGTGGGTCTGCGAACAAGCTTCGTACACGCATGCATATACATGAGTTAAAAGGAGCATTGTGGCAGAATTGCCCTTCTTGTGGCCATTGCTGGGGTGCATTCAAGCACAACAGGGAAAAATTCCGTGCCATTGCGAACTCCATGGAAGCCGGACAACACATCGCATTCCAGCAGGCATGAGATCCGCGACAGCAGGATTTTGCCGCAACTGGCATACACTCAAGTAGCTCGTTGAGTTCTGTGGATGTTTCAGGACTGCACTGGCTGCTGACTGTTGGACTCCCTGGTCAATGCTGTTTCAGTCAACAACCACTGTTAAAGATAGCGCTAAAGCAGCTGTGCGGAGAGCCAGACAACCAAAACCTGCACGCATGCAGCAAGAAACCTTGCTCTTTCAAGAAACAACAACAACTTTGCAGCTGCCAAGCACGCACCTGACGCGGACGTTGTGGCGCAGGAAGGGTGCGGAGTTGAGGACCACGAGCCCGTTCCAGCAGCACTTTACGGGGAAGGGGAGGCCGCGGGCGATACGGTCCAGGGAGTAGGGGTCCGTAACGTACGGGGTCTCCTTCAGGAACAGGTTGCCGTCCGAATCGCGCGCCACCCAGATGTCATAGAACTCCATCGGGGACTCCGCCTGATGTCAAATAGGTGATTCAGCACCAGATCAGGCAATGTGAGTCCCTGCCAAAGAAGGTCAGGTAAAGGGCTCCAAACTACATCATAGATAAGGTCCGCTGCAGCACAGTCAGAGGTGCTCCCTCTCCCCACGTTAAAGTCCAACCTTTTTCAGATCCCCCTCCACCCCCCTGAAAGGATCATATAGCTTATAAACACTATATCCACCATTGCATTCCTTGTGTAAATTATTACTATAAGGGCCCTTTCCCTGATCCCATATTCCCTGAACCCTAAGCTAAACCGGTTGAACTTTAGAGTGTGGGTGCTCCCGGTGCCAGACATGCAGATTAAGGTTGCGCAGTACAACTGCAAGGACTAGCGCAGATAGCGCAGAGCACATGTCGGTACAGCTACACGCACGACCGGCTTGCGTCCTATACATGGTCATCATGAACAAAGTTGCGTTGCCTCTCTGCAACATGCGCTGCCAGCATGTTTTCAACAAGCAACAAAGCCCTGACACTTTGCTCACGACAACAGGCTTGCCTGCCCGGACACACCATGGCCCGCACTCCTTCCTCTTTCACCACCTGCCCTTACGCCCTCAATACCAGACGCTTTCGGTAGTCCCATATCTTGCTCTGCTTGCAATCCAACGGCAGGCGCGAACCTTGAAGGCTTCTTTGATGGCGGGGCGGTCGCGCCAGCTGAACAGGATGGGGCCGATGCGGCTCAGCTGCATGCCCAGCCACGTGGGCACCCAATTGCGCGCCCAGTACTCAGCAAACCTCCGCCGCTGGAACTGTACCACAAGAAAAGACAGTATGATGTCAGTCTCTTTCCTTGTGAAATTTAAAGCAGCCGTCAACCCAGATGTCTCTCTGCCTGGACAAGATTGTGCAAGTGTGTCACATTAGGAAAGACAGACAGGTGAATGTCGACCCCTCTCAAGTGCTCGAGCAGCCTTTACCAGACTCTACAAAGAAATCAATGCACGCCAGACCAGAGTGTTGTCGCGTGCTGCGCAGCGTTCCTGATTGGGCAGATGAACTCTTTCATCATGACTGAAGCTTGTCATGAGGCAGGGGAAGCAATTTGCCTCACCAAACCCATGGCGGATGCCAGCCTGAGATCCCCATACATGATCAAGTAACCTAGGGGGAACAACCGCCGCACCTGCCAGGGCATCTCCTCGAGCTTGGGGCGGTCGAAGTTCAAACTGGAGTGTTGATGTAATCAGCGTTGTGGCTGGCAAGAATGCCATCTTCCTACATCTCTCTGAAAGCCCTTGAACCTCACCTCCTCGCGCTACTCCTACTTAATTCCTTCCAAGGGGGATAGTCAGCGAACCTGCCAGGGCATCTCCTCGAGTTTGGGCCGGTCGAAGTCCATGCCGCAGGCCATGTCGGCGCGGTGCTGCAGCAGCCGCACCACATCGCGCGCGCAGAAGAAGACGTCGTTCAAAAACACCACGCGCTCGGCCGGCCACATGGGCTTGGCGCGTGCCTTGCCGCTCGGCAGACCCCACGCGCTCAGCTTGCGGTCCACCACCTGTGTGGTTTCGAGGCTCAGAAGTCAGGAAACCAAACAAAAGGCGACGATATTTTCTTTTCTATAATGGCAAGTCATGGATATTGAAAGGACCTGATTGAGCCTATTGTGGATTTTCCTGCATGCCTGCAGCCTGCCTAGTGGGATCAGCAGGGCAGTGAGTGAGTGCTTCACGGGAGCTCAGGCAGCTTCAAAGATCGCGCAGGACTGCACCTCTTAACATGATCCTATACACACACTTTGCAGGGGTGCAGATTGCGTGCTGATTGGCAAGTAGGCACAAAGCAGATACAGGCTCTACGAGGCGAGACACGACATAGCAGTTGCACTTCATCCAAACATGCCAGCAGACGCTCAAACTGAAAGCAGAAACAGATGGGTCGGCAGCAGAGCAGTCAAATACATCATCGACCCCTGCAGAAAACCCTGTGGAGGGGGCGTGCCTCGGGATCGTGGGGCAGCAGAAGGGAGGTGGATGTTGGCAGGCTGCCGTTGAGCCACAGCGGCTCCAGTGCCCGGTTGCGCGCCTGCGCCAGAAACTCTATTCGCCCCTCATCCTTCGCCCGCGTCAGGCTCCCCCCTGCGATTGACACGTCGTCCAGAGTCTTATCCTCGAGAGAAATCTCGTTGATGAAAAGCATGATTGGAGGCCCTTTTGGGCATGCTTTTCCTTGTGGCAGGCGCCAGATCAATGATCAGTACACAGTCTTTGTCACACACTGAGCACCGCATTAAATCTGCAAATCTGCCAAAACACAATCAGCGCACCATACCTTGTGCTGATCAGAGTCTTGTGCTAAATAGTCTTGTGCTAAATGTCGTTGTGCTAGACAGTCTTGTGCTTAAGCAGTCCTATGCAAGATTACCCTCAACACAGCAGGCTTCACACTAGATTGGGCATGACACTAGACACATCTACCCCTTGTGCAGGCGCCGGGACACACTCACCACACCATGCTGTGTGCTAAACACAGTCATGTGGTAACCAGTCTTGTGCTAAATAAAGCATGAGACTGAACATCCTACGATCTGCCCATGGCTGTGTGCAGACTTTACTGCAGGATTCACGCTCCGCCTGTTGAAGAACACCATGAATATTGCCTCGTTTCTGCTTTACATTCCTTCTTCTCCTGTCACACAAGGTGACAGGAGAAGCAAGGGACGCACAGCAGATATGAGGCAGGGTTCTTGCGTTCTGCCTGCTAATCAAGAGCGGCATGCATCGGGATACTTCAAGGATGGGCGAATTGCCAGTGCACCTGCATGAGATGGTGAAACAGTAGGGGAAAGCTTGGGGGAGAAGCCGCAATGTACCTATCACTATTCTGTGCGGTATCTGCATCGCCGCCAGTAAATGCTGAAGCACCTCCAGCCACGCCCCTGCATCCCGCAAGGTAACAACGTCAATGAGGACCCAACACACTGTAGTAGTCATTCTAAACCCCGCAATAAACAATTATTTTTAGCCAAAAAGGGTGGAAAAGTAGGACCCTATCTCCCAAAATATAAACCCTTTGATGAGTTTTTAGACCAGATCCGGAAAGCTTTTGACAAGCACAGTCCAATGGAGCATGACCCTGGTGTTTTTGAAGTCAGGAAGACCCATTAAAGCTGGTTTGAACCCGCACCGCCCGGGGTGCGGGTTTTAGAGTGAGCACTACAGTATCAACACTAGCATACACAACCAGCCTTGGCCCTGCAAAGCCCTCATCAGGCGCCACAGGGATAGTAATTGCCTCCCTTGCGCATGCAATCCTCATTGGCATGACAAAGGAGGCAAGCCGGAGCAATGAGATTGGCACGCACAAAGGTGATAGATGCCATTTGTGTGGAGCCTGATGAGCCTCATGAGCAATTGACTACGCACCACTGCAGGAGACTAGAAGAAGACGAGCAAACTCAGCATGCTCTCGCAAGTCAAGCAACCGCACAGACAGACGCAGAAGGCATTTGCACGCTCATTTGAGGGGGGCACACGAAGGGATGAAGCTGAACCTGTGCTGTCAGTGCTGCCGCTCTCGTAGATGGAGAGGAAGGCTGTCTCGGGCGGCAGCACGGCAAACAGGTGCACCAGCTGAATGATGAAGTGCGGCAGGACATCCTCGTTGTTGTGCATGTTTGCCGCTATTAGGTACCGCTCTGCGCACATGCATCACTTGCACGCTAACTTGCGTGGCCATTTCTTCTCACATTGCAAGGACATCTATGCTCTCAATGAAGCAGTGATTGGGACAGAGAGAGGTTCCCGTTTTCACTTGCATGTGCAGCATGTTCTTATTGTGAACACGTTGTCAACAAAGTAAGTTGAACTCTTGCACAAAGCACAAAGCAATGCATCTCAGCAGCAGCAGAACCCTTCCTACCACTTGCATGCCTTTCCAGATGTCTTTATTTTTGTCACTTTGCATCAGAAGCAGAAAACGCCAGAAAACGTCTTCACTTCTTATTGTTACTTTATCTGCGCAGCTTCAATAGTGGTTGGAAGCGCAGATTTTGAGGAGGAGAGGGACAATGTAATGGCATGGGCAGGCACCTAATCCGCCGTTGTCGCGTTTCCCGAGCGACCCAAGATGCAGCGTGGGGTCCCAGACGCAGTCCACGGTGCTCTTGGCATGCGACAGATCCCACACAATGCCCTGAACCTTCCCCATCAAGCTGCCAAACTCCGTTGTGCTGTCCTCCGCCTGCGCAGGAGTCCAACAGCATTTGCTCACCACACGCGCAAGGTGCTTGCATTGGACACAGATCTCAGAGGCAGGCAGGAGTCAATTACTGAGTAACTTATACCCCAAGCGACCTAGAGATAGCACCAGGCAGCCGGAAACCACGGCATCTCGGTGAAAGAATTAGACACCACACAGCATGTGAGTTTGAGACACGACCTAATGCTCGATTGACAGCTTCATAATTCTTTCATGTCCGGCATACCAAACGTTGCATCTCCTGCTCCTTTGCATTGGTATGATTGATTGACAATCATGCAATATCCTGTGATAATGGTGGTCCTGGCATGCAAGCATCATACTGCTTCAGCACCCACCTGAATCTCTCGCAGGTGCGAGGCTGCCTCGGCGGGGTTGACAGCCTGGCGCACAGCTAGTCTCAGCAGCTCCGGGTCATACTGCGCAAGATTGAGCTCTGCCACTTTCCCTGCCAGAGAGAACGCCATCGTCTGAGTGCGCGTCGGCTGCGCCGTCAGCTTCTGGCTCCTGCATGCGCCAAAACTAGTTGTCAGCTGTCTGAACCCATCTGTCTCCTTTTAGAGCTCAAGTGACTCAGTGGCTTGCAGACCGACCCGGGAGTATTTTTATTCAATCCCTGCTTTGCGTAACATGTAATAGATTGCCCCACTCAGAGGCCATCTTAGGCCTTAGCGTCCAGAGGAATACCATTTTCAGAATGCCCGCTCGGGCCCTGAGAAAATCGTGTGACAGCTGATGCTGTACCAGAAAGCAGCTCTCACTTGCGTGCCAATTACTGCAAGCGCAAAGGCATCTCCACCCCAACCCCGAATGGGTGAGAAGCCATGTATAACAAATATATTATCTTGCAGTCAGCAACCAGAGCTGGATACAATACGTTGAAGACAATTTAGTCTCCCTTTGTAGTTGCAGGACATCAGGCAAGTTTGCACTGCCACACAAAGCATCCGGGGCCGAGCAAGGGGCTGCCGTGGGCTCGCAGCCACAGAGACAACCATGGTAAAAGGCGCGGCTATTTTTAGGGCTGATAACACACCTGGGCTTGGCACTGCCGGTGAAGCAGAGCATGTACAGGAGCCAGATGACGAGCAGCACCCAGAGGGCCGCCAGTTTGGGGCTTTGTGAGACGAACTGTGGCCAGGGCCCAGGCCCATTGAGAAGTGCGAGGCGCCCCTTTCTGAGGCCCTTGCACTTCCTGCTGCAGTTTTGCCACACAGCTACAGCCATTTTCCTCCAGCAGTCCTGCTTCTGTGTCTCGGGAGACCCCATACGCGTGGGATCGGCGCTTCGAGCCCCTGCCACTCTCCTGCCCAACTTCCCATGGGCTGCATCCTTTATTTCAGCCAGCTGAATAACCGCATGCAGCCTGGCTGCTCCCTTGAAGCTTTTCAATGCCGATGAGATCCGAGACAACAGAAAAAGAGAACTTGTGGAATGCGAACCTCTTAAAACATCACAATAGATATTTCCTTTTCAGCCTTTTGTTGCTCCGAGGGCAACACTGTGAAACGCTAGCAAAAGCGATGAACGATTGCTTCCGTAGATCGGAATGCCTATGTTCTGTGAGTCAATTGCGTTCTTTCCACTTTTGCGATCGGGACTGTGCCATACACGTTTGCTCAACAATACCAAAAGAAACAGCTGGAAGCTGCTTGGCTTGGATACGCCGGATGCCCAGATGAATGCTGTACGACGATAGAGCACCCACAGGTAATGAAAGATTCTCGGTGATTGCAACTTGTGGTTGGCAAATGTCTTAATTTGTACCGAGTCAAAACAGTCAAGGCGCCTAGATGCAGACCCCCCAGCTTCCCTGCCAGCTGGCACACGTCGGGCTGCCCAACGTCAAGGTGCATCAGCGTTGAGCTTGGTGAAGATGCATTGTGCAACTCCCCACGCCCTCAACTGCCCATTCTTTCGATGTAAGATCACCTAGGCACCAGTAGCTCATCTGCATTGTTCCTGGCAGCATGGCCAGCCATGCATATGCAGCAGCAGCTATATATATACTACCGTATATAGTATAGCAAGGTGAACTGCAGCTTGTCTGCAGGACGCACCTTGCCTCTTGGCAGGAAAAGCGTGTGATAGAAATAAGGTGAACGGTCCCTCAGCCGGCTTCATATACTGGCCAGCCGCCAGCCATCACTGACTGGCAGTCATGCATATGCGTGTGCTAGTCACTGACATGGCATGTCATGCCTTAGGCTTCCCCGTCGAGCTTGTGCATGCATACATTTCACATGGACAACAATAATATGCCACGTGGTGCACCAGCTCAGCAACGTGGTTAGGCTACCACTGCAACTCCTACTGCACCCAACCATTATTGACATGATGTGAATAGAAGGAGCCCGGAAAGCTAAAGCCTCAAAGAGCTGGCTACGTACTAAATTCAATCGAACGTCCGTCTGATCAGACTTCATGGCTCCGTGGCCACCGTTAAAGTGGCGCATCGGAAGTAGAAGCTGTCATTTGCAGAAATGAAACTCGCAGAACTCTCACTCAAAATCAACATTGGACTCTACAAGAAGCATATGCTCAAGCGGATGAAGAACAAAACAGTACACTGATCACAATCAGCGATCTGAACTTATTGGACTGTGCCTGGACCCTTCCAAAGGTACAGACACTGACGCAGTCCCCGTTCCTCCCCAAGCTGTGCAAAAATCATATGATGCGCAAGCAGCAGATTACACCTTGGCTGGTGCTTTGGCAGGGTCCAACTGCGCACAGGCAAAAAATTGTCAATCAAGATCTCTAGAGTACTCTGGTGTTTTCAGGTCATTAACAAAGACTCGCAGGCAGAGTCTCATGCAGCTCACTTGTGAGAGATTTTCTTGCCAGCTCAGGAGGAACATTCGTCATGAAAGGACATATTTTAGTGCATGCGTTTGCCGGAGATGCAGCGTGAGATTGAGCATAGCGCACCTTGCTTTGTGACCATTCAACAAATTCCTCAAAGCTGATGATCCTGCACATGCACAGCCCGTCTCATGAAACAATCAGACACCATAAGCTTGTGTTCTGGCTTTAAAACAACGGGGAATGTTGTGACAGATTGCTGCAACGCACTAGTCTTTTGGCCTGGAACAAGTGTGATGTAATACAAAGTATTACCCAACAGGTTGATAAGAACTTGAGAGATATGCCGGAGAAATTTACCCGTCGTTGTTCTTGTCCAGAAGCTTGACAGCTTCCTTCGACTCAGCCGCATCAAAGTCATATCCCTCCTCTTGGCTGCAAAGACAAAACACTGCCAGGTGAGTTGCCCACTCTTGAACTTCTTGACAGAAGCAGTGATATCATCTCTGATTGGGTAGATCCCCAAGCATGCTCTCAACACTGCGGAGGTGACACAGTGTTTGGAAACTTCTGCTATGAGCTGCAACCTTGGAGCTCATAAATTACGCCAACTTACATCCCAGGCAATGGCAAACGAAAAAGGCAGCATGCAGGCCCTAGTGCATGCTGATGTTCAATTTGAGGCATAACTCCCTGGACAGTAGGGGTTGGCAAGGGTTTATAAATTAAAAACAGGAGAGGGGGGGGGGGACTTACAAGAGCTTGCGGACCTCCGACGGTTCCAGGACCATGTCATCGTTGGTGTCATACTTTGTAAAGATGACTGCGAGATCCGCTGCCTGATCAGGCGTCAGCCCGTACTTGTCTGGGCTGAATCCCTTCTCCTCGGCCTTCTGGAGGGTCAGGAACACCTGCAGGTTCTGCAGCGTGTCCGCCGGCGCAGCTCCCGCGCTGCCCTTGCTCTGCGTGCATTCCAGGGGGATTACCAGGGTTTGGTTGCAAGGGCTTCTCCTGGGCTCAGACTGAGAGCCCCCAGGAAGACAGGCAATCCTCAGATATTGACTAGGAATAATTTGCAATGAGGCTTTTCATCTGGCTGTGCGAGAAGTCTGCAAGCCATGATGCAGCAGCAGTGAAGCATTGGTTGAACAGCTGGCGACCTCCATTGTTTTGCTGGCAGTGCAGGTCAACAGCTGATCACCAAAATGCAGCACTACTAATGCATCCCTCTTGACCATTTCCAATCGCAGGGACAGTGTCTGGCAGGCAAAGCACTCGGCAATAAGCTGACATTGCAGTGAATATAATGCACTGCCACCATCCAGCAATGGGGGGTTTATGCCTCACCTTGAGGATGTCGGAGATCTCATTGAGAGCGGTGATGATCTTCAGGGTGTTGACCGCGTTCTGCGCCTTGTTGACCACGCTGAGGCCGTTAGGACTGTCACCCGCCACCTGGACATCAGTCATCATTTGCTCAGGATCAGGTCTCCACACGTTCACCCCATGTATGTGTTCTGTCTGGTCAGATACTCGTTCCAGTGGTTCTCGCATCCACACGGTGCAAGTGTGGAGAACTGATCAAGAGTTAAGACGGTGGTCAATTGAATTGATTGTTAACTTCCGATGCCCGCCAGAGTGCGGGCACGCGCAAAATTCTTGTTGATGCATGCAGGGACTCAGTCGTGCCGTGGAGATAACAACTCATTACTTTAGACTGATATTGGCCAGACGTGGGTGGGACGAAAGGGGCCGTGCCTGCTTCACAGCCTTGAGGAAGGCTTCGGCGTTGGTGCTGTAATTGATGCCAGCAAAGGCAGTGGCCCCCAGCAGAAAGAGGTCCAGGAAGACGCCAATGGCAAAATAGAGGCCCAGGAAATAGGCCAGGTACTGCACCACAATCTTTCCAAAGAAATCCCCACCCTGTGACAGATATTGCGCTGTTGTGAAACCTCCCCATGAAGCCCCTGCACGCAGCAGTGTGTTGGTCATCTATTTAGTCATCTATTTAGTCATCTTACCGTCACCGCATGTCTGAACTTCAAAAGTCCCCTCATTACGCCATTCACATTTGCGCGTGCTCTGCTGTTCTTGAGTCTTCAGATTGCCAGTGCGCTCATGCAAGCACCGAGCACCAAGCACAAAGCCTTTGTATTCTTGCATGCACTGCCTGGCTGTGTGGCGTGTTGGCTGACAAGAGATGCGAAGGTATTGAGAGTGCACCTGCGTCTAAGAGTGTCTGCACAAGGACCACGCCGGCGCTCTGCACAGACCGCTTGACAAGCAGTTTTCTGAGCTCGTCCGGTGACGATGCGCCTGACTGCTCCCAGACCTGGAGGACCTTCTGCGCAGTGTTTTTGTCCAGACCTGCACAAGCCTGGCAGTGCTGAGCAGGGGGGTCATGGGATGGTGAGTCCCCAGATACCAATGCAGACAGAGGCTCACATCTCATAACAAACTTCTTTACAATGACTAGCTACCAATTTTCCAACACTGTTCTCCCGTGGCCCTCAAATGCACCTGAAGATGGCGTTGGTGATGTAGCTTACTGTGGTGAATATGCAGAAAAAATTTGCAGGTATCTGGGGACCGCTCCTGTCAACTTTGCAAAGGTGGACAAACATATAAAGTAGTTGAAATTACTTGTCTTGGAGGTCACCTTTGACCAGCTTGTCTGTTTGCTTTTTCTCCTTGTCGTCCTTCTGCTCGGCGCGCACCACCATCATTCGCCGCCGAGGGACCACCACTGTAAACGCCCGTGGTGTCCCTATCCTGACTGATGGCCTGCTACAGACCATCATATGCGATCTGTTGCACCCTGTAGCTGCAGACATCCTGCACTGTACCGTGCTGAAGGCGCGCATCCCGACCAGCAGTGTCTTGCCTTTGCCCAGAGCACTTCAACAGAGAAAGCGTCTCAAAACTTGCGTGATTTTTTGCGACTGCGGTCCTTCCACTCACTGATTCCTTCGGCGAGATCTTAGATGCAGCTCCTTGTGCGGATTCATTCCTGCCGAGGCAACGAAGCCAATCATGGAAAGGATACGCGTAGATGAGATAGAGCTGTCCAGCTCATTCATCGGGCGGCGACCAGAGCAAATTTTTAGTGCATGTGACACATTTTAATTCAACAAAAATGAATGCATCAGTAGTTGGCACTGTTCCTGTGCCATGCTGCGCATCACACCCTGTGACAACCAGAAAGACAGCAAAGCATCCTGGACTTTGTCGATGGCCAGTATCACTTGGAAGGTTATCCAGCAGTAAAAAGTTTATTGCTGGTCAGCAGCTTTCTTGCAAATCTCTATCGCCGAGCCTTGGCTTCAGGAGACGAAGAGTACTCATCAGCTGCAGTGCTTCCCCAAAAGTCCAGGTATAGTGCCCAGCTAGCTCAGCGCTCTTCGAAAGCACATCAAAGAGGCATCTACAGAAGCGCTTATAAGATATATATTAGCCACTGTACGATGTATTTGCACCGATACTGGTTTTCCAGAGCTTGTATTTGCTTGTAACGGTGGATCTAAGCAAAGCTTTTCTTTGAAAACTCGCTGACTTTCGATCTTTCTGTTGCCAGACTCCCTTCGGGAGCCACAAGGAGCTCGATGGCATCTCCAAAGCTCTGGTCGACCTCCCCAAGGCAGCACTGTATGTTGGAGCATTGGTCTTGGTCGCTGCTGCAGGAGCCATCGGATCTGTGGTTGGCACAAAAGCGCCAGGTGACTTTTCTCGCATCCAACTGCATCGTTAGAGATCATAAGCTCCCTTCCTAAGCAACGATCCTTCAAGCTCGCAAGCTCATCCTGGAACAGATTCGGCAGGTCCTCTGCTCAGAAATTAATTCGTGACATCTGAATTAGGTGTCAGGACAATGACTGACAATATACTTATGTGTCGTGTCACCAGAGTCAGCCAGGAATGCTGGGCGCATTGCGGGGGCGGCAGTGGGGGCAGTGGCGGGCGCTGCAGTGGTGAACAGCCTTCAGAGCAAGCGGGTGAATGCAGCTGGGGTGCTGCTGCACAACGCCCTCGTGGACAAGGATGACCCCTCCACCGTCACCCGTGAAGAGGTGGCAGCTATTGGCGACAGGTGCGGAGGGCAGCCTGATTGCATGTGCTCTGTAGCAGCATTGTTCGTTTGCCCGGGAAAAGATCAACACACCTGAGAAATGCAGCCCACCCTCATCCCTCGCTTCAACAGGAAGCACGCTTTGGAATCTCATTGCCAGTCGTTAAAATAGAAATGGACACATTTATTGGATCAGAGTTGGATAAGCCTGAGTAGAAATAGTTTTATTCTTTGCATAGTAAAACCAAGTCATTGCAAGTAAGGCATGGTGAGGTGGGGGTGGAGTGTGGCTCCCATGTGCTGGCCCAAATGAATCATGAATTACCTGAGGGGACATGGATGCTTGTGCAGGGTGGGCGCCAACCTGTCAGTGAAGTTGGTAGACGAGCTGAAGAGGGTGTATGACGCCTACCTGGAAAACACTGTGCCGCCGGGCGACCTCCCTCTCAAGTGAGCGTTCCACGGCCCAACAGAATTTCCGCAAGTTATTTCTGTTCCCCGTGTAAATTGCTTGGGTTTGCTTGCTCTGTAAAGCTGCGTATACCCTCTTCAAGACACCTTCAATGGATTAGTGTGCCACACTTGCTTTGCAAGAAAGCACCAGTTGCTGGTATGATCTCAAAGGAGGTCAAGCTAACTGAGGTTCTACTTTGACATTGGCCCCCATCTGACACATGGTGCCCCTTTCTTGCCAGTAAGTCCCGCATGAATATCCCCTTATGCGTCTCCTCCCTCATTACCAGTGCATCAACTGCAGGGGAGACGAGGCGGACAGGATCAAGGCCTTCAAGGACGCGATTGGTCTTGCTGACGAGGACGCGGCGCCGGTGCACATTGACGTGGGCCGCCGGATAATGCGCAGCCGCTTCGAGGCCGGATCACGCAGCGGCAGCTCGGAGCAGTTCCGCGCCCTTCAGAAGCTCATCTATGTGTCCGACCTCGTCTTCGGCGCCCAGAAGGTCGGCTGGCAGCTCAAAGTTGCATGGGGTTACTTTGTAAAAAAAATAATGCACAATTTCAATGCACACAAAAGTATGCATCCTGTATTTTTGCTTCCTGCCGACTGCTCTGTACTGTTGTTGGGCCTGTAGTGATTTCAAGTAAATTTGGGCAATATTCTGCCAGCTTATGACTGGCCTACATGACGCCTTTAGATTGGTGTGATGCATTAGACAAGATTGTGGAAGGCTGCCGAATGGCGCATTGCATTCATGGCAACCGGAAGTCTTCCTGTCCCATGCACCCAACCAAAGCTGGTTGACTCTAGTGGCTGACTGCAATTTACTAGGCAGTGCTTGTGAGGGAACAGCATGCCCTTCATGAAGTGTTCAGGATGGATCAATTGATCTGGTGCGTGTCTCAGGCTGCGTTCCTGCTGCCTTGGCGACGCGTGTTCAACCTGAGCGACTCGTCGCTGTACGTCGCGCGGCGCGAGAATGCCAAGGCGCTCTTCCACAGCTTCATTAAGGCCCGCGGAGGCGTGCTTCAGGTTTGAACTTGTCCGACTCTGTTTTTTACCTGTGATGCATGGCAAAACATTTGCTATTATGCGCTGCCTCACACAGCCAGCGCGCAACAGAAACCATGAATAAACCGCCGCACGCCATGTGTTTGCTGTGATATCCTTCATGGAGTAGGCCATTTTTGGGATGCATTCCAAGTCTCTGATCTGTGGTTCCAGGACAGCTGGGTATCCCTGCTGAGTTTGGGGCGAACAGGTTTTAGGAGTGCGTCATAGCCCCAGTTGGGTTGGGGTCAAAACTCTTGCATGACACACTGGGCTGAGTAGTCTGGCTGAATCTAAAACTGAGACCACAATTTAAATGCTCTCGACCTCGCGATCAGGCAAATTGGGTGGCGCTGGTTAGGTTTCGGGCAGGGCCCGTTCATGACACCCTCAATAACCTGATCTGGCCACAGCTTGTTCAAAGTCATTCTCAACTGCGCAATCAGCAAGACCGGGCAGCGCTGGTTAGATTTGGCCAGAGCTCCTTCCATGACACCCCTGCTTGCCTCATTTGGCCGCAGAAAAGGATTGAATATTACAAATCAAATGCTGATTTCAGGCGAACCGGGCGGCTCTGGCGGAGCTGAAGGCGCTGCAGGACAAGGTGCGGCTGGAGGACGAGATTGCGTCCGAGGCGGTAAAGGAGGCGGCTCGCGCGCACGTGGAGGCCGTGCTCGACCGGGGCATCGAGGCCACAAAACGCCGCACCCGCGTCCGTGACTACTCCGACGTCGTCAAGGTCAGTTGCTGGCGCTGACTCGCCCTGACTCATCGGGCGGCTTTGCAGGCCACCGGAGTCCAAACTGTGCTGGTTACGTGCGAGTATATGGCACCACAACATTGAGGGGCTCAGTAGGGATCGACATGCGCTGAGAGCTTGGAGTCAGAGCAGAAGTGTTGGAGGATATGGTATGCATGCTACATTACCATAAGAATGCAGAGCATTACCTTGTAGCAAGAGACAACCTTTGGGGAGCAGGATTCCTTTCTTCTGAGCATGAACGGATCATGCAGCGTAGCAGGTGTTTGTGGGCCCAGATGGTTGTCTACTTCCGGGAATTGAATGCACTATCAAGTGAATTTTGGTAGCCTCACAGTTGTGGTTGCCAGGCGCTGAAGGAGGCGATAGCATAGATCTGGCCCTTCACGTATGCTGGGTTGTAAATCATCTGTTACATTGACCCACCATGCTTCTTGCTCATGGTGTGAGGAAATTGCCCCTTCAGTATTGCTTCAACCCTCACAGCGTAATTTCTGCGCATGCACAGGCGGTGAAGGAGGCGATAGCGTACAGCCGGGCGCTGGCATCTCTGGCGGACGACCCCACGCTGCCCAGCGGCCTCGGCCCCGTCTCCATCTTCGGCGGCCGCCTCGAGGGCTCCGGCCGCGAGCTGCGCGACCTCTTCAGGTGACTCAGCAATTTAAATCTGCTTTTAACTCCAGATCTCCGTTTTTTCCCTCTTCTTCATGAGCTTGGGAATGGTGCCGCCTCGATGGTTGTGGCCACGAGCTGCGCGACCTATTCAGGTTGCTGGGACTGCTTTTAAGCTTCAAATCTGCATTTGATTTTGAATTTGAGATCCCCCTGCACTTTTGTGACAAGAGCGTGCTGGATGCTAGCGGCTGGGGCTCCTGAGTAACTCCTGGGTCTGCGTCATTTGCCATGTTAGCAGCAGTCAATGTCGACCTGGCTCTTTATACCTGTGGCATTTGTACATACCCTGTAGAAATCTCTGTTGTGGCCCGGCATTAGCGTGGTGACACAGTATGTGAGCTTCAAGTGCTGGTGTTGCGCTGAGCAGGATATACCTTGAGGAGACAGTGCTTCAAAACTAAAACTTGTAGGCCGGCACGTTGGCAAAACTGCGCCATGATTGCAGAAAGAAATATAAATACAGACGTATAACCAAGGGATGTCAACATTCGTTGTCCATGCGCAGGATATATCTGGAGGAGGCGCTGAAGGGCGCAGGCGAGTTCACAGACAGCCTGGAGGATGACCTGGCGGACGCGCAGAAGATTTTGGGCCTGGGTCCGCGGGAGGCCGAGGACATCCGCTCAGAGATTGTGTCCAAAACCTATAAGTGCGCGCCCCCTGGCCCTCTCCTTTTAATACGTATTCTCTTACTGCCAGATAGGATGCGCAGATTGGCGTCTGGCAGGCCCCCTTGCTTCCGTGGGTGGTCAGTGTAGACGTTACCTGGCTGACATAAGAGATACTCAGTTCAAAGTCTGGCAGGACCCCAAAACTGGAGCGAATTACTGCTTGGGCGGATCTGTATAGTTCCATTCAGCCCTGCTTTAGAGGATCTGTGTAGTTCCATTCAGCCCACTTTGGAAAGCGCACACTTTCCAGAACCGCTGTCTGCATGCTAGATGCACTGAGGCTTGGATTGGGTGCAGTAGTCCTAGGCTCTCCTTTGCTGTTGTTGATGCTCAACATTATTCGCAGCTGGCCATCTCAGATTACAGCAGCAGTCCTTAGATCGGTTTATGCTTTCCACATGATCACGCGTAATTATGTGTAACGTGCCTTCAGCGGTGCGGATATATATATAAGGCTTTCTTACAATATATTTGCATGCAAGGGTATGAGTGATGTGCGTGTGTTTGCCCCTTAAACAGGCGGCTACTGAAGGAGTTGTTCACGAGCGGCAAATTGGACGAGGCACCCTCCAAGGCAGAGGTTCTAGGGGAGCTGTGCGACCGGCTGAACTTTGAGGACGAAGCCGCCGCGCAGCTGCACAAGCAGCTCTACCGCGAGAAGCTCACCAGCCTCGTAGAAAAGAAGCGCCTTACAGGTATGTACTCGCATTGCAGCATAGGTTTTCCTGTTGATCTGTGCACCAGCCGACAAGACCGGCACAGGTCAAGATTCATATATCATTGTCATTTGATGGTGCTTGCCTGTTGAAGGACGCAGCTCGCTGCACTTTTCCCTTTCTCACCTCTATAGTGTGGGGCACCTTGATAAGGTGCTCAGCGTAATATTTGCGCAGACCAAGAGAATCAGCAGTGACTTGCATTTTCAGGATATGGCACAACTCTGCTGATGCAATAGCGCCATGACATGGATTTCTTCTTAGGTCAATCTTCTAATCAAAATTTGATTTCAAATTGTTGCCGGTCGCAGATGAGGACAGCGCAGAGCTGGATCGGCTGCGGCGGCTGCTGTGCATCCCCAAGGCCGACGTGCAGCACCTGCACAAGGACATCTGCGGCCGCCTCTACCAGGAGGTGATCTTTCTTTCATAATACTATTCTGTCTGCCAGAGCCTGTACATGATTCGTTCTGTGATGGGAATTATATTGGATGTTGGATTGTTGCCTGTGCCCCCTGAACTGCTGCTTCCGTTTTGGAGATGACGCCAGTTGCCTGGACTTTCTTCTGTCCATGCAAAAAGAAGCCTCTACTAATTGTGGGCTCAATTCTTTCAATGTCCTGCTGACAGCTTTGGCGCAGCCGCTGCGACTCCTTTGTGTTGTACTTCTTTTAATGCCCCTATCATGGCGCTGCTTGAGCACCAACAATTCCAACACTGATCAAAGTGGTAGATTTCAAATAACTAAACTTTGAATTCGAATTTGAACAGGTGGTGGAGGACGCAATGCGCGCGGGCATCGACCGGTTTGGCTTTGCGGAGAGGGAAGCTGTGGAACGGTCGCGGCGCGAGCTTCGGCTGGAATCAGCAACCGCCGCGGAGATCTTGGACTCGGTCGCGCGGCGTGCCTTCTTGGCGTTTGTCAGCCGCTCGCGCACGAAGAGCAACCGGCTGGACTCGGCTAAGGAGCTGAAAGCGCTCGTCTACTTCTCCAACATTGTCGTCGCACCCCTGCTGGAAGACCTGAAGGTGCGTGCCAGCACATTTTCCCCCTTTCAGGATTCCGCTCAGGTGTACAGAGGTATCTTGCTCCTTCATGCTCCCTCCTCTGCTCGTGTATTGGTGGGTGGATCCAGCATGCGGAGGTTTTCATTTACACCATTTCCCGTGCCTGGTGCTGCTGATGTGCTTGGTACGCAGAGACTTGCTGAAGTGTTGGGATTTGTGAAGTTGCTATGACATATGTGCAATGTGAGGTGCTGGGCAGGACTGCTGTGCGTTCCTTTCTTGAGGGTCGCTTTTGCCACTTTCCCCTTGCTCTCCCCATTTGTAACTGCATTCTGAGTGGCAACTCCTTTAGATATAGGGCTTGTTGGAGAGAGAGGAACCTTTCAAATCAATTGTCAGCGGATGTGATGCTTTGAAGCGTGCAGTGACGCTTGGCTTGCATGGTGTTGCAGAAGGATGAGAATGAGGCGAAGAAGGCGAAGCAGGCAGAGGTTGAAGAGGCACAGAAGAAGATCGCTGAGATCATGGTCAAGGCTCAGGAAGAGGTGCGATCCTTTCTTGAAACTATTTTACTGTCTGGCAGAACGCAGTAAAATTATTGGAGGAGTCAGACAAGCTGACGTCTCTAGGTGAAGAGCACTAAGGTTGTCATAAAGGCCGTCTGCTGACACGCTCTATACATCTGGAGATCAGCTTGTCAGATATAATCCAATAATTTGACTGATGATTTGCCTGCTGTTGCCAAACATTGCTAGCCGGGATACCCTGTTTCCTTGCGTTCCATATTTCTGCATTGTGAGTTGCAGCAGCAGTCCACTCTCCCTCTGACTCGGACTCGAGCTGGGAAATATGTCGAAGACGGTCAGGGTGTCTGCCCTGGTGCTATTGGCACATCAAGTGTGCCCGTTCAGGGACACTGTCGAAACGACATGCTGGGCAGCAAGCGTAATGACAAGCTTATTGTCAGTGTTAATTTTGAAGTGCATATCTGTGCGCGCAGATGGACAAGGAGAAGGCTGAGGAGGAGGGTGCTGAGTCAGCGCCGGCCCCAGAGGCGGACACTGCTGCGGACGACACCACAGCCGCAGACGCGGAGCCTGCCGAGGCAGCACAGGCAGACGTGAGTCACCTTATCATTGACAATTTCAAATTAAAAGCATTTCAAACTTGGCAATGTCTGTAATGCATGGACCATGGTTGCTCGTGGTGGAGCAGCACAAGCTTGACTGTTTGTATCCAGTCAATGTGCTTGTATTTCCTTGTGACCAGCCATACTTGGGCAATTCTACCACGAGCAGTCATGATTTGCGTGATGCTTGCTTTGAATGGCGGGCTACAGATTGACAATGTCTGTTCGCATGGCCGCTCAATCTTTCCACAGGGTTTATAGCAGCCTGTTCGTGACAGTGTATAGAGCAGATCCCATAGCAAGTAAAGACCATGTCGCTTGCCATGCAACTGGGGGAAGCTCCTGCTCACTCAAGCGCAGTTATAGAATTACTCAATGGCCATATCGTGCGTCATGCAGGCGAGTGCGGCGCCTGCCGAGGATGCTGAGGAAGCAGATGCGGCGGGCAAGGCACTGGAAGAGGCGGCTGAGGAGGAAGCTGTGGCGACGCTGCGGAAGTCGCAGGAAGCCGCCAAGGACCGCGAGTCCGGCGAAGAGGTGAGCTCCTCTCTCGTTGCTTTGCTGGGTGTCTCATTTGTGCACCTTGCCCTGCCACTGCTGAGTAGAGCGCAGCTAAAGAATCACAGGTGATAAGCAAAAAATAATAGGTAGTTCATAGCTGGAGGTATGGTAGGGTCAGGCAACAATCGCTTAAGTGGTCCTTTTCTGCAAATGTCACACTTGATTGCGAGGACCAATATATTATGCCAAGACAAGCATCCGTGCTTCAGTGGCGGGCAGTGTGACCAGAAATGCCTCGGAGGGGGGCAAATTGGACAGAGGACGTCCTTGCGCAGACCCTCAAAATGTTTTTTTTTTAAACCTTTAACTTGAGATATAAACCGACCTGACATATGCGCGCAGGTGGGCTCGACCGGGGTGGTGATGCGGAGCCAGAAGGAGATCAATTTGAAGACTGATCTGGACGCGCGTGACCGGCTGGACATCTACCGCAACTTCCTCCTCTACTGCATGTCCGGCGACGTCGTCGCACTGCCCATGGGATCCACCGGTGAGTCATCTTACTCACTCGGCTGACATGTCACGGCGTCTATGACACCTCATTGTCTGGCACATCTGATGTGGTTCCCACGCAGGCTCATGCAGTCAGGCAATCCTTCAATATAAGTTGCCTGGGAAGTGATATTTTTCTAGGTGACCTGAGGAGTCACTTCTTGGCAGACTGTGGAGGGTCTTGCGGCTTGCAACCCTGATCTTGAGGGGTTTGTGAGCCTGTACCTGCAGCACTGCAGACCTGTGCAGGACAGATCTAAGGCGCACTTGATGAAATATGCTGGAGTCCTTTGTACCCCATTTTCTTACTAAGAATTGCGTTGCCAAGGCAATCCTTTGGCAAAACAAACAAGCTTGGACATAGTGATCCAAGCTACAATACAACCAAGTTTCCTTTGCTCACCACCCTATGGATCTACCTTGGATTGGTTTGCACCAATTACTAGACCCCAACACCTTGATCACTTGGGGGGACTTTAGCTGCATCCGTTGCTGCGCTGCAGTGGTGGTGGAGCGGGACAGCAGCGAGTTTGCTCGCTTGAGCCAGCTGGGAGATCTGCTGGGCCTGAGCGCGCTGGAGATCGGGCAGGTTCACTCGCAGTTGGCAGAGCAGGCCTATCGCAGCCAAGTCCAGTCGGTGAGCTCCCCATGTCTCGCATGGTTGTGTCTCTTCACTTGCCCCGATATCTACTGAACCAGGGGGTACTTTTCCTGTGGGAGAAACTCCAGCCATTCGGCTTGGGCGTCTTGTGCATTAGATGTGCTTCGATAGAGACCCCTGACTAATTGGTCCTATGGCACAACTCCTGCAAAAGGTGCAGTATCTGATCTGACTGGGAACCCCTTTCACTCTGTTGCCATGCTGCCCGATCCCTGTCATGTGTCTGGCTCTGAGCGCAGAGCTAAGACAGAAATAAGCTTATACGCTGCTGTCTCTTATGTCTCATGTCAAGCTGTGACAACATTGTGCGCCCGGCATATGGACCCTGTGTAGACACTTTCACGATTTTCAATGAAGGAAGTCTTCAATTTTCAAATAGTAAAAATTTCGAATTTGATAAATTATAAATTTCGAATTTGGGCTGTGTGGACGCGCAGGCGATAGGCAGCGGGGTGCTGAGCAAGGAGAAGGCTGATATGCTGGCAGAGGTGCGCGACAAGATGGGACTCTCCAAGGAGGCCGCCGAAAAGATCATCAAGGGCGTCCAGAACCAGCACCTCATCTCAGGCCTCCAGGCAAGAGCCCACTCTCTTCCTCACCCTTGCCTTAAAATAGCCCGCAAGGGAGCTTAGGATTGGCAGCATGCTATAAAGGATCAACGGCCGGGAATTTGTGACGGGTCCCTTGTCCTGGCTTCTGCGGCCTGCAGGCGCGCATAAGTTCAGACCTTGCATCAAACCACCTGACACAGGGCTTTGAGAAAGAGAGGGACAATTGCGCAATGGTCTTGAGGGCAGGGGGCAGTGTCTGCCCTATTGCCAACGTTGCCTCTTCTGGCGGAGACCAGGATCATTGCATGGAGTCTGCGCATCATGCAGCATGCAATTTCGTCAGTCTGCGCCCAGGATTGCACCCTTGGAGAAGTGGCAGATGTTGCTCCTTTTCTCTTGCGCCTTAAAACTGCGAAGTGCCCATTCCAGTGCTGGCTCCTGTACGGCTCTTTTCTGGCAACACCAAGCATCCTGGTTTGCTGAGGTCTCTTGTCTGCAGAGCAATCTAGAGGCTTTTTTAGTTGTGTTATTTGTGCTGGTATGTCACAGGCGGCCTTTGACAATGTGGCTGACAAACGTCGCTTCCTTTCCATTGGGGAAGGTCCCCTTGGCCTCCTTCCTTGCAGCTCTCGATGCTGCTGACGATGAGAAGCATGCTAGCTCCCTCCTCTCCTTTGCATTCAGGGCACCCCAGACTCTGAACTGAGGGATGATGGCTCTCGGCGGCTGATCGGGTCAACAATTGCTGAGGGACTCACAAAGGGGACACTGACACAGTGGGGTGTCTGTTCGTGTGCGGCGACAGGCGGCCAAGGCGACGGGTGCGCTGTCGCTGCAGAAGGTGCTGGACATGCAAGAGGCGGGCGTGGAGGTGGAGTCATTCGTCTCCGAGGACATGCGCATGCAGATGTACTCCAAAGAGGTGCGCTCAACCAGGCCTTACCTGCACCCGTTCTGCTTACCAAAGCCAGCACCCCTGGCTGGAACAGACACTGTGATTCATGGCTTCCTCAGGTCCATTTGTGTCCAGTCATCAGCTCAGGAGGGCGTGCTGCGTCTGCGCCTGCATGGTGAACCGTGTCAGAGCTTGCTGCTGTTTGTGGTGCCCTGCCCGTCATTCGAGAATGACTGCAGCCGCCTTTTGGGACAGTGATAGGCTCCGTGTCATAGGAAATCAATCCATCTGGACCTCAATGCAGTTCATTCCAAAAAAAGTGCAATTTGAGTGCCTCCCACGACAATCAGGACAATGGGTTGGGCCAAAATCCCGCCACAAGACTGGCAACAATGCTGGATTTTGATTCTCAGATGCTCATCAATTGAAAAGTCTTTCTTTGAGTTTAAATTTCACCTCCGGCCCAGAATGCTGGATGTCGAATACGAATTTGAATTTGAATTTGAATATGAATTTGAGTTTGAAGCCGTGCACACACAGGTGGCGGAGGTGCTGGGCAGCGGCACGGGCGAGTTTGACGAGGCGCGGCTCCTGGAGGAGCTCCCGGCGCAGCTGCACCTGCCGGAGCGCCGCGTGAAGGCGGCCATCGCGGCGCAGGCGGGAGACCGCAAGCGCAACGTGCTTGTGCAGGCGGTCTCGCTGCTGCGCCAGCGCAAGCTTGACGAGGTCGTCAAGTCCCTCAACAACCTGCTCGCATGCAACAAGGTGCGCGGGTTCTGTGTCCTTACTCATCCTTAGCTGTGCTATCCCCCTGGAACGGTCATCTAGGGGTCATGCAGGAGAGAAAGGCTTCTATGGCATGCCTTCATGCTTTAACGTTACAGCCGCGGGCGCTGAAACGCTGGGGGTTGCCGTTTCTGAGCAGGGTTTCATTCTCCCTGTATCGTTGCCTTGACCCGTAACAGCAAGGTGGAAAGGTGTGGGCATACATGGGTACTCGGAAACAGCTCCTGTCCAATATCCTTGGACTTACTTGGGACTGCTGCTGGCCGCCTATCCTGAGAATCCGGCAGCGTTGGGCGGCTTTTCACCGGGACGCATGCGCCAAACACCCAGGAATTAGAACTTGAAATAGAGGACAAGAAAGCACCAACTTTTGTAAACACTCCGTAAAAGTTGGAGCTGCTGCCCGCTGACCTGGCTGGCAGCATGCTGCTCGTCTAGAGGGCGCCTAGGACAATCAGGTTCAGAGCACGGCAAGAAGCACTGATTGACACGACTCCTATAGCCCTTCTGAAAATGAGCTGGGCTGGATTGTGTGCGCAGGCGCTGCCTTCGGACAAGCCGGTTGAGTGGCGGGAGCGGGAGGAGCTGCAGGACCTCTTCTCGGTCTACGCCGGCCGCGAGTCAGACGCTGACAAGGCCGCCAGCGTGGCAACCATGCTCGGCATCTCTCCCCAGGAAGCTTCCTCACTCAAGGAGCTCGTGGCCTCCGGGCAGTTCAAGCTGGAGCAGGAGGTCGAGGATGACCGGTTCTTCTGAGCATGGCAAAACTCTCGGAGGACTCCGCATTGAGTTGGGGCTTCTGTGGAGGGCTGTCAGGTGACAGAAGGAGCTGTTTGGGAGATGCCCGAACAGGTAATGCCTGGGCAAAGGATAAAGGGCTAGCCATCAGCCATCTTACGCGCACGGGCACGGCCTGACCTCTGACCCGGTTCTACCATATCTGGACTGTCAATTGATCAGGCTAACCAGGGGATGTGCACCTGCACACTGTCTTGAAGCTTCACGTCTCTGGGTTGTCAATTGGCAATTGCTTATGAGGTAAAATGCAAATGCTTCGTTACAGTATTGACCAAACGGAGGCCAGGGCTTCCAGGTATCCTCAACATTTTGCAAGGAACGTTTTACGATGCCAAGCTTGGCAAACCTACGTTTCTAGGACCAGATCTGCCATGTCGACGTTACTAATTGACAGCATTCAACAATAGCCGAGAATGCTTCTCAGCGGGGCCTCATCATGCTTGTGCTCTGATATGTAGACAGACCTCACATGCAAGAACCAGTACTTGTAAAAATTGGAAACACAAACTCTCATTCAACTTGAGTCAACAACTCCCATCCAAAGAGGCCTCCAAATCCAAAAACCGGTTGGTCCCACTGCACGCCATATTGTGACCTGTTGACAGAAGCCTTTTCATACAGAATTCATATACAGACTCTTTGTGGCTGATGGTATAATTAAAAAATAAATAAGGTGTGACTGAGGCGATTGAAGTTCCTATAATGCCGTCTACTATTCAGCCTGTTTTTGTACACGCGGTCCATTTCCCAAGTCCCTGCCCAAACCGTTGTCACCTACAGATGATCTACATGTACAAAAAGGTTGTCACAAACTCACAGGAGCCGCTCTGCCCACTTTGGCTCTGCCCTTTTTGGCTGCCTCCCTTGTTTTGCGAGTGTAACGCAGGTGGCATTCCTTGCAGTAGCTGTAGTACCCTGTGGCGTTGTCCTGTCTTTGGTAGAATCCACTTGGCGGGGCCTCCTTGCCGCACACTGAACACACCTGCGTGCACACTTGCTGAGCACGCGCAGAATGTGAAAATTCTGTGCTTCGCTTCTGACTTGCAATGCCTGTGCTTCGAGTTAGCTGGTAGCATATGTAGTGGCCCCGGCTGCAGCTGGCAGGTCCGGCACAAAAGCAACCATTATTCAGGGTGCATCAAGGAGGTCCTTAAAATGTCTGTCATGTCTGGTATGTCTAAATGTCAAGGAAAATAATACAGGGAGTCCCTGGAACAACGACGTCAAAAGCAGCCTGACAAAACCCAGACAGATGACCTTGCTTTTCTTGTGTGTATAAAGGCAGGAATCTCCAGTCACATCTCAGAAGGGGCAAGGAATGGGATTGCTGATGCTGCTGCAGTAGGAACAACTAGAGTGATTCGCACATGGGCCATCATCAAGTTTTGATACCCTCCTAAGTCTCTAATCTTCATTGATCCGTGAGATAACTTTTGCTCTGATTTCCCAAGCCAGAGTTTCTCCATTTCAGCTTGGATTTGGGCAGGCTACAACCCATTGAAGGCCCGCAGCGTCAGCCTCTGTAATATTAGGCGTACTACAGAGACCTGTAGTAGTCATTCTAAAAAGACAACTAATAATTTTTTTGGCCAAAAAGGGTGGATAGAAAAGACATTAACTATAAGCCCTATGATAATTTTGAGACCAGATCCGGAAAGCTCTCGACAAGCCCAATCCAATGGAGCAGTGACCCTAGTGTTTTTGAAGTCGAGAAGGCCCCTACAAGTTGCTTTGTCCCCGCATCGCTGGGGGTGCAGGTTTTAGGATGAGTACTACATTAAATATCTACATGCAGGGATACTGCTCACCATGCTATCAGATGTCTCTGGGGGGTCCGGTACTCGCTGCCTGCTGAAGTCTTTCAGCTCCTGCTTACACTGCACACAGCAACAACCAGGCTGAGTGCATTGATCAGGTGACCATAAGGAAGCGCCCTTAACATTTTTGTCTTTCGAAAATATCGTGCTTTCCAGCGAGGGAATATGCCGATCGGAATGTGTCAAGCGAATATGCAATCTCAGTAGAGACAGCAGAGGGGCCTTAGGGAGGCAGTCTTTGACAATCAATACTTTGACTTATTCAAGAGATGGAATCACTTGCAAGTTGTTCTGGTAATTGCCCTCAGTTCCTCAATTTACGGTCCAAAGCATATGGCACCCACAGATCTGGAGTCATCGTCTAATTGAATCTGACCTCTACCAATTTATAAGAGCCGGAATGATTACGTAAGGGAGGATCTGGAAAGCATTGGTTTGTCATTGCATTGGTGAAGAAAGTGCCACGACCGCACGGAATGGAGAATTCTGATGCACGTGCTGCTGGACGTACCTAGATTTTAGATGCCTAGCAACTGGAAAACCCATAATAGTCATTATGACCATTTCCAATTTTGGAGGGACTGTGCGCACCGCTCGGCAATAGATGCAGAGGCCGTCGACCATCAGAACGTCCCGGTGGAAGTCCTGCGCTCCTTTTGATTTCTGACAGCGCGTGCACACCTTCTCCTTGACTGCTTCGCCACGGTCTGCCGGCAGCCCTAGAAGGCGCTCCCGCGATTTTGCTGACGCCTCATTCGAGCACTCTTTGCACCTGGCGCAAGTGAATATCCCTTGTCAGTCTTGGGGAGCTGCTCAAATGTGCACTCATGTAATTTAAATTTTATTTATTTTTAATTAAAATAAATACTAAATAAAATAAATAAATAAAGTAATATTTTATAAAAAAAACTACGGCACTCTGCAATACATCGCAAGGATCAAGGATCCACCGTGGAGCCATCAGGCATGTTGAGGGCCACCCCATGCCAAGGCTCCGGGCCATGACAATGTGATCGTTGGTACTCAAGATCGTTTTTTGGCAGCATGCAATTTGAGAGCCGCATCTGATGGATTGCCCCTCTAAAGTATGGGTCAAGTAACCCCAACAACATTGAAATAGAAGAACCTCAGAGAAAAATAAAATGCCTGCAGACATCCTCAGCTGCCAACAGAAATCATCTAGTGCATGCGCGGAGCGAGTGAGAACCCTTGATCCACATCCCCTTAAGGAGCGCATCCATATTTCTGTGAGCCTCTATGCCGGACCCAATGTAGAAATGACCCATGTATGTCATTTCTGGACATGCACGCGGGAATTTAAGAAGATTCCGGGATGATAAGGAGAGCCGGGCCTTGGTCCAAATTCTGAGCATCATGCCCCAGGTTGATTGGGTCTTGCGTGGATCTGGCAAGTTTAGAAGTAGAATGTACGGCAGCCTTCACCTGCAGCGTCTGCAGACGCACTGTGCCTCCTAGCAGGGGCACTGGGTACTGTATCAGAAGGTAAAATTTGAAGCAATAATATAATACAGTAAATAGAAAGATACGCTGGGCAAACGTTTTCAGTAAAACACTGTCCGAGGGAAATGGGCCAATGGATTTTAGGGCATTTTTTTCTAGGGGAAGTTTTTTTTCTAAAAAAAATAAAAATATAACTGTGGAGGGAACGCTGCTTACCAGGAGCTCAGGCCGGACGTTCGCAGCGCCACTTTGTAGAAGGCGGCAGCTTCCTTGACATGCATGCAGCGCGGGCAGCACTGGTGTGACACCGTGGGGTGCATGGATGGTCCATTCACCCCCTGGGTCTGAGCTTCGATCACCTGATAGCAGCAGCATGTCTTGCTCATGCACTCGTGTCTACTATCCTGTCATGCAGACTGTGCTGTACTGAGCTCTGTACATATTCAGAGGTTGATATCCGCCCGCCAATGCTGACATGCAATGGGCACATAAGAAAGCGCGTGACAAGGAAGTGTGTTGTCAACATTTTTAAGATTTGCGCCAGATTGTGACCCCAAGCTCAGGTGTACCTTGCATGGAATGCAGAAATGCTGCAGGCCATCTCTGGACTTGCCGCTGCCCCTGAACTCGCTCGACGGCCGTTCCACCTTGCATCTGACGCAGACCTTAGTTTCTGGTATCGGCTTCCTCGGCTCCTCAGCTGCTTCGCTGGCAAAGGCTCTCTGTTGTGATTCCCACACTCCCACAGGCTGCATCAGCACACCTTCATGTTCTAAAACCTTCCAAAAACCTGGTTATTAATAAAAGCACTGAAGAAATTGAGCAGGTCTTAATTATCAATAGCATAAGTGTACAGAATATACCCCAAACAGCAGAGGCCCTGCCTGCAGCTGGTGAGCAGCAATCCCAGCGCCTGCATGAATGCCTGTATTGAGCCAGTATTTATCCGATCTTATGATGAAGCAAGGGTGTAAGGTCTTCGACTGCGAGCAAGTTGCATTGCAATAATGCAAGATGTCAAGGATGCCTCACCTGCCAGTCTACTTCTCGAAAATGCATTGTCTTCAACGACATCAGCTCTTATGAGACATCCTTGCAGATTAGAAACGGTTACAGTTCCTTGGCAGTTGATCTGCCTTTTTGCATGCCTGAATAGCTTGAGGCATCGCATGGGCATTATCCCATGAAAAAGGAGCGTTGTCCTCCAATGATCACGCAAAATTTCACAGAATAAAGCTTTGCTATTTTTCTAATAGGAATTGATGCTGCTCCACTGCAATGTTTCGCAGATCTGCCAAACGGATTCCACAAGAACTTCAACCTCGGTAGTATGAAACATTCTTACTGCAATGCTGACTTTCCAACAAGTATCACACAAAGAATATGCAGAAGATGTAAATGGGAACCTGCACTTCTGGGGATTTCGGACAGAATTTCCATCAGAGAGGGTTTTGTCGATTTCAAAAGTTCAAACCTGTGACCTGAAAGCCCTAGACATGTGAAGGTGCATAGAAATTTGCGTCGCACACTCGTGACGAGTGACTCGTCATCTTGGCAAAGTATACGATTACGCTTGAAAACCATTTTCTTCTGTTCGTACGGATCATTGGAATGCCGTACTGAGCACCGATCTGAGCAAGACCTGTCCCATTGGAGTGTGAACCAAACTGTTCGCTGTGCCAGGAGCAATAAATATATTGTGCATGAGTATTCATGAGGTAAAATAAATTGTTTCCATCTCGAAGCGTAAAAAGATAGACAGGAGTTAGCGCATGGGGTGGCCTTGGCAGAGGTCATGGCAGGCGATGGGGCTGCTGGAAGCAGCGAGCCGGACGCTTTATTCGTGGCTGTATTTGCGTTGTTCCTGGGTGCGTTGACGCGGAGCGCCCTGCACTGGACCCGGATCCCATACTCAGTCCTCCTGCTGGTGAGGACTGGTGCCTGCCTGCTAGCTTCCTCAACTACTAATAAGCCATTTCAAGCTCATGACCATGGCTCACTTCTTTCCTGCTCGCAGCTTTGGGGGCTTGCCATCGGGATAGGCAATCAGACCTATGTCAAGAGCTGGCAGCATGTCAGCCCCGGCATCACATTCTGGCAGGTTAGTCCAGCAACCACAGCTGCGCACCTCAAACCCTCATTCCTTCTTTGTGACATGGAGCTCATCCTTCAAGAGCCGTCATTTTACAGTAATCAACCAATTGCAAAACTCTAATAATGTCTTTTATTTGAAGGGCATGCATGCCGTGACTTCTAGCACTAGCAGAATTGAGTGCCTATCCGGCGCCCTGCTATTGCTGAGGACCCCACAGAGACAATTTTTTGCCGTAAACACTGCAGCAATTCCATGAAAATTGGATCAAGAATTCAACAAAAAATCAACAGAAAGGATAAAGCATGCAATGTCTGCATGCGCGCAGGACATCGACCCACATCTGCTGACGTCGCTCTTTCTGCCGCCGGTCCTGTTCGCCGGCGCGTATGGCCTGCCCAGGCGCGTCCTGATCATGGCCGCCGCCCACGTGGCGCTGCTCGGCGGCGCGGCTGTAATTACGGGGACGGCCATGACGGCTGTCGCTGTAAAATTCGTGCTCCCGTACGGGTGGACCTGGCCCCAGTCACTGCTGTTCGGCGCCATTGCCGCCGCTACGGACCCTGTTGCAGCCGTTGCATTACTAAGAGAGGTGCGGTCCCTCTTTCCCTGTCTCTCTTTCTATTCCTGGGCCTTTTCCGTCGCCGTCGCTTCAACCTTGCATAGTTGACGGTTGCCGCGTGCTCTTTCTCAATGGCGTCATGCCTGTCTGTTGTCAACCATGCCAACCGATTGATCGCTGCCAGCTGTCTTTCGACACCCTTCGAAGCAGGTTGGCTGACATGAAATTCCACAGAATTTGTGGCCTCGTGGCTGCATGCCTTCTGACGGGTGGAATGCTTTGTTTCGCCCAGGCCCATCAAGTAGGAGTGACATGCAGTGTGGCACAGCATTCCTTAAGTGTGTTCTGCTCCAGATATAGAGTGATCCCTGGCAGGTGAATGCACCGGAGGAGATCAGAGTGACTGTGGATGGAGAGGCGTTGGTTGATGACGGCGTGGCAGCCGTCCTCTTCATTGTCTTCCAGGTGAGACTTACACAGCTGCCACTGTCTCGCTACAACTTCCATGCAAAACATTCTACAGAGCAATGTGGAGGAAGGCCTTGCCTCAGGGCTTAGTCTCACAGGACCTGTGAGACGAGCGCAGCTCTGCTGCAATTAGCAAGGTCGAGGTTTCTTGTCGCACAATATCAAGATTGCGAGGCAATATGGGCCTTTGCCCCTCCCCTGCATGTTGCATTACTTTTGGTGATTCCGCACAGCTCTTCCTTGAAAGGACGCATAAGAGACACTGTCAGCCACCATGGCGGATCCTGGAGGCAGCTCAATTTCAACAAGCCAGTTGCATGCATGCAGAGGTACACGGCGGGCGAGGCGCAGTCGCCCGGGGGCGTTGCCTCTCTGCTCTGCCGCCAGTCGCTGGGGGGCCCCGCGGTTGGCCTGGCATTTGCGCTGTGCCTGCTGGCCTGGCTGCGTTTTGTGCCCGCTGCACAACAGGAGCCCGTCCTAGCAGCGACGCTCATGCTGGTGGCAGCCTACGGTGCAAAGCCCCCCAAAGCCAGAAAGTTATACTTGCGCTGTGCATACCGGGGATCCTGCACTTGAGAAAAGCTGCAGGATGCCACAGCCCAGCTGAGGGCTCAATTATGTTTGATTGTTGTTGTCTGAGCAGGAGGCACCTGTTGCAGATTGCTAATGCACTACCCAACACACCAGTTACAATGATCAGTGCGACCTAATGCGACAGCAAGTCAGTCTTGCTGCTTGATGTCATTCCTGGTATTTTTGTTGTTATTGAGCTGCTTGATTTCCTGCGCAGGCTGCTTCTTTGTTGCGGATGAAGTTCTGGCAACGAATGGGATTCTGGCTGTGGTGACACTTGGCATGGCAATGGCCTGTTTGGGCCACCATGCCACATCAGCCTGTTTGGACAGTCCAGGCGCTGCAACGCAGGCAGCTATGCAGGAGCATGTGAACGTGATCTGGTAAGAGTCTTAGCATGACAATTTTCTGTGTCTGCGTGTAGCCGTAATTCTTTGTCAATGTCTTTTTGCTGTCGATCGTGAATGCTGCTGGCTCTTAATCTAAGGAAAGCATAGAAGAGTGTGACACCTCTGCTAAGTCTTTACTTGGGGCGCAAGTAAAGAAGGCTCCCAATTGCTTAAATATTTGAAAACTTTCACACATTGCAGGACTGTGCCCCTGGCCTGCAGCAAATAAGGGCAATGCTCTTGATTCAATATTCCAACTAGAGATATTATTCTTCTTTCAATTTTGGTCAATGCTTTTGCAGGGAGGCGGTGGAGTATATGGCCAACACGCTCATTTTTGTGGTGAGTGGTATTTTGATCGGAGGGTGGGTGTATGGGGCGCATCAAGCGGGCGGCCCCTGGATATTACGGGGGCGTGACTACGGCTTTGCTGTCGCGCTGTGGCTCCTCCTGCTGGCACGCTCCTGTTCTTCACTTGTTCCTCAGCATCAAAAGAAGATATACTCCTCACCATGTGCACAATGCTTATTCACAGAGGCAGGCTGGGTGTTCAAGTTTCTTCCAGACTCTGACTTTGCTACTTGCCACAACGCTCTCAACCATAATGCTGAGACCAGCATGCTTCTGTGCCGCTGAGTACACATCTCCCTAAATTAAGCAGTTGTTTGTAGCGCGCCTGCCCAGGTGATCCGGTGCATAAACATAGCGCTGCTGTGGCCGCTGCTGGCGCGCACCGGCGGCGGCATAACCCTCACGTCAGCGTTACTCACTGCCTGGAGCGGCCTGAGGGGGATTGTGGGGTTGGCGCTCGCGTTGTATATATTGACCGACCCCGCCATAGGCAACGCTGCGTACCGGATGCAGGCCTTCTTCTTGATGTCGACAACCATTGTGCTGACTGTCGTCATGCAGGGCAGCCTCTATGGCCCCTTGCTTCTGGTGAGCAACCCTTCATAAGCATGGATGTTTAATTTCTCTGCAATCATTATATTTGCTGATGCCTTCCTCTGATCATGTATCTATAGTCATTTTAGCACTAGTGGTCACAGCGTTATTGAAAACCGCTCTAAACACAACCAGGCTTCCTTTGTCTGCTCCCAAAGCATACAGCCACAAAGCAGGCACCAGTCATGGGAACCTACACAGCCGAGCCTACTATAAGTGAGATATTTTGAGGAGTGTGTTTTGGTTTCGTCCTGATTGCATCACAAATAATAATGTTGCGCATGAGCCCCTAGCTCTGCAAGGACTTCAACCTTGGACTTATCAGGCCATTGCGGGAGTGGTGGCTCGTGGTATGCAAGATTTTGAAGAGGCTCTATTGGCTGTTGTTGTGAGCAGGCACTGGGGATTGGTGAAGGGACAGAGGGCGCAGGAGGTGCGGATGTTGAGGCAAAGGCTTCTAATGGGGTGACATGTGAGGGAAGCTCGCCTGAAGCTGGCATCTGCAGCAATGGCGGCTGCCCTGCTGCTGAGGGGAAGAGAGATGTGCCGATGCATGGGTGTAAATTACGGCACAACAGCTGCCCGGCCATCATTGTAGAATGAGGGTGCACTAACCAGCTTGTGGGTTTTGCTATCATAGATAATCTAGTTGTGACATCTTCTTTGTTCAAGTTTTGGAGGTTGCTCAATGTTCATGATTGCAATTCTATTACAACATATATAGATCTATATAGTAACTCCTGACAAAGATACTGTAACATGACTCAACACGCAGTAATCTCAAGGCGCCCATTAGGCCAGCATGGCTTGTGTCCTCTTCTCAGATTGCCAATAGTCCCCTCAAACACTGACTGGGACCCTGTTCATACAAATTCCAGTGCTGTAATAGCAGTACATTAACTTAGCAGAGCAGTGCTGCTCTAATATCCCCCATGCTCCAAACTTGCGAAGAGACATCCAATTGACACCCTGGACGGAGCCTGCAGATACAGGCTGCGTTCTGATTGTCAAAGAATACAACTAAACAACGTACACAAATGTGTACACTCGGGGTACAGGTACTCTTGCATGCTGAGATCATCTCTTGTACATTCTAGAGCAGACATTGGCCTTTGCAAGGTACAGTACTGTAATTTCATGCATGCATAATACAGGCTGGCCCCGGCTGGCGGGGGGCGGTACAAATACTGAGCACCCTGCCCACGGGTGTTTGGGTTTTGCTTGGATCTGGCGGGTCCAACAAGAAGTAGGATTGTGGCAGCCTTTAACTCCAGCTTGTCTGCAGGACGCACCTTGCCTCTTGGCAGGAAAAGCGTGTAATGATAATGATAATGATAATGATAATACAGGGCTACACGCGGGAGATGTCTCGGCCGAAGAGTTTGGTGCGAACCCAGTCGGAGGAGACGAGCAGGATGTTGCGCAGGCTGATCTGGCTGTACGTCTCAAACCCCTTCCACATCACACCTGGCAAAAACACAGCAGCACTATCTTGAGGCAAACAACATGACTCCAAACTTTTCGCCGGCCAAGCACGCACAGCCTTTGATGCTCGTGGCTTGCGGATATGTTTATGCTGAACGGAAACATGCAACTACCCTCAGAATGTTTTCAGCCCAACACACTCCAGGTCGAGTATCTCCTGCCACAGGTGGAAGATGCAGGGTTGACTGACGATGGCATTGCTCGTCACAGTCTGCTTCATTTAATGAGCTGTGATCATATGATGTGATCTAACAGGGCCATGTGAAAGGTCCAGGGTGGCCCAAGCAGCACAATCTGGTGCCACTTGGCAGCCCCAGAGACTTAAAATGTGCCAAGCACCTTTGACTGCTGCAAGGGAGAAGAAAGAATGCGAGCTCTGGGCAGACCAGAACTGCATGCCAGAGCCAGCCGATCCCAGGAAGATATCCCAAACGACATCAGACCCTGTCAAGGAGCAAGGCCGCACCTGCGGTGTAGCCAAAGACAGGGCCGATGGCGGGGACGTCCATGACGGCCTTGTCGCGGCCCACATAAGCGAGGCTGCCCTTGTGCCCATAACGGAATCCCTTGAAGCCCGTAATGGGCTTCCCGGGCGTCCCCTTGCCCTTGGACAGCAGCTTGGCCACGTACTCGCCCTGCTGCTTTGCCACCTGCAAAGCGTGTCTCGATATTTGGAAAAGCTTCGCCTCAAGATGCACCATCACATTACATCCGACAGTGCGCGTATCTGCCACGATACAGAAGGAGTGGTATGCACTGTCTGGAATAGCAAATGGTGGAAGTTAATTTGTGCTGGACAATGATGGAAGGTAGATTGTGCACCCAAGGGAGGCCAAAAGATGGATCTGATGGTATCTCACCAGGCCTTACGCAGTCGACAAAAGACACCCGCACCACGATTTCCAACAGTCACTTCTACCCCAGGATCTAAGTGTCAAATGAAAAAGAAAATACAGCACCCCCTGAGAGGTGGCTGGCAGTGCGCGCAGCAGACATCATGCAGAGGAAGGCAGGTTAGAGATGCAGGCAACAAATATCAAGTTCACAATTGAACCTACCTCTAATGGACATGGCAAAAACTGTTGCAGACCACTGTTTATGCCTACCTGCAATGGCACCAAGTGGATGCAGGACGACCGGAGGGCAGGATTTCAAAACCCTCAAATTCAAACTTCAAGTTCAAAGCCCAAATTTAAACCCTAAATTTTCAAATTCAAACTTCAATTCAAATTGAGAAATGTACCGCACCTGCGCGGTGGCCGGCAGCGCGCGCAGCCCCTGGTCGATCTTGCCGATGATTTCGCGGAACGCATCCTTGTCCAATTCCGTGTCTTCACCTAAGGCGCTGACCGGAGTTCCATCTGTGCGCTTCTTGACCAGTTTCCCCACCATGCTATTCCACCGCTTCAATCCCCCGTACTTCCTGTGACAACCCCATGGGGAGCTAGTGTCATACACAATGTGCACCCAACCACTTGTTCAATCTATTGTGCTTCGCTTCTCGTGGCTTCCTTGTTTTACCTTTTAACGCTGAAGCACTTCTGATAACCCTGGCATGAAGCCCAACAGCATTGGTCTGGACAACACATGTCAGATTCACATGCAGTTCCTTCACTTGCATTGCAAGAGTGACCGCGCCAGCAGTGAGCGGGTCACAAGAAGCATAACTGCTCAAATTTGTGGGTGGATCGGCACCGAAAAGCATCTCAGGCAAGGCATTCACATAAAACGAAGTGTTTGCCAATTTGTTATATATGTGCTCGGCAAAGGCAAGAGGAAAAATAAATGAAAAAAGGCAGGCAGGGAAGCTGGCGCGCACCCATCGAGGAAGCGGGCATGCTCGGCAAAGTGGGAGTAGTCCTCGGACGACTTGCGCAGAATGTCGCGCACCTCCGAAAGCTGCAGCTTGCCGTCCTTGCTCACATCCGCCTGATCAAACAGCTCCTCCGAATGGCTCAGCGCCTTCTCCTGCACCAGCCACATCGCCGAAGTGGTCCAATCCGTGACACAAGCTCTACAGGTCTTCCTGTGCCGAGCAGTAATGCAGGAAGTTGTAAGATGGTCTGAATCAGCTGAAGAGGACCGTGACCCTGGGGATGTCAAAGCGCCCATTTGCGTGAAGCGTGGCACTACTGTATGTCCTAGGCCTATATGAGGCAGATTGCTCACACTCTGCAAGGATCCCGGAGATCAGCCTGATTTCTTGATAAATAGAGCGTTCTCTTCTTGTCCATGCAAGCCAAGTCCAGGTCACCGATGTGGAGGCACAGCCACATGCCGAGGTATTGCATGGCTGAAGACCACACATTCTTAGATGTGCATTCAACCAGCCCTGAGGGGTGTGCCCTGAGAGGTATGCCCAACAGGTGTTGCAGGCGCCAATGCGGTGTGTGTGGGGGGTCAATCTCTCCTCACTCTTTTGTCGTTTCTGCTTCCTCAAGAACCTGACAACTATTCCCCCCTTGCTGCTGCTGCAAGGGGTGGGTTAACGGCCGCTCGAAGAAGGCACAACGCTCTCGAGAGGAAGGCAATGGGTGCATGCCTGCTGGATGGTGGCAGCATCGCCGATGGCATAGATGGAGCCTCCCGAGCCAAGCACGCGCAGGTACTGGTCTGTCACGATGCTGCGGAAGTGAGTCTGGCTGCCCTCCGGCAGCCGCTCCTGAGACAAAATGCAGAGATTTCGAAATCCGAATTTTGAGTTTAAATCACTACCCTTCTGTGACACCTTCAAAGCTCCCATGGTTTCAAGCTGGAACCCGCCAGCACTTCGAGTGGTTCAGGCAAGAAGCACAAGCAGGCATAGAGTGCGACCCTTGCTTCTGCGCAAGATATCAGCAAGAAAGGCAGTCCCTGTGCCTGAAATAACAGCAGCCAGGGCAGTGATCTGCATGCATGCAAAGCCAGCAATGCCCCAGGACCCGAGGGAAGCTCCAGGGTGGTCCTGTTTTCATGCATACAGAACCAGCAGTGCCCACAATCATTTCCAATACTCAAGAGATGACAGGTGAGCAGATATTCGGGGCAGTGCTGCGCACCTGCAGCTGTTTGATGAGCGGGTGCATGGCAACGCCGGTAGCCCAGACGCAGGCGCCGAAGGGGATCTCGTTCGTGCTGTTGGTCTGTGAGTTCACCACGATCACCTTGTTGGGCGCCACCGACGCCACACGGCTGTTCAGCACCAGATCTATGCCCTCCCTGCGCGCGCACAGCCTCCTTTGACTCACTGTATGTTTATTTTTTTTAAGGGTTTAGGGTTTTATACTTAGGGTTTAGGGTAATATGAAATATAAAAGAACACCACTGCAAAGTGGTACACAAACAAACGCAAAGCCATGGGGTGTCCACAGACTGCATGCAGTGCTGAGGAATTCTGAGCCCCATCTGCAACCCTCTTCTGGCCTCTTAAACGCATCTTCAAAGGCCTTTTCAGCTCCTCCCCTCTGATGCGCGGTAGGAAGTTGCCGTCAAAGCAGAGGCACCTTTGATTGCTGGTTCCAGATGGAGGGTGCCATCTCAACACTGCCCTACAAGCATCTTACCAAGGCCAAGACCAAGGTAAAGGCACAAAGAGGCGCAGCCTTCCACAGATGTCAGCTTGCTCTGATAGACCCTGGAGTTTGTCGTGTCTTGAAAGCATTGCCAATCAAAGCAAGCCCCAAAAGGGTTTTCTGTCTTCTGTATCCAAGAAAAATCGTTCGTCCCAGGGACACTCCACACAATCATAATCAGCCTGAGTCCCCTACTACTGTATTACAAGGAGACAAGCATCTTCCGCGCCTGCTGAATTCTGAAGCCGTGTAGGTGGAGATCTCCCGGTCATAGGTGGACAGCACATGGTCCTGCAGCTCGATGACCCGGATGCGCACGAGGGAGACAAGGCTCGGATAGATGCGGCGCAGATCGTCCACGACCATGTCATGGAGCTCTGCCGCCACTTCCACCCCCGTGGGGCCGCCGCCCACTATCACAAACGACAGCAGCCGCTCCCGCTCCTGCGCGCGCGTTTTTATGTATTCTATGTGATGCGTGTTTTATAGCCGTTGCGCGGACTATGCTACAGAAATCTGCCATGCTGCTCGTGTAGCATGAGGCAATTGATGCTGTGCACTGCTGCGGCAGTTGCACCCTGGCACACGGCAATCGGTTGCACAACTCCACATATACAACCTCGTCTGTAAAAGTCGAGCATTTCTAAAACAATCATGGCATGACGCCTGGCGCCCTCCACATCAGAAGTGCTTTGTGAGGCGCATGCAACATATCCAGAGCAGGTTGTTCCAGCAGGTTGCCGCAAATGTGCATGAGGTCATTTCGACTGCGCGATGCCATAAGCATCCCTCTACCTGCTGTGTGCACATTTGCGCACCAAACTGCTTGCTTGCATGCTGCTCAAGCCCGCCTTCCCTTGGACAGGATGTCTCTCTGATCCATCACTGAAGCTGTGTGTAGAGTTCTGAGTAAAATCTGATGTTAAGGTGAATGAGGAATGTGCAGCACCTCCTGGGAGACAGCCGGCAGCGAGGCGCGCTCGAAGCACTCGGAGACTTTGCGGCGCAGGTTGTGGGCGTCGTCAATGCTCTTGAAGAAGGTGGTGTGCTCCGCCACGCCCTTGATGCCAAAGGTGTTGTTCACGCTCCCCACCGCTGCAATCAGCACACCACAAACACTTTATTTGCATGCACTTGTACTTGAATGGTCATGTGAAAAACAGATGTCCGTCCCTTGATGCACACTTCCCACCGCTGCACAGTGCATGCATCAGCTCAGCTCATGTTCAGATTCAAATCTGAACAATTGAATTACAAATTTCTGCCTGGGCTCTGCCTGGGCAACCCAGACTCGCGGGTTAGACACCCTTATGTCAAGGCTTGACTGAGCATTGTCATAACTGCCTCACTACTCTGTGCTTAAGGGTACATGACCTGAAGCCCAGTTTGAAGACTAGCTCGAAGACCAGAACACGCCAGCTTGAAGGCTGTTCTGACTCTGCCGTCGTTATCATACAGTGCATGCAGCAGCTTGCATCAGCAGAGATGCCAGCAGAAGACCTCCCGGAAAGATGCAAAGGCTGCCCAGGGCAGAATTTGAAGCCCCAGTCTAAAACGGAGACTTCCCTTGCCAGAAGCTATGGAGAAGACTAGTAGAGAGCACGGCAGGGAGCGCACCCAATCAACCGATTCCTTTATCCTCTGAAGAGCAACAAATTCTCTTTTCCTTTACTTCACCTCGGAACGAAACTAGAACAGGAATGGCAGAGAGCGCACCCAGGACGAGGATGTCATAGGGGACCTTGAAGCAGGAGTCCTCTGGGTCCGATGGGATGCACGCCTTGATGGTCTTCTCCACTGGGTCTATCTCCTGACACACCGCCTCAAAAAATGTCCCCTGCAAGAACACATACCGTAGTCAGCACCATATTTCGGGCACAAAATATTTTTCTTGAAAAAGGGTTGATAATTGAGACTCTGAAATGAGAAATATAACCCCTAAAAAAGTTTCGAGACCAGCTTTGGAAAGCTTTCGCCAAGCCCAACTCATTGGTGATCATGCTGCATCATTTGTTAGGATGGAAAGGCTTTTCAAAAAGAGGCCCAAACATTTTGCGCATTTGGAGGTGTGCAGGGTTTATGGTGATGAATACAGTAAGGTGTTCAACCATTCTGCAGAACGTTGCTGATGCAGATTGAACATCTACAGTCACTCTGAGTGACTAAGAGAGTCACTGGGAGTCCCTTTGGAATGGAGCGTTGGGATTGGATCAGTACGCATCAATGAACGTTGTGGACAAGTGTGGCCAAATTTCAGCCTATGGTACAGTGACAGCAGGTCTCACAAGTGAGTGGAGCAGCCGCACAGGCTCTGCAGTGAGCAGTTCCACACATAATTCGCTGCTATAAAACACGCTGCCTTCCGAGCAGGCCATCGGCCTCCTGTGGGCCTGTGGATCGAGAGAAATAGCAGCACGAGTGATGTGTGCTCACCTTTGTGCCCAGAACTTTTCTGACGGGCTCGATGATGGACCGCTCTTCCACAGTCCCAGTCGCGCACGCCGGCAGCAGCGGAGTGTACAGGAAGTAACTGCGCAGCAACAATGAAATGAGTGCGGCAAAAAGCGGACAGACGCAGGGATTAAAAAAGCACAATGCCAACAACACAGAGAAAACAGATTCGGTGAGGCCATTGTGATCATCATCCATTGACATGCTTCATTTATAGCGGGTGCAGGGATGCAAAAATGAACAGGGAGAGGGCGCACTTTCTGGGGGAGACGATGGTGACTTCCAGGTTCTCACTGCACATGCACACAGCCACATCAGCCCCAGTATTGACAAACTCTATTTCAAACCACAGCAGCGCATTCAAAATTCGTTTCCGCGAGCGCTACACACGTGACCTGTGAAGCCTGCAGCCCGCACTTCCGCCTCATGTAATGCAGGAACTATTCTGATGTATTGCCCATCTTGCTTTCCAATGCCATGCAGCCAGGCAAAACAGCTTGGGTAGTGCAAGTGTGTGCTGCAGGATATTTTCCAGGCAAGCTGGCCACGGGTGGAGGGGCGGTCTATATATAGGTACATGTCGAGATACAGTGCATAAAACACACCTGTCCCGTCTTGACAGCGACTTGATGAAACTCATAGCTCCCCAGCCAGAGCCTAGCACCACAACACGCGGCTTGCCGCTGTATTTGCCGCCCCGCCCATAGTATACAGGCATGCCATCCGGCTTGGTGGCTCCATTGTTGCTCTCCTGAGAACATATGGTAGATGAGATCCTTCTGTGAAATGGTTCTGCTGCGTGGCTGGTTTGAAATCCTGATGCCAATGGGTCTCTGAACGTTTTGGTCAAAGATCCTTTGTGAACCTTAAGAATCCTTGGACAAGAGCAAAAGCATCCAAAGGCATGCCCTGGAAGGCAAAAATATTAAGATAACATCTTCAGCACCATCTTACTGTTCGTCCTGTGAAAAGACAGGTGGGTGCGTCACGCCCAAAAGGTTGATGACCAGTCTCCTAGGGTTCCATATCTTGGACCCAGCTAATCCGCTTGCAGGCGCTGGATCAAAAAGAAAGATAGGGCATCAATCTGCGTGCAGCTTGAAATTAGCGTGCGAGTACCTTCACGATCTGTGGTTCTTCAGTACTGAGGGCTGCAACGCAGCACCCGTCCCTAGCCGGGCTTCTCTTGATCGGCCGACATTTTGGCAACTGAGATGGACAGTGCGCTCTCTTGTAGCAAAGCTTCTCCGGGTACCTAGCAAGCGATAAGCGCTGTTGGGAACCACAAGTCTGCCTGAGTTCCATTGCCCTAACCTGCTATCATCAACCTTGTCTTTTGGTGAACAGCCAGTAAAGGATGGCGCTTTCAGTACTATAGGCAGTACAGATTGCTGTCTTCGGTGAGAATGCAACAGTTTCTGCGCTAATAGCGAAATTGTCCCTGAGAGCAAGCTTTTTTTCTAACTAGTATTTATACCTATTCTGGCGAGCCTCGCACGTGCGCAATGCCGTGCGAAGCAGGTGCGAGCAGGCCGTGTCAATTTTGTGCCCTGACGACGAGGGCCAGCCAAACAAGCCCAGAATTTAGAAAGTGAAGCTAGGAGCAGGAGCAGTCGTTGTCTGGGTTTATCGCCAAAGACGTGCGTGCTTTCGTGAAGCCAATTGCATCTCCCGCCCTTCACTGCCAAGTCTCCCGCCATTGTTAGCATCAACACATCTTGCAGGAAATACCAGTGCAAGACCCAGACATGGGGTCTGCTCTCAGCCATAAAGGTGCAGAAAAGTGTGACGAGGCAATAGAAAGCCTCCCAACAACAACGCCTGCAGGTTATCCACAGTTCTATCAGTCGAAACGTGCAGAATTGTTGGGGCAACTGTTTTCTGCTGACTGCTCGAGTTGGAAGAATGGGAATGTTTGGCATTATGGAGCTCTTTTGCCAACCACCACAAGAATTGCTCGCAGAGCAGACAAGCGGACCTTGCAGTGGTGTGACAACAATTTTCCTTGTTTCCCAAGAAATGCAGGCAACACGGGAGAATGTGCAGGGCACGCAGAGCAGGTAAGTCTCTTTGCTTGTGACAGCCATCATACATGTCCAAGGGCCTGCTGGCAGGAATTCTCTGTTTTACATAAAATATTCACTCTCTTCCCTTTGCGCATTGTACACCATGCATGGCATTTCCACAGGCAACAGCTCCCGTAGCACAGAAGAAGGCCATTCCAAGGAAGGCGCAAGGGACGCCTCATCGCCAGCCAGGTGCCAAGTTGCCAGCTTTGAAAGGCCACGGGAGCCCAAGGCGGTCAGCTGTGCAGCCTCGGCGGTCTGTGTCCCTCACAGAGCTCGCAAACGTTCTAGAGACCCCCCCGCCTCCGTCCGCAGACCCATTGACAAAGCAAGGGGTCTCTTCGAGCAGCACACCAGCCTCAAGAAAGGTGACCAAAAGGGTAACCAAGCTCTCTCTAGACACGAGCACCTTCCAAGGGTTTTTAGGGTGAGAACATTAATACAATGGAAAGACCTAGCTCCATTGCTTTATAGAGTAAACACTTTGTTAAATACAACACAATGCATACAACACAGTGTTGTTATACACGGTTACCATAAGTCACAATACATTGGATATATTGTATGTATGACATGATGTATTATAGTTATGACATAGTACGGAAAGACGTCAATGAAAGTATGTTGTTGAAGTTGCCAGTGCAACCTATTGTTTCTCCACGGCATGCCTATGACCGTACTTACAACAGCCGAATTATAAGCATGCTATTGCAGGCATCGTCAAAGAGGAAACAAGTCTCGAGCACGCCTGGCGCGGCCACACCCATGAAGAACGGCAAAAAAAAGAAAAATACGAAGTCTACGCATGACGCTTGGACATACGTGGTGAGAATAAAAATCATCACTTTGATGTTGCTTGCCATGTTGCACTGCTGGTGGCACCAGGCACCAGGCACTGTGACGACGCTTGGAGACCGTGTCATAGTTGCACATGATCATGTGACATTTTCTTTATGCATCTGCAAAATGAAAGATCTTCTAGAATAGATAAGGGGGCATGGGTTCACCCATGCCTTCACGGTGGCCTTCAAGGGCTGGCCTTCAAAGTTTGGCATGCCCTTTGCCATGACACCCCAGGCTTCATCAGGGCGTCCACATTTTATTTCACATTTTCTGTATGATGACTTCTTTTGGAATATTCTTGACAATATTGCCATTGAACAACTATTTGTTTATCATGATTGATATGAGGGTAATTAAGAAAATTCATGAAAGGCTGCACCCTTAAAGTTTGATTTGACCCGATCATTGGATGTTGATCATATGCAATATGACATTTCTATGTGGCTGCAGGGCTTGCAGTTTGAGTACCCTGGCGACAATGATGACAGGAAGAGACCGGGATGGGTGGAGTGTCCAGACGGCAGATGCTACCCGCGAGCGTGAATTTCAAACTTCTCTTCGTAAACCAATCGTTTTTGTGCACACACTAAAAATAATTATGAACATGTCTACCAACTTTATAATGAGATTTTTGAAACTCGTACACATGCAGAGCAACGTACAAGAAGGGGGATGTACCGTTGTATGTCTATTCAAGCCAAGACTACAGCAACGATGTGGAGTATGAAATTGAAGCCATCCTTGATGAACGGAGGCGAGGGCCCGCCGTGCAGTACAGGGTGAAGTGGAAGGTGTGGCGCTCTTTTCATAAATTGATCATTTAAATGACTTTTAATCCTCCGGGAATACCGTATATCATGCCAAGTGTAATTGTGTTTAAACAAATTTGTCAAGGAAACTGAAGTTCTACACCGGTGACCGGGCCGGTATATAAAAACTTGACCTCTAGCTGGTCGCTATAGCCAAACAAAGAAAAGTGGGGGCGGTGTATCATGATGATGTCTTTGAATGCAAATTGTCATACTTGATTAATGGCATTGTGAATAGTGGTAATTTTCGGGTAATTTTCGTTTCTCTGGGTTTGTAAGGTTGTGTCTAGGGAATGAACAATCTCTTCCGGCAATGGAAAAGAAATGGCAACGTGTAAAGCTGGGGCCCCCGGCGGGCTATCTGGTATGCATATGGCAAAGCCACTTAGGTTCCCGTTTACGGCCTATAAACGGTAGCCGTTCGCGATCTAGCCAATCGACGCAAACTTTGAATGCAGCCCCAAAATGGGGGAGCGTGTTTCCTTAATAAGGTCCAAGGCGACATTAACGTGTCGGATTTTCTTTCTTTTCCCTCATTTTTTTGTGGTATCTCCGGAGGATCCTTGCGTGCGATAAATTGAATCATTGAAATGAATCCCCAGAGTTTCAACTTAAATTTTGCCACTCAGTGGAAGCTCCTACTAGCAGCCTATGTAGTAGATGGCAATCTGTTTAGCATGCATGGTCACCATATGGTCGCTAGCAGCTCGGCGTACAACTGCAATAATGAGGGATGAGGAAAGTTTTCATACCGAGGTCACTGTGGCACTTTGGCAAACATTGGTCACGGTTATGGACCATAACTTATGGTGGTGGCAATTTGTAAACCTTGCACATGTCACATGCCACGGTGGCTCGAGCCCACTACAAGTTGTATCATACAACATGGTATGATACCAGACATCGTTGAGTTTTGTAGTTAAACTGCGTACCTTGAACTAGTACTTCAAGACAACGGTATCACGCCAGGTGCCACGCGTTACGGTTGAGCGCCGCGCCCAAACAAGCTTGCCGCAATACATTGCAGCATTGCCAATAACATCATGTGATACTGGCACAAACTGCATGCACTCAGTGGGCTAAGCTTGCTGTAGGTGCACGCAGTTTTAAAATAAAGTATGGACGCCTTGATGAGGCCCGGTTCGTGATTAAGGAGACAGAATTCAATCATGCCGAATGCATGGATGAACTCGCCACCGTGTGATACACAGTTGTAGGTACAAGTTCTTGGCACTCGGAAGATTTGTGCCCGAGTGTGGCTGTCATCAGCTGAAAGATGATACACCAACGCCAGCATTTATTTCTACTCAGCACTTCGATCCTGGAAGTAAGCACTCAATTCTTTTCTCTTCCCACAATCTGACTGGTGTTGGTCCATGGTTCAGGGATCAGGGATGAAGATGACCGTTTTGAGAACATTCCGCAGGTTGGTTGAATCCGATGCGCTCACAGAGATCGAACGTTTCCTTCAAATTAATTGCGCTGCATTCCCTAGAATTTGTCAAACAGTGCTGTAGAAAAAGTAAAAACTCAAGGCTCGGTGCGTATCCCGCTTGTCGGTCACGCCTGATCAAGGAAGGCCTCTGGTAGTCTCGCAATGCATATTGCAAATAAGTCTTTTGGATGATTACCAAGATTGCAGGAAGGCTGAATTCCGCTTTCCTTGTAGTTGAAGCTGATAGAGACGTTCAAGTGTTGAGGAAAGTTGGCTTCACAGCTTGATCTGGAGGGACACTTGATGGCTGGCAAGAAAGGAGGCAAGCCTGAAGCTCGGACGCCTGCACGTTCGAATGGTGCCGCTGAAAAGAACATTGTGGACCAAACTCGCACGATGACAGCGGTGAGTTGCTCAGCGTGCTGACTCGAGGAATGGGTGTGGTAGCACGCCTTATGGTAAATCTTGATACATTACATTTCACGCATACAAACAGATCTTTACATTGATTGATTACCGCACAGAGTTCGATCCAGCCACAAGATCTGGCATTGCATGTTCCTGTGTACCTGCTCTGAGGAGTCTGTTGCACCTGGGTGTCACCAGAGCTGCCTGCGATTGCCCAGCTGTGCTTGTTCCACAAATGAGTTCTCCAACGTGCCAAAGTAACACACGAGTGCCTTGCGCAGCAGACAGGGCGTTCCATGTTGGGCTTGCCATCAGGCCTGGAGCCCATGGCGCTGGCCCCTCCAGAGCCCAGCCACGCTATCCAGGAGCAGAACTTGAAGGCTGCCCTCGAAGCCTCATCCATCTTCGTTGAGACGCTCGAGTCTGATGGCGGCGTGGCCATAGAAGAGATCGAGCGAGAGGTGAGCCCAATCCTGTGATGCCAGCACACGAAACCGAGCCCTGTGCATTCCTTGCTGAGCTCTGTCAGGGAGTCATGACAATGCTGATGCTGTAGTGAGCTGATGGCTACAACACCCAAGCATGTTCTCACGTGAAAATGAGATTTTGGTCATGGCAAGGTGTTTTGTGGCAGGTGGCATTCCTATCGCCGTACATCCAGAGAGAAGTGCTGCACCATGGGCGGGGATTCACCACTGAAAGCCCCATTGCACTGCCAAGCAAGGTGCTCTCTCAATCACCCCACCTGACACTTCCATGCAGCCTGCCAGCACTGACTGCCCGTGCCACTGCACAGCTTGCACGGCTGTGCTGTGGACTGCTAGTTTCCATGCGGCTGATACTTGTTGCAGTGTTATAGGCAGAGCAGAGATCTGCACTCGACTCGATCTGGCCTCGAGTGTGTTTTCATTTTTACTTGTTGTCGCAATAGTTGTAAATAGCCGGTGCAGCGCGTAGGAATGTCTGTGCTCTTATGTCTCAGGAGTCATAACATGTGGTGTGCTATATGCATGTGAGGAATCGTGTGAACATGCTGGCTAGCTTCCTGGTCACATGGGGCATTCCCTTTGGCATCCTTACAGACTACACCAGGACCGCCAAGCATCAAATGTGGCTGCAATCATATTTCATTCGAATGGGAAGGGCGCTGCATGCAGGTGACTCCCGAGGTGCTCCAGCTGCTGCTGCAATACTGCCGCTTCCACCGAGCCTCCGGCCGCTCCGACAAGGTAGGACTTGCCTTTTCTTCGCAATATGCTGCTTGCTGCTTGCCTTTCCTTGCGATGGGTTTGGGGCTCCTGCCTGCAGTGCAGCCTGAGAGCAACATGTCATTGCACTCAATATAGATTATATCGTGGTTATGTCCACCAAGCAGGCCTGTGAGGATGCCCCCGACAATAATAGATAGGCCACTTCAAGGTAAACATTTGAGTCAGTCAGTGTCAGGGGAGCACTCCTTGGAAGAATGTCCAGTGCTTCTGTCCCTTCTGTGCGCCACTGGCTGACGAATCCCCATCGGGTGTCAAACCCGGTTCAAACTGTCAAGGAAAGAGGAACATGACAGAAATGTGGATTGCGCGCGCAGGAGCGCAAGATGTTTGACGAGAAGTTTGTGCGGTTGGACACGCGGCGGCTGTGCGAGTTGACGAGTGCGGCGGACGCTCTGGACATGAAGCCGCTGGTGGACCTCACCTCGCGCGCCCTCGCCCGCCTCATCGAGGGCAAGACCCCTGAGCAGGTGCGCGCACTCACCGCAGAGCCTCCGTGGCATCATTCTGCACCTGCATGCCAGTCATGTGCAGTGCTGGGAGAAGGGATAGAGACGATGTAAAAGTCCAAAAAGCAGGGGAGTTGTTCTCGATCATGGGAGAATGCATGCTCCTATGCTATATAAGGGCAGGTTTCTTTTGCCGGAGATAAATCTTGCAGGATCCTATAGAACATGGTTCTGGGGGCTGGCCACTCTCCATAACCATGCAAGAGATCTGGAGCCTTCTTTCAGTGCAATGGATTCCATACTTCAAAGTGCCACGTCCGACAGACCGCTCTCAAAACCACATCTGGCAGATCCGCCTTTTCTGGTCGTATTTTCCCCTTAAATGTGCTGCTGGCGTTGGGGCAGATCCGCGCGCAGTTCCAGCTGCCGGACGACCTGACGGAGGAGGAGAAGCTGGAGCCTGTGCGCAACTTTGGCGACGACCCCAAAATCCGCCTCCTCAACCGCCTCTACGAGAAAAAGCGCAAGGTGGGGATGCCCCGCCAGACCTTGTTTTCTGAGTGCCAGGTTAGGCTTTGTGTTGTGGCGTCTCTTCAGCCGCTCTCTTGAGAAGCAGGAAGAACGAACCTCTTGCTTGTTCGGCCTATGTCATCCTGCACAGCAAATATGATCTCTCACCCCTAAGCTGCACATGTGAATGGCAATGGTGATGTAGGGATGTAGGTGAGGAACAGGATGAAAAACAACCTTCTGTCACGTCCCAGTGGGGGAGCACACGTGACAGAAGGTTGTTTTTCATGGTGGCACCTCTGTCCTTACATCAGAATATGCATCTTCTGTGTGCAGCATAGTGGTTTGAGACTTCTATCCAGGGATTGCAATGCATCATTCTGTTGATACTGCCTCCAAGCTTCTTAGCTGCTGGAAGCCGACTATCTGGAGCATGATGACTCAGCGCTGACAGATCCGGGGGGACCGTGCCTGTTCAGGAGCTGCAACGGCGGCGGGAGGAGGAGGAGAAGCTGAAGGGGGGGAACCCCTCCCTGGCGCTGGAGGGTCCCCCCGCCGCGGCCCCCCAGCCGGATGTGCGCTCTTTGGATGACCTCCTCTCCTTCATCGACGGCGCCGGGGGTTCCGCCGGCAAGGGCGCCAAAAAGAAGCGCGGCAAGGGCGCCAAAAAGCAGCCAGTGGCTGCCGCGGCCACCAATGGGCACCAGGTATGTGCTACTTCCTGCTTTGTTGTCATGATAAGTGTGCTGGTTGTGAGCTTGCTACATACCCTTGCATGCGGGGGAGAGTTCTATATCAAGCCATTTCGTCAGGTTGTGAACCTCTTACACTGTTCACTTTATTGCATGCATACATGTGGGAGGAGCTTAGTTTGCTGCTGCCATAAGGAGCTATCTGCAAAATATGCAATGCCCTCCAACTGGTCTGGGCCGGAGACGAAGTCTTTTGCGTCTTGTTTCAGCTCTTCTAGACGGCATTCTGTCCAGTTGACCCAGATGCCTCAATGTGTGTGCTGTCTGCGTCCAGGAAACAACTGGCAACGACACAGGAGAGCAGTCGCCGAGTGAAAGCGGCCAGAACGAGGCCACCACAGCTGGCAGCAAGCCTGCGCAAAAGCCAGCAGATGCAGCACAGAAGGCACAGGAACAGCCTGATGCAGTGCCGAGCAACAGCGCGATCAGCGGAGCTAATGGGGATAGCAATGCAGAGAGTAAAGATGGTGGGGAGGGCAGCGGGCTGCAGAAGCACTGGTCGGGGGAGTCGGCAGGGGGAATAAGCTGTGAGGAAGGGGAGGATGAAGAGGAGGGAACGCTGGATGACATAGACGAGGACGATGACGGGGACGGCTCTTCCTGGCAGGTCAGCAGCTTTCAAAATCTCTAACTCTTTGATATGAGCACCTTTGGTGATTGTGCACTTGGTCTTGCATCTGCTAGTAGCCGAAAACAGAGCAGAGGAGGGTCATTTGAGAGCATAGGACCATGCGGAGTGCCAAGGTTTCTTGTACACGGCAGGTGGCAAGGTGCTGGTAAAGTAGTTGAGTCTTCCTTTGGATGACGACCTTACTCAGTTCATTGCACAGCACAGAGGCAGAACTGCTCGTCTTGCAGTTCACAATGTAGTGAGTTATATCACTTAGCGGTGCCTTTGCAACTCTGAAATTTGTCTGCTTTGGCATGCAGGGACCGCGGGACGAGCTGATGATGCACAGCGCCTCTTTTGGCCCCATCCTGGGCCCCATCACCACGCTGACATCCCTGGCCAACTTCAAGGCGCGTTCCCTCCCGACGCCGCGCGCCGCCGCTGACTCACCTGATGACTCGCCGCCGCAACCGCCGACCGGCAGCGCACAATCTCGCGCGCCAGCCGCGCCAGCAAACGTTGCAGCTGCTACAAATGGAGGCCACGAGATCAGTAAGAGCAACGAAAACTCTGGAAAGGATGCAGCTGCGCAGCAGTCTTCCCAGAAGCAGAGTGCAGCCACGCTGGTTGCGAACAAGAAGACACAGGGCGCCTCAGGCAACAGCAGCAGCTTAAAGAGTGTTGCAGAGCCCCAAGCAAAACCGGATGCTGCAGCAGGCAGCGCTGCGCCTTTGGCTGTACAGGACAGCGCAGCGCATTCAAATGGCGCGCAGGCAAAAGCGGAATCGACAGTGGAAGCCTCACCAGGCTCGCAGCAGGAGGCAGGCATGCAGCGGCGTCTGGGACAGAGGGCGATGCCTTCGGGCAAGTCTGCATGCGGGTTGGCCCGGCTTCTCGACAGCCCCCGCAGCCTCTCCGGCTCCTCTCTCGACAGTGAGCTCTCGCACGCCGTCAGCACCCCACAGCAGGGTGTGCCTTCATCAGCAGCCTGCAAGCAGAGCAGTGCTGAGGGAGACGGTTCTGAGGGTGAACCGGCTGCAGCAGCTAGCTCTGTACATGGAAGCGTCAGCGTTGGGGATGGCTTGGAGGAGGAGATGGGGACGGACGCTGATGCTGCACAGCTGACATCCGCCCTTGATCAGGTTGGAGCCCTGCTGCATTGCTTATTTTCCGTTGTCATGCCATTGTGAGTCTCACTTGCTGCTGAAAGTTTGCCACCAGGCACCGACAAGAAACACTACTGCAGCAGCAGCGTGGGAGCATTGACAGCTGCTGCAGGGAACAGGAGGGTCCTTTGACGAGCAGTTTGTGCATGCAGGCGTGGAGGGACCCTTCTGATGTGGCGGCAGCTCAGCGCGCCATGCTGGCGTTCATGGAGCAGTGTGGCCTGTCGCGCCACCTGCACCTGGTGCCCACAGAGCAGCTGCCTGATCAGGTGAGCCTAATATTGGCAGCAATCAGACCTTGAACATGGAAGTCTTCTCGTGCGTGTGGATACCCCCTGCAGAATGTAGGCATTTTCCAAGGACAGACATCATCAGTCATCAGTGCCTTCTCTGGAGACAGAATGCACATTTGGAATGTTGACTTTGACACACTGCAGATTTTGGTGCCACTTTTGAGCCCAGCAGGTCAGGCTTTCTTTGGCATAAGTGTGTGCAATGCAAGAGTTCGAGCATGCTGTGCAGGAGAGGGCCGGTGAAATTCCCGCGGCTGCCTCGCGCAGAAAAGAGGGCAGCGTGATAGAAGAAGTTTTGCTGTCAAATGGGAGCCTCTTGCAGCTGTCGCTGAAAAGCAGCGCTAGCCGCAATTCTAGATGACATTGATGCAGTGTGATCTGCCTGTAAACAAGATTCTTCCTGCAGACCAATTGCAAGTGCAAGGGATATTTGGCAGGTGTTTTGTGTACTCCTGCAGGTATGCATGCATGTAGACAATATTGTGCCAGGCCAGATGAGCCCAAAATTCCAGCAGGAGCCAGTGCTTACAAGTGTAAGTGTAACTACCGTATGCTCGATCAACTTTTTACACTAAAAAAATAATATGATAAGGCCAACATTGGTCAGCACAACTCCCGCAAATATCTACAATGAATTACATTTGGTGCTTTGGAAAGCAGCTGTGTCCTCCCCGACCCTCATCATGAGGAGTGTCTCATGTGCTGTTCAGATGCTGTTTTGAATCTGGAGAGATTGAAGTCGATCGGACGGCAAACCTCCCAGCTCCCAGATCAACCTTGGCAGTAAGTATTGCAATGTACAGAACTAGGGAATGATGATCAAAGTCTCAGTCATAAGGAGAGCAGAACCAGGGCAATATCAAGGCATCCATGCTCCTTGTGAGCCCAGGGGCGATTACAACAAATCAATTGGCAGCAAATTTTCTCAGCGCAGCCGCATGGCGTGCCAGTCGATAAGTTGCATTTTTATTCAGACTCTAATCTGGTTGTAGTACTCTGGGAGACTAGCCAAAGCGCTGGCTACTAGCTAAATATTATATTATATCTAGGTATACAAAATTACAATTACATTGTGTTATTGTCTACTTGCCATGCTGGTAGTGCTGCACTTCCACATGCCAATGCACATTGCTCTATCACCTGGGGCTTTACCGAGCTCTGAGTCAGAAATTAGAGCTTATATGCACCATGGACTCCTTCACAGATCACCTTGAGTTTCTGATCAGACAGCCTTATTGAATTTTGGCCCAACCCATGAGATCACAGCTGTCACAGTGTGCGCATGCTTGCAATTGCACCTTGGCCATGTATGTAAGCGAAAAGTCAATGTCAGCTAATGTCAGCACGCAGGCATGTACCAAAAAATCCCTCTGCAAATCTGGTCATGACACAAAAATACGTGGCAGTGCAACGCTGTGTCCACTCGACTCGAGAGCTCTCAGGTTGCGCAAACAAAGCTTAAATTCAAAATCAAATGCCATTGTTTAGGCCATTCCCGCGATGAGGTTCTGCAGTCCCACAAGGCCTTGCCCAAAGATGGACCCAAACTTGGAGGTGAGCAGGTTCGCTAAAGGAGACGTGCTGATGATCGGCATGAATATTTGCAGCACCTGCACCAGCAAAAATTAGAATTGTGAGCACTTGGCAGCTTGCTCATCCCAAAAGACTTGAAGCGCTACATGCATGCAAATCAGGACCTTGCAAAGTCGAGGTGGATGGCAGCGAATGAGCAAACTAGAAAACATAAGACAAGAGGCATGCATTTTCCACCAAACACTGAGATCTACATGCCTCTCACATTGCTTGCCTTGTGTCAGGCTACATCCCTGTATCTAGCCGGGGTTTTGCCGCACAACCAAAACTCTGGCAGGCGCCAGGCGCGCTTGCTGATCGGCTGACAGCTCCGGCTTGCTCATGGCAAGTGATCATGTGCAAATGTGCACACACTGCCCGCTTTGACGGGCAAGCTCTGAAAAACTAACAAGCGCATAGACTGCCCATATATTGATAAATACCGTCCAGTTGACAAACACGTGGGCAAGCTGCCATCAGATTCAAATAGCGCGCAGGCTGCCCACCTGAGGCATGGTGACGGTCCAAGCGAACACAGTCAGCTGGTGAAAAAGCTGAGTCAGCCCCTGATCTCCGATGGCGCGCAGCATGTTAGTGATGTTGCAGCCGGGGCCGGACACCGACCGGTCGAAGGCGGCCGACGCGCGGAAAATTAGCGCGGCCGTCAGAGCCTTACTAACCCCGTTGTAGCCCATGGACACCGCGCTCGCCGGGCTGCCGGAGAGATAGTTTGCCACACCTGCGCATTTGAATTTTGAATTTTGAAGCGGGTTGATGAGCATCGTTTACCGTCAGCAATTTCGCATGCTTGAATCTTGCCATGCTTGAATATTGAGCAGACTTCCAAATTCACCCTCTACAACCTCAAAGTTTACGCAGAGTTTCCAAGCCTAAATTTTGTCGCATAAGGTGTCTGGGTACGGCCAAGCAAAAGGATGCCGCTGCTCAAGAGCAAGAGCTTCCGCAGACAACCTTCTTGCAAGGTGAAGATCGGGTGCCAGATTGCAGGTTGCAATCGAAGACAGGCGCCAGGCATTTGTTATTCCCCTATTTTCACTGGACATCCCAAATCAGTCAGAATGGGAGACCTGCAAACAAGCGAGGGCAGCTGTGCTTGCTGGCACGTGCTTGTTTGATAGATATCAAAGTTCTTCATACTACTCCAAGGCGGACAAGCGAGATGAAAAGGCTAAGATGTCCTTTCAGTCACTGTCGTACGGATTTTCCTTAGTCTTACAAGAGGAGTTCTCTTGCTGACATCCATGGTTGGGTGGATCCACCAATAGCTTGTCTGTGTACCCCATACCACTCATACATGTGACTTGGCCACTTTGACCAGAATTAGTAATTCAGAATGTCTAGTCTGGACGATTAAACACATTTCTATCACAGTCAGCTTGCTGTGTATGGCACTTTCGCCAGCAACAGGCATTGCTGCTCACATTAATCTCCCAAAGACAACCAAGGTGGGTGTCTACAGCAATAACTGATATGAGATAAGGGGTGTGCGCACCGAGCAGGCCGGTGGCGACTCCCTGGACTATGAGCGCGAGGCCTGCCATGTGCATGGCATCCATGCAGATCCTTAGTAACTGCGTCTCTCCCCCAGTGAACTCATACTCGACCCCTTTTCCCTTCTCCACTCCTTCATTGTCACTTTTCCCAGCTCCATTGCTTGAGCTGACCTCTGCTGCCACCTGGCCGCTGCCCTGCGAGTCATCCTGCGCACTCGGCCAAAAGCTGCTCAGGTCAATGTTGGAAGAGCTTGTACTTGACCTGGCTGTTCAAGCATGCATGGCATTCCAACTGAGCAAGACAAAAGCCTGGCCAGACTTGAGCACTTCAAGCAATCTGCCTCAGCTGTGTGCTGAGTTGACCATATGGCACCATTGTAGAGAAATGCGTGGCAATCCCAAAGATCTGCTAGCACTCAACCTGTTGTTGAAACCCAAATAGATTCAAGATTATCCTTCTTAAGACACTCGGTTCTTGTCAAAGTAAAGGTGCGTCCTGCAGCTTGTCCGCAGGCAAAAGCTACCACACTTCCTGCCTCTTAATGGAATCTTTAAATCCATGCAAGACCCAAATAAACATGTGCACGCTGCTCAGTATCTATCATATACCGCGTGCTGCCAGCCGGGCAAGCACTAAGGCTGCACTTGAGACCTTGAAGGATGCCATGCAAGTCCACCTCACCTTTTGGCGCTCCATGCCTGGGATGCTGTAAGCCAGCAAGTGCCCAACGAGAAGTCGCATGGCAAATCGCTCCCAGCGTGGCGATGAGTCACGGTCCCCCCGCTTTAGTCGCGCCAGCATCTCAGGGATCCCCCCTCCCCCCACACTTGACCGCTCGCTCATCAGCCACCACAGCGCCGCGCTGCGCACGCCTGCGGGCGAGTCATCCTTTAGTCATCCATATTTCATCAGCATCTGTCATCCATATGTCACAACACCCCAAAACAGTGGGCCCGCTCATCAGCCGTACGGCACTGCGTTGCGCAGGCCGGCGCTGAGTCATTAATTGGTCATTGCTTGGGCATGACAACTCCTAAAATATGTAGAAACCAATTATGAAGCCGTAGGGTCCGGGGAAATACATTTCAAGATTAGTTCCAAAGCACTCAAGAGGTTGAGACTCTGACAGGCACTTCTGGAAATTTCATGTCTCTAATGTTGGCTGATGTATGAGTGTACCGTATGTGTATGTAATGTAGATCCCAAAGCAAATCGCATTGTACAATGCAGCATCTAAGTGAAGCCATTTTTTGTGCTTTCAGGGCTCCTTCAAAAGCTTGCAAGCATCTCCTGCGTTGCAAAGATACCCAGCAAGGTTGCACATTGTAAATCAGGTCCCAACCGGCGACAGCGAAGAAGAGAGAGGCGGCGACTTTTGTGATGGGCGGATGCCGAGCAGCTGCCTCCAGGGTGTGCACCACAGCCACTGCCAGCGCTGCAATGGCAAACTGCTGAAAAACCAGGCTCAGCCGGCTGATGCCCTGCAGTCACACAACCCACACTTCATTACTATGATCGTATTCGTATTATTATTATTATTATTATTATTATTATTATTATTATTATTATTATTATTATTATTATTATTATCATTATTATTATTATTATTATTATTATTATTATTATTATTAAATTATTACTACTACTATCATTTATTATTATTATTACTATTAGTTGAATTATTATTATTTTTACACGCTTTTCTTGCCAAGAGGCAAGGTGCGTCCTGCAGACAAGCTGCAGTCGAAGGCTGCCATAATCCCACCCCTTGTCGGACTCGCCAGATCCAAGCAAGACCCAATCAACCATGGGCACGGTGCTCAGTATTTATATCGCCCCCCGCCAGCCGGAGCCACTATGATCGTATGCACCGGATATATCTCATAGTAATAACAACCTCTGTGGGCTTATGGTATTAGTATCACTGATGTACCCATCTTCAGGAAGGAATGTTGCAGAGCTCTCTATTGTGTGCCGTATTAACGCGCAGCAGGAATGTGCCATTTTATTTGTGACATGCAACTTTAAGAGACAGTCACATAGACAGTAAGATCTCTGCTGCAGAAAACGTACTTGATATCACATGGAGCAGGAAGTCAAACCACATTAACATGTCATGCTTCTGCCTATTGGCTTTCCATTACAGCAATGCATGCACAGCTGACATCGTCTTCCCGTCTCTGCATCTGTCTTTACCAGCACACCACTACCAGCATCCCAGTCCTCCAAGCTCTTAGATTCCACACCTCAAAAGTATTATTCAAAATGACGAGTACTCACCTGGAAGATGTAGGGCAGCTGGTTGTCACACTTGACCTCGGCCACTCGTTTGAAGCTGGAGGCTCCATAATGCAGCAGCACAGCCACCAGGAGGCTGTCAGCCCAGAATGCAAAGTTCCCCACTGTGACCCCCGCTAGTAATACTATCGGCTCATGCAGCACCTGCTGCCTCGCCTGCGGTGAAGAGCCAAATGACTTTAACTAATGGCAACCGAATTAGTAACAACAACTGAATTAGTAACGGCAATTGAAAATCGCAGCTGTCTTTCCGTGCGAGCTTTGCGGGCCGTTCAGGGAAATGTGCATTCCAGCGGCTCTTCTTTAGACCTCTCATTCCTTTACACATTTTTCCTGCCATAGGCAAGGCGTCCTGCAGATAAGCTGCATGTGAAGGCTGCCAAACTCCTACCCCTTGTTGGCCTCGCCGGATCCAAGCAAGCCCCAATCAACCGTGGGCACAGTGCTCTTTATTTGTACCGACCCTAACAGCCGGGACTACAGACCTCTACAAGGTGAAAAAGGGAAGCAACTGCCTGAGAAGAGCAAGTTGGTCCAGGCATCGGTAAAATAACATGCGTGCAATGACAGCGGCGTCAAATTTGGTGGTTGTTGCTCCTTGCACATTGGATTAGACGTGGTAGTCTCCTATGTGTGCCTTTCTCAACACCAAATTGGCAGCCAATTTGCTGTTAATCTAGAGTGATGCGCACATAGGCGCTTGCTTGAAGAATTTCTAAAGTCTCTCCTCTTCGTATCTGTAAATCTGGTCGTGTTGCAAGCTCCCCATCCCCTGCTTCTGGAGGTCAATTTGCATTTGGGCAGTCCACAACAACGATGGCCCCAGGTGCTCCTCTAGATTGGGCAAACTAATGATTCTAATTGTTGCACAAGCAGCAGATAATTTTTCCCCACCTGCAGCATTGTGAGTGTGATGTTGCTGGCTGCAACGCAGAGGAAGGCCAGCGCGCACTGCCGCATGGTCCGACTGAACTCCTCGAACACTTCAAATTGCTCCGGAGACAGCTTCAACTCTCCGCACAGGCTCGCGAAGAAATCCGGGTCGTGGGTGCTTTCACTGGTGTCACTCCTGCATGCATGCAGCTGTGTAATTCAGCAGGGTCTCTGTCAGACTAGCACTCCAGCTTCCAGCCTTTGTTTGTGCGAGAAATTCTGGAATGTTTCTTCCTACGCAGTTGCTGACACAGCGTGTGGGATCGAGTTCTTCCTTTTTGGCCCCTGGCTAACAGCATGCAGGCAGATATGGCGCAGAGTAAAAAGCAGTACAAAGGCACTTGAAGCAGTCTCGCCTGCCTTCAAAGCTACCGAAATTGGGGTCGCTGAGCACACCTGCTGCTGTCTGCGTTGCCGTATGAGCGTGCCTCGCGGATGCCTGCTGCTGCTCCTGAGCTCGCTTGCACACTGCAGGGCATCCTGGGGCGTCCTGGTTTGTTGCTGGGTCTCCACTTGGGATGGAAAGGTGTGGCTAGAGCTCTTCGGATGGGAGGAAGATCGGCAAGCAAGCTTGACGAACCGGCCAGCAACCTCGGTGACTTGAAGTGCATTTGGGCCATTAACGTTCCCGGCATAGCGTTCCCTGCGACACAGGTTGGGGAAGTGAACTCCAGGACGGGTAATCTCGGTTGCTAGAACGACCAATATGTCAAAGCAAAGCGCAGCGGGGACATGCAGAACTTAGGTGTTATCCTTGAAAGGTAACAAATGGTACTGTCTAACCTTAGAAGGACGGAGTGCAGGAACAAGAGCTGGATTGGACGCGGCAAACTCCAAGATATCTCAATTTCACAGTACAGTAAATAAAGCGCAAATGAGTCGTATGTTCTACTTCAATATCGTAACATATTAATTATAATGAGTCTGCCCCCTCTTTCAGCTGCCCCCAAAAACTACGTCTGTAGGTCTAAAGGATGTTGATGACGTCAACGAGAACAACACTTCTGAATTACTTTAGATGTTTAATTCGTGCCGATTACCTCAAATAGGCTGATTAACAACTTCACGGTCTTTGACTGTAATTTCTAAACACCGCAGCGGCTGAAATTATGAAGTAAATTGATGCCAGAACACTGAATCTTGTCGTTTCGAGCCGTGCTTTCTTGTCGTCCACAACAGCTTTAATCTGAACACTCTGTGACTCCAACAAATAAAGTTACCAAGCAACAGTATCTGAGGTGCTCTCTGCGTCCAAGAATGCTTTGATGACGAACGGCACGTGAGCAGGAAGATGTACTGCCTCCACCTCAGCACGCGCAAACCTTCGGTGGATGAAGATCATCATCGCAGGCATTCTGATTCGAACCCGGCGCACACATAGCTGATCTGGGACCACATTGACCTGATGTTATGGTAAAAGCATGGCAAAGTTTCCAGAAGTGAATTGGTCCAACGTCAGGACGACACCGGTCGTTGCTACAACAGCGATCGCTGGTCTGCTTGGCGTTTGGCTGTGGGCGCGAAGGAAGCGATCTGTTGTTACACAGGTCATCCCAGATGCTGTGCCTGCAGGACGTCGATCGGATGAGATAACGTTGATAGGTGAACATCACATCTCCCACCACTCAGGGCTTTGTACATCCCTCTCCTGGCGCTTGCTGGCTTCTTCCATAAGAAATGCTAGAAAAAAAGATGCCGATTTTGCCTTTGAAGTCATGGAATTTGGTCTCCACACTGGTTGCAAGTAAGCGACAGTTCGTGGGTTATGATCACTTCTAAGCGAGGACTCCAGTGTGTTGCCCTGGCTTCGCTTAAGCGACAATCGGCTGACACAATTCCGACACATGTTTTAATCTGTTCAAAGTGGCTTCACGCTTTTTAACCTTTGCAGGTTACCCCCGAGTGTCAGATGTGGTCAGCTCGAGGTCTCCCTACGTGGCAAAAGTGGAGGCTTGGCTGCGATTCGTTGGCCTTCCCTACAACAGAAAGAACGGAGCCCCTTCTGATTCGCCCAAGGGCCAGGTGAATATACCTATGTCTGCATGCATGTTTTGCCCAAAAACCCCATCGGCTGTGCTCAGTGTAGGCAGAAGGGGCATCCTCATCCCTCTTCATCAGGCACAGCGTTAGGCTGATACTCAACTCCCGTGAGCTGCTGCATGTGTCTCAGCGCTGCAGCTTTGGCAGCAGCTCTCAGCAATTTCAGCCGTCTTTGCTATAAACAACTCAGTCTCATTTGACTGGCGGGCAGATCAGCCGGCAACAAGTCCTTCTGGCGTGCAGACCTTGTGCTGTAGTGCTCTTTCCAGGATGATGTTCTGGCTATGCTTGCCACTTGCATTCTCCATTCTACTTCCTTGTGCGTGCAGCTGCTCTCAGCAGTTTGGGAGCGCCTTTTGCTAAGCAAGTTAGATCTGATCTGCCTACCAGTAGCAATTTAGGCAGCAAGCAGTCCTTTCCTCGCGCAGACCTCTCACTGCCTTGCCTTGCCACTACATGCATGACAAGTGTAAGCAAAACATGCTGTAAATTGTTAAGAACTTGGTTTTGTCTGTGCAGCTGCCAACGATCCAGCATGGCAGCAACACAGTGTCGGACAGCTTCTTCATAATCAAGTACCTGGAGCGCACCTACCCAGAAGTTGTGCAGCAGCTGGGCCCAGAGCAGCTGGCGCTATCTGTGGCTGTGGAGCATCTAGTGGACGACTTTCTCAACTGGGGCTTGGCCCACTACCGCTGGATGCACCCCAAGGTACACCCTTCCCCTTCCCCATGACCGAGTTGGGCCTGTCTTTGCATCCTGCTTTCCCTGAGCAGGCGCCGTCATGCTTAGGAACTTGAAGTCCAGAGGATTATAGAATTTTCATTTCCATTCTCAATCATTTACCTCTGGATCCTGGGATCCAGATCTGGCGCATGACAGCTATTGCATGTCATGAAACACAGGGATGCAAAGTTTGTTGGGCCGATGTTGACCCTCCAGTCCTTGCTGGCTTCTTTGCTGTGTCAGAAAGTCAAGCTTGTCTGTCCTGACATGTAGCACATGCATCACTACAGCTTGCAGGGAGGTCAGAAAGTGCTGGGATTGTTGTTGCTGTCTCTCTGGAGTGATCCCGTCATCATGCATGTATGCGGACATATTCTTGTAGCACTGCCGGTCGGGCTGCAGCTTGGCGTAGCCGCCGCAGCAGGGCTTACAATGTAAGGGGTGTGAGTCTGCATGTTGGATGTGGGGTTGCAGGGGTGGGAAGGTTGCCAGAGGTGCTTTTTGAGCGACGTGCCTCAGCCGCTGCGCAGCTTCCTGCTGAGTCACAACAAACGCCCCAACTTGCAGAAGGCCCTGGTCTGTCAGGTGCGCACCGTGTCCAAGACACTTTACAATTGAAAGATCAATCTGGCACCCTTGGAAGACCTGAATTTCTGCATTTCCCAGCACTGGGTTCAATATCAGATGCATCCTTTAGACATCTAACATTGCATTCTTGGAAGGCTATCAAGCTCCCAAAAGCACTTAAGGGTCCCGTGCAGAAGGCGAGCTTGCTGCTAAGCGTGCACATCCTTGTTAGGCGCTGTGTTCTTCCAGTAATGCCGCCACTGTTTGCATGTGCGCGCAGCAGCTAACTGCTACGGCTGAAGTTGTCGTTCTCGGGTTATTTGGAGATTGGCAGCGTACTGGATATTGCTTTGTTGTCTTGATCCTGGTTATGGGCAAGGGAGTCCCTGTGACTGGGGCAATCTTTGTGCCATGCAGAATGGACTAGACCCATGGACAGGCTTCTGTAGAAAGGGATCAGAGCTCCCGCTGCACAACCATCATCACACATGCCCTGATCTAGCAGTCATCTAATTTGCTATCCGGCTTGCATCAAACAGGGGCTGGGGCGGCATTCGGAGAGGGACAAGCTGGTCATGCTGGATGAGGCTCTGGCGGCTCTGTCGGCCATCCTGGGCGACAAGAGATATATTCTGGGTAACCAGCCCTGCGTGGCCGATGCTTGCGCGTTCGGCTTCCTCGACAAGTGCGCGCCAGTTTCCTCCCACCTGCTCCTGAACTTTGACACATAGTTGCACCATACGGGCGGTTTTCTGGCCAATTTTCACCAAATATGACCGTATTCCGTATTTTTAAGATCTGTATGACTGTATATACGGCCTCCGTATTGTGCAACTATACTCGGACAGGCGCCCACATGCACAGCAAATCTTCCTGTTAGGAGCCCGTTGAAAGGAGTTCTTTTGAGGCAGTTTCGCAACATTCCCTTCAGCATGCATTTTGTGGGGCCCTCTCGGTGCTGTGCTGCCTCTGTCTGGCCTGCAAAGAATCCTATCCGGCAATCAGGTGTGAGTTTTTGTAGCAAGGGGAGGGGCATTTGTCTGTGGCAGCTTCTGGTCATTCACCTGAATTTGTGCCTGACAGCTGTGCTCAGCCCTGGATCCTAATTTGATCGCTTTTGTGCTCCGCTGTGCGGCCTTAGCACCCTAAGCGAACCGATCACGCGCAAATTGAAGAAAACAATAAGAACACCATTATTTTCACCCACATCTCTTTCAATGATGGGTCTGTGTTTCTGCTGCGCAGCGTGCTTTTCGACACAGAGTGCGTGGGGCGAGAGCTGCGCGAAGCAGCGGAGCAGTACTCAAACCTGGTCACCTACACTGAGCGCATCAGGAGCACCTACTTTGAGGGCGAGCTCACCTGGGAGGAGACGCCCTCTACCTGACGTGACCCCGTCCTGTTCTGGCGCCTCTACCACTTTGGAGCGCTTGATTTGGCGGGCGTTGCATCTGGCGGGCGTTCCCTCTTTTGACGCTTGATTTGGCAACATCCTGCGTCGGTCTATTTTGGCGTTGGGGTCTCTTTCTCAGAATTTGGCGTCGGCGTCTGATTCTGGCACTGTCCTGTTTTGGCGTCGGCCCAATTTGGCGTCAACCTGATGTGGCGACGGCCTTATTTCGCGCGACGCCTGATCTAGCAGCTTCAAAATTTGCCATGGGGGGCTTTGATTTTCTATATGTGGAGATTTGCACAGCTCAGATTCTTACCCGGATCATCAAGACGGGGCCTGCGCAATTTGGTGACAGCTTTACTTGGCAGTCTTTTGGCACGAGGAGAAGCAATTCTCGAGCATCCTGCTCGAGGAAAATTAAGTGGCTGTTGCATTTTGTGGTGCACCGCGTAAATCCGAAGAAGAACTAATGCAGGGCCTGGCAGCACCTTGAAATTTGTTGTACGGATCATGATGAAGGGAGCACTTTGGGGATTTCAGGTCAGATGGGATTATTACTTGGGAAGCGAACGTGGGCATTTGCCCCAGTGCTGTTGATTATTCGATACCAAGTGCAGTCAAGACTGGAAGGTTCTGAGAGCGTTCAAACGTTAATCTGACAGGTGAATGCTTGGACCAGCCAATGTTTCAACCACAGAGCTTCAAGAAAGGGCCGTAGCATGCATGGCGGGATGCTGGGCCATTGCTGCAGGGGATCTGCAATGATGTCATTTGCATAGTTTTTTTTTTCATGTGCTCCCTTTGGGATATTAATTGCAAGAGTGGTTGAAAGAAGGTGCTATGGCTGGTATCTCACCCTCCAGCACTACATGGGGTAAGAGGCCAATCGAAACAGCAACAGTGTGTGATCGGTATACCAACCTTTGCAGCTCGATTATAACCAAAGTGGGGCTTTTAGTTTGAGCACTACAGTGATGTGTTGACTGCTTGCAAGTCACGAGTGGTGACAATAATTTCCAGCCCTTTTGCTAAATAAGGGCAGGTTGCTTATTGCTGAGCTGTCACCTCGCGTCACCTCAGCACAGAAAAGCACTCTGGCCCTCTTCCTTTACAAAGATATACAGACAAAGGTACACCTGTCCGAAGGTGCCTTTTCACATGGGCTGGGTGATTTATGACTATTGCGCTGTGCGATGTGTGACACAAAGAGAGCGTAGTGCCCTGAAGCGGGCAGGTGGCATAATGGATGCAGGACTTTCTTGGCCAATCCAAAGTGTTTGCAGGACATTGCCCACAGTATATGGGGATGGTGCAGCTAGCTGCTCAGCTGAGAGAAGTGCTACAATGGCAAGGGGTCAATGTCCCTTTTGATGATGATGACAGTACTGTGTCAGGGCTGGGTTGGTCTGTTTAGGCAACTAGTCAAGGCAGCGACAGTCACTCAGTGGGCTGTACGGTTCTGATGCTCAGCTGCGCAACTGACCCGCTGGCTGATGGCCATCACTATGAAATTGAATTTGTAAATGCCCAATGAGTCTGTAAAGAGTTCAGGTGAGCGCGACCTTCTATGAACGAATAGTTCTTGCCTGGTCCACCTGAAATGTCTCTAGCTACATGCATGCACTCTCAGAATTGAGATGGTTTCCGACTGCAGGAATGGACATCCTCTGCCTTGCGTAGGATTGATTGGTCATCTGTGAAGCTCCATGCAGGTCCATGGGAGTCCATGCATACGGACTTGAATGGACTTGATAGAGTCAAGTCACTTGGCTCAAGTGGACTATGCATGTGCGGGTGCTACAGCTGTCCAAACAAATTTGTATGACCATATTATTATTACTATTATTACAGGCTTTTCCTGCCGAAGGCAAGGTGCGTCTGCAGACAAGCTGCATGTAAAGGCTGCCAAATTCCTACCCCTTGTTGAACTCGCCAGATCCAAGCAAGACCCAATCAACCGTGGGCACGGTGCTCAGTGTTAATATCTGTACCGCCCCCCGCCAGCCTGGCCCGGGGCCTATATAGACTGAAGTTAAATTGTGATACTAGTACTAGTACTGTATATTGATGGGGGAGGAGTCTGTTTGAGAGTGTTGGACACTATGGAGAGGATAGGAGTAGTATTGATTCCATGTTCTTCCAAAAGTGTCTATACGTTCTTGTTGCAACTGGCTCCTTGCGCCCATATGGGACAGTGCAGAGACCGATCTAATATATCAGATGATGAGCCCGCATTAACTGCATAGCATGTTGCATGAGGGTGATCACCTTGGTCTTGGAAATGACACGTGCGGGCATGCATTGATTGAGGGGTTCCATTGCACTCAAATGAGCTGACAGAGGCAGAGATCCAAGGTGCATGGGGCGTATCCAGCAGAAGAGCCAAACGAGGCGAAGCTTAGAGAGCTCCATCAAAAATTTCTGCTCCTCTTTGAATCTGCCCAGTTGCAGCGGGTGGACTCCACCGAATAACCCGGTTAGTGGTATCAGCGAGGCAGCGGGGCTCTAGCTCAGATCCCCTGGTGCTGAAAGTGTCGACAAGTGAGGACTCCCTGGTCGCAAAGGGATTGGAGCAGGATGGGGGAGGTGGCCAAATTCGAAAGGGACGCTCTATTTAAGAAGCTAAGAGCCAAACCAGAGAACAAGGTAGTATTTCGGGGCTCCTATCTCACTCAAACAGACGAAGTGATGGTGTTGATTGGCCTGTCAGCTGCTGAAGAAGTGAGAGGAATACAGGTAGCGGATTGCACGCGAATCTTAATAGGAGAGTTCTTTCCAAGACTTTTAAGACACTCAGTTGCTGGGGATTACGGCAAGTAGATGCATGTATGTTTATGGGTCAGAGAGCTGCTGTCCAAAAGATGGTTTAGAGAAATTCTCAGGGCAGCGCTGCGTTTATTTGCACGTTGCTTGAGAAACCACATTTGTGCTTAGCAATGTGTTCATAGGATCAATAAGGGATTGTATTGCATTCCGTTGATGCATGACAAGCGGTGACGCCCTGGGCTTTTGCAGGTCTGTTTTGATTGTCCAGCGAAGAACCCCACCTGGTCCTCTGTACCGTATGGCGTCTTCATCTGTCTCACCTGTGCCGGAGTGCACCGAAGCTTGGGTGTCCACCTTAGCTTTGTCAGGTGGGCAGCTGTTCACTGCAGCATCTCTGGTTGATTGCAATTCTTTGCTTACTGTGTTCTCTGGTGTCCTATCTTAGGCTGATGCCTAGACTACTCGTCATGATGTTGTGAATCTAAAACGTCGATGTCAAACTGCAGGTCAACCACTCTGGACACCTGGACTGAGGACCAATTGAAGGTGCTGCTTCAGTTTGTTATCCTGCTTCACCTGCACTTTGATGCGTACAATTCTTTGCAAGAGATGCAATGTAATTGAATTGACATTGGAATGCTGCTTGCGATTCTTCCATGATATGCTTGATCACGATATTCACTTGCTTTCCCAGGTGTCTCATCAGCCATTTTCTCACCGAGTGTTTTGCGCCTGCAGATCATGAGCGTGGGAGGGAATGGCAGAGCACGTCAGTTCTTCAAGCAGCATGGCTGGTCAGAGCTGGGGTCTGACAAGATCGAGCAGAAGGTGCGCAGAACACACTCGCTGCAGACCTTCACAGGGGTCTGGAACGTTGCGTGAAGGGAAGACCAAGCATGAGCGAGTACCAGACATTTTCCACAGCCGCTCCCTGATCAGCACGACCATTAGAGGTAGATTTGGCAGAGGCCAGCACGTCACTTTGAGGCATGGGATTCGTGTAGCACAGGGCACAAAGCTAGTATGTGATCCTGCGGTGTCCAGCGGGCGCAAATGTTCAGTGTCATACTTCACGGCTGGCCCCTTCGCCCGCCAGCCCATACAGAGTTCCTCAACAGGGAAACAAGTAAGGGCGGCTTCATGCCAAAGGGCCATATTTGGGGTATCCAACCAGGAAAATCGGCGCTGAAATTTTCTGTGTGCAATCTCTTGCAGTACACGTCACGCGCGGCGCAGCTGTACCGCCAGCAGCTGGCCAAGGACGCAGCCAAGCTCTCGGCGGTGCCCAAGCCCAATGCTATTTCCGACAGCGCCCCCGCGCCGCCGCCGGCCGCGCCTGAGCCGGCCTTGAACGGCGCGGCCGCCGCCGCCGCCCCGGCCCCGGCCGAGAACGGCAATGCGGCCGCCGCGGAGGCGCCCGCGGCTGCCGCTTCCGCCGCCCCTGCGCCAGGTGAGAAACTGCTTCTTGCTGGTGTTGGGTCGGCTGCAGACGGGTGCTCGTCAGCTTTTAGCACATGCAGCCTGCTTCCGTTTGAGAGAGACTGGCATTCAGTCAATAATCTGTCAACAGAAGTCAGTGGGTGAAAACATTGTCTTGTCCTGACCCTCTCATCACCTCCCTGCCACAAGCTTTGACGTCTTGGCCTGCGTTCTTACTGCGCCGGTGGCAGCACACTCTGCTCCTACCGCGTAAACCCCGGCCCCAGGCCCAATGCTCAAGCGCCGCGCATCAGCAATATGAAGCACACAATTTTTCTGTGGATTGCTTTTTTTTTGGGTCGCTGAAGTGCTTATTTTCATGCGCGCAGCAGCCGCACGGAAGCCGACGGCCGCCAAGCCGCGCTTTGGGGCGGCCAAGAAGCCGGGCGCCAAGCCGGGCGGGGGCCTGGGCGTCAAGAAGATGACCACAAAGGCGGACGACAGCCTCTTCGACCAGGCGCCCGCCGCCGAGGTGCCCGCGCCGACCGCCGCCGCAGCCGCCGCCCTCGCTGGGCTGTCTTCGTCGCTCTCGGTGCGCTTTTTTTCTCCTCTGCCCTACATGGCTTGAATAATGCCTACGTGGCACCACTTCTGGCTGCTCCGCACGCCACCAGCACCTCTCCCCTGTGCCTCTCCCATGATACAAACCATGCGCAGCCTGTTGTCCCGTGCAGAGATGTGTCTTCCTTACAGGCTGTGGGAACACAAGATATGGTAACACGCGATCCCAAGTTCTGTGGTCCATTCTTTTGGCTTCAGAGCAAATCATGAGGTGGACGGCGCACAAGTTGGTCACACCCCCAGGCCCCTGCACCGCCGAATGAGAAGCACTGCCTTCACATCATGCTGTTGTGCATGCACGGCAGCAGTTAAGCGAAGGAAAGTGAGAGATAATTAATACCTGACCAGGTGGTTCTGATCACAGGAGGAGGAGAAGCTGGTGGTAGCCAACGATTCCAAGGTGGCCTCGCGCTTCGCGTATGACGTGCTGGCCAACGCTGACGAGGCGGCCAAGGCGACCGGCGTCAAGCGCGGCAAGGACGGCCACGTGCAGCTGTCGGCCGCCGATGACTTCTTCGCGTCTCCGCTCTCCGCCAAGGGCTCCCTCGCAAAGTGAGCAGCCTCACTCATCTCCTGTTGCAATGTACTTCTCTGGTCATCAGTAACAAGATAACCTCTAGATGGGGCACCCTATTACAGCACGCATTAGCATGGATGCTATGCCGATGTTTTGCTCATCGCCTGTGAAGGAGCGGTCTCCCAAAGAATAGGCTCCCTCGCAGAGCGAGCGGCCCTGCCACTTCCGTTGGAATGTCCTCGGTAGAGCATGCTAGGTGCTGCATCAGAGAGAACCGAGGTCAAGTGCGCAGGTCCTGAATCTCTGTTGCATGTGACGTCCCTGGTAGTGTGTGCCAGTGGCTGCATCATGATGGGACAAGTTTGCGTGTGTACGCAAAAATGATTCTGTCAGGGGAGGGGTGTTCACTCACTCTGGGTCCCACCCGTTCTTCCTACTCTGTCGTTTTGTGTTTCCTACCCTCACAAGCATGGCGAGCAATTCTAGGCTGTCAGACATGTCAAAGTGTCATGTGAGACACTCCTCCACGACTTGGTCGGAGAAACAATTGCTTGCCACGAAGCAAGGGCAGTCCAGTGCCTGAGCTCTCATTCACATCGGCAGCAGATCGTTGCGTTGAGTTCCTGTGCTGGATGGGGAATCAGCTCTATTCATCTGTCTCTTTTTCCGAGCACAAGCAAACTTATGTCGGATCTCGGATCTGATTATATGCATAAAAATATTCAGGTCTGTGGGCGGAAGAGGGAATGCCGCGAAACAGGCGGCCCCGGCCGCAGAGGAAGCTGACGCGGCGCGGCGGCGTTTCGGCAACGCGAAGAGCATTTCCAGCTCGCAATTCAACTCCGACGAGAACAGCTCTGGCAACAACTACGAAAAGGAGGTGCGGCTTTTCTTTTGACTTTCTGGGTCACTTCCCAGCTGACACCCAAAAACTGGCATCTGGATTTGACATCTGGAGTGGTGCCTCTTTTGGCCTGGCTGCTGACAGCACCCTCACAAGATGGAGGGTACAGCACTGTTAGGAGGTACGGCCTGCAAAGTCTGCGCTGTGGCTACCCAAAGCCTGGGGGCGTTCCTCATGTGTCTTTGGAGTCTGCTGTCGTAAACTCAGCAGTGGAAGGATCATGTCCAGATGCCACACCATGGGATGCAGCCACAAGCTTTAGATTTCTATGATTGTATACCACTTGTGGTTCTTTCTGGCATCAAATGGCACAAATAACAATGTGATGAACACCACAATGCCCCTTCCAGCAGTTGCATCGCATGCGCATGAACAACGCTGCTTTTAGACAGGTGTGTCAGCGATTCAGGGGCCCTGAGAGTGTATCCTGAAATTGCGCAGGCGCGGCTGAGCCGGTTCCAGGGCGCGACGGCAATTTCGTCGGCTGATTTCTACGACAATGGTGAGGGCCCGAGCGGCGGCGGCGGCGGAGGGAACGCGTCGAGCGAGTTCGATGTCAGCGCCAACGAGCTCATGAGCAAGCTGTCATTCCAGGCACGCGCCACTGTCCCGATCAATATAATCCGAATTTCTGCATACCAGAAACACAGCCTGGGCGGCTGCTGGTCCTGGTCATGATGAAGCTTTGCAACAAATCATGAAGAACCTATCCTTCCAGGCGCGCTGCCTCCTCTATCAGCATTTCCTGATAAAGCATGGGAATTATGGCATCTGTTAGGCTCTCAGGAAGGAGCCAGGAAGCCTTGATCTAGATTGCGGCAGTGCTCGGGATGCAGTAGCCGGCATGCAGTGCTGTGCTGAGCGGGGAGGTTTTGCTGTCTGTTGTTATCAATTTGTCCCACTGTTCTTGCCGGTGATGGATAAGCCGATAGACTGGAGTTTACCTTCTTCCCCTTCACTTGCTCCTGGACCTGCTGTCGTTCCTTTGGAAAGTCGGCGGTACTGAGGATGGCATGCAGAGTGTTGCTTGTTGGCCCATGTTCTGCCGTTTATGATACAATCCCTCCCCTCCTAGTCGTCTGTAAACACTGGATGAGTAACAATGCCCTGACATGTCAATGTTTGTCACTTGCAGGCACGGCAGGATTTTGCGCAGGTGAAGGAAGTTGCGGGGGCGGCCACGCGCAAGCTTGGCAGCATGGCCCAGAACTTCATGAAGGACTTGCAAGGCGGATACTGACCGCCGCGTAGCCGGCGCGCAGCCGCCTTGGGACTGCCGCGCAGCTGCAGCGTAGCTGCCGATGCGATGCGACTGCTCAGAATGGGGCAATCCCACCTTCTTGGGCGCACTCACTGCCCTTGGGCACACTCACAGTGGCAGGGAAGGCTTGGGTGCAGCAGGTGGCAGCAGCGGGATCTGCACAGAACAGATTTTGGCCATGACAGTTTGCAACCATGCACGGGCACCCATTATAACACACATAAAGTGCGCAACACATTCCCGGTGTCTCTGCAGTATGGCAATTGGGCATTTGGCTTGATCAGCGTTTCTCTGGGTGCACAGTTAGCATGAGCCTCACGACAGCATGATCTCGTGGTAGTAGAGAGTGTGATGATGTCACTGCGGGCGAGGCATCACGATTTTCAATTTAAATGGAATCCAAGTTTTAAATTCTGTGGGTGCCTGCGAATCTGAATTTGCTGGCAATGAATCAATAAAGGACCATATCCGTCCAGGTCTCTCTTGTATCAAGCTTAGCTAGGAGTCATTCTGCCGTCTGAAACCAGTGAAAAGGTTGCTGTCGAACACATTTTATCTACAGGATGTATTAACGAACACTATATCATACCAGAGGTCGACATTTGCCTTCCAGTGATATCAATGACATAGTGCACATGGTCTTCAAACTTGCAAGTATACTGGAGACATTTTGCAACTTGCATGTCCGCAGCGGAACAGCTACCGTACCGGCTTGTTATTATGAGGTGTACCTCTTTTGTTACTTGAGCACTCAGACTCTATTTAGACTGGATTCCCAATAGAAATTTACCATGGCAGATGCCATTGGCATCTCCAGTCTCAATGGGTTATTCCCCATAATAAATTATACCCCCATGCATAGATGGGCTACACGCTACTCTAGTGTGAGTACACGCTACACGTACACGCACTGTACTCTAGCGTAGGAATTTTCTGGCCTAATACACGCATTCCACACGCAGACTCCTGTTTATGGGGGTTCGGAGCACTTCTAGGGCACCAAACATGGTAAGATGTCATGGTAGGCGTTCCCAAGCCTGGAGAGCTCATTTATGCATGCTTGGGTGTTAAAAATCATAGATTTTCCCCACCAATGGCTCTTGACTAGACAGGGTGGAGCCGAGGAGGATACCCTCTATAATTCCCCCTCATCTAAAAGAAGCATTCATGCACACTATAAATGGCCCTATAGCATTGTAAGGCTTCCCACAGCACGTTGAAAGGTTTGGTGATCCTTCTACTATGAATTTGGCGGGTTTTAAGCTATTTTTGACGGTTTCTTAGTAATTACGTAATCGGGCATGTGACCCAAGCCTACACGCACGTGTACAGCACGTGTACACATTGGCAGTTAACGCGCACGTGTTTGCACGTGCGATTTCCTGACCATGCGTGTAGCCCATCTATGGCCATCTATGGGGGCCCCATGGTTTTCTCCTACAGCACTCGGCACAAATTCCTCATGCAGATTTATTCACATTTGTCTTGTCAAGATCAGTATCAACACACTGACACCAAGCAACCACCTTGAAGTGCACTCGGTCTTGCCACTGATCACTGGAACTCTGAAAAGTGATTAGCTTGTCAAGAGCCAGAGTGGCCCAATAGACTTGCACCAAACCACTTGATGAATCCAAGACATCTTAGCATTCAAGATACTTGCGCTGATACTGGCATGCCAAACCAGACCATATAAACCATGCTCATTTTCATACGCCGCACACAGGAACAGCAATTAAATTGTATCAGATCCCCGATAGACATTTAATGCATCTCAGTAAGTCCTCAAAAGGCCCTTGCCTCTGGCAACAGTATGCGCATCTGCAGAAAACCAGTTCTTTTTCTGCTGTAGCAACCATAATACTGCCACACTTACTTTGCACCTGTGCGGGCTTCTTGTACCTTGTTTGCACCTATGTATGTGGGACCACAGAAAGGTAGAAAATCTGCATCCTGCCAGCAGGACCATAAAGAAGAATTGCGCACGCAGCTTCGAAGGAACCTCGGTGCTGACTAACAACGGCATGTGGTGGTAAAACATGAGTTTCTGCTTAACTCTATAGCATGCACCCACAGGCCAACAAGACTGTCAATGTTGCAAATATGTCTGATTTTTTTCTCAAACACTAATCAGATACTTGAAGGCTTGGCAAGCCGTGAACCCGTACTGTGACTAGCATGTGTGCGCTATTCCTCATACTGCATGTCAATGTATTTAAACCCCCACTCTAAAGAGTCTCTCCAATGCGCCTCTCCAGCAGCAGTACTGCACTTAGCCCTCAAAGGATCATGCCCACAGCTCAGCTCACAGGGTCAAAGGCAGCAAACACTGGGGGCTATAAATTGCCCGAATGTGCACTAATGCCCTGCGCCTGTAGCACTTTGCTGTTTCTCCCCGAGGGGTCTAAAGCTTTGATGCAGAGGGTTGTCAAACCATGCAGCAGCCAAATTGCAGTACTGCGCTTTCTAACAGTGTGGACCCTGCAAGTGCCCAGTAGAATATCAATTAGACCACTTAGACATTTGCAGAACAGCAACATTAGCCGGAGGCAATCCTATTCATTCTTTTCATGAATTATGGGTAAGGTAGAAAATTCAGCCCTTCTTGCAGCTGCCACAAGACAAGGCAGCACTGAGCCCTGCACATAGCGGCAGAGGCAGGCCCCACTCTCATGCAGACATGCTTTACAGCTGCTGAGCGCAGCATTCAAAAGCTGTGCTCTTATTTATGGGTGCACCCTTCTTTTGGCTCCAAAACATGAACCTCAGACTGACACCATTCCCTGAGCTCTGGCTAAAAGCAGACTCCTTCATTACGTGATTACCTAATCGGTCGGCATTTCTGCTGGCCAGGCAGGCCTGCACAGAACGAGATTCAGGGCAGGCTGCAACATTATTCCCAGTTGGAACGTCACAGCGCTCTAAATACTCTCTGGAGTAGTGGCAGCCCCCGGTAAGCTCACATCACTAATCAGTCATCTGTATGATGCATGCCGGCTCCCATGTAGATGCTCGCAGCTTCTAACCTGCTCCCTCCGCGCGCAGATTCCGGACGGAATGTTATGTAGTTATTTGCCATGCGCCCCCTGATGACAAGCACATCTTTCTGTGGAGGTGCAGCTGTGCCTACAAAGTTAAGTCCGCATTGCGCATGCCAGCATCAACACAAGTAGACTGCCTTGCGGCAGCAGCTTTGACCGGGGATCCTGATTTAAATGCCACCTTCGCATGGTCCACTACCTCTGCAGCTTGTATCGTTTCATGCTGTTCCTGCCAGAGGCAAGGTGCATCTGCAGACAAGCTGCAGGTAAAGGCTGCCACAGATCCGCCCCTTGTTGGACTCGCCATATCCAAGCACCTTCTAATCGATAAATTTTCACAGCACCTGAGCGTAGACCGTCCCACACCTCAGGAAGCTCACCTCATGCGGTGCGGCACTTCGTCATGCGTTTTAGTCATTGTCGAGCCGCGGCCGCTTGGGCGGCTCGGGATGCGGTTCGGGCGGCGGCTGATGGAGGTCCGCTGAGGGGCGCTCCCTGCCAGCGGTGGCCACTGCCAGGGGAGGTGCCTCCCCTCCCGGCCCCAGCGGCGGGGATTCCCGTTGCTGCGGCAGCGGCGGCGGCAGCGGACCGGCCAAAATCCCTGCAGCTCTTTGATTGCCCACGCGCACTCGCATGAGCTCGTTCTCAAGCTCCTGATTTTCGCGCAGCATCTGCAAGTTGCCAAAGAAGCACTCAGCACTCCGGTGTTTGCCTTGCTGTCAATTGCTGATCAGATGTGTCGCTGTAGGTTGTGCAGGGTCTCTTTGAAGGGACCCTTGCTCTCTGAGCGAGCTCATGGCTGTAGAAAACCTGACTTCTGAAATCGGTAGGAAGAAAGGTCCCCTGCCATCAGGGGGCACAAATGTCGAGCAGATCAGGCCAACTTTGCCTGGTCTCCTGGACTTGAGTCTCAGTCTCAGCTAAGTTCAATAGATTCCACAGATTTAATTATCGACTGCTGACATCCTTAATGAGCGGAGTCCGCGTCATAGGTGTTCGAGGTGGCTGCTGTCAAAGCGTAATCAGGATGTCGTGGCAATCAAACACGCTCTGTGCCAAGGCATTAAGGCATCACCAGTTGATGTCACATTCAAAGATCATTGTATTTTGAGCATTTACGAATTTGATCAGCGGCGAAGCGTTTCCAGGGCCCAGCAACGCTCAGGCATCGAGCTCTGGGCGGTGATGCCACACGAAACAAGGACTTGCACAAATTTTGAGACACCGCACCCTGAAGAGCGAAGCTCTCGCATCTTCAATCTTTGGGGGCTGTTCAACAGGCTCCTCAGACTCTCCGCCGCGAGGTCCGAGAGCCATTGTCTCCCAAGACAGATCTGTTGCTCCGAGATTGACGGACACTCTGCAACACGAAAACAAGATCATGGCAATCCTTGATGTTATGGAAAAGCTTTCTCGTGTCCGTATCCCTACAAATGCTTGCAGAAGTATCCCAGCAGCCTGGCAGGGTCAGTGGCATTCATTGTGAATGTCACTGAACCCGAGCCGTGCCAGAAAGGAAGCTCACCAATATGAAGTACTATACTGTCGAATCAGGCGAAATCAGCTGCATTTTGCTCCTTTTAGTACGTTTCCAGAGTACACAGCGACATTTCGACGTTTGAGTGAATGACACCTCCAATGACTACCAATTCAATAATTCCATCGTCGAGCGCACCATTTTTTACTCGGAAAAACAAATGTTGTTCACTGTCATTTCTGATCGGGTGGTTCTGGAGGTGTCTTAAAGGGAATTTCGCCACAATTTGGTACGACTTCCCGCGCCGCGTTCGACGCGTTACGAGGGTCTTCGTGGTATCAGGGGGAGTTAACTCTAGGAGAGCTCCCGTTAGTATTATGCTCCACTTTATGACCTCCTCGGGCGTGGTTGATTCTGCGATGTTGTTGCTGCGCGGGCTTCCACGGTGAAGGCAAGCTCTTTGGCACTGTGAACATGCACGCATGCATGCAACACCATGGTAGCAAAGCTATTGATATCAGCATGTACTAACAGTTTTCACTAAGCGTCAGCGATGCCGGTTCAACAACCATGACAACCTGAGGCTCCAGAGTACTCCCACAGAATAACTACAATGCAGCTCCTGCCGCACCGAGACAGCTGCATTCCTGTGCAAGGGTCTGAGATCATCATGATGCTGGCGCAACAAATGTCAAAGATAGCTTGCAATTTTTTGACGTTCACACTGTGACACCACTGCTACGTAGCTCCCTCTCAGCAGTGGTGCCACACGTTAGGTATACGTACACCTACGTGTGCTAAAGCTGAGCTGGTAATTTGAGAAAATGGTATGCTGACATCAAAGCAGTGATTGGTGCAGCACTGCACAAGCATAATGCAGGCCAGCTGCCTGAATGCCTGAACTCAAACATTTCAAAATAACAAGGAACTCCGGATTACAGAAGTGCAGATCATCATCACACATGTTCATCATTGCACATCGCAAACGGTGCAAAGTAGCAACGCCACTCAAGTTCCCAAAGCGATACATGAGATACCATCCTGAAGTTTCACAAGAATTGTTGAGAGACAGCCACTGGCATCACCAACGTTTACCCAAGTATTCACAAGTGGGTGCCACCAGTGATATATAATCAAACCACTGGCCAGAGCACTTTAACAAATAAATCGCTGGTGAAAATGAAATGTCTGGCCTACAGATCATCGATGCTGGCAACAAATGCCTGCGCCTAGAGCCAAGCTGCCAGGCTTCTATTAGTACCGGATGTGCGGTAATTGGTATCAGAAAAGCTGCTAAGCCGTACGAATTCCTACACACACTATTTTTGAAAGAAATAAGTAATTTCCTAGTTGAGTTTCTAGTAGAGTCTGAGCACACCCCATGACAAGTACTGCTGGAGATGGCCCTGTGCAGCTGCCGGACTGCAAATATAGATTTTGAACAGCTGACCCAAGCCGCTGTACTAAGCGCAAGCTGCTGTCCACACGAGCAGTTTTCTAGCAAATTTTGTCACTACATGATGCAACTGTCTGCAGCGTTTGCAACTCAATATACTACTATCACACCTTTGTGGCATGCCAGCTCGTATACTTGAATTTGTATCTAAGCAAACCTGCCTCTAAGCGCTGAGCTGTTCAATGCCAGCCTTAAGATAAGGTTGCTACATCCGGAGAGGGAGAATTTCTGCAGGCACCAATCTCCGCAGCAATCTCAGACTCATTTTCCAGGCCCTATTGCTGCCACAATTGCCGTGCCACACACTGCTGCAGGGACACAAATGAAAGCAGAAGCAGAATGCAGCACTAGCGCAGGTGTGATCATACGGCACCCGTGACAGCAATGCACATGTTCACAAGGCTGGACTGCAGCCTCGAAAAATGATACATTCATTCTGCCCTAAGAACAGCGTCAAGGAGACACGACACCCTCTACAGTCAATTGAAAGATCAGCAGCAGCTACGCAACTAGTTGAATCTGGCAGGGCTCTGTTGAGAGCCAGGTGTGATCCGTTTGGGGGGTCTTGTTCGTCCCAACAAGGGTAAAGGGCTCCATTCAACCGACAGCACACGATGCTCCTGCTATAAATCAGGCCGCCCCTTGGAAGGCCTGAAGATGAGTCACCCACCTGCTGGGTCCTCCCACCATCACCCGTACTGATTTTATTTCCTGGACGGGTGCGATCGTCTCCATCACTCGTCCAAGCTCCGCCTGGTGTAGGAGAAGCGCTGATTTGGGGTAGGCGAAGATGGTGCAAGGGACGGGGAGGATGGGGCAGGTGGGGGTGAGCCTGGCTCAGCGATCTCCTGCTCCATGCCGTCCACAGCGAGCAGAGTCGCTGCCCTCATATTGCAGCACCGCGCGTCCACGATGCGCAGCTTAAGCAGCTCGTTTTCGACGAGCACCTGTGCACGGCATGACAGCATGGGGCAACTTACGACCTAGCCTGCTGTCGATTCTTATGCAGAAGGATTGGTAGAAAAGCACCTGCAAATTACTTCGTCACAAATATGTTATGATCACCGCTTCAATTGTTTGACAACATGAAAGGAATGCGAGACGTATCCCATAACGCATGCAGCGAAAGATGGCAGCAGTTGGCACACCCGATAGGGTAAAATAATGCACACCGATATGCTCGTCACAGCAATTGCAATCCATTGGGTATTACGAATGGGAAAACGTGGCAAGGCAAAACCGCTTGCCTTACCTGCTTCAGGGCTGCTCGCAGATTGGCCAACGAGACACCATTTTCCCAGGTCGCATTGTCGACGATCGTAACGGTATTCAACCACATCATCCTGCCTGCATTAGCGGAAGAACATGCTTCTCACTCTTAACGCGAGAAGTGTGTCCCCGGGCAGTGTCGACAGCAGGCCGTGACTTCCCAGTATGTAAAAATCATCAACGATGCCGTTGCCACGACAGGACGTGAGAGGAAAATTTTAGACATGAAGCAAAAAGATGCTTTGATTTGAAAGAAGAGACAGTTCGGCTCTCTTCCATCCTCGCCAAAGTAAGACGTCATCAGTGGAGCAAAGAATCTCAAGGGCGGAGGACCATGCACAGAATGATGTAGGAGACAAGCCAGCCGTCAGGAATCGTAAATAGCTAGCAGACCTGGTTCCTCTGCCTAGCTCGATGAACAGCCTCACCTTGAGCAGACCCGCCCTTTTGAATCCACAGGATCCTCGGCGAGCACGGCCTCAACTTTTAGCGCACGTCAATGGCGGGGTGGGTTGCAGGCTCTGAAGTAATGAAATCGGGTTGTTTGGATTCCAAATTTTGGAAGCTTGGAGTACAGAGGAAGAGAAGAGAGGAAGTGAGTGTCCGTCACATCATGCCAGATGCATCAGTCACCCATCGATGACATCAGCATCTGCACCAATTGTTGCCTTGCTGGTGTCTCGAGACTTTTTGCATGGCACAAGTAGGCGACTCAAAGCACCGGCTGCTGGCTCAGCCGTGACTGGCTTGCATCATCTTGAACCAAGTTCTGAGTGTTGATTTACATTTTGAAGATCCCAGTAACGATTTTGGTAAAAGTCTCACTCAAATGGAACTCATGAAGGTTTGACTCCAGACTTCAAGGTGTCATTGCGCGGGGATTAGCTGATATAAGTCTCCTACAAATAATCACCATGCGTTTAATATCCGAGATACTAGACAGCAAACACTTGCGACCTGAGAGCAGACGCAAACCCCGGCGGGCTTTTGGTGCAAAACAGCTCTGTCTTCTAGTAGAGACTCATTGCCAGGGGCGCTGGGACGGCATGGCCTGCCCAATCCGGAGATCTGTCTAATATAAAACAGAATGCAAGACGTCAAGGTAGAGAGATCCCTCTGATCTCATAGTATAAGAACAGCATTTGCTACTCCAATGGTTGCAAGCACTGCTCTAGCCAGGCAACTGCCTGTCAGAGCGAGTAAAAACGAATGCATAGGCACCCAGGGACTCAGCTTGAACCAGCGCAGTAAACCACAATTGCCACCTCAACTGCACTACTGACAGACCCACTACGGGCCCAGGATCCCCACCTCTCAGGCTTAATCTTTAGGCGCCCGCATGGCCTCATCTGTAATAAGCTATTCATGAATTTCACCTACTACCCCAAACCAACGCGTCTCCGCAATGCTCTGTAGCTAGGATTTACAACCAGGTCTGATGCTGAATGGCTTCTAGATTCAGCAGAAGTCTGTGACCAACATCTGCCGCTGCCCATTGCTCGGTACTGACTGCCCATGGCCGCCAACTGCATCTTAGCATAATGAGCACCATTTTAATTAGCATTTCCGGCCTTGAATGGCTGCATCTAAGCATAAAGAGCAGTCTCTAAACCTGCCTGCGATCATCCCCGGAAGAACATCATGTGCTTGCTGTGCATGAGGGGCCCGGCCTGCTTTGGCAGAGCGGCACCCGGCCGCACGGCTTTGGCAGCCGGGTCGGCAGCTTCTCGGGCGCGGGAAGCTTCCAGCTCAGCGCGCAGCCAGCCCTCCACAATGCGCAGCAGCTTCCGCCCGCTCTGCAGCTCCGCCACCTCCCCCACTGGCGCGCCTGTGCAGACAAGCACCTCATGCTTTATGCTCTGATCTGTTTTCTATTTTTCGCATTCGAGTATTCATACTTCTGTGAACAATGGCATGGAGATGTCAGCCGTGATACCTGCACTTGTACCCCCAACGGAAGAGAAGACCAGAGACAAGTGCAGAAGGAGCAAGTCTGTATGGAGCACACAACTTGACTGCCCCAACACCCTTCTGATGACAATGCTCCCACACAGCTATCCAACAAAAACGACGGCTTGCTCCTGTATTTGCAGCTGTCCTTCAAATCCCAAGCAATCCAGCAAGCATGAGATGCTCTGGACCCTGAGGCTTGAGATGACCTCTGAGTATGGGGTCAAGCAGCATACAAAAATGCACACACAGCGTCAGCATGCATGCTCGGGCAGTTAGTCGCGCACGCACTTTTCTGCAGGCGACCCTCGGACACATAGGCGAGGTGGGTGATCCAGCGCTCGAGACCGTCAAAGATGTGAGTAGCGTAGATGATGGTGGCTCCACGCACTTCGCACTCCTCTACGAAGAAGTTTAGCAGGTCCAGACGCCCCACCACATCCAAGTCCACTGTGATCTCATCCAGCAGCAGCACCTGGCAGGCACACCATCACAGATCAGCGGTTTTGGCCCCAAAGCTCATACAATATGACATTCGGAAAAGATAATGGATTGACGGGGACACCCTGCTGCTCCCAGTCAGGTTCCTGTCGAGGCTCTTGCACGCTCGTGACAACATGCAGAAAGAAGAGGTGCAAAGAGTGCGAAGAAGAGACGCAGAGTTGACTGCGATTTGAGCCACACCGCCACACGGCGTTGCAACTTTAGGTCTCATGAATGCCAGTCAGAACTGGTCCATGTGTGCGCATTAAAGCTTGGAGGGGGTGCAGTTCTTAGAGATCATCTGGTTGTAAGGGCCAAAAAATAACATGTGTGGGGGCAGAGTTGAACGAAGCAAAAGCATGCAAAGGGCATTGCGTAGGTCACCTGGTAGGGCTTAAGGAGGCCCATGCAGATCTGCACTCGGCGGCGCTGGCCGTCAGACACTTTGTTTAAGCGCCATTCCAGATTGATCTCCAGCAGGTCTATCAGCTTCTGCCGCCTGTCCGGATCCACCCCCTCCACCCCAAAGATCATCTTCCCAGCCGCAATGTCCCCCTGCGCAACACGCACGCTTGACATCAGTGCTTGAATTGCGAACAAATCCACGATTTCTTGGTGGCATACTGAGGACACGTCAGAGGGCCATACGGTCTACACATAGTCAATCCATATTAAGTGACCACATGTTACCAGTTGTCAATGATAACTTTTTAGAAGCACATACTAGGGAGACCCCTGGCATCCTCACATGAGGCTTTGGGCCGCATGCATGAGCGGTGCCTTCTTGCCGAGGAGACTGATGAAAAGCTGGTTGCACCAGCAAGAGCAAGCTTTCACAGCTGCACTGCCGGCATTGATCAGACTTCTGATCATTTTTGAGATTAGTGGCATGCACAATAACATGCTGGCCCAGAGTGATGTGTACAGCATGGCGCAGGTACCTGTATGGGCACGTTGTAGCCGGCAAAGGCCACATCTCTGCGCCACTGCTGGCCCAGGTAGCTGAGCTCACCAGATGATGTCAGCTGGATGTCGTGGAAAGCCGGTCTGTTCAGGATCCTGACGGCATCCTTGCCCACCATGTACTGCCCCGCCAGGATCTGCAGCAGCGTTGTTTTGCCTGCGCAGAGATGCAAACCTTACATGCTTTGCCCCCACGATCACATGTGTTTTGCGATAGTGAAGCAAGCTGCTTGAGGCCAAGGAACATGCTAACAGGATTTGAAGCTTGATGGGGCCAAGAAGACCTCCCATCAAGGCTGAAGTGCGAGCCCATCGTGAAACAAATGGGCTACAAGGAATTACAGGTAGCAAATTTTAATAATACTGTGGCTGCACTTCTGCAAAAGACACTCACCAGCGCCGTTGGCCCCAATGAGCAGGCATCTGCTGCCTCGTGGCAGCTTTAGAGAGAGGTCTGACAGCACAGGCCTGTGCCCAGCGTACGCGTAGCTCAAAGAATTGAGTACGACAGCGTCAGGCTCAGAGTGCTCATTGGGGCCAATGACCTCTGCGCTCAATGTTGGGGCATCAACACCCAGTGGCATGGCAGGCAGTACCACCATCTCTGCAACAGCAACTCAAACAAATCAAACACATCAGGAGCAACACTACTTTACTAGCACAAGCTCGTAGAGCGTATGACCACAAGCAAGCAAGAAGAACAGATCAGAAGTATATATTGCACTCTTGCACACTTACTTGACGTTTGCTCGAAGTTCTGATGTTCAGTAAAATCACAGCAATTCTTCCACAGCTGTAAAAGGCTCTTTCAAGTACTCTATGGTCGACGAGCAAACGATTTACACCGCTGGTACTGCAGGCCCAAGGGTGCTGAGTTCAACTCAGTGAGTTGGGTGTGAAACGTGGACGCTTGTCCGATGACCCAATTGGGGGGCTACGGTACGGTACGGTACCGGTGTCCCTCCCCACCACTTCCCCCCAAGTTTTTCACAAGGCGCGAGAGTGCTCTGCGACTGAGGGGCCACGACACTCGCTGGATCCAACAGAATCATGACGAGGGTTGAACTCACAAGAGAAATGTTGCAATAATCGGAGGTTTCGACCCGAAACCCTCAATAAAATGCCTGTTTGGGATCGTATGATGCAACTTCGACCCTTGCACGTGGGTGTGCAGCACATGGGGCACTACACTCCCTCCCCGGAGTTCAGACCTGCGATCCCGCTCTCCTTGGTAAATGATATCTTCGGCCTCAAAACGCAGGCGGTTGGCAGCTCCTGAGCCGCTCAGCATGGCGCATCGCTGGGCGAACAAATACCCGAAATCTGTGCTGATGGAAGCGTATCAAATATGGGGAGGAACTCCCGTTTTCACTGTGGAAGATGGCCCTCCCCCGCCAGCCTCGCCGAAGTTCACGTGTTATTTGACCATTCCTACTGTGCACACGCCGAACGGCGGCTTCGAAGAGACGCGCTTCACCGCTTGGGCCCGCTCAAAAAAAGCCGCGGAACACTCAGCAGCAGGTGCACTCAGTCGATGGCCCAAATGCATACTCGAGGCCTGCTGTTGCCACATGTGCTCGCTTTTGCACCAATAACGCGTGGATGGTTGCCGATAATGTCTTTCAACAGTGTTCGTCGCAATTCTGACCCGCCCGTGGCGTCGCACGCAGAGAAATCGCTGGAATTCATCGTAAGCAGGGGCCTGCTTCAAGCCCCCAACAATGCAGCCGTCGTTCCCGGCCTTGTGGGGAGTCCAGGAGTGGGCGACATGCCTCTGGAGGAGGTGCAGATCAGCTTTGCCCCTCCAGCAGTGCTTGTCAACCAGCGATCGCATTGCCTTCTTCTGACTGCCTTTCGTCGTGCTGCCTTCTCGGCCCACCACTCGCAAGAATACCCTTTCACTCTCGTCTGCACAGTGGCGCCTTGAGACTGGGGCCCTAGCGGATGGGAATTAGAAAGTGCTCTTTGCATTTTTTGTGAATTGCTCTGCCACCTGCGCAGTACAGAGGACGGGAACTCCCCCAAATTACTTCGAAATCAACGATTTTGACTTTGTGGCCAAACAGGGGCAGATTATCAAATGAGGGTCGAGGCCCACCGGGTCCTGATTACCCTGGATCCTTTGAAAATTATCTTGACATTGTGCAGGTGCGCCTCCTGCAGCAGAGGCTGAGGATCCTCAGCGTTCAGTTGGCTGCAGCTGGCCATGGGGAGGCACCCGCAAGCAGTGGCTTTGCTCTGCCAGGTGAGAATGTCAGATCTGCAAGCCATGGCGGCCATAGAGTGCAGATGCCAAAATGGTGGCCACCTTGTTGGTCATATCTCCTGTGTCTGTTGCCCTCTGCATCATGCAGAGCTTTGCTCAGTGGCCCTTGAAGATTTACAGTGCCAGCTGCACACAATGACCTGCAAGGAAAGAGTCCAAACACACTGCTTGTAAGAAAGCTACATGCAGCCTTGTCCACCATCTTCTGGGCGGGCGGAGACAATCTTTCTATCTGTCACCATCAGCTGCTGCATGTTACTTCTATGGTTGGTGTGAGGACAGCACCGAGAAGGGTCCAGTCATCATCAGCTGCATGGTGGGGGTGAGGACAGCGATGACAAGGGTCTCTGTTGCATGCAGAAGATGAAGAGGCCGGTGCTGTGACACCTGTCGACGTGGATGGCCTCTCTGAGGAGCAGCTGAGGCAGGAGCTAAGACAGGTGCGTTGGCACCATACCTGATACATGCTCGCCCAAGAACTGAGAGAACACTCACTAGACCTTGCGGCCCAGCAACGCTTGCTGTGAGCAACGATAGTTCAAAATCATGGCACTTTGGTGCAGAGACAACCGGCCTGAGAACAGTAGCCTGCCATCTTCTGTGAGAGCGTTCGAGTCTGCCCTTTGCATACTCTATCTTACTAACTTGCAAGCCCATTGCCTCTTTCTGGCCCGGCCTGGTTGCCTGAAATTGGACATCTCATCCCATCGCCTGTCTTTGGCTGAGCAAGTGTCATCACCCAAGCCCGGCAGGGACACGGTGGTGCACATTCTGGCAGTGTCAGTGCTGTGTCTTTGCTTACGCATGGACCACTTGCTTTAACTGTCTCATCAGATCCCTGATTTGGCTTACAAACATATGATGCCTTTTATTGCAGGCCCAGGAGCAGAATGCGAGCCTGCGGCAGGCGCTTTCCCGGGAGCACACTCGGCGCAAGGCGGCCGTCGACGCACTCATGAGCAGCCCGGCGCGCCAGTGACTCACCGTCAAGTAACTGCTGACTCGAGCCTACTCATCGTCCCAAAATGGGCCCCAACATCAGCATGTGGCAGGGCCTGAGCGCGTGCAGTCATACACAGCGTGCATGCTCACGCAGATACAATTGCAAGTCGGCCTTTGCGCAGCAATCTCTTTTGTACCCCGGGAGATTACTCAGAGGTCTCCCGCATTCGGAAAATTGCTATTTGTTGGGATACGATGCATTTGGATGTGAGGCAGTAGATTGGGCTTTTGCGCCACCAGCGGCTGGTTCAGGATGATAATATTTGCATCTGATTTCATTGGAAACTATCTGAGACAGGCCCACAGCTTTATGCAGGCAGGCTCTGCTATTGCTGTGAGAGCATGCGCCCGTGATGTGGAAAGTACACCTCATTTAAGTAATTGTCCGTGCCTCTTGAGAGGCTTTATATCCGCGGATCTGCACCTTTTGAGGCATGCATGGAAATGGTTGCGGCGGCTGCCATCCCCCCTACATTATAAAGTCTTAAAGGGACTCATGCTGCTGAGAACAGGATCCTGAAAAGCCCGAATGAAACGCCATGAGGCTGTTAGCGGCCTCATGGGACTTCGAAACTCAAGCAGGTGTTTGCTCTGCTTTGCCCGGGGCTCTGCTTGTTTTGGGACATGACGGGAAAACAGGACATGCAGACAAGACCGTGAAATTGAATCTGCTGTGGTGACAGTGAAAATGTACTGGGGATTGTGTCGGGTGAGTGAACGCTTTGGGCCCCGCAAAATTACAGTAGGGCCGAGCAAGAGTGGTTAGCCAGAGTTTTTTAGAGAACCAAGAACAGAGGCGCCACATGTGACAGCGCATGCTGCAGCTGTCCGGATGACTGATATCTTTTGCTCCTTTTTCCGGGGGTCTTCGCGCCGCACAGGGACCGGTCGCGCAGCGTTCCCTGCGCGCCGTTTCGCGAAAACCCCCGGGAGCGTTCTCGAATCTTAAACGTTCTAAAAAGATTGCCGATAGCCGAAAACCCTAAAATTGGCGGTTCTTTTGTTCGGTTTGGGCGGAGGGGTATTGGAGAATTCAGGGCTCTTTCCTGTTCTAATAGTTTGCAGGCTGACTCAGGCAATACATGCTGACGGGACTGATATAATATTGCGGGATATAAACTGGTTTGGACTCTTTGGGGCACCCCACACGACTCGATTAGCGCCGCAAGTCCAGAGCAACTTGCTTGGGCGAAGCTGATTCCTTTGGAGCAGCCGCGGTGTCAGGAGAAGTAGTTCTCTGCCAAGGGCTGTGATCTTGTGGGTGTGCCATTCATTCTTCAGTTTCTGTTGTCAATTTCGGTAGGTCAAACCCCACTCGGACCTTGCACCAGGGGGCGCTAAATACACATGCATGCAACCCTCCGTGCATGTGTGTCTAGCACCCCCTGTCTGCATGCATGTGTTGTTGCGCCAACATGCCGGCATGCAGTATGAGCATGCCAAGAATGTCAGCCGGAAATCTTTGCTGGTCTTGCTGCGTGAGAAACGAGCGTTCTTTGCCCCAACCTGGAGCAAACCTATAAAGGTACTTGTGACATGTGAGGGGAACTTGGGATTGAGCTGCACTTTGTGTGGTGTATGCTGAGCGTTTTTGATAGATGGCTTGTCCCAAAGTTTTGCTTTTGCATTCTGCATGTCTCAGCAGGCAGCCTCTCTGCACCTGCCGATGTGGCCAGAATGCCAAAGCCAGCTGGTGCTGATGTCATCAATGAGTTACTGATCATTAGTGATAGTGACAGCTGTGTTCTATTGTACCTGCACAGGCTGACTTTTGAGACGCTTGGCTGCTGTTTTGTTCATTCAATTGGAAGAGAGGGCTGCTACTTGATGTATAAAATGTCTTTCCTGAGAAGATGCTGCTTGTACATTGGTGCCATGGCCACCCACAAGAACCTTGGCAGGTTCCTAAGTGGCTCAGAATAAAGTGTATGCAGTTCAATTAATTTTATTTCATTGCCATGCAGTGTTACAGTCTGGTCTGACAAGGAACTTCACTGCTGTCTAGATTCATATCGAGAGCTGCAGATGTGTGCAGCCCTCGCGCATATGAGAAGTTCAAACAGCTGTTCCAAGTCATGGTCCCTGCACATTAATGGCGCCAGTTGCAGCATTGCATCAACAAAGCTGCAGAGTACAAACACTTGTTCTGCCTGTACTAGGACAGTGCTGAATTTGAGCATCAGCAACATTTACAATCAGATGCATATGATTGCATTAGCCTGCGGCAAGCCACAACCACGAGCTGCTGCCCGAAAGCATGCAGCACCGCGTCCTGATCAGCTGCCAGTGTGTGCCTACAGCTTTAGTGTATGCACTGCTGCAACATGCAGCAAGGGCATCAATCTGGACTCTCTGTATGTACCGTTGATCACAGTCCAGCACTCATTCACGCACGACGCCTTTCCAACCTTTCATGCGTTCAGGTGAGGTTTCCACACTTAAAACAATTCACAATGGGAAGAATAGCTTGCTTCTGCCCAGAGACGCAAAGCGCCCGAGCAAGAAGCAGCGACTTGCACTCTAGCTAGATAATTGCTCCCGGGGCGCGCACCCCAGAAATTTAGATATTCCCAGCACAATACCCCAGTCAAGTCATATCTCAATCAAAAGCCACCGATAGGGCATGTCACGTGCTAGAACCCCCTGCCGGTATACGGGCCGTAGTCACCACCATATTTCCCGCACGCCTCAAAATGCGCGAAATAATTAGAGTCTTTGCTTTCTTGAAACGATGGTTCATCATCACCAATGGGTCGGCTCAGCGAGAGCTTCCCAAGACTGGTCTCAAAATTACCATAGGGTTCATATTTTGCATTTTAGGGTCTTAATTTTCGACCTTTTTATAGGAATATTAATTGTTTAATGCGGGAAATATGGTGCTGACTCCGGTAATAAATTTTGGCGGCTCCACAGGTGTTCACCCAGAACTGGTTGATCCTGACCCCGATGTCCCTTGCATTGATGGCTTAGGGTTTGGGAACCTGAAGCAAATCCCCTGCCGGCAGGGTCATTGTTGCGCTGGCGCGGCGGCCAAGACCTCGTCCTGTGCAAATTGGTACGTCTCACGGCAGAACTCGCACGACACCTGCGCATGCATGCAATCAGCCTGATCAGGCCACAACTTCAAATATGGAGAGCATCCAATTATTGAGTCTGATCTGGCTGCTGTAGAAAGCATGGCAGGCACATCAACAGAGGCCTTTGTTGACTGTGTCGATTGGCGCAGCGGTTCTGCAAGTCATGTTCAAAATGCTTGCTGAACCTCAGAAAGGGATTGCTTCCCAGGTTGGTAAGGTAGCGTGCAGTACTCCGCTTGCAGTTCTGAAATATCGGTGATTTTAACATAACAGATAAAGCAAGGTGAAAAGGCAGCAGCTGCCTCAGCACACACTGATTCAAAGAAGCGTCCACTTCACAAGCCAGCGCAGAGAGCAGCCGCCAACAAGAGAGGCGCCTCCTTGCAACCCCGCCATCTTCAGATCTACTGGTATGTTGATTTCCAGTACAGTATTTTGCAAAAGGGACGGTATGAATACTGAGCACCATGCCCACGGGTGGGTCTAGCTTGGTTCTGGCGAGTCCAACGAGGGGTAGGATTCTGGCAGTTTTTACCTGCAGCTTGTCTGCATGACGCAATTTTCCTCTGGCACGAAAATCATGTAACAATAAACACAATCATAATTTTGCAGAAGTCATGCAGAGGCACAGCGGTACCTCGATTTTGCCCTGGGTGGCCAGAATTTCCTGCACCTCTTTTGGCCCCAACAGAGCCACTGCTCGCTTCATACGCTCCTTCAGTGACTCGGCCTCGCACGGGCCGTACCTGCAACAAAAACCCAAAATTATACACTCAGAAATTTCCAGACAAGAACAGGCGTCTGCGAAGACTTGTAGACAGACCGAGCCACAGGGTCCTGCAAGGGAGGACTCTGAGACTACTGCCGCAATCTCTATAGCTCAGAACTGCAACACTATATATAAAGCCATCATCAAGTGGGAACGAATGGCGGCTGCAAGAGCTGCCCCGGCCTTTGAAGTGACATCCTGCAATAAACATAAACCTTCTCCCCTGCAGCACGGTGCAAAAGGCCATTGCAATGCAATCTGCTGTATATGGTGGATCGCTGCTCAAGGGCAGCAAGGACAGAAGATCCTAATTTCTCCACCTTGACTGCTGCCACTAGATAACTTACAAACCCTTGGCCAGAATTAGAAAAGGGGAATGATGGGCGAGGGTTGCCGACCTGGGCTGAATGGCAGGGCCCCCGTCAAAGACTCCGAGGCCGCTCAGCTTGCTGTCAGATAAGGGAAGTAAAAAAAGTGATGGGTCATTGTGACAAACTCACCTGGGCTGAATGGCTGGTCCACCATCAGAGACGCCGAGGCCTGATAACAGCCGGTCGGCGATGTCCCGGGGGGAAGCTCCTTCGTGCAGCAGATCTGTCACACTCGGAGAGGCGGCGATGTTGCGCTCTAGCAGTTCCAGTGTCTCCTCTGACGCAAACGGCAGCACCTGCAGAGCACAGGGGCACCCGTTGCCACGACTATCCTTGTTACTATTATTACGGTATTGTTATCATTATCCCACGCTGTTCCTACCAGGAGGCAAGCTGCGTCTGCAGAGAAAATGCAGAGGAAATGCCATGACTATCATTGTTACTATTATTACGGTATTGTTATCATATCCCACGTCCCATGTTCTTACCAAGAGGCAAGCTGCGTCTGCAGACTAATTGCTGGTTACGGCTGCCAAGGAAAGATTGCCACATGCACAATGCGAGGCTGGGGCGTCGGGCGTCAAACTGCGTGTTGTGCAGAGGATTTGTAAGGCTGCTGAGCCGAGGACAGGAGGGAAGAAGAGAGCGAAAGAAGACTGCGTGCTGTGTGTCAAGCAGGGATTTGGCAGATTCCTGCTCCAGAGAACCTCCCGGTCATATCTGCGTGACATTCTCAGAGCAAGGCAGCAAGGTGACCTTGGACACTCTCCTGGAGCAGCAGGCTCGTGGCGCCCATCACAAGGCTCCCTGAAAGTGCTGCATTCAGGCACACCCCAGGCCCCAGCCATACAAGACTGCTGATGAACTTTCGGAGTCACCCAAACAAATTCAAGGCAGCGGCGGCTGCCCGGCCCGGGCAGACGATGAGTCAGCCAGCTGACTAACCTGTGACCATGGCAATCCGACCATGCCGCAATATGGTTAATTGGTGAACAAGCCCACTTCCAACAGTCGTTCACCCCTTATGTCCCACCTGTATCAAGTAGCCGCCGGCTGCGCGCACGGAGCAGTCGCGATTGATGGAGACTCCGAGCGCGAGCGCGCAGTTGACCTGCTCGCTGTCCGCCATGTATGCCGCCAGGTCATCGCCCACCTGGCGCGCACATGCCAGGACTCATCATAGCAGCATCAATGTAACATGAACGCCTGACAAGGGAAGCAGCATGCGCCTGCAGCCGGGCAACATGCGGCAGCTGCGCGATCTAGTCACAGAAGTGTTGGAGGCGGCTTGGCGGCAAAGAAGCGGCCAGAAAGCATGGAAGCATAACGATGGCATTGCACACAGCCTTACAAACTTTGGAATGCCGCGGCCCTTCAACAGCCAACAGACACAAGATAGTGCGCCGAATTTATTCTTGATACAAGACGTTTTTCGGTCAGGGACCCCACACTAAACGCTTACAGATGCTGCAAGACCTCTGACAAGAGTTGGATGTTAATCTTGGTTATTGGTTTCGTTAGAGCCCCTCACCTCGCCAGTCTTGATCTCTGTGAGGCCCGTGTACGGCTTCTCCTGCGCGATGTTGCTGCGCACCACTGAGAGAACGCCTGCGCAGACGCGCCCCACAGCCTGATCAGGATCTTGCCTTTTGACACCCAAATTTCATTACTCCCCATGCTATCAAGCAAAAGCCTGAGACATGACGGAGCCATGCGAGATGTGAAAATAGTGTTAGATGCATTCCTGTCTGCCTCTGCAGCAACTGGTGGCAGGCAGGAAGGGCCAGGGAACGAAGGACAGGGCATTAGGAGATGTAAGTGAATAAACTTGCAATCCATCAGAGACAAAATTGCTGAATATTGTGAGTGCCCCGGCTGGCAGGTGATTGCTTTGGATTCAGCACTATGCCCACGATTGATTGGGTCTTGCTTGGACCTGGTGAGTCCAACAGGGAGTACCAGAAGTGGCAGCCTGTGCCTGCAGCTTGTCTGCCAACATGCCTCGCCCTTAATGGCAGGAACAGGTGATGCTGATACTGATATTAGTTGTTGTCAGATTTTGTTTTGATTACTCAATGAGGGTGCCACAAACGGACCTCGGCCGACGGCGCTGCCGACGTCGAGTTTGCCGTCCGGCCGCAGCGGGGGGTCCGCAGAGGGGTCCCCTACTTTCCCCTTCACATTGCCCAGCGCGTCCGCCACCACCTGTGGCATGATTACACGATCCGTATATTGCAAACCCAGAAATCTTGAAGCAGAGTTCACACCCAGAGCCAGAGGCCATGCGGCCTCCACATACAGCACCAGCAACCGCATGTGCAGGCTTATCAAAAGATACATAGCCTGGTAACAACGATGGCATCTGACAGGCGGATGAGTGTGAGAAGTGGGATAGAGCCATCACCTGTATTCCTCCCAGCAGGCCATCCCCCTTGAAGGTCACCTGAACAGGAGACCAACCCATTACTCACCCGTCTGTCATACTCTGAGTTGCTAAGCTCCGGCATGCTCTTGCAGCCTGTCTCGCTACAGTCCAGCACCTCGTGTTACCCTCCCTATTTGTACGTCCAACAGCAATGCCCACAAATTATGCTGTACATCTCTATTGATGACATCACCTTTGCTCAAACAGCGCCCCTTGAAGGCTTTAAGATGAAAGTGCTGATTGTTTTTGTTTACGTTTACTTAAAGCTGGACTAGGCAACGGGAAGCTCCCTGTTAGTTCTCACCTGCGTTGCCTCGCCCTCTGCTCTGAAGCAGCCCATGAGGAGCGTTCCCAGTAGCGCCCTGCACCGGCAGTGACTCACATTAGTCACCACTCTGCTCCGCCATTTTTTAGGGATCTAGCAGCCCCTGATGATGGCGGCTTTGTAGCAACCTTTGCCACAGCACAAACAGTTGCTACTGACCATCATGATACTGACACATGACTTGCGAGGGTCACAGCCCTTCTTTGAGCTGGATGCGCAGCTGTTGTCAGGGAAGCAGGGATCAAAGCATGAGAGGTGATGCCGAAGCAAGAGCCAAAAGGTCTGGAGCCAGACTGCTGCGCAGGAGAGTGCCTACCTGCCCAAGGCTGCACTGGCAGTGGGGGCCGTCCTGTGCCTTGTGCAAGCCTGCGCAGGGAAATTTTGCAGTCAGGGATTGGTGATGACATGATGGCGATTGAATTTTTTGTCGAGTGTGATAAAAAAGCTGCAGCAGCGAAAATTTGAGGCGGGACAAGGCTGCATCGCACCTCCTGCACAAGATCTGTTCCTCGCACCACCATGATAGAAACCTCGCCAGCCCCGGACACACTGCGAGCACATTCTCAGGTTAGATTGACTTCAGATGGATGGAGGATTTATGCACTGTCATTGCACGTCAGAGTGTAACCGCTGGGCTCAATTGCCAGACCAAAGGAGCTTCTGCCTCTTGTGCAATGCCCACGAAAGAGAATACAATTGTGCCAGTAAACAGCCATCGAAAGTAGTACTTGTTGTTCGTGTACATATTTCCAAGGTGTCAAGGAGGTGATCACCTCCTCAGAACTTCATCAGCACCTCCGCTGCATCCAACAACAATATGCCTGGTCCATCGCGTCCTACCAAGAGACCTGCCAGCGTTGCCGCGTCTGTGCATTTCCCCAAACAACGAAATGCATCTAAAATGCGATCCTGTGTGGAGCAATACCCGCTGCGTTGAACAAGCGAAAGCTTTCATAGTTCACTCAGACGCCAAAGTGCAATTTCAACAGTAAATACGGAATTGTTCGTCCTAGGAGCGACTCTGGATATGTGAATGTAGGTTCGAAATTATTTGCTGGTGCAGGTTATGAATTCATTAGGATCAACCAATGCTGCTGTGTCTGAACCTGAGGGAAGCTACTATTGTGCCCTGCCCAAAGCTGGCAGTTTGACATCAGCATGGAAACGTCCTGATCTTTTCAGAGCATGCATTCAGGATCCTCGGTGAATACGACCCACAACATGAGGGGCTTCACGAGCATAACTGAAAGCACACAATGTGGGCAAGCCCTCCTTTTTACAGCATGGGCAACAACAGCAAAGTGAGTGGCGAGATAATGTGCTTGCCAGCTGAATATGACTAAGGGTACTGTACACTGCACGACGTCACCGATATCAGGGGTACTAAAGACTACCTGTAGTCTTAAAAACCCCCTGGATCCTATCTACACTTCAGGCAAGGGGTACTTCAAATGTTGAGGACAGCACACTCGCTGAATTTTATTGCCAATGATGCGGTGTGTCATACAGGCACCACATGCCCCACTTGCCACATCGCAGTCACAGAAATCCCCAGAAGAGGGCAAGTTTTTTGTCATCATATTCTTCTTGACTAAAAAATAAGGAAGTCTGGGACGTTGCACGACACCCAGCTGACCGTGTTCTTTCCATGCATTGGTTATGTCATCCATGGTCTCAGAACAACCCCACTCCAGAAAGAAAGCCTCCAAACGGGCGCCAGTCGCTGACAATTCTTCCACCTCCAATTCTAAACGCCCCTCAACCTCTAACACAAGGGCACGAAGGTTGGGCAACCCTATCTCAATGTTTGCATAGACAGCATTCCTGAGTGACAAATAGCGCAGATTGGGTACGTTGTCTCCAAAGTACATGCGGTTAGAGTCTTGGCAGAAGCAATCCAAGGAGAGGGCCGTCAAATAGGGAGCTCCCAAGGCCAGCAGATGTTCTAGGCAAGTAAACTGATCCTCAGGGTTGCCACAGAGATGCAGGCCATGGTGTCTCCCAAGCAGCGTATGCTGATGCTGCAAAAGCTGTGCTGCATCCACCGTCACAGTCAGCTTGGCAGCAGGCGGCAGCTGCAAGTTATGTGGCAAAAAATTTGTGAACGCCACAGCCTGCAGCCGAGAACTGCCACCCAGGCTCAACCCCCCAATGTGCAACTTGCGCCCTCTGGGTGATTTGAGATGCAGTGTTTCCAGCGCAGATAGTGCTGCAATGCATGCCACTGCTGCGGCTGCCAGAGGCACTTCTAGTGCAAGTTCCAGGTGCTTGAGCCTCGGTAGAACCGGCAGTGATAGGATCCTGCAAGCTGAAAGTTCCAGGCTTTCCAGCTGAGTCATCTGCGCCAGAAAAGGCAGGCACCACTTTGCAACTTGGCGCGTCCCTCTCGCCCTCTCATCCAGGACCTGCACGCTCATGACTAATCGGCGCACGCTGTGCATCGGCCACCGCTGCACCGCTGACATCAGCCGCCCGTCATTCACCTGCGCTTGGAAGTTACCCTCTTATAGTCATCCATTAGACATCCATCCTCGGAATTTTAGTTATCCATCAGTCATCCCGAATACACTTGTCACTGTGATGCCCTCTGGGAGGTGCTTCAGAAAGTATCACGAATCTTCAGCTTGAGGGTTGAAGCCAAGTTCACATCCTTCTTGCAAACCGCTCAAGAGCTCTGGATGCTGCTGAAACTCAGCATATCAGAGTGCAGTCTGAAATAGGTGTCATCACAATCTAAACATGGAAGCATGCTGCTATGGGGTGATCATACCTCCTTGCGTTTGAGCGACCAGATATTCAGATGCACTGCCTGGGCATCCCTGCCATGGCGCAGGCCCCAGACCAGCTCTCCCAGCTTCGAATTCTCTTCATACCTTGTGAGATTCAAGCCTCTAGGCTGTACTGCATTAAAGGCTGGGCAGGCGCCGCAAGCCCTGGCAACGTCCTCAGTTGACCCCAGCCGGTCAGCAATTAGAGCCCATATTTCAGGGGGCAGATCTACACACGGCGGCTTTGGCTGCTCTCCTTCTCTGATGCTCAATGATGAGCTTGTTCTAATGTTGTTCTGCTTGTTTGGTGTGTCTTTCATGGCCAGATGAGGCATTGCCTCCTGCAGTGCACAAGTGCAAATGTCAGCGTTGTTCTGCTGTAAGGCAGGGAGGCATCTTAGACTGTCAAGTGCACTCAGTGTGTGGGTGAATTTTCATTAAGCACGAACGAATGATGATAAGGTGAGGTCGCGAAGGGTCTGTACCTATGGCGGAAGAAGGAAGCAGCCTGTCCTCAAAGTTGTTTCTGCTGTCTTGAGCGGCGAATCTAGAATACCCGTGCTTTGTGCGTCTATGGACGGATCCCTTTGGTATAATGTTATGGTCAGGGCTCGTTCGCTGGGTACGAAGTTATCTGGCAAGAATATAACACGCCGCCACTCAGAGGAGATTGTCCTTTGCGACTTATTCACTTCTCAATGGAAGGAACCTCTTAAACTAACGATCAGAACTAGTGACCAGATGTGGCAAGGGAAAGGGAAAGGAAGAAAACGGAGACGACTGCGGTTGAGAAGACGCGTAGTAGGCTTAGGTTCACCACCCCAAGAGCAAGAGGACCGCCAAACTGAACCTACGAAACAAAACCCTGACCGGAGTGATGCAGGGAAGAGGGAATCAATTAGGGAGAGTACTACCTAAGGAGAAACACGAATTAGTAGTCTCCCTCCTGAAATGTTGGTCTTTCCACAATCGCCTGGGTGCTTGCCACGTTAGCTTTCATCAGGCAGATAACGGCTGCTACACTTTTCATATCTAGCAATTCCTGACCTTATGACCAATCCGACACGATCGTCGGTCTACATCACGAACGAAGCACAGATCGACATTGTCACTGGCAGGGATACTCAGTCAAAACAAAAACACTTGTAAAATTCTCTGGGAGTCCTCATCTCAAAGGCGGAAGCAAGCATTTGCTTCGAGCATTATCTTGTGCACACTTTGTTAAGAAAAGTAAGGCGGCGAAGGTAAGCCGACAGGAGGCTCCCCTGTTATTTGTTCGAACAGCACTTCTATAGATTTGTTCCAAACTTCCCTGTCTTTGCATTTCTCCACCAGTCATACTCTTTACACGTATATAGTATGAGATGCTACACAATTGGCAAAGGGTACTTTAAGTTTTGGGGGCAGCAAGTTTTCTTGGAGCAGTATGCACCCATGCATGCGCCACACTCACTGCTGGCAAAGTCGCAAGGCCCGCTTTTGACCTCGGGGAACAAATTCAAAGACACTGTATGCCATTCTAAAGGGAAGTAATTGAATTCGTTGCACCCTAAACGGGCTGGCGGTCTATGAGACGATTGCCTCTTCAATCTTCTCTGGGGTCGACTAAGAGCCTGCAAGTTGGCCCAGATTGCATCCATGCTGCTAGAGGTCTGCCATCTTAAATACAGAGTCTCCAAGCGCTCTCCAAATGCCGCTAAGTCGTCCACTTCCAGCTCTAAATTCGCATCAAAGTCTAACACGAGTGCGCACAGATTGGGCAGCGCTAGCTTGATTTTTGCATGTGTCGCCGTGAGCGACAGGGAGCGCAGATGCGGCAAACTTCCGCCGAAATAAATCAAGTCTTCGCCAAGATAGGTGTGGCCAAAGGAGAGCGCCGTCAGGCAAGGAGCACCGCGGGCTATCAGAGTCTCCAGGCAATCACTCTGGTGCGCACCATGCAAACGCAGGCCATGACAGGCTCTGAACAGAGCAGCAGAAGCGTGATGAGTGCCATAACTTGCATGGGCTGCCACACTTAGCTTGGCCGTGGGGGGCAGCTGTATCTTGACCGGGAGGATTCCCTCAAGGCACACGTCTTTTAGATTGGGACTGTTGTCGAGAAGCAACTCTTCCACTTCTGCATTGACAGTAGGTAGTGTATTAAGCATACCATTCTTGAGTTGCAGTGTTTCCATGGCAGGCAGCGCTGATAATGACACCAGCAGGTCACCGCCACAATTCATGTGGTCGATGGTGATTTCCAGGTGCTTCAGCCGCGGCAGCGGCGGCAATCTTGGCTCGTCTTGAGAGTTGATTTCGAGGCTCTCAAGCCGAGTCATCTGGGCCAGGAGGGGCCTGCAAATGTGCAGCAGCTGCGGAGAGCAATAGTAGCGGCATTTTTAATAAGTGTGCAGGTCCATGACTAATCGGCGCACGTTGCGCATCGGCCATTGCTGCACTGCTGACATCAGCCGACCGTCGTTCACCTGCGCAGATTTGTCATACGAATCATGGAAGTATGGCATTTCATGACTACCTTTCATTCCAATATTCGCATGCAACTTCATAGCTTATAAGAATGTTTTCAGTAGTACCACTGAATGGCATCGTTGGTTCCAAAGCTGGATCCAGTGAAAACCGTGACATTCACCAGCCAAAAAGTGTTCCAGTGCAGGAGTAAGCTGTGAGTTGTGCAAAGATGGCAAAGCCCACAGGGAGCATCGCACCTGGTTTATCTGCAAATGCCAGGTTTTCAAGCGCATGGTACGTGCATTTCTGCCATGGAGCAGGCCCCACATCAGCTGCGCAAGCTGCTCTCCTATGACATCCTCAAAGTATTGGCACGTTTTGCTCTTCTCCTCCAGAAAGAGGCTGCTTGGCTGGACTGCGTGGAAGATTCTGCAGGTGCCACATGCCCTGGCAGTGTCCCTGGTGCCCAGATGGGCAGCAATGAGCGCCCAGACCTCTGTGGGCAGGTCCGGCAGTGGCACAGATGGCTCTGAGGGCTGCACGCTGTTTGTGCTCAGCATCTTCTGCTGGACAATTCTTCGGGAGCAGGCGTGGTCTCCTACACATGGAAAGTCTTGCTACTAATGTGTTTTATCTTCCCAGCGGCATGTTACAGCATGATGGAAATTCAATGTGGTTGTCAATGGCCAGCCAGTCAATTTCTGCTGGTTCGTGAGGAAGGGTACATACAGCACTCGGTTTGCCTGGCAATGGTGACAGGTTGACCTAAGTTTGCGGCTCACCTTCGTCGCCGTTTTTCTCTTCACGACCTCGAAGGACATCCCAGAGCGAATGTATGAAGTCTTCTGTGGCACCATGGTGCGACGATCTGAAAGATGTGTCTGAAGTTACAACAAGTACTTTTCTGGTATGTAGAATGGTCAATGCCAGTTCGTTCGTGCCGCCTGGCAACCTTTACGCCGATTCAAGAACGGAAGGCATTCGGCAGGTATAAATATTGCACACAATGAATTCTTTGACAATCAATCGCTTCGATTTCGCCAGAATTCTCTCAACCAACTGAGCTGCCAGGGGGGGTGAATAGGACAATCTTACTTCTACTTTCATCCCCCCTGTAGCTATCACACCCTGAATGTTCAGGGTCACACCAGGCCCTAAAAGTTGATGTCACCATTATGTGATCACAGGCTGAGAAAGAAAGAAATCCCAAATGGGAACAAAGCATATTATACCGACAGCCCCTCCTGCTGCTGCTCGGGAGATGATCGCAAGACTACTGTCAAGACTGTCACGCTCAAACCGCATAGTGAACGGTGCAAATCTTCTTTACACCTTTAATGATTTGGAATTCTAGTACATGTACAATTAGGACTCAGACACGGCAGCGGCCTGTGACAGGTGCGCAAACGTTCCCTCCAGGACATGGTCATGGGATTACTAAAGACGACTACACTGGTATATAATTATGGAACTGCTTAGTTCTATTCATACAGAAGGTGTCCTAGAAGGAGAATACTTCTAAACATAATTACCCCTAAATCCTAGGTCTCGCTCGCGGCGGCGGCCTGTGACAGGCGCGCAAACGTTCCCTCCGGCTTGCATGCCAGCTCGGCGGGGGGACCCTGCTCCACCAGCCGGCCTCGGCTGAGCACCAGGAGCTGATCGCAGTCCATGATCGTGTCTATGCGGTGCGCTATCACCTGCGCCGCATGCAGATTCACTCTCAGATTTGCATCAGTCAGATCAATATCAGGGGAAAGCGTTCCCAGCAGCTACAGCTGCTGTGCAGAGGGCTGCTCATGCTTGTCAATGGAGCACGCTCGGACAAAAGCCTCGCGTGCACTTCGTTGAGCTTTGGAATTTCATGTAAGCTGGCAGCATCCTGAAAGTGCAGCCCAACTCCCTTTTGACATATGCAAGTGCCTGGTGGCATCAGATATAAAAAGGTGATAGTTGCGTGTGACAGCCTCTTCTCCTGGGCTTGCAGTGCCACCATGTCTTGCATTACCTCCTCCCGTTAAAGTGCCTGATCTAACGCAGACACCAGAAAAGTGTGGTCAACAAGTCTGCTTAAAGCCAAGAGTAGTGGCAAGGCTTTCCACCTCCGGTAACCAAGCTAATAGTGTGGGGGCCAAAAAAGACGTACCAGCAGAGTGCGGCGCCGGCCGGAGCCGTCGGTGCCGCGGACCGCGTTCCGTAGCGCTGACTGGATCAGAGCGTCCGTAGCACGGTCCACGTTTGCGGTTGCCTCGTCCAGCGCCAGGATGTGCGCGTCCTGCAGCAGCGCCCTGCAGAAGAAGAAATCAGAAATTGAATTTAGTTTTGGCATTGGTCAGACAGGCAAGAGGAGCCCATGCCTTCCTAGGTGGAGCGCATCGAGACATCTGCAGGACAAGCTAGTGAATCCACTTTACAGAGGCGGAGTTCAGCCAGCAATGAGCCAGCGCAAATGGTTTGTTCATGGGGTGTCCGTCTGTAATGTCTGTTCATTCCCACAATACAGATGGGAATGACTTAGTTCATGGGGTGGTTTGTGTCCCGCACAGGCCCAGAAACAGAAGGATGCGCCTGCACTAGCAGGGGCTTAGGCATTGTGTCTGCTTGCAATGAACAGCACCTGCATTGCTTCCGTGCACAGATGACCTTTTGAAACTCACCAAGCGTTTGATCGGATCTCATTTGCTGAATCGCTTCCGGTGGCCTCTTCACAGGCATCCCTCAGACTATCCAAGCCATGCACTGTTTCATTCCGCCTCGTGCATGACTCATCACACCAATGCGTGCATTTCCACACGACCAGAAGCTGCTGCAGCCCACCTGGCGAGGCAGAAGAGTTGGCGCTGGCCGACGCTGAGATTGTTGCCTGCCTCGGCCATGCGCGCGTCCAGTCCCCCCAGCTTCCGCACGGCCGCCGCCAGCTGCACCTGACGCAGCACCTGCCACATGGCTATAATTGTTAGTATTTTAGGGTATTCTTTTGCTTAGGGCTTAGGGCTTTGAGTAAATAACAAGTCTTACCTGCAGCGCCCGCGAGGCCAATCGATCCTGAAGGGTGTGTTGCTAATCACCCCTGGTTTCTTTTGTCCCTGAGGGCACTTATTTATATCTTTTCCACCAAGCCAAGTGATCAGAATGGCCAATCGATGCAGAGCCGATTGGCCAATAATAACAACCGTATTAAATAATAAGAGAATTGTACCTGCCACAGGCGAGCGTCTGCGCAGGCGTTCCAGGGATCCATGTTGCTCCTCAGGCTCCCGCTGAACAGCACCGGGTCCTGCGGCAGAAAGAAATGAATTTATAATATAGTAATTATAATAAATCTAGGAGCAACGCTTGCTGTTCTTGTTATTCAAGCAAACAGACCAACTCAGGCCCGCTCTACTACGCTGATATAAAAATCCCTTTCCGCCCGCTCAAGCTCAGCGGGCCATCCATAAGAGGAAGGCCATTTCTACATCAGAGGAAGGGCTTTGCAAGGGCTGTAGTGCTGACACAGGTCACAGCTCCAAGGAATTGCAGTGCTTTAGGGGTCAAAATTAGTAAGCAGCACAAATCCAAACTAGTTGGACGCCGACCGCAGGCACCGATTGGATTCCTCGATTCAGCACATAGTAGAGCTGACCAGGTTGAAGAATTAAGGTAAAGTACAACAGACGTAAGGCATCATATTGCACACAAAGATAAATCATTATTAAGTCAGCGGGTGACTAACCTGTGGGATGATTGCTAGCTGCTGGCGCAGGGCGTCTAGGCCAATCTTGCCGGAGTCAACGCCGTCGACCAGAATGCGACCGCCAGTGATTTCAATCAGTCGGAAAAGCGCTAGCATGAGCGATGATTTCCCGCTGCCCGTCCTGCCCACCATGCCGCAGCTGCTGCCCGCCTGGGCGGTTTAACAGCGACGTCAGCACATGTATCAATTCGGCTCTCTGTTCAGTATACACATTGCGGACATCATGCGGCCCCTCGGATGCCCGACACAAGTAACGCTAGCACACTGCATCTCTTCAATGACCACGGAAACTTCACATCCTATTTCACGAGCACTGGCGGCAGAGCAGATTGGTTCTAAGATTGGCGCCCCTTCTTTAAACCATGCCCATTCCACACTAGACATGGCTAGCACAAGGCAATTAAATGGTTGGTGCCATAAAAATGACAGTATGGGTAAAGGAGCCTGATGCAGGCATTCACCTCTTCAGTGAAGGAGAGATTGCTCAGAACAGGGACGAGACCAGGGCGCTAGCGTTTTTAAAGCTGGTCAGGCAACAGCCGCCAGAGCAACACTTATGCAAAGAAAGGTTCCCCCAGAGTCTCACCTCGACAGTGAATGTCAGGTCGGTCAGCACAGGGGCGAGACTGGGGCGGTAGCGGGCAGAGACGCCGTCGAAGACGAGGCGGCCACCGCCGGGCCACCCGGCGGGAGGGGTCCCCCCGCCCTCGGCCACGCGCGGGGGGACCTCCGCCCTCAGCCGAGTGTATCCGAGCATGCGCTCCACGCTCGTTATGTTGTTCTCCGCCTCGGCTGTTTGTCGCACCGCCCACTGCATGCTGCCGGAGAGATTGAGCACGTGCGCGAGTGCCAAGCCCACCAGCCGCGGCGAAACCTGCGCACAAAAAGCAGCGGGGCCAGCTTCACACTGTGGCAACAAAAGGAAATCAAAATCAGATTTTTTTGGTTTTGCGATGCAACCCACACGCAGCTACTCCTAGATGAAGCAGCTTCACGACGCACTATTCTAGCAAAGCCAGCGACACTATCTCATATATAACAGATAAGAGCCAACTGCAAAGTTGGAGACAACAGGCCAGTGTGTGCATTCCCTGAACACGTGCCCACATGGCCACTGTGCTCTTCCAACACCCAAATCTCCGTCATCCTAAATTCCAAGGTCTGAAGGTTTGCATAGAATCCAGCTTGGCTTGACAAGGTACAGGGAGCTTGCCTTGTCATGGATGGCCATGGCGAGAATGGAGGCCACGGTCAGCATGACTGCAGAAATGGCGTCTAGGCGGAAACCAATCCAACGAGCGGTGGCAATGAAGGCAAACCACCAGGCGCCATTCGCGTCCAAGTCCCTCACAAACGCCTCCTTGAAGCGGCCGCCCGCGCCAAACGCCCGGATTGTCGGCAGGCCCTGTAGGAAAGCTCAATTTCAAGTTCAGGAGTCAGCAGATCAGAACTGGTAAAGGTGAAGGAGGCTAGCTTGTACTGACCTGTACTGCTGGTGCTGTCTTGTGTTAGAATGTTGAGCTTTTCAAGGTCTGAGTGCTCACCATGCCAATGGCAAACCGTTGAAAGGGATGGTTGCATGGAAGATAAGAGCTGGAGTGCATAATGGCTCCAATTGACCTGCCAGGAATGCTACAAAGGCTGCTTTCTTATATGCTTCACCAACTAAACAGCGCAAAGCATGAAGCTGCAGCATTTAAAGAATACTGAAATCACACAAGGTCTTCCAGAATTTCAAGAGGGGTCAGCTCAAGCACTTACAGACAAAAGGGTGTGTCCGAACCCTGCATACAAGATAGTTCACACGTTCGAAATGGATTTTGAAAATTTGTGAAGATAGGACACACCTTGAGGGTCGCGCCGAAGGATGCGTAAATCGGCGAGCGGGTGACTGCGTCGAATCGTTTGACCTCGCGCGAAGTGGTGATGTAACGCTTGCGCACGTATGCGAAGCCGATCAGTAGCGGCACCAGCGTTGGCAGCACCCAGGGAACGGCGATGCAGACCAGCACTATCGCACCTGCGCGCACATGAAAGAGATGAAGATCCTAAGTTCCCCAAACTGGAATTTGTACTTTCAGAATTCATGTCATGAACTTTCACATATGGAGACACACATCGTGAAGCTACAAGCAAATGAACAGGCTTGTCCCCTGGGCCTAGGATTGCTCTACACAAAAAAAAACAGAAAAAAACACAAAAAAACAGACAGCCTTCCTAAGGGAAAAAAAAGACAGGGCTTCTTGCATGGGGTGAAGTTTAAGTCCATTCCGTGCAGATTTCCCAGCTGACATTTCTCAATCTGACATCGGACGTAAGGTATTCTGACAGAGGAAAGGTAAGAAATGCGAGCGCTCCCTATCTTGCTGCTTGTGAATGCAATCGCATGGCTGCTCTTCACTCATGTTTGATGGCATTTGCACTGACATCAGTTTGCCAGCAAAGAGACTCACCCAGGACCATGAAGATGGATTGCAGCGCATCGAAGGCCACTTGCGGCAGCAGATCGTCCGCAACGCCCTGATCTTTGCTGAAGCGGTTCAGAATGCGGCCGGTCGGATTCGTGTGGAAAAAGCTCAGAGGCGCGCGCAGCACTCGCACCGTCATCTGCTCGTTCATCAGCGTTGAGGCGCTGCAGAGGAACAAACAAGAGAAATACATTTGAAATCCTGAATTGTAAAGATACCTTCACACCCCCCGTGACCTGACATCCTTTAGTGTGATCTTACTATGCCGGGTCACAAAAAGCACAAGGACTTGCAGAATGTGGCTGCATGAAAAGGCCATAGAAATTCCCTCCCTTACCAAGTCGACAGGGGTCGCTATTGAGGGAGGCAACAGTAAAAACACCACCTGATCCCGCACGGCGTTCCTCAAGAGCACACATCTCTCCTCTCCAGAGCATGGCCAAGTGCCCGATCATTGCCTTTTTGCACATATGCTATGCTTGAAAAGGCTGCAGATAAAAGGCAGAGTGTAGAAAAGCGGCTCACCTGAAAGTGCTCTCGAAGAAGGCGAGGGCCCGCGCAAGAGAGATGACAATGACCGCCGCCACCAGAATGGCATACACATACAGCCACTTTGGGTCATGCTGATCCGCTGCAGGCCTGTGAAAACACAGAGGCCCATGCTCTTAGGAACGGCCATCATTCCAAGCAGCATGCCTTGAAACCCACTGGATTGTGATAAGCTGGTATGCAATGATTATGTTATATCCCCTGTGCTGTGCAAGAACACTTGCAGCTCAGATAAAAGGAACCACGATCTGCCTTAAACACATAATGATTGCCACTTGCAGCTCCTTGAAGTAAATTACAGCCATGCAATTCCAGACATCACACAGATCTCCCAGTGGTGACAGATGGATGACAGCGGCAAGCTGGCAAGATCAAAACAAGCGAAGCTGCAGTAAAACATTCAAGTGCTGCCGTCCATGCATTGACATGCAGTGACTTAAAACCAAATATTTGATGCAGGATAAAAGGGCCTAAATGGGAAATTTAAAAGGGAACGCAGCGCAGACCTGTACGCCCAGGTGGCGAGCCAGTACTCCGAGCCTAGGTAGGCCGCCTGGCCCAGCAGCAGTGAAGCAAAGATGAAGACTGTGGTAGTCACCCCAATGTATCTGCAGTAATCTGCATACACCCGCGACTCCACACTTCCTGCGCAGCAAGCAAGAAAGGCAAGCCTCCTCATCAGATTAGACATTCATGTATGGAATGCTGGTGCACTCTGCAGGGGTAAGGGTTTAGGGTTTACCCCTATATTTTATTTTAACCCGAAACCCTACACCCTAAAAGTGAGCACTGCATGTCAAAGTACCATATGCAGTACTATACGTTTGAGTGGCACAGAGTTGGTAAGTACGGCAGTTCTGCTGACTTTTAATGTGTTGTGCGTCTTGCAGGTGGAACTTCAGATTCCTCTGCAGATAAAAGCGGACACAGGACATTGCCAGCATACGAAAATCCGACATAAAAAATCTATAATCTAAAAATCTATAAAATCTATAAAAATCTAAAACCTATAGAAAATCAGTTCTTCACACAGTATCATGTTGGTTAGATGGGCATGTTGGTACCTGTGGCTCGGTCCTCTGCATCGATAAGGCGGCCGTGAGGCTTGCCCGTCTCAAATTCTGCATCTGCGCCGCTGCTCCCATCCCCCTCCTTCCCATTGACTCCCCCGCCGAGCCACGTCGGCCGCCGCGCAAACATGCTGCATACCAGAAAACCACAGAGATTGCTATATATGCGGCACTCCCAATTTCCATTCTCCCTTCATCGTCCTTGTGCATTGGTCAGTACGGCGGCACAATGGTACAAAATAACTGAACCAGCAGATAAGAAAAGGAAGGTGTTATTACCAAAAGCGGTGATTGGCCAAAATAAAGTCACATATTACCTGCTCAGTTCGCGGCGCATGCGTGAAGCTGCAGTGTTAAAGCCAGATACCCCGCTGTTGAGACTAGTGTAACGCTCCCCTGTCTTCGGCCCTGCTTTATTATTCCCTGATGCCCCCGGGCTCTCTATTACATTATTCTCCTCGCCGCCGCTGCCGACAGTGCCGAACACGCTTTGCGGCACCTTCGCCTGAGGGTGAGCTTTGGGATCCACCCCATCTCGGCTGTGTTCCTGCCCTGTCTCGGCTCCATGTGAAGGCACCGCTTGCCTATTTATCCCATGGCCAGCGCTCACATCCTCTGGCAGAGTGGTCTGTGCAGCGGGTGTCCGTGCATCTGACGGCGTCACCTCCGCCGCTGGATCGCCTGATCTGGCGCCGGCTTCGGCCGCGCGCCTGTCTGACTGCGTTGCCTCCGCCATTAGGCCGCCTGATCTGGCGTTTGCTTTCACTTTCCCGTCATCCGACGCCGTTGCCTCCGCAGTGTGGGATGCTGTGACTGCATCGGTGATGCCCTCATCATACGCGGCGTCGTCCAGCTCAGCGGCGGCTTCCGCGCAGCCGCCGCCGAGCTCCGCCGAGAAGCCGCCGGCCGCAGACAGCTGCGCGTAGCTTCCGTCGGCGACCACTCGGCCGCCGCGCATCACGAGGACCCGGTGGCAGCCCGGCAGGTGCTGCCTCTGGTGAGTCACAAGCAGCCGCGTCGTGCCCTGCCGCACACAGCACAACAGAGTGTGTCAGGACAAAAGTCCCGCCATTCAGGGCATTGGTTTCCAAGTCTGCTTTCGGATGAAAGGCCTGCCATACAGGCAATGTGTGTTGCTAAGATAGTGGGGGGCGGAGCCAAGCAAGTCAGCAGCTTGCTGTATTGTTATCAGAAGCCCTGTTGTGACCTGGCGCCACAGGGCTCAACAGAAGCTTGGCATGTGCAGAGTTCTCTTGACACACAGAAAGCTTCCGTGATGTCCCTGCTGTTGTTAAGCAGGAAAAGACACATCATGTGGCAACAATGCACTAATGAACTTCATCACCCTGACCATTTTGACCATTCGTCCATTCTAAGTAAGAGAATGCTGCCCAGTATGTTGGCCACTAGAAGTACAGTCCACGGCACACAGTGAAGAGGATGCCTGCCGTTGATTGGTGCTTATGATGTCGTCAGGCTGCTCGAGCAGGACCAAATAATGTACCCGTGGTAATGCCAGGAACCACTGCTTCCGCGCAAACACATCTAGGAAGGTTGCTAAACACAGCAAGGCAGACTTTGGCCCCAGCTGCTCTCCATGCTTGAAATGCTCGCTCTCATGGCAACCTTGCATATAAGTTTTCAGTGGCTTGGTGTGCAGTGGAAAGTCAATCGCGTGCCTGCATGACTCCCTCCGGTCCGATGCATTGTTTGAATAAAATGCGGCCGACGCGGGGGTCCACAGCCGATAGAGGGTCGTCGAGCAATTGGATGCCCGCGCCAGAATAGGCCGCCCTCGCCAGCGCCAGCCGCGCCTTCTGCCCGCCTGCACATAATCACGATAACGTTTTGGTGTGCATTTGCCGGAGTGCTACTAATATAATCCTGCCAATCGGAAGAGGTTGCTCTTCTCGAAGATGTCATCATCGGTCAGCGTGATGAGGCCGGCGTTGTCAGTGGCGCCTGTCATCTTGTGACAAAATATTACAAGGTGGGCGTTGGGGCAGCAGCAAATGAGCAGGTACCATTCTGCAAATCTAGGCTCCTGCCTAGACAGAAGCTTGCAGGGTGCTGCATCCCTCTCTGCCATAGGACACCCATGAAATTTGCTTCACAAATCCTTGTTTGTATTGAACTGTTGACCATTGCAGACTGAGTAGGCGTTATTGCACAATTCCTGTCAAGGGGCCAAAAGACAAATTTAATCCTTCGACAGCTACTCCGCAACTACGGCCACTCAATCTGTGGCATTTCCCAACACGTTTATCCAGGAATCCCACTTATACTAAATTCCTTGTGGTCGTACCTGATAGGTTGATGCCCCTCTCGCCCAACTCAGTCATGTCTCCCGCCGGCAGCTGTGCAATGTCAGCGTCCAGCGCGCATGCCTTCAAGACCTCCTCGTATTGCGCCTCGTTGTAGTCTTCTCCAAATAGAATATTGTCCTGTACGCAGATGTAACAGATGCTGAGGAGTCACGGATGCAAGACTGGCTGCTGTTGCCAAAATCATAGGGCAGAAGATGACTCAAGCAATTGCCAGGCTGCGTGACAGCTGGTCACAGCTGGAAATGATGGGGAGCAAAAAAGGAATTTTTCTTTCTAATAATGCTCCTGATGGAACCCTGGTAAGATTAGTCCTCACAGCTGCACAACATAGATCCGGATATCACAGCTCTGAAGAACTGGAGGGAACCTTCAGGCGCACACTGAAAGCCACTGGCCACTGATACTTTTGAATTCAAATGCTGCGTTGATTACTCACCCGCACAGTGCCAGACACGATCCAGGGGATTTGGCTGCAGTAAGCGATGCTGCCATGCAGGCGTGGGAAGTTCTGCGCGCTGTTCCCTCCCGCTCCCTGCAGCGGTAGAATCTCCCCCAGCAGCGCTTCCAGCAGCGAGCTCTTTCCAGACCCCACCTACAGGGGTGTATAAGAGAGTTAATGACCGAGGGCTTCTCCACTCTGGCAAGCTTGTGAGCTTCCTTGTGACCTGAGCAGGCTCTTATTACTAATTGAGAAGTGTTCTCCGGGTGCATGACACCGTTTTCTTCAACAAGCCATGTAACCGTGTCTGCTGACCAGCCAAATCAGGCGAACCCTTGCAAGGTGCAAGGCATTGGCCACATCTAATGTGTGATTTTGGGTCACTTTGCCCACGGTTCCTCATTGTGAAGCGATCGCAGATGACCACAATACTTGGCCAAACGCAAGGGACCCGTGGACCAGGAGAGGGTGCCTTTCAAAGAAACGCAACAATTTGCTTCCAAAAGTGGAAGGGATCTGTATTAAAGCACCAATGCTGTGGCACACTTCTCCGCACAGGGCCCAACATGCAATTTAAGTTCAGTTTTGAACACATAAGAAAACTGGACGCACCTCGCCGCAGATTCCCACCAGCTGCCCCGCGGGGATCACAATTTGCGGCGCCTGCAGCGTCGGCCCGGCGTGCTTCCTGCCGGCTTCCAGGCTGCGCCGCGATCCCGTACTGGATGCGCCCGTAGATACGGCTCCCAGGCTGCGGGCCGAGGTGCTTGGTCCCCCTGGCGACTGCCAGGGACCCCCCTCCGCCTCCAGGCTGCGCCGGGACCCCCCTCCAGATCCCCGTCCCAGGCTACGGGCCGAGGTCGTTAGCGGCCCTGAGGTTTCTGTGTTGTCTTCTGCTGATGCGCTGGGCTTCGCATCTGAGCGGGCCCCGTTCATTTCCAGCTTCACCTCACTACCTGTACGCAGCGCACAAACAATACCCCTATATTACTGGTATTGGCGTAGCATCTACTTTCCACACTGCCAACTTTGATGCTTGAGAACAAGGCGTCTTTAGCTCCTTCTTGACCAGCATGATCGTCTTGGAAGAGCACATGCAGCTTCAGGAAATGCACCGGGCAGGAGCAAGCGCACCCTGCTCAGGCTTGGCTTCGACTTTCTTGGACATCCCAGACGCGCGTCCCAAGCAGCTTCCCATGCGCGTGAACATGCTCGGCCGGCTCTCGTCCCGTAGCAGCGCCGCTGTGGCCGCCCTCTGTGCCGCCAGCTCAGCAGCCGGCAGCCCCGCCCAATTGTCCCAGTCAAAGTCCGCCCCACGCAACTCGACCGCAGCACCCTGCAGCAGTCGTTAACCGAGTTGCTACTGTCAGTTAAAACATGCCTTCTACTGCCTAGAGAACTGAAATCCACGGTGGATTCCTTCTAGCAGCATGTGCATTGCCTGGTACACTACCAAAGAAGTCTCGGACAAATCCTGATAGGCACACAGTTTTATGGCGGAAAGGATTGTTGGACAAATCCTGATAGGCACAGATCAATGGCAAAAGCGCCAGGTGTTTTGTGATATCTGTTCAGAATATCAATGCGTGCGTGGGTTTTCAGCACGGCAATTCTTATGCAAAGGGGCAGTGCACATATCCATCCAATCCGGAACTCAGCAACAAAATGTCCATAGTGGACATCTCTGGATTCAATTTACTTGAGTCACCTCGGGTTCGCTCCCCTGCCCGGCCGGGCAGGCCGGAGCGGGCAGCCGGGCAGGCGCGGGCGGCTCCGGCAGCGACAGAAACGCGTTGAGGCGGCGCAGTGAGATCTGCAGCTCGCTGAAGGACTCCACTCCGCGCACGAAGTAGACGGCCATGTAGAGTTGCGGCAGCCGCAGCAGTGCCAGAGAATATGCGATGCTCGGCACCGTGAGCTGCCTGCCGAGCGCATGCGCCTGCGCAGGTATATTAGCGCAGGTTAGTGTCTGCGCGCCAACTTCGCCATCGAGGCAACTTTTAGGTGCCTGGAAGCGTGAGGGAGTATGTACTCAAGAAGTGGAGCGCACAACTGTAAAGAAAATTCGTAGTGGGGCGCATAAGCGTAGAGAGGGCCAGTTCAGTACTTAGTTAGGACATTGCAATGCGACGCTTTCAATGCCTCTTCATGATACGAAGGTCCAGCACTTGAATGCAGGATCTGCTCAGAGCAGCAAACCCCCGACAGAAAAGCTGCCGCCTGCTCGTTGCTCACTGCCAGAACCTTGACAACAGAGCTGTAGCTGAGTATCTGAGTGCCTTCTTTGGATACTAGAAACACGAGAACTCCTAGAGAATCCCACCCACCAAGCCAGCATTGATGCGGTGGAGTGCAATGGCTGCATCAACAGTGTCATTTGTGAACAAGATCATGTAGAAGCTACCAAAAGGCTCTGGTCACTGAGCGCCAGTCCAGTCAGCGCCAGGTAGCGAAACCGGCCCACACTGATTCCGCATCGGCGCTCGGACCTTATATGGCTGCAGCAAAAAAGGGGACGAGCTCTATCTGCATATGCTCTAAGCATTGCCCCACTTGGATATATATTTTGGTGTGGAGTAACCTAGTCCACCGCATTATGCCATATGGGAAATTGCGAACCGCACAGTCGAAGTATATACAGTGCATCTATTCATGTGCACGCACCACGGCAAAGGCGATGAGGGATGAGCCGGTCTACTGGTTTGTTGAACCTATCCTCTAGGAATTATTGCATGGAATCAAGCATGCCGCAGCAAGGGCAAGGGATGATCTGTCGTAAGATATATGCTATAAATCATCTGCGCGCACCGCTGCTAAGGTGATGAAGGCTGAGATGGTCTGCCGGAATTTGCACCTTGCTCTAGACATGCACGCACCGCAGCGATACTGGTCTGATTGCAGGAATCCTCCAGAAATGGATAAGACGGGATCAATCACGACGCAGCAAGCAGCAATAAGAGGAAGCAATCTCAAGATTGTTTTCGCACCGCTGCGAAGATTATGAAGGATGAGGCGGTCTACTGGTCAGATCCTCCAGAAGAGACCGGATGAAAAAAATCATGCTGCGGCGAGAGCAAAGGATAACGTGCAAGTGTACACAGTGCGTCTGAGTATGTGCGCGCACCGCAGCGAAGGTGATGAAGGAAGAGACGGGCATGATGAAGAAAAACATGGCCATGTTGCACGCGCGGATGCGAGCCATCTTCACCGCGTGGAACGCCTCGCCAGACCGGATCTCCTTCAGAGCCCGGCACATCGCATCCTCCCACCCTGCATGCATGCATGCATTTCTCTTAGTAATCCTTTGCCAGGGGGAAGTAAATAACTGAGCACCGTGCCCTTGGTTGATTCAGTCTTGCAGGAATTTGGCGAATCTATCAAGGGGTAGGCTTTGTGGAAGCCTTCACCTGCAGCTTGTCTGCAGACACACCTTTCTTCTGGCAAGAACAGCGTGTATTTTAATTATAGATAAGAAACCTTTGCTAGGGGTACTGAATGTGATAAGCATTCCACTGGACCCTAAGGTGCCAGCTTGACCTGCTAGACCTGGTGGGAAAGGCAGGAATATAATCCTGTGATGCTTGGTGCTCTTCGTGCCTGCACGATGTTTCAGCCCAAGCACATGGGGAGGCTTTGCTTGCAAATGGAACGGATTTCGCTTTGGGCTGCCAGATGTTGATGCCCCCTTTTGGCTTCTTGTGTGCCCGGCATATCTATCACTTCCAGTAAGCTGCCCAGCCCAGTGAGCTTCAAGGCATTGCCAGACCAGCTCGATTGTCACACCTCCCTCATCGGAGCAGTACCATGAACGTGATAGATATTTTAACTTGAGTTTAGACTGGCCTTAGAGCTGATTTATATTAAAACGGAATGGGGTGGTGGACAGCTATGGAATATGATCCGGAACACTCAAATTGCACTGTAGCATTACCAAGACGGCGAGAAACCATCCAGTGTATCTGACAAGTGCTGCTTTGACCCTGAATTCCTCTGTCACGACCCCTGATTTATAACCCTGTCGCGCAGGTACCGCACGCCCAACATGGAGGACATTGACAAGGTGGGCATCCAGCCGACATGTAGGCAACTCCCTGCTTGTCAAGCGTGCACCAATACGCAGGCAACCTTTTGTCCAAATGGTCTATTACTTGCGCAATTGACACCTAAAGAGAGCCTATGTGAGGTTCCCAGTCATTCAATGGGAGAGTATGGGAGAGAGGCAAGTGGCCTTCCCCCAGGCTGTGTCACAGGGGCCGGCCTTGCACATATGACACACAGAAGGCCGCCCATACAAGGCTCTTTAATCAATACAGAGGGAGGGAAGGGGCAGGAGGCACCCACCTAGCATTTTGACAGCGAGGCAGCCGGCTTTGGCCTTCCCCCAGCCAGTGTCACAGGGCCGGCTCTTGCAAATATGACAAACAGAAAACTGCCGATACACGCCTTCCAATTCAAAGAATGGGAGGGCATGGGAGGGAGGTCCCACCCAGCATTTTGACAGCGAGGCAGCCGGCAACGGCCACAACCCAGGCAGTGTCACAAGGGCCGTCTTTTGCACATTTAACACACAGAAGACGGCATGATGTGCCAGCCCTTTCACACAGAGAAGGCCGCATGTGCGCCAACATGCCAGACCTATACAAAAGCTTCTCTAATCAAAACAGAGGGAGGAAGGGGCAGGAGGTCCCACCCAGCATTTTGACGGCCAGGCAGCCGGCAATTGCCTCTCCTGCCAGCCGCACCCGCTCGTCCGTGTACTTGGCCGTGTTTGTGCGCAGCTGGCCAATGTACGACACTAAGGTGCCCTGCGCAGGCAACAAAGCCATTCCTGAAACATGACGATGCGAGAAATTTTCTTGACTGCTGATGGTCTGCTGCAGGGTAGAAGCAATTACAAGAGATTTTCTGACTGTTGAATGCTTCTATGCTTCAACGAGAGCACTGGCTACTGTGGATCAGTGCACACACATAGTTCACAAAATGGGTGAAATGCCTTTTTGATCTTCTCAAGCTTTGTGCAGAAGTCCAAAGTTTATATACGGTAGGCGTCAGCTGCTTTTAACCCAGGCTTTCAAAAAAGCTATTTGTCAAACACCTGACTATCGACTCGGCAATATGTGCAGGAGAACACCTGATACCTTAGAGAATACCGCTGTTCTTTTTATTCCCAGAATTCATCAGAAAGGCACCTGGACAGGAATGACTAGCAGCATTGTAGCAACGCCGGCAAATGCGGCGGCGGCTCCGAGTTGCACAGAGAGCAGGATGAGCACGGTGGCGAGCTCAAAAGGGCCGCCCCACAGGAAGCACCAGAATGGCAGTGCGTCATCGAATCGGCGCACATCGTTCGACACCAAATTCACGATCTGCACAGCACAGGAAGTTCTGTTGAATCCACCGGGCTAGTGAGAGATCTGCAGGGAAAAGGAATGTTTGCATGGCCACAAAAATTGCCCCCATTTCGCTTCTAAATCCGAATTGGGGTCATTTGGAAGGGCTGCAAAAAGGCCCAAGTCGCGCCTCCTATAATTCCCAAGGATGATCGCTCTTGATCCAGGTGGTGGAACACTAAGACGCAGTTGCAAGAAGCCTCTTGAGCATTTAAGACCACAGCCGTTACATCATGGTACATCATGCATGGTAGGAGGCAGGTAGCATGCAATACCTCATCATATGATGGACACTACGACTGTTCCAGGAAGCAGGACGCTTGTATGCCCAACAGATTCTGCAAACAATGCATTGAAATGAAGGAGAGCAGAGACAGGCATGCCGCATGAAGTTCATGAAGTTTGGGCCCATAACCTTGACAGGCAGAGCATGCATGGAAGGAGGCAGTTTGCATGCATCACCTTGCCAGGGCTGACATCAGCGATGGAGCTGCTGTTCAGCCTCAGAGCCTTGGCGTACACAGCCGCAATGCACTGCTGCCGCATCGCAAACCCAATGCGCATGCCAATCCTGCGCAAGCCAAGCATGTACACCACTTATTACTCACCACATCAGTCTTCCTTATTTAGGCAAGCCAAAATAGTACTCATGCTGAGCTGCAATAGCCTCTTATAGGCCTGGACTCGCCAGCAACATCTGATTGACTTCTCGTCTCAGTCAGTTCCGGTGCAAGCCAGCATGGCATTCGCTCTCTGGCACGCTTCAAAACTGGAAAGCAAATTCAGATCCAACAAACCAAAGCCAAGAGGGTGTAGAGCAGTCATGTGGCGGCTGCGGCTGGGACAGACTCCCAGAGTACAGAAGAGCATTGGGGCACACTCTAAACCCCCACGCTCTCTATAGTCACTTATTTCCTTCCTTTCAGATATTAAATCAGAAACTGGAGTGGTCGGCACGTAGACAATTGCTTGAAGAATTTCTAGTCTCTTACCTTTATTTATCTGTGGATTTGCTGTGATTTCAAGCTCCCCAGCCTCGATCGGTGCAGCTCGATCAGGGAGGTTGTCCCTTTTTTCTCAGGTGATCCTCTACATTGGGCAGACAAACAAAACACTGGCAGAGAGGGAACGCGCCAGAACAGCTGGTGGTGCACGAGGCACATGAGGTAGCCGGTGGAGCCGAGGCCTGCAGCGATGGCCCATCCCTTCCAGAGAGGGAACTCCGCGTAACCCACGGCATTGTACCCGATGATCCATTCCAGGAAGAGCTTCAGCAGCACGCAGGAGGCCACCCTGCAGGTGCCATGCATGACGTGAGTGGTTACTAACAGTGTGTCGTTTGTTAGTACTGTACTGTACTGCACCCCTACGGCAGTCAGGAACGGCTCCTGCAGCATGTAGGAAGCCACCCTGCAGTTGCGCGCATGCATGGGCAATCACTGCTGATTTGTCGGATATACCGAAAATGTCGATTCTCAGTGCAGACAGCATGCAGTGGGTCACAAGAGAGCAGATGCATCATTTTCCAGATCCTCAAAGCATGAAGATTAAAAGGGTGACAGGGACACAACAAAAATATTGCTTCTCGAATCTCACGTGTGCAGTTCTTCCTTGCTATCAGGCACTTCAAGTCCCAAATCGCTTGCAGATGCCCGAGTCGTTGCAATTTGCGGAGGCTTGATTCAAGTCTAGCAGTTAGCATTTAAAGGCGGCATTGGGAGAGCATGCAAGTGTTTCATTGGCAGGACTTGCCTGATGGCTATCTCCAGCAGCAGCCAGATGCAGTGCCAGAACATCTCCAGCCTGTACAGCCGCACCAGAGTCCACCCCAGCAGATTGCTCCTGGATTCTCTTCCCTTCTGCTTCCCCTGCACAAGCATTTATACCGTGAAGTTTTGATGGTGTTCTGCGGAGCATAGCACTTTGTCCAATCCGAAAGAGCAGGGCAACTACTGCTATATTACATGTATGGTGGAGACATGCATGTGCCCCTGATCATGATGTATTGCATGCAGGGCTTAAGATTCATTCTTCACCAGAACATCCATGCGCTGCTTGAACACCAAACTGCACTACTGGCTTCTGGCGCTGCTAAGAAGAAAGACTGACAGAAGATGTGCACCTTCATCTGTTTGTAGGCCTCTTCGAAAGTGCGAGCCTGGTAAGGAGCACTGTTCCGCTCATCCACAAAGGCTTTGGCTGTGTCCTCTCGTATCTGCTGGCGAGACCCCTTCTGAAGCAGCGGCGCAGCCCAGTCGAAGGTGATCTGCTGCCACATGTTGGCATGCATCTTGCCCACTGGCCTGTCAAAGCCAATGGTTGCAAACCACTCCTTGGTGCCCTTGGCAGGGGCATCAGGAGCGGATGATTGATCACCCATTATATCAGTTCTTTGCCACCCTAATTCAGAGCAGACTTAGAAAGTATTTTGCGCCAGCAAGACCAGATGTCTCATGTTCACATCGGCCTGATCTGTCCAGCCTAAGGCCATACAAGAGATCTTCAAGGTCGCATTATCTGACTTTTAGGGAAAATAAGATGGCATATTCTATTAGATGTCACATAGCCTTCTTAGAATTCACAAAACTGTAAACTTTTGCCGACACCATGTGATGATGCAACACAAAACTTGGACGACACTAGCACACTCTCCCAACGATAGATATATAGAAACAAAGGCACTTCTACATGATACAGACGCACTTCTCTTCATAGCGATGCCCTCATGGGCGACCAGTGCTGTCATTCTTGCCACGACCCAGCACGTGGCCATGACGAATCATGCATGACGGATTTATCACGAGCAGATTGGCCTCCCACCAAGAGGATGGTGAACTTTGGCTCTGATAGACAGACAATAATATCTGATGTCATCATGCTTGTGAACTTGAAAAGACATATAGCAACAAACATCTTTCGTGGATGTGATCTCCGTTGTGATCTGAACAACACAGCAGCACTTGCGGGTGCTGCGTTCCCAGAGCAATACATTCATCAGTCTTAAATTCATCCGAATTGATACATCATTGTCCCTAGCGCTATCCTGCCCGATCCTCATCGCATTGTGCAGCATCAGCTTGCATTTCGTTGAGAAACAGGATCCCAGGGAACAGGAGAAACAGGTTTCTTCGTCTCGAATTTTTTTTTAATTATAATAGCTGCAACGGCCACGTAGCCGACTCAAAAATTTGTTAGACCTGCCAGCAGATGAGGCAGCTGCTGGCCAGGCGCCTCTATCTTCCCACCAGGATCTCCAGCAGACGCCTTCATACGCACATCTGCATGGCATTCCAGCCATACAGGCGCACGAATGGATCCAGTGGGAAGGATGTCAGAGCACCCAGACGAGTTCTACTGACCAACGACGATGGCCCAGACTCACCCTTCTTCAAGACCTGGGTGCCAGCAATAAAGGAGATCACAGGGTAATTCTTCCCTCGTTCTACTCAATCCTGTGTCCATCTTGAATCCTGAAATTTTCACTGCTCTGTAACCTGGATGCCAACCCATTCCATGCTGGAACGTGGACACCAGAAATTTCACCTGTGCCACATTTCTTCCATGCATGCTGTAAGAGACATTTTTGTGTGGGCAATCAGGTGGGAGACCTTTGTGTGCCTGCCAGCGGGCCCTGAGAGCTTTGTGTCCAAAGCCCTTGCCAAGGGACCGATCCAGGTATTTAATTTCCTTCTTCTTTCTTGCAGCACATGCCCTCCATGCTACAGTGGTCATTTAGTTATCAAAGCACCCACTCTGCCAATCACCGCTTGTGCCTTGGAGTTACAAGTTACTACAAGCTTTTCTTGCCAGGGGTGAGGTGCACATCAAGGCTGCCAAAATTCCAATTGCTAAGAGATTTAACAAATAGAGTTGAGTGGTGAAGTTAGAAGCTGAAAAGCAATGCCCATGCGGAAAAAATATTGAAATATTGCTTCTGCAAATTGAAATTTGAACATGCTGGTTTCATGCCCAGGTGTCCAGGATAGAGGAGGGTGTGGTTCATGTGAGCGGGCCGCCGGCGACTTGTGTGAACATCGCCTTGCACAATCTGGGGCTCACAGATGTAGACTTGGTGATCAGCGGGCCCAATGTTGGCCACAACACTGGCCTGTGAGCAGCTCTTCTCCTCTCTTCCCTGTACAAGTTTGCCCCCCTGTCTTAATTTCACATGTGCCCCCAGCCTCAGGCAAACAATAATATGGGGGACCAATAATCATGAGCCCTTTCCTGCCCTTTGCAAGCTGCAAGCATGTCTTCTCTTCTTCCCATTATAAATGGAGCCCTTTGCTAATTTACACATGTGCCCAAATCTCTGGCAAAGGAATAGTTAGGAGGACATAAAAATTGAGCCCTTGTTTAATATTTTGTCAAAAATGCAAGGCAAAGAAGCCTGTCTGCCATTTTAAGCACAGCATCCTTCATCTCTTCTGCACTGCTGTGTCACGACTGCCTTCGTGAATTTTCACGCATGGAAGTAATAGTCAAGGTGTGGACGTGATTGCCGGTACAATATCCGGGAGAGTGTGCTTTTGCTGATGTCATGAAATCTGCGCAGGTCATCGCTGATGTCATCTGGGACCGTGGGAGCTGCACTGGAGGGGGCACTGGCTGGAAAAAAGGGAGTTGCTCTTTCATTTCCCTTCTTCAACGGCTGGGAGAACTGGAACCAGGAGGACATAGATAGTGCAATCCAGGTCAGAGATTTTATTTTCACTTATGTTTTCACTTTCTCACGTGGACCTGACGCTTTAGTGCAGGTTTTGTTTTGCAGAAATGGCGCATGACACAATGCATGCCCAGATTCCAGCTCAGCGCACAGCTCAGCTTGGTTGATGTGGTATAATTCAGCTGGAATTGACTGTCGCATGGTAAATAAAAAGTTTGAGCAAACGGACCCATGTCACAGGGCAAGCAAGAATTGAGTGAAGCACAGACTAGTGAGGGCTGCAGACCAGACCTTTAGCCCCCACAGATGTGGCTGCAGACACTCTGTGTGTATGCCCTATGGCCTTCGGGCTTTGGATTTGCCGACACTGTAATCATAATCACATAATCACAGAATAGAGAGTCACCTGTGGCCTGAAGCTCTGTGCAGCGGCAATTAAGACATTTGTTTTGGTGTCTGTCATCCCAAAATTCGAATTTGAAGATGTGGCTCAGGTTGCAGGGAAGGTGGTGACAGATCTGTGGTGGGACTGGCGCCCTTCCGTGGAGCTGTACAACGTCAACGTGCCCCTTGGATTCAGGGATGAAAAGGGGCAGCGAGTGGAACCAGAAGTCATCTTCACAACCATCGACCGCGCGTCCTACACCTCTCTGTACAGTATGTCCCAACCCTTCATCGCAATCTTTGGTGAACATAGACTTTCTAACAAAGACTAATACAATACAGAAAAATTAGTTTCGAACTACTGCAAAGGCAGCTGCCAATTCTGAGCCTTTTCACATGCCACAGAAGCAGCCACCCAATGTGGCATGCAGCATATGCTCGGTAGAAGCTTGGAACATTTGTAACTCAGCCTTACTAAGAGGTTGCATTGCATTATTGGGACAACAAGACTGGCTGAAATGGTGCCGTGTAAGCGTGCGTGTGTGTGGTTCCTAATGCCTGAAGAAATTGGTGCCGTGTCAAAACGTGATTGCATACAGCAAGTGCAAGCATGCGCAAGTGTGGATTTTGAGTGGGCAAGGGCTTTCTGCTGCACGCAGGACAGAGCGAGACAGATCCGGACTCATTTGTGTGGGCGCCAAAGGGCTTGAGAGTGTTCCAGACAGATGACAGCGAGCTGCAGAGAGGGGCTGATGTGCACACAATCAAGCACGGCAATGTGAGCGTGACACCAATGGTTGCTCAGTTTGCTGAGTCTCCGCACTTCGAATAAATCGATCTCCCAGCTATGACGGTGTTAAAAGAATACCGCTTGGGCTCGGCGGGGTACTCGATTGAAGTGCCCCGCCGCTTAGTCACTGGTAGAGGTGCAGTCCATTCAGCAGTATCTGTGACCGTGAAAGCACTTCCTCTGAGCGCATATCAGGGATGTTTCCCCGCTGCAGAAAAGGCACCGCCAGAGCAGCAGCAGAGACAGGCATGTGCCTGGAAACTCCAGTGTAGAGTTCTTAACTGTAACAGAGTTGTACAATTGTACTTCTTTGCATACTGCCTGAGCCATGGCCTGCATTTCGCCCTATGCAGATATGCTGCACCTGAAGAAAAAGTGGACTGCTTACTGCATTGTCGTGGGTTCTCTTACACAGTTTAATCCCACACATTGCCAGCTGTGCCCTTCACGTAATAATCTGGGAATACCAATTGGAAGTACCTTTAGCTTGAAATTCCTTTGGAGGTAGTGTATGAAACATTCTTTTACATTACTGTGCGCCGCCAAGGACTCTGTGGCGCATGTGCTGGAAAAACAGCACTTCATCACCAAACCCAGATGCCAGAAACTCGCTCTCCATTACAATCGACCCAATGCTCTCAAGCTCGGCTGTGGCTGATTCCCTCACTTGCACCTCAAATAGCAAGCTGCCAGCTGCAATCTGAGCCAGACTAAGCCGCATGTCTTCCTGCATAACCACGTGATAGGCGGCTGTGATCTCTGGAGTGGGCTGTAGAATGATCTGGTAAGGCGCTCGGACATCTGCTATTGGTACTTCTGTGCCGTCTGCTTGGACCTGTGCAGCCTCTAGCATTGGCAGGTGCCTTGCGTCCTCCGGCCTGGTCAAATCACACAAACCACCAATGTTCAAACTCGAAGTTTCAGAATTTAAATTGGAATTCAAACCTTTGACATTCAATGCTGAGCTTTTTCCTGTCCGTCGAACAGCACTTGGTGCCAACATCAAAGGGGCAATAGGAGCTTGAGCCTAATATCTGCGGCAGTGTTTTCACAAGGCATGCATGCATGGGGAATGACCTGCAAATCTCTAATCACAGTAACCAGATGACCTCCAGTAAACGCCAGGGCCATTCATTACTCTGCAAGATTGAAAGTGAGATCGAGCAGGGAAGGCAAGGGTTGCACCTGTGAGCCGCGTTTGCGGAAAGAGTTGGGACGGCAACAGCGAAAGAAGCTGCCACAACTCTCAGCCTGGCATCTTGCGGCGGCGCGAGCACATTCGTGTAGGGATGTCTGAAGGCATTGAAGTCATTCCCTTGGCCGTCCAGGGTTGGCATTATAAGGAAGTTGACTGAGGGGCGGCCGCTGATTAATATCTTGAGGCCTGCGCCCGGCTGGAAAGACCCAAAATTCTGCTTTGCTGGGGAGAGACGCAGCAGTCCTGCGCCACCTGACTTGAAGATCCCACTGTACCTGCGTGCATATGTGTATCATTACATGCTGTTCCCGGAAAGGTAAGGTGCGTCTGCAGAGCAAGCTGCATGCCAACCATATATCAGGTCCTCTCGAGCTTCCAGAATTCACTTCCACCTGAATTTGACTTCGTTTTCTACACAGTAGATCAGACTGGAAAAAGCACAGGCAGTCGTTTCATGCTGCTAGTGAGCAGGGCTGCTGTGACAAACCCAGGTGGCCCCCCGAAAGCTTGCCTTGAGGCCGGGTTGATCTTCAGGGAGACCTTGCAGACGCTGCCAAAGGTGTGAATGAGCTTGACGCGGCCCCTGGGCAGCGCATCTGAGGAGTGCAAGAAAGTTGCCCAGAGGTAAGGTGGCCACAGCAGCTGGAGTTCTGCCGCTGCGCCGGGCCCCTGAGCGGGAAGTGCTGCACCTGACGGGTATGTAGAGGATTGTATGCTCGCCCAGAGTGCATCGCGCTTCTGAGACGCGCTCAGATCCTGATAATCCTGGGGAAGGCCGGCCATGATGCCTGCACGATCAGGGCCACATTGCTCACCGCGAAACCTTCTTGGAACAATTGTACCCACTAAGATTCCTTTACTTCGCAAACTAAGTCAGATTTCAATGATACAATTATCTAGGAAGATGAGAATGGTCGAGACAGCATCGGGTTACTCTATATCCGTCAAACGTGGGGTTACATCCGAATCTCCGTCACTCAGCAGTTTCCTGCTATATTTACGATGTGCAACGGGCGTGTGATCCAGTTTGGAAATAAAGCTTTGGAATTGCTAAATATGTCCTATCAGCTCGGACTGCGTGCTTGCTTTTCCAGCCATCGGAACGGAGCAATACCTTCCGGAGCAACCTGGCAACGTCAAGCGCCAAATGGGATTCAACTGGGGAAAACCTTTCCTTCCGCTTCACAGAACATAAATAAACGGATGCAATTTGTTGTGTTGCAGGATGTGAATATCTTTGAGGGATCCGACGAGGCAATACAAATTACCACCCAGCTAGATCGCAATTGACCAATGACATGAGCAGGCAGAGAACATGCATGCAAACCTTGAACTTCTCCAGCCTCACTTCATACAGCTTACACGGGCGCCTAGCCATCACTGCATCCCTTGCATGTCTTTTGAAGTGAAACAAAGCCGCTTGTTTCGGTGTTTTGTATTGTGCATCCCAGCCAGTCACTGCAGCCCATGTGCTTCAGAGAAAATTATTATTAGTACCGTACATGCCTTTCCTGCGAATAGGCAAGGCTCGTCGTGCAGACGAGCTGCAATCAAAGGCTGCCACAATCCTACCCCTTGTTGGACCCACCAGATCCAAGCAAAACCCAATCGGCACGGTGCTCAGTAACTTCACTGCCCCCCGCTAGCCGGGGCTATATAGCATATATGCAGCATATGATCATAAATAACCCCATCCATGAAGACCTTGAAATCAGTCTGTGCTACAATTGGCAGCTCTAGTTGGGCAGCTCAGGACAGCACAGCAATTGACACCTGGCAGGCCAGAAGGCACAGCAGCACTGCTCCCTGCACGCTGTGCTTTGCCCAGTCAAAACTCTCCTGAAAACCTGCATGACCGACTGCAGAGCTGTCATGCACCACCCTCACCACTGCCTCTAAGACCTGAACTCTGGACAGCCCAGCACCACCCCTGTCAATTTCAAGAGCTCTCCCAGTGGCTGCATTTTCTGCAGCTGTCTCTGTGGCCTTCATCTTGCTGATTAGCCCGCTATCAGCTAAGTCTTCCTCCCCTGCAGATGCTGGCGCATCTGTCTCTGCTCCATCTGTAGAAGGCTGGACATCAGTGTGCTGTTCTGAGGCGACTGCCCTGTCTGGTGCGCTGAGAGAAGTAGGCCTGTCAAAAGGGAATCTTGTGAAGGAGAGGTGAGACGGCTGAGCAGTGCAGTAGCTGGCAAATCTGCAATGGATCTGCAGTTCATAGGTGCCTGGGGTCAGCTGGCTTACTGCGATGGTGTTGTTTGGTTGCAGCGTGGCATTCCCCAGCAGCTGAGCATGCATTGTTGGAGCTTCCCCTGCGGAAGCACACATGCATGAGACATGCTGGCCTGCCTGCATGCGCTGCATGCATGCACAGATGCATCTGTGCATGCATGTGGACCCCACTGCCTGCTTTCTCCTGCAGCTTGCCGGGGCAACACTGTGTCTGGCTCCAAATCTGGGGGCTTTCTTTAGACATGGACAATCCTCAGGGCTCTGTGGGAAAAGATAGAGAATCTGCATGTCCCATCAAATGCTGGGCTTCTTGGAAATCTCTCACAACTTCCTCAGCCAGTGCCTTCCACTGATCAATCCCCACTGAATGCTTCACCCGCTCTGAGTAATCAGAACTGCTTGCTGCCTCACAATGTGGAGAGGGATCTGACCTCTCTGTTGGTCGCTGATGGCTTGAAGCAGCAGGGAGCACTGCTGGCGGCATGGGGGGTCCACGTCTGCATTCAAGACCAGTGTCTGCACAGAAGACTGCACCTGACTTCCTTCCACTTCCTGCATCACCAGTTTGTTCCTTCAGATCAGGAATAGATCACGAAACTTACTGTTGAATTAAATAACAAGCTTGGCGTGCATTGTTTACCAGCCAAGATATTTTTAGCAGCACAAGCTCAGCACTTCTGAACTTCAAGAGTCTGTTGAAAACCAGTCCACGCAAAATCTAGAGAGCCTGGGTCATAAGCACCTTCAAAGCTCCGTCTGCCGTCACAAGCAAGCCCGTGAGAAGGCAAAGAAGCGTTGCTGTCTTGCTCAGGCGGCTGGCCATTCTTTCCCTTTGAAGCTCCAGGGTATCAGTGCTGCTCCCTCCTTGGACAAGGAGATTCGGGTGCAAGTGGTCACGTCAGTTCCCTCAAGACTGAAAATTCCTTCTGAACGTGATAAGCTTTCGTCTGCAACGCTGCGGGACCGGAGACACTCGTGCTAGAAGTGTGCTCTTTGCTCTAATCAAATTTCTCAGCTAGTATCTTTCCAGCAGGTGGTCTGCAATTTGATTGCAGAAGACGAGATGCAAGGTGGACGAAGAGGATATTTTAGGTCTGTATGGCACAGGGTTGAATCAGGTATATCAGGCAAGCTGCTGGCCCTTCAGAAAACTTAGCCCTGGGCTGGCAGAAGGCTACGGTGCAAAGATGCTTGCATGGATGGGAGGCGCAAGAAGCAAGCTCAAGGCACAGCGGAAGGGCAAAGGCAAGGGGAGAGTGCATGCAGGTGCAACTCTTTGCTGTGCATGACTTTAAAGTCAAATTTGTGCTCCTGGAAACTCAAAGTGTATGTCTGTCTCCCTGCTAGCACATAGAATTGCAGGCAGTCCCTCATCAACCTGTAATATGCAGGAGCGGTCCGAAAGAGGACAGCATCAGCCAGGGGAATTGTTGGCAGGCCTGAGACAACGCCAAGGAAGGCTGTGCAAGCGCCCCTACCCCTGCCAGAGGAGCCAGCTGACTCTAATGAGAATGGCAATACCACAGCAGAGCCAGCAGAGCATGGGTCTGACATGGGCCAGGGCGAACCAGGAGTTGACCCTTTCTCAGTGGAGCCATTGCAGAGTCCAGCAAAGGGCTCAGCTGGCAATTGGGAGCCTTATAAGAAGCCCAAGAACGTCAGATCTCTGGACCTGGACACTTTTTGCATGCCCCAGGCAAAGAAGCCCAGGGCAGCAAAAATGGAGTCTGAAGCATCCCAGTAAACATCATGTGAAGATTTTTCTGCTGAGCAGATGCCAAAGGAGGGTGCATCTGAAGCGTGCAATGAGACAAGGCAGAGCTTTGCGCAAGGGCCAAAGCACATGTACATACCAAAGCCGCTTACAAAGTAGGGAGAAGATGCCACATTAGGCTGCGGTGCTCTAGTACAACGCACTGTGTTTCATTAGAGATGAAGGCAGCAATAAAACAGGCGTCAGAAAGTTCACGTCCTCACAGGGTCAGGACAAGCAGTCAGCTTCACACGAAATGAAATTCCAGGAGCATCACAAGATCAGGTGGACATTCTGAACAGCTGCTTAGCGACACTGCCCTGCTGTCATGGTGCCAGTATGTCAGGATTGTCCTTTCCCCGCAGAGCAGAATCAGCCACCAGAAACTTCCTTTTTATACAGTAGTAATTAAACTCTCACCACCGATGCAACTCTCCATCACTGCTGCACCACTGGCGCTCTCTCGCAACAGAAAAAAAACCAGCACTCAAGACATCAGATTGCCCCGCTACGCTCTGGCAATAGAAACTCTTCAGAAATGGGTGGAGTACATTGGACCCGCTGTGCCCTAGTGACAGATAATATTCCCCAGATATGAGCACATCATATTGCCCCACTCCGCTTGCCGCTGCTGCCATCCAGAGTCAGAATGGGTCCGTAGAGGTCCGGGCGCCTGTCGCGGAACAGTCCCCAACTGCAACACACAGTCATGTTTCAGGCCAAAGAACCCTTCTAACTTTGGCGCACCCGTCCCTGCTGTGCTAAAGGTAACAGGCAAACAATCCCGTCCCTGCAATGCTGCATGCGCACATGCACAGACTTGCAGAACACATGCATGGTTCTCAGTTTGGTCAAATCTGCAGGAATCTTGCAGCTCTAATAGTGCAGGACTATTGAACCTGAATGACTGTGTGAGAGATGACCTTGATGCTATCGGGCATGCATATGACTGGTGGAGGATGTGCAAGAATCGAGAAGACTGGAGAATAATAATCCAGGTGTTGCTTGACATACCTAGTCCTTACGGACTGGAAACGGTGCAACAACAACAACAACAACGACAACAGCAAATAATAATGATTGAACGTGCTCACAGCAACCCCAGAGACAGCAGAGAAAAAAGTAGAGGGTTACTAAGGGTCAATAGGAAAAGCACACCTGGCGCGTTGCCATCTGATGGCTTCCAAGTCAAAGGTGGCCACTGCGAAGCCCTCCTTCCTGTCAGGGGTCAGGTCAATCAACTCCCCTTCTGTCTTCTTTCCAATCTGCACACACACATGCACACCTTGCTTCGGCTCCTGCTGAAAAATGATTTTGCTAGCTTCTTTTAATCCTCCCATAGCCTGTTCAGAAGGTATCTTGTACATGCAATCGACCAGCATGCATGCATGCATGCCTGCATGAGCTGGCTGCAATGCGCTGGCATCTGCATCACATGAGCTGTGTTTGAATGTCAACTATGAGCGCTCCAGAGTAGTAAACCAGCGGCCTCTGTGGCGTTGCAGGAAAGCATCCCATGCTCACAGGATCGACTGTGAAGGCGGCACTGCACCCGCCACACCTGAATGCTGGGGGGCTGACCTCTGTCCTGCCGCTGATCGAGACATACACAAGCCTGCTGATCGTCTCCACCTGCTCCCACACTGATCCCACCCTCCCAGCCTGACTGCATGGACTGCAAGCGGGCAGGGCTGCTCTGGCAGCTGTCAAAAACTCTGCCTGCAGCTGCTGCTTCAGTGCTGCTTGGCGTGCAGGCTGACCAGCTTGGAAACATGTGTTCCTGAATACATTGTCATCAAAGCACGCATCCCATGCTTGGTGCAGCCGTCTATTATCCTCTTGAGCTGCCTGTTTCCGCAGACGCCGGCGTGAGGGCGGAGGCTGATAATAGGCAGCAGCGGCTTCTCCATCTCCATCTGCAAAGCCATCCTGCTGTTCTTCCTGCTGAGCTGTGTTTCTTGCAGGGATCCGCCAGGATGGAAGGGCGCTGGCCGGCCTCCGGGGTCCCCTCGGTGCAGATGTTGCCACAGTGCTGCCTAGGTTCCTCCCAAATCTGCGGCCTGGCTGCAGCAGAGCAGGAGTGTCGGCTGATGGTATCACCTTGACACTGACCCTCCACCTCTTGTTCCTGACCATTCGTCCTGCATGAAGTCATCACACAACGGTTTCTGCAAGTGATCCACCAGGACATTAAAGGAATGAGAAGTACATCAGCAGCATGCCTTCTAGTACAAGTGATACAACTATCCTTACAAGCACCTGGGCTACTTGCTACTCTTTGGGGTGCACAGTCCTCTCCAGATGCTCCTCATCAGATTGGCATTCCAAGCAAAGCCAGGTCAGGGCAGACACCCACGGCTACTCACAGCAGCAGAGGGATCGTAACGCTCACCAGAACAATTGAACTTGATGTTGGTTTAGATTGTAGACGACTTCAGTGTCTGTCCGGTGCATCAGTGCTCAATTCAGGTGAACGCTCTGTGTTGCCTGCACGCATTTCATTTCAAGGAATTGGCTTGGCAGGGCATGCAGTCACTACGAAAGAAGTAGACATGCACGTCGATGGTCGTGACATTCGATTAGCTGAGTCCAAACAAGTCAAGGATGGGGATGCCAAAAAACCGGCAAAAGTGCGAACCTCACATGGCCAGCGACAGAAGACTTCAAGAATTCGTTTAAATTACTCCCATAAACATTTGCGGCCGTCCCACCCCCCTTTCAAATCCTACTTTGCAACGGTAACCTGGCAAATGGCATTGCTGTCTTCGCAGAAACGAGTAGCGCACGATCCTATAGATACAGGCTTGACCGAAATAATTAGCTTGACGGAGGTACTATGCAATGCTGAGATTGTTGTAGGTAAATCTGAAGGATGTGCAGCATTGCTTTTGTTATTGCACGCCCCGAAGGGGCGTGCTCAGAAAGAGAGCCAAATCCACTAATGTAGTGGAGTGCATGTCCACTAAAGTAGTGGATTTTGCCCGACAGAGTAGGATGCTGAGTCACGCCTTGATTTCAGGCACCTGATATCACGTGCACAGAGTTCTGTCGGGCGTTATGACTCCAGTCTCGCAGCAGATCCAAACAGTGATCAGTGTTGTGGATATCTGAGTGTCGGAAGCACACATTCACAGGTCACAGTGTTCGCCCTTGCAGGATCGGTACAGATCATCAATAGAAAATTTGAGGCCATCTAGCCTCATGCCACATGGCTGAAGCGGAAAGAATAGCTGCTAGGTCATTACATGGCGCTTGCACTGCGAAAAGTTGTGTTCAGCGCTGTTGCGACCCCAGGATGGACGCCGGATCTGGTCAGCATGTCAACTCGATTGGGCGTGGGTGTTCGCAGCCTTACGGGATTTGGATTTCTGTCGAAACTGTGGGGCAATCTATTCAAAAATCCAGAGGTATGTCCGCTCAGAGAGCAAGTGACGCGGTTTAGAGGGCACAGCACGTCTTCTAGTGCTTGACACCGCCTGATGCGTATCTTGCACATTGTTTTTTTTGCAAATAATTGGCAAGTGCTTGCCAGTCATTTTCTGCTACCAAATGTGGACTGGCTGATACATGCAGGTCCAGGCTTTGACAGACAAGGTCAACGAAGCTATCACAATGCGCAAAGAAGACACAGCGGTCTTGTCGCGACAAGTGGATGTCTTGCAACGCAATTTAGCATCCTTGCGTCGGCGCAATGAGAAACTGAGTGAGCAGCTGGGTTACCTGAACGAAGTTGCCATCAGGCAAGCTCCACATTCCCCCCTCACCTGACTACATATGCTCTTTCAGTTGCTCGCCTAAGCATGCTCTTTGACGGCTCTTCATTTGCTCATTATCTAATCGCTTTCAATTGCTTGCAAGCATGCATGCAGACTTTGCACTGCACTGCAAAGAATAATGCCCCTGCAATGCTGCATGCGCACATGCACAGACTTGCAGAACACATGCATGGTTCTCAGTTTGGTCAAATCTGCAGGAATCTTGCAGCTCTAATAGTGCAGGACTATTGAACCTGAATGACTGTGTGAGAGATGACCTTGATGCTATCGGGCATGCATATGACTGGTGGAGGATGTGCAAGAATCGAGAAGACTGGAGAATAATAATCCAGGTGTTGCTTGACATACCTAGTCCTTACGGACTGGAAACGGTGCAACAACAACAACAACAACGACAACAGCAAATAATAATGATTGAACGTGCTCACAGCAACCCCAGAGACAGCAGAGAAAAAAGTAGAGGGTTACTAAGGGTCAATAGGAAAAGCACACCTGGCGCGTTGCCATCTGATGGCTTCCAAGTCAAAGGTGGCCACTGCGAAGCCCTCCTTCCTGTCAGGGGTCAGGTCAATCAACTCCCCTTCTGTCTTCTTTCCAATCTGCACACACACATGCACACCTTGCTTCGGCTCCTGCTGAAAAATGATTTTGCTAGCTTCTTTTAATCCTCCCATAGCCTGTTCAGAAGGTATCTTGTACATGCAATCGACCAGCATGCATGCATGCATGCCTGCATGAGCTGGCTGCAATGCGCTGGCATCTGCATCACATGAGCTGTGTTTGAATGTCAACTGAAGTAAAGTCAGTCGGAATACAATAGCAATGGTCAATTAGCAGGATGGCAAAGGAGGTGATGCCTGTGCTTTGATCTCTCCTGTCGGACCGGCAATGAAGGACCCGCCGTAGAAAGTAATGCTGCCTGACTCAGCCTTCTCTTCCCCTATCCTGTTGGATGCCACCAGAGGCACCTGCATGCAGCCAGATCCAGCATCTCCTGAGGAAAACATGCGCCACATCAGCTATTTTTGCAGAGTCAGCAGTGCAGCCACCGCAGAACCTGGACAATCAGCATGCACAGGGAAGCATCAATCCCTTTGAAACACCATGCAGCAACTTTTTTGCAGCTCTCATATGGTGTCGACAGCACTTCAATAGGCACAGACCCCATCCTGCTGGTTGGTCTTAGTCACCCCGCAACAAATTGGATTGGATTGGATTGGATTGCTGGACTCACTGCCGAGACCACGTTGAGCTGCAGAACAACAATTGCATCTGCCAAAACGTTGACTGTACAGCCCAAAAATGACACCGCTGCTGACAGAGGACAGTTCTTTGCCATGGGCTCCCATGAGGCAGCGCAGGGACCGAACTTTGTGTGCCGTGCTGAATAACCGCCCTCTGGCAAGAATGATGCTTGAAAAGAGAGAAAGTCATGGCATGAATTCAATATTTGCTAACAGCAAAGGCCTCACCAGGTTTGCGCCGGCGTGCCCGCACATTACGCGGGTCCAGTGCGGGTACGAATTCAAGCTCGGGTCCTGGGGCTCGCTCCCGATGGCTGTCGGGTAGAACAACACCTGCCAAGACGTTTTGAACGATCTTAGTCATCACAAAGACGTGCATCATCCATCCATGCATACGGTGGACATGTCCATAACCCACTCCGCATTGCAGTAAATTTATAGTGTGTACCCTATGGCCCCTTTGTGGTGAAAACAGATCATCACAGAGACCAGCGAACAGGGCAAAGGGAGGACCCATTGAGAGCACGTGGTGGAAGTGTGCCACCACTGTAGTATGTGTCATGGGCCAACCCCCTGCTCTGTCAACATGTTCAGGATTCCACCAACCTTCTCCCAGAGCATGGCAAGGCCAGGACACTTGGATTTTGCATTGTGGGATAGGTAAGGAGTGAGATGTCACCTCTGCTCCCATGAGGGCCATACACCTGGCAGCCTCAGGGAACCACTGGTCCCAGCAGATGGCCACGCCAATCTTGGCAAACCTGGTCTGGAATGTCTGGAAGCCTGTGTCGCCCGGGTTGAAGTAAAATTTCTCCTGATACCTGCCACATCGGCGCCACATCAGCCCTGAATTCTGTTTTCACATAACAGCCCCCTTGCAATGCGCAGCTAGCCTTTCTTCCTTGGAAGACATAACCACAAAGTTACAAGTCCAAGAGCACTGCGCGCTGCAGGATGTTGCAAAGAACACAAGACATAAGAGGACAAGCAATGCAGCACTGCTAAGGAAACCGAGGAGGAGATAGTCATGGCCGCCAGCCTGGCATTGTTGCACCAGCGGCCGTATCCCCGCAGGAGGATCATGTACTGTGATACGTAATATACGGTACGCATGTCCTTAATAAATAATGCCAGGGGAAGTCAGGATGAAATAAAGCAGGTGGAGTGACTTACCCGCAGCCGTCTGGGATGTGGGACTTTCTGTAGCGGCCAGCGCAGGTGCCGTCGGCATCGAAGACCGCAAGAGAGTTGAAGAAGCTGTTATTGGCGCGTTCAAAGTAGCTGATAGGCAATGCCACCTGGAGCTCCTTTGCCAGGTCAGCGAATCTCCGCAGCACTGGGTTGCCCTCAAAGGGGCGTGCCAGCTCGAAGAGCTCCTGCTTCTGGTCCTGGCAGAAGTAGGGCGTCTCGAATAGCTCCTGCAGAGACAGATCAAGTCGGGATCCTGTGCCTTCATTTACTTGAGAGGCTTGCGTAGGGCAGATGGGCGACACTATGTGATGAGGAGCCTCCATTCTATCAAAGAATGAGTGTATTAATTTGAAGATGCGCACGCAGAAGCTTGCCTGCAGCAAGATGATATTTGCTCCTGCACCTGCTGCTTCCCGGACCAGCCTCTCTGCTTTTGCCTGCACAATAGATGAATACTTGGCCTTCACTGCCGAGAATAAGGAATTACTCCATCCATCAAAGGCTTCTTGCGTCAACAGGGACTAACATCGTATGGGTCTAGCCTAGTCAGACATCGCCATCAGGGCAGAGAATACATGAACTCGGTTGTAACAAAGTAGAATGTGGTGCAACAACATTGAATAGATTCTAGAATTTCGACAGTTCCGATCTAGAAGTGCTCGCACCAAATTGTCTCCCTTGTCCCAGCTGCACGAGATCTGTGTGCATGCCACCGTCACTTCCCTTTTTCCAGGCATGACTGCGATAGCTCTTGAGTACACTTGTACACCGATGGCTGAAAAAACTTTTTCTATGGTGTCATTTATGTTCAGATCGCCTTTTGGCTGTCTTCGAAATGTCGTAAACGGTGGAACGAGTATCGAGTGACAGGGCACCCGAGTAATCAAAATCCACTACTTTAGTGGATGTAAACGCTACTAATGTGGTGGATTATTGGCAATCAGGGGCCATGCCACCTGGTAACACATTCCATAGCATGTCATTTTGGTAATAAAAATTAGGCCTTTCGTCAGTAAGCATGGAGAATGATCAGTGATGTGTTTCTGTACCGAGCATGTCACTTATTATTGCTAGGATCCCGTGTTACAAGTGTGGCAGTGACAAGGAGAAGCTTCATCCGAACTGCGCAAGTTCAGAACGCTTGACTCGCTGTGTAGGTTGTGATTATATTATCAGATTCTATTCAGAAGGTCTGACAAAGGACGAATACGGCCACGACGCTGTTGCCGACTGGGTCTTCAAACAAGAGGCAAGGGTGCCATTGCAACGTTGCAATGCCGTGGACTCAGGGGTCAGATATTTCCATCAGAGCTGCCTTGGCCGAGATGAACCTTCAGCATTGTCCAGAGCTAATGGCTACTATTCTATTCGCGGGAAGATTGAGAGCGAAAAGTATCCAGAGCTCAGAAATATTACCCACAAATGCTGTGAGGACTGCGTCATTGCAGCCCAAACCAGGGGCAAGGATCTCAATGAGGATAAGTTGAATTTTATCATGCATCAAGGAGTGATTGGTAGGTCTCAATAAGCACTCCATCTTTGAAGGTTGGGAACACCTATGTTTTGAATCTCCCCATGACCTTGACACAGAGTAACTAACTCTGACTTTTGCGTTGCGTTCAGAGGCAGAGACCGGCGACTTGGAGAGGAAGAGAGCCGATAGGCGATCAAGCAAGATTCGAGGCATCATTGGTGGTCAGCAGGCTCGCCTCGAAGACAATGGGACGACTTCGACCGCCATCTTTGCAACGAGACACCTCAATCAGAAAGTCAGCTTCAGCAAGAGCGCCAGCAGATTGCTGGCAGCAGTGCCCAACCTGAACAGGACAGTGATGGCAGCCTCGTATCTCCAGGCCAGTGGACTTCAGGCAGGCCAGACAGCCCAAGGACAGGCGCAGAGGGGCGCCACAGCTGCAGCAGGCGGCATGCAGGGTCCCGCAGCCCCAGAGGCAGAAGCTGCAGGACCTTCGCAAGCGCCACAGCCAGGGATCAGCCGCAGGCAGCTCAGCGCTCAGGGAGCCGAGCAGGACATCGTCCAACGGTGGCTTGCGTTCAGCCTCAAGGCCTCATCCACCGTTGCAGAGCTGAAGCGGTTCCTGCTTGACAGAGGCCAGCGGCCAGTGATCTTCACCAGAAGCGCGCTGCTCGCCAGGGTGGAAGGGCTGCTTAGATTTGAGCATCCAGAAGGTAGCTATCCATGATGGCTGTAACGATCAGCGCCTACACATCTTATGCCTGGCAAATTAATAACATGTCCTCACCATTTCCTCTGGACATCTTATGCGCTGGCAGCTAATGGATGCTGTCATGCAGGTGGACTGGAGCCGAGTGCGGCGGCGGTTGAAGAGATCACAGCCGCTGTTGAGGCCGCAGCCCAACCGGCACGGCAAAGACCAGCAAGGCAGAAGGTGGGCATCTTGTTGAGGATCCTTATGTTTGCATGTGCTTTGTGAACGCCTCTCATCTGTCAAGCTGCTGGTGCAGTGAAAGCGAGTTTGGCTGAACACACTGATTGTAAGTTATTGTTGTTACAGGCGCCGAAGAAGTCACAGCTTCAGATGGAAGCGGCCAAGTCCATTGTTAACAAGGGTGAGTGGGCGCTCTCAGCTGGAAGCTCTGATCACCTGGTGACTGTTGCACACCCGAGAAGGCTTTAACTTCTGCAGATTTGATGGAAGGGAATGATAGCCAGTCAATTGAGGCGCTCACATGTTTGCAGGAGTGAGCAGCGGCCTGCCCGTGGTCAAACTCAAGCAGATTGACGAGTTGCTCTGGACCTTCGACAAGTGCCACTACCTGCCGCAGTTGGGGGAGAGCACTCCCTCGATTGGTGTCGCTCTCTGGGCCGTCACAAGCACGCTGCACCGCGACGGGGAGTTCCCAGCACGCAACTTGTCCCAGTTGGGTCGTGCTGCCAAGGCTCCTGTTGGTTTGGTGCGCGCTGTGCAGCCAGGCAGCGATGGCACCCAGCTGCATATGGAGATATGGTTCCTCGAGGCGCGCGTGCAGACAGATAGCCAGGGGGAGCCCGAGGCAGCGGTGGCAGGGGAAGGCGGTGGGGCACGCGCAGATGTGGAGGGACGGGGTGCAGGAGAGGCAGCCACCGGTGGGGGCGTGCAGGAAGGGCATGGGCGGGGTCGGGGCAGGAAGCGTGGCCGCCGCGGCACAGGCGGGGCGCGTGGCAGCAATCGGCCCAGAAGGGGCAGCCGAGGCAGGCTCAGGCGCCCAACCGCCAGAGCCGCAGAGTTTTGGGGTCCCCCCACTGAGGGCGACGAAGACGAGGTTGGGAACCTCTTCTCTGAGTCAGATGCGGATGACCAGCCAGCGCAGCAGCACAGTGACCCAGCAGAGCCAGAAGGGCAGGCAGAGGGTGTCCTGCCTGAGGCCAGCGAAGTGCCGCCGCAGCCCACAGCTTGTGCGAGCCAGTCGCCGTTGCACGGCTGCTTGCTGGCAGATGAGTCGCCGCAGCCTGTGCCAGTCCCCAACGTGCGGCTGAGCATGCAGGGGCATGCCGCATCGCCGGCCAAAATGGCTGTGCTGGTGATCGACTACCGGCACATTGCAGCGGCCCTCTGTCATCCAAAACGGCTGAAGGTGGCTCTCGGAGGCGCTGCCGGGAGCTCGCCCATGAACGTCGAAGAGGCTGCAACTGGTGTGGCGCTGGCAATGTTGCTGGCTGAGGAGCAGAATGCGGCGCGCGCCGGAGAAGGTGAGGAGCCATCATGGCTCTCTTTGTCCTGGCTTATATGATTCCACTCACAGTGAGTTTCTAAGTTATAATGCCATGCGAATCATACCCCGAAGGTTTATCGACAGGTAATTGTCAGCAATAAGCTGACGACAGGCATGTGTTGTCTAGGTGGGAGTGCTACGGCAGCGGAGCAGTCGCAGTCAGCCTTGGAGCAGTCACCGCTGTCTGGCGCCATGGTCTTCTTTGATCCTGCTCTGGAGCTCGCTGCCGATGAGGAGCCAGCTTCCTCCTACCGCTCTGCAGATGGCCCAGCAGGCATGTACAAAATCCTGCTCTGTCATTCCTGTGAACTTGTCAACTGACTGCTCTCATACGCTGGTGTAGTTGATTTGTTCATGTCTTGTCTCTCAATGCTGAAGTGTCTGCTTGCCCCTTTGCCTGAGCCATGCCTGTCTTTCACGCACCCTGCTCCACATGCTGTGCTTGCCCCTTTGCCTGAGTCATGCCTGTCACTCACGCACCCTGCTACATATGATGTGGTAGAGTGCCGCACCTAAGGGTCATCTGGGTAATACTAACAACAGGAATAAATTTGAGCTTGACATCCTAGCAAGACACTAGGGAAGATATTGCTTGAATGCGGTAATAATCGCGGATTGTAAGCAGCTGTGTGTTGGTGCGCGCAGGTCGACCGTCCCTGGAAGTTTCCTCCCCTGGGATCAACATGGAAGCTGCAATGGGTGTCATCGCAGGGCTGGCATGTCAGCTGAACCCCTCGCCGCAAGCCAGAGGCCATTCGAGCGCGCACAGTGACGTGCAGATTCTGCCAGATGACACAGTCTATGTCCTAACAGATGACAGGAGGATAGTGGGGACGGCAGAGGTGGTGCATATTGGGCCTGGCACACGGTTCCACGGTGCTGAGCTTGAGGGGTTTGGTGTTATTTGCGGGCTCACCATCACAGACGCAACTGGGGCTGGACACCAGAAGGCATGGTTGAGCGACACAGATGAAGTCAGAGCAGGCAGAACACCCTTGGAAGCAATTGGGGGCAATCAGATGGTGGCAGTTCCCGAGAGGTGCCTTCGCTTTCTGAGGCGCCCACCGGCGGCTGGAGAGTGACTTGCAATGTGATCTTTGCACTTTCAAGCTAAGTCAGTTTCAAGCTTAGTCAGAATTGGCGTGTGAGCATGACGCAAATGTAGCATCAATTTTTTTTATGTCCTAAATTTGATATTGCAATGAGGACTGTAGTAGGTTGTGACCAAGTCTGCCTCACTACAAGGCGTTGCACATCCATGCGCTCTACGCAACTAATATTAGTCACTCACTTGTCCCTCTCTGCACATGTGCGCAACAATCATGACGGTAACCAGATATCATGCATGTAACAATCTGTAAGGTAATTTTGCTCCCGGTTGCCTCACATGCTCAACCTTCGAATCTGAAGTGGCCAGTGGGATGGAGCACTTCTGCTTGAAGACAGAGCACTGCTGCTGACCGCCACAAGGTAGTGGCGGTGGAGGGCAAGAAAATAAATCCCCTGAGCCTATCTTATAATATTATTAACCCCATCTGTCATTGAGCAGCCTGGCTCGTTCTTGCTGTTTCTCTACGATGTCGGTGTCGAAATCCACTCACATAGAATGTTGAACGTGGAAGAATTGCTACAAGATTCTTCTCAGCATCATCGCACTTCTTGGTCGCTGCATAAAGACACACGGCATGTCACATCAGATGGCGCAAAGGTGATGCCCTTATCTTGCCGGCACCCACGCTATGGTACACGCACGCGATGTGTATCAATCAAATGTGCCACAAGCGACAGAATTGGGGTGTCAATTTGCTGCACAGCGTGGGTGCCCCTCCTTGATGGGCACATCTCTTTACATCGAGCAGCCATCTGAGATCGCCAGGGTTGAGGACGTGCTGTCCGTGCAGCACGCACTCAGCGTCAATATTTAGACTCTTTCAATATTGATTATTGATGGTATTCTTGTGAAAGAGTCTCTTGACCGGCCCTGTAGGTATCGCACGCTATGAAGAGGCTTTTGCAGTCCAGGGTTGGGGCAGCACACCTCTGAAC